GGGGGGGGGGGGGTGTCGAGTACTTCGAGGTGAGGGTAGTCGAGGCTTATAAAGTAAATCTAATGTTTTAGACCTATTTAAAAGCGGATTTAAAGCTATTCTTTAGATTTAAATTATTCTAAAGATACTCTAAAAGCGTTCTAGAATTAGGTTAATACTAGACTTAAAACTAAGTTAAACCTATAAACTAGTTTCGAGTTAGTTTTAAACCGGTTTCGAGTAAAATATAACGGGTAGATATATATATTACTTTTAAAGCTTTTTTATATAACTTATTTATAATTAGAATTATTTATTAGTTTTATTATTATTCTAGAATAAGTTAAAATAAAGGTTATAAGTTACCTTATAGTTAGCTGATTATAGTAGGAATTATAATAAGTTTAGGAAGATAAAGTATAAGGAGTAATAAGATTGTTATAAAAGAAGTAGTTATATTAAGTTGAAAGCTTATAGAATAAAGTAGGAGAGAGTATAGGTTTATATAGACTAGCGTATATACCCCTCGACTAATACCTAGATAAGCTCTACTATAATAGTAGTAAAGTACTATACGTAATATACTATATAACAAAGGTACTTAGTAAGAAGGATTTAGTAAAGAAAGTACTAGGAGTATATACTAAAATAATTTATATTATATTTTCAAAATCTACTAATAAAAGATTATAAATAATTTAATAATTTAAGAGTTAAAAACTATATAATACTCTAAGTCTTTAATAAAGTATTTTATATATAAAGAGACCTATAAATAATAATAAAGTAAATATTTATTAATTAGTTCTTAAGCTCTTATAGTTAGTATATAAAGTTTATAATATTATTATATTTATTAAGAGTTAAATCGTAGTATTTATTATATAAGCGAGATAAATACTCGCTATTAACTTTCTTATAATTCCTTTTAAGAAATACTAATATTTCTTAGGAAGCTAGTAAGGGTTTACTAAAATAAATAAGAAGGTTATTATAGATTTCTATAAATATTATTTTAATAATAAACCTTATTATAGCTTTCTTTTTAGCCTTCTAGACTAGTTTTAAATTAGATTATAATAATAGAAGTATAAGAGTTATTTATTCTTCTATTACTTATATTATTTATAAAGTATTTTATATAAGTCCCTATTCTATTATAAATAGTTTAATTTATTCTTAAGCTTTTAGATAGAATTCGTATTTTTAACGTTCATATACTTACCTTTTAATATAATAAAGGTAAGTAAAAAGTATAAGTAGAATTATCTTTTGAAAATATATAGAAAATAGTACTCTTATATAGTATTATAAATAGGGCCTTATATCGCGGATTATTATATATTTATTAAATATAAATATATTTATATTTTAGAATATTTACTTTAAGAGAATTAGCTTTATTATTTAAAAGAATAATATAGCATAATATAGGTTTATAAAAGCTGGGTAATATAGTATAAATATAATAAAAATAATCTTTATACTAGAAAACTTACGATTATATATAGTAGTACTTTATACTAAACACGGTCTTTATATTAAAAATAGTAGGTATTTAAGTAGTTAGGATTCTATTTTTAGCTTCTAAATAAAAGGACGAGTTAATTACCTATTTATGGTAGTAAGCTAGACCTATAACCTAATAAAATAAAGTAAATATGAAGCTAGTTAAGTACCCAATTATATTAATATAGATATAGCTAGTTTATATATAGCTAGCTAATAAAGAGTCTTTAATAAAATAGGAGTATAAAGTTATAGTATAGATTACGTAATTTTAATGAAAGGGTAGTTAGAAAGGGTTATTAGAAAGAAAGAGAAGAGAAAGTAGGGGGGACAGAGAGGATAGACAAGTAAGTAGTAAACAATTGTTAGCGCGATACGTACTAGTCTAACCTCTCTAGGAAGGTAGTAATCAGGGGCTAGGAATAAGCGATACGTATAACTAAAATGTTTCCCCGCTTCTCTCTCTCTCTCTCTCGGATAAAACTATAATACGACAGTGAGGATGCGATAATAAGGGTGGGCGACAATGAGGGTGGGCGATAATAAGGGTGGGCGATAGTAAGTGTGGGAAATAGTGAGAGTAGGCGACAGTGAGGCCCGGGGGTAATTAAAATACACGTGAAAATGGCTAGACACGTGAAGCCAAGAATGAGGGTGTGGGGGTATAGGCGTAGTAGTAAACAGTACCTGATTATATAGCCTTTGCGATTTACGATTTGCGATTTGCGGTTTAGTCAATACCGACCTAAGTGTACGATTAGGATGCCGTGGCAAGTGTATACCGGTACTAGTGATCCCTGTTACCTTTTATTTTCCTACGTTAGCGTGATTTGAAACCAATATTATATTTCGCATTAGAATTATAAGTTAGAGCTCGATTCAATAATTAAACGTGTAATCATGTTAACATACATTAGCACATAGACTGTCCTGAGCACTCTGCGCCTCCGACGACTTTGAATATATGATGGTATGATTCGAGCCGACTTTATTTTTGGTGGTTAGGCTACCAAAAAAGCCTGGGTTAAAGAAACTTGAGCCTAATTTGCAAGTCACTATACCCCACTCAATTATTCGCAAGCAGATTCACTTATTTAAATATCTTTTATGGCAATTCTTGTATTCCTATTTTCCAATTGTGTCTTGTAAACAAAATTAGTGACCCGAATATATGCCATAATGCACATTTGTCGTGCCCGCACGGAATTTGTATGCCCAAAATGGCATTTTCTCCCGCAAATGCAAGAAAGCCCATCTTATCCCATTAGAGACCCAAGTTTATTATTCAATGACCAATCATCTCATACAAGTACAGAGACACTCGCACTGCATCACATGTCTTGCTATTTGAGAGAACGAGAAGACCAATGATCTACAACTGTTAGCTAAATAAAGTAATGGGTTCAAGGGTGAATACACACTTACCAAACTTAGTATTTCATGTACTACAGTGGGGACCCTGTGCCTCACGACGATCGCTGCAACGACGAGTAGCTTCATGAGGGCCACCTGCTGCCTCACGACGAGTGCTTCCATGAGGACCACCTGCTACCTCGCGACGAGTAGCTTCATCACGGCCGTAGAGATCAAGAGCATCCTTTGGTGCAGGAAGAGCGGTCACGATGGCAACACCAAAAAGAAGGCTGGCCAGGATGGTTGAGAATTTCATGGTTGTGGTTGGTAAGGAGCTGTGAGACCTCTTGACTTCAGTTGTGATTGGAAGGAATTATGATTTGGACCCTGCTATTCAGAAATCAGTTGGTGTTTTGATGCCAGAGCCATTATGAAGTGAATGGGAAGTTTCCGGTTAATAGGGAAATGCTATTGAAAAGTACTTACCGTAAGTCGAATGCTCAGAGCAGCAAGACGTAGCAGGGAGTAGAAGGATTGTGTGTCTCGATGACGTGGGGTCGAGTTGCGTTGGAGTGTGTTGGGGTGTGTTGGAGTATGTTGGAGTATGTTTGAATGCCAAGCATAAGTTTGGAGGTACCCAAAGACGTGTTGCTCGGGTTGTATTGAAGAAGAAAAAGCCTCGAGGAGAAGAGTCGGCGGCCTAGAATTTATAGAGCAGAATTTTTCTTAGCGCCGGCTAAGCAAGATACCGAAATCTCTCATTCACCTACACTTTCCGGCAAGAGCTGAAGTTATCGGTCCTTCCCTTGTCAATAAAAAAAGCACTTGGCAAATTTGGTATGGTTGCATGTCGCCCACCTACTTAGCTGCCCAGACTCCAGAGAGGAGGCTTCAGCACGCCAGGCTCGCTTAACGTGAAGTTTAGTACCGTAAACACCGTACCGCTCTCTACGGTGGGGAATCTTTAGCCGTTCTGAAGCGGCTGTTATCTACATACTACGGGAGTTTTAGATTTTTCTTGGCCTAGATAGGGACACAAAAAAATTACATTCACTCAGTAAGCAGAAAGCGAGAAGAAATACGGTAATCTTACCTCCATCGACTGAGGGAAGTTTCTCTTACACTTGAAGTACTGCATGCAACAAGCGCTTCCCACTGGTATTCTGTAGTGGATATATACAGCGAATCCACGCCGCCCTCATTTTTGAGATTGTGGAAAGGAGTGGCCCCCATCCCCCCTCAAAGAGAGGTGGAGGATCTTCTACTCGCCCAGAAGGAATGGTTCTCGATATAAAATAGTCGAAAATAAGACGTATGTCTTGTTGAGCGGAATCCAGGGAAGCCACTCTCGTGAATTTCATTGAGACGACCTTGGAATATATATCTTCCTTATGCATTTGGTGATGGTCCCTTGGCACGGGGCGGGTATGCAAGCGCCCGCGGGAAAACTCCCTTATTGCGTGTATATTTGCCTTTGTTGTCCGTACGGAGTACTTGGATGAATATCTTTTTTTCATGTCATCTTTCAATTACTAAAGGCAAGCAAGCGACATGGTAGTTCGAGTCGAGAAGAAGTCAACTTTAGTCAATCTTGACTATATGATAACATTTCATTCCACGTCGTAGTGCTGTGGTCGCCTTACTACCTTTGGGTTCTAGTCGAACATAGCTTCTGTCCTTTTGCGAACATGCTAGTGTTATGTAAGATTCGCTCGTAAGCGATGAAAGGGCTAGTGGGAATTCGGTCCAGCCTGATTATATTCATATTTGAAGTGATGTAGCTGTTATCTTCATACTGGAACCTCTAGCTAGCTTCTGTAATTTTACGAATCATGATTTTTCTTTGCAATGCTGCTAGGAATCTCTGAAACATTTCGGATATGTCTTCTTCCGCAGCAAAGTGTACTTGCCCACCACAGTATCCAAGAAAAGATGGCACGAAAAACGGATCGATACTGGTTGAACACCAGAGCGGGAATTACTTCCATCTTTGCCAAACTTCACTGGAGGTGACTAGATATGATGTTGCCCAGCTACATAAGGATTATCTACCTGAGAAAGCAATTGCTCGAAACAACGGAAAACTGAGACAAGAACCATTGACATCGAAAGAACCTGGCTAAACATCGAAGCCTTCTATTCTAAATTGACATTTCTTAAGCAGAATTTTCCTCATGCATATTCCTTTTTTGAATTGGTACATTCACTGGATCGGAAAATTGGATAAGTTATTTGGAATATGAGAGTGGCAAACATCGATTCAAGTATTTGGGCACCTGAGTGAGATACAAATATCATTACTGTCAAGGCCATAACCAATCCATGTCAAATTTGATAAAACCAGGTTTTTTTTTTATCAAAAAAAAAAAGAAAGCAATCGCTGCACTACCGCAATGTAACGAGCTCGCTCTATATATACAGGAATCATTCCGCTGTGTACAGGTAACGTGGAAACTGGTTTACATGACAATGAAGATAATACCAAAGTTCAAAATGATATATCGTGTCGAATTGCTCGGTCGGTAACGAGCCGAGAGTTTGCCCTTGCGGTGACTTCCCTCGCTTAGATATATCCTGCGTCAAACACGTTTTGTCAAAGACAACCAATCAAACAAAATTTGATAAATTTGGCCCTTAGCGAGCCGATAGAAACCGCTTGATGCATATTGAAAACGGCATAGGCGTAAAGCTCGACGAGATCAGCCTGTCCAATAATTATGCGAAACTGTCCCATTCCTACTCTCGACCCTGTCTCGATCGACAGTCAAAGTAATCCGCTCCAAACACCCAACCACCCTGTCTCGGTTCTCAAGTGTCCCGAACACCTGCGCAAACCTAACCTGAAGATACGCCAGTTAAATCAATACCTGATTCTGAGCCAGGCACATTCTAATTACACCAAGGAAAGGTTGATGCTTCCATTTCACCCCCAAAGTGTCCGTCCTTTCTTGGTCCATTGACCGACCAGGTTTGAATTTATGAATTCATCGTCATTCTCCCAGATCGATGGATCTCTTTTGGAGGACGAAGAGATCAATCTCTATGATTGTGCATTTTGGTATGTACGTAGATTGGGGATAGGCCATCTGACTCACTCCTACTTGGAAGAATACTATCTTTCAATGCTGTACGTGCGAGTCTCGAGGACGCTGGATGTAATAGTATAGTCTCGTAGTGATCGCTTTCATGAGGTATGAAAAGCGGACCTTTCAAAGGTCAATTCCTGGTTATTCCCAATGGCCTCGACTTCCACTCGAAGCCTCTCCTATTATTCTTAGTAACGAGCAAGTTCAAAGATGATATTACTACTGAGAATTTGCGTCCCGAGATTATAAAGGTCTTGAGTCAAGGTCGCCATTTTATCTGACAGCACATATCACATATCTTTTGGACCCAAATCCTCTTTCCTCCCTCGGCCTTTCTTTTCAACGACTTGCTCTACACGTTTATTCACGAACTTATGCACTTTGGTATATGATTTCCTCCAGTAACGGTCCAGATAAAGTGGCCCTCTCAGCTGACCAAATACCAGCAACAGTGCAAGATCCAACAACAACCGACCAACTGCTTTCATGAACTCATCCGTTACACTGGGCGTGCCCGACGCAAGAATATCCATACATCCCCCAAACAGAAATTCAGTCGAAGAATCCAAACTCCACTCAAAGAAATGACTAGAGCCTGTGCCCTAAAGAAGACTCGTAACCCAATTAATAATCAATTTCTTCACCAGAGGCAACAAATCAACCCCTCCCCCCCCCTTCCAGACAGTCCCCAAAAACCTCTTGACATGTCCCTTGAAAACCCCCAGATCCGCAACCTCTGCCCTACTAAAAGTTGGTCTAATAAGGCCTCTAGAATGCCCTCAAAAGTTTTCATCCTCTGTAGATATTCCCCTCCCACGGAATGGTTCCCTCATGCCCCTCATAGGACCAACCCCGACGTTCTGGAAACCAGATACACAAGTTGCTTTGACACTTCGCTCCAGAAGCATGCAATTCCAACACACCCAAGGACCGCATGAAGAACGTCGGCCCGTAGACTTTGAAGTTGTCAATACCTCCGAACGACGACCTTCCACATCACCCTTGCAGGTCCTGACGAAGGTGTCAATCCCAAAGAATTGGATCTCAGCTTGAAATCCATGTGACCTTCTTGCGGCCATTGGTTCCGGTAGCTTGTGCTGATCGTCGTTTGAATTCTAGGGTGTTGAGCCGGAAATAGGAGCTGCAGGTAGCAATGAAGACAGCGCCAAGCAAGAAGTATACATGCAAGCAAAGAAAGCATAGTGGGAAAGAACCAAGTTTAGGATATCAAATATTGCATTTCTTTGAAAGATAGCCCTACACAAGTGCATTGGCGTCTTCCAACAGACATTGCCACAGACGCAAGAAAGCAAAGAGGACTCGACGTTACCGTAACCTCCCAACATCCAACCATTCTCGCTGATTAACCAACAAGAAATCATCTGAAAGTTGGAACATTGATTATAGGCTTGCTAGAACCACCACTCTCTTTTCCCTTACAGGACAGGATGGAAAGAACCCAGACCCAAGCATACATACACCAAATCCACTCAGCGTAAACCATCATCTGTAATCTTACATCTTCCCAGATATCCCAACTGCCACAGTCTCTAAATCCTGCCCTCAGAAGCTGGCTCCAATAGCCTTTACGCACCCGGAAACCTAGGTGCCAAAGAACTCCAAACAAAAAAGCTTTTCCAAGTCCTCTTCGTTAGCTTCATGTCCATCGATTCTTATCACGGAAGCCCTCACTGTCCACCTTTCCCCCACACCAATTACCTCACCGGAACCGTACACCCAACAATTCGGGAATTCCCAACCAACTAGTCAAAAAAGTTCCATGCGGTTCAAGATAATTAAGGAGGAACAATCACCCCCTCGACTAAGACATGCAGCAACCAAGTTCATTGCAGTTGGGAAGCAGAGTGTGTTAACCAGAAGCCAAATACCACACAGTCGATATATCACATATAAAAATCATGCATCAAAAAAACAAACGTTTCATTTCTATTCTTATTTTATTTGCATCTGCATTACATGCAGAAACATAGCACGCTAAGATCCACGCATCGCGATCCCTTCATGCTCATCTATAGGAAAAAAGGAGAAGAAAAAAGGAACGCACGCATACCCCATTTCCCCCAGGCCACAAAACAAAAGTGTAGAAGAAAGAAGTCTGTTGATAGAAACCTCCGTCAAAAACAAAATAGTCTTCGAGAATAACCTGCAAGCAAATATCTGTCTTTACGTTCTTTGTTCCGAGAAAATTTGAGTTCCCCGTCCCTGGTGTGTTTCTACGATGCGTAGCATTTTCCTCCCATCATGAGATCATTATATTTTCGTCATGTCCACATTACTTTGACTCTGGCTCCACGATCTCATCTGGTTTCGCCGCATCAGCATCCGTCATCTCTTCGTCCTTGGCGGCAGCGGCTTCTTGCGCCATCGCAGCAGCTCTGGCAGCCTCAGCCATCTCTCTCTTCTTTTGTGCCTCGGCCTCCTCAATGGCACGCTGTGCAGCACGCTCCTCCTCAAGTTTGTCAAAGTAGCGTTGCACAATTGGTCCGGCAACAGCACGGATCTCGTCCATCTTGGCGACATAGACAGCTTTGGTAGCATCCTCGCCCTCATCGTAAAGCCAGTCCTAAAGAACGGTCAGCACCTTCTATTTTACGTCTATCGGAATCCTCGGGAGGCTTACCTCGCTAGCCTCAAGCTTTGCCTTTAACTTGGTCTTCTCGTCCTCGTTGGCAAATTCGGCGTAGGTATCATCGATCTTGTTTCTCATCTCGTAGATGTAGGTCTCAAGCTCATTCTTCTTCTCCTCAGTATCAGCGACAAGCTTATCCTCCATGATCATAGCGGACTCCTGCTCAGCGGCAGCATCCTTCTTGGTCTGGTCAAGTGATGATGTGCCAGAGATGATTGGAAGATCGCCTTTTCGGACTTGCTTCTTGACCTTTCTGGTCTTGGTGGGTTCCGCATCCATGGCCTGTGAAAGTTAGTGATTTGTTGCAATCAAGGTTTCACACAACATACATCTGGGTCCTTCTTGTCATCCTTCTTCTCTCCCTCTTTCTCTTCTGGGATTGGCTCCTCAATCTCCACATCCTCAACATAATAGCCAGACTCAACATTCAAGATACCATGCAAGTTCAAACGTGCCTTGAGCTTGCAGATCATGAAATCATCCTTGGAATCGGCCTTGACATTCTTGACTGTAAATTGACCGATCCATGGGTTAATCTTACCAGGTAATAATTCGGGTTTGGCGTATTTCGCCTCCAGGTTGAAAGCCTCTTTGCGATAGAAGGTAAGAATCTTTGTTGATGGCATGACATTACCCTTGTTGAAGACCGTAAGGCTGGTGTCCTCATCTGGAATGTCAGGTGATTTCTCCCATGTGAACTCAATTGGGTAGTTGACGATATCGTGAATGGCAAAATCACGAACACGGAAGACTGGGGAAAGAATGGCACAGCTGAAAGCGCATCCTCTGGCAATGGCCTCGTCTTGGTTCAGGGTGAAGGAGAGAGTTTTGCCGAAGAATGCTTGGATGCGCTCCTTGAGTGCTGGAACACGAGTACATCCACCAACCAATTCAATGATGTCAATGTCCTCCTTGGTCAACTTGGCCTCAGCCAAAGCTTGCTCAAGAGGAACGTGGGCGCGCTGGAGAAGTGGCTCTACCAGTGCCTCTAGTTCCTCACGCTTCATCATGGACTGGACATCCACATCGTTCATTAAGGACTCGATGTTGAGAGGTGCCTGCTGGTTGGCAGAGAGGATCTTCTTCAACTTCTCGGCGGCGGCACCGACACGAACCATGGCCTTTCCATTGCTCTTGATGTCAATCTTGTATTTGGTCTGGAACTCCTCGGCAAAGTGGTCCACCAAGGCCTTGTCGAAATCACGTCCACCAAAGTGACGGTCGTATGCAGTAGACTTGACGGTCAACTCACCCTTCTTGAATTCGACAATCGAACATGAGTAGTTGGTGTGTCCGATATCGACGAAAGCAACACGGCGAGGCTTCTCGTCCCCAGTAGGTAAATCAGTCTTGGTAATACCATAACCCAAGGCGGCTGCAGTTGTGTCATTCATTAGTCGAAGTAGCTTGAGACCAGCGATCTCGGCGGCGTCCATCAGTGCTCTTCGTTGGATGTCGGTGAACCATGCTGGAACACTCATCACCATGTCTGAGACAGGCAGCTTCAGTTCGGCGGATGCGGTAGCCTTGACTTTGCTCAAGAACATGGAAACCAGCTGTGTGGAGGTATATTTTTCCTTCTTTCCCATATATGTGACCTCGGCACCGACCTGGCCATTGATGTCGACGAGGGGCGCGGAGACGAATTGCTGTTCAATTTGCACATCTGGATCGCTCAAGACTCGTCCTGCCAATCGTTTTAATGACCCGACGGTGTTTTTCAAGTTGGAGATTTCTTGTGTCTTCGCAGGCTCTCCGAGGTATCTGCTCTTGGGGCCAAATCCTACGAGGGATCTATACTCGAGGTCAGATTGTCTCGCCAGGCGCGGAATGTTCGAGGAGACTTACGGTGTGGCTCGATTGGAGACTTCATTTGTGATCTGGGAAGGTTAGAAGATTGGTTATGATAACAGCAGAAGAAGAGTGAGGAGGATACATACCACGTCAACACCACGGTTGCGAGCAACTGCGATGACGGTATTGAGCGTTCCAAAGTCCACGCCGACGACTATACGCAGAGGTGGTTAGCTATGTCTGACGAACCGATGTAGGGCTGGGTTGGGTTGGGTTGGGTTGCGCTGCGCTGCGCTGCGGGGTGAAGATTGTTGACATACCACTCATGTTGGCGGGTAGAACGAGGACGGGTGTGCGAAGTCAAGGAGAAATTGGTGTCGCGATGCTGAAAAGAGAGTGTGACGATGGTGGAGAGGGGGTGGATTGGAGACGGGGTGTGAGGTGGTGATGTTCGGTATGCGAGTTGTTGAGTTGAAGCAGCGTATTGTTGGCAAACGTGGTGGTGGAATAAATATTACCTGCGCCAGCCGACTGAGCCACCAAGGCTTTTGCTTTCCTCGCTAGTGGAAGTGCAGCGGTTCCAGTTTCCACAACCTTCGACAACTCGCCCTGAACGTTCGAGAGCCTTCCACCAACTGACGAGGACAACAACAACACCAGAGGTCACGGCAAAGCAGTTCTCGTTATGTGTTCTCTGTCTCGTATAATCTAATGAGGGAATCACTTCCCTTAACTAACCTCCTCGTTTTTATTCGTGATTCACCTTTCCAACCAACCCCCCCACCTGCATCTCTTCTGCACTGGCCGATGTTGATCATGTGACGCGGGGCTCTTCTTATCAATTTTTACCGATTGTTGCTATGCTGGTATATGATGTGATGCCGTGGCTTTTGGTGGGGGCAGAGGGTATAGGGAGAGCAGCAGTTTCTTGGTCACCGTTCTTAGAACCATGAACTATGAACTATGAGCTCATACGTCTCATATTACTTTCACCAGAAGAGAAAGTTTTCATTCACAAATAAACATGAGCAGGGTGGAAAATCAACACAGGCTTGGCTATCAAACTTGGAAGAACTTCTGACCATCCTGAACACGTGGCGGGGTACAAAACAATGGAACCCACCACAACCAAGATGAGGGGCACTCAACGTGCAATTTAAGCATATCGCTGAAAAGTTATTTTCTTCAGCTCATCCATAAATACAGACCCATCCATATATACAGACTCCTCCATAAACACAGACTCCAATCATAGGTAGCAGTAGCAAAGGCAAGGAAGGGATGAACCAGTGGAGACACAAATACTACTACTATTCATCAGTGCCCCCTTTTATCTACCAGAACCCTAGAAAGTCTTGCAGGCATCACTCACATACACAAAAAAACAGTCTTCATAGAATCGTTCTTCATTAATGTACTATTGATCTAGGTATTAGGACTGATGAAAATTGGGATCTGTACTGCCAATGACTGATGCGTGCCTCCATCTTCCCTATGACGCCCCTAAAATGCAACTTTTCACTCTATCTTATTATACTCACTTCTTGCAAAATGTTGACGATGAGTGTCATTTGATCTCGTTTTTTCCTACCAGCAAACAATAAATGAGCAACCCACCCCTCCCCGCGGTTGTTTAGAACGCCTTGCTATGCAAAATCATGACAAATCAACCTAAAATGCCTTTAAAACGAAATTCTTTCATGAATCCATCTTGCATCCTTCATCGTCGTGGCGATGGGAAGCGCTCAGCGGATGGGGATGGGTTCTCGTTGAGTTCGAATCCGTCATCCGAGGGAGATCGCACCAAACTCGCTCGAGCGAGAGGACTTCTTCCGCTGCGTCGGTTCTGCCCGCTGGAAGATTGCGCGGGAACAGCCAGAGTTCCATCAGGGGACAATGGTGACATTGGTTCGGGAGAAGTTGGTCCATGGCCCGGTCGATTAGGCTGGTCGTGGTATGATGCAAGCGATTCGCTAGAGTCTTGCCAGCCACCCTTTCGCATCTCGGACTCGGAGATTTCGTAAACTCTTCCTTGGCCCTGAGCTGGCTCAGTCATGTAGGCACCACCCGCAGCTTTTTGATTGGCTTGAGCCATGGCATATTTCTTCTTATCCTCTTCGCCCATGATACTCTCCACACGGCGGGGCATATATACGGAGTTGGTGGTCTGCTCGGAATAGTCACTGTCCCAAGAGGCGCGAGGATGAATGGGGACTCTTCCAACTCCCAGATTGCCAACCGGAGCCACACTGACGAACGAATCGTTTTGTTGTTGATACCATCCACCTGGAAGCCTTTCGGCGGCGGCAAAGCGACCATCGAGTTTGTCTGGGGGTTGGAGAGCAACAACGGCAGAGCTCGCCGCTCCGGCAGCGGCAGCGGGCTTGAAAGTTTCGGGGACCACGTTGAGATCATCTCCCTCTCCTTCAGCCTTTTCGATGGCTTCCTGTGGCGTGGTGTGGGCATCGGCAGAACCAGCGTCGGCTCGAGGTCCTCCCCAGGTTCTTTGTCCGGCCGTGAAGATACCGTAGACCATATAATACCAATTGAAGAAAGGGTTGATGACGAACATGAGAGGGTAAAGCCAAATCTTGAAGCGCTTGAGCTTCCAGCCAAAGTAGATCATCATGACCCAATTGAGACCAAGAGAAACGGCAATGAACCCGACGGGGAGATCCTTGACCTTTTTGGATGTACTGACGATGGAGATTAACATGATGAAAAACAGTAGAGCAGTGGTTCGAATGGTGTTTTGCATGAATCGGACGACGGCCAAGATGGGGTATCGCTTCCAGATTCTAAGATCGGTCAACATGCATACTTCGTTGGTGATAAATCCCAAGAACCATCTGCGACGTTGTTTAATAAGCGAGGCGTATGTTTGGACGGCTTCAGTCTTGCAGAAGGCCGAAGTACACATCTGGATCTGGTAACGCTTCTTGGCGCCGATCATGAAGAGATGGGTCAGCCATCTATCTTCTCCCAAATGACATTTTCCGTAGTCGAAGAGATCGTCACACTGTTCAGCCTTGTCTGCAAAGTAGTATTTGGCCATTCTTCGGAAAGCCGAGAATCGAAGCATGGTAAGAGCTCCTGGTAAACATGTGACCGCACCGCATCCGGACTCGACGGTGCGCTCGAAAAGTTGACCATGAATATATTCCATATCCTGAAGAAGAGTGATGAGACTGTGCTTTTTGGTTGTCGAGGTAATAACACCTGTCATGGCCAACATGTCCCTAGTATTTCCTGGGCTCAATTCCATGTCGTAGACGAAGTTTTGAAGGCAGACACGGTCCAAGATGCAATCGGAATCAATAAAGAGGACGAACAAGTTGTCGTTACGCTTCAAGTATTCCGTGTATACCTTGTCGATGAGCTTGTACGTAGACTTTTGGCAGTGTCGCTTTCCTCCGTGTGGGAATCGGGAGACTGTGATTCGAGCAGTTCGGTAGGTCACATCGATACTCTTAGGGTATGAGTCGAGAGATAGAGGTACTCCCAACTTTTCGATGGTGTTAAGATAGAGTTCATCCTCCTGATCTCCGTCGAAGGACAGAAAAACGTGGATACAAGATGGTGGGTAGTCGCAGTCCACAACGGAATCGATGGCGGTGACCAAAATATCGGGTTCTTCCTTGTAACAGGGCATGACAATGACCACCTTTGGTGCCGAGTGTTCGTCCAAAACTTGCTTGATACGCTTTGTTCGACCGAGTTGATGGGTGACCAGTTGGTAGACGCAGAAGAGCCATGGAATGGTGAGGAGACCGGCAAAAGCCCAGAAACCAAACCATTGAAGAGCAGAGACGACGGCGATAGGAAAGTATTGCGTGACTTGGTTCGGTAAAGGAAGTGTAACAATCATGATTGGCAGGAAGATCAGTCTGCTTTGACGTTAGTTCTACTCCAACATCCATGGTCGGAGATATCCATACCTCAGCAGAGTGAAAAGTATAGCCATCACCACCGCCAAAACCTTCACAGACCAATGTTCGGCCTTCTGGTAGACCTTGACCAAACAATACATGAAGGCGGCGACCCACAGAAACCATTCCAGAAAGGCCGCAAGCATGACCGCGCCTACGATGGAAGTATATACGATCTACCAAACATCGATCAGTTTTTTCTCAGAAGCCACAAACGGTCATGTCTCAGACACGATTAAGCGGGTCAAACTTACGTCGACGACGGGCCATGGGTCCGTATTATATTCCGCCATGATGGAAAGAAAGAGTGGGGGGAATCACTATTGATTCTCCAAGCGTATTCAACCTGGTGACTAAAGTAAGAGGTGCTTCAAAGAAGCGATCGATGTCGCGGGCTGCCCTCCTGCAGAAGCCCGGACAGTGTGGTGGGGGTAGGAAAAATAGCTGCAGAATTTGATGTTAGTAGCCTTCCATTGTCGATTCCAGAAAAGATGACGATGAACCTACTCAACGCAAAAAGTCGATCAGCAAAGACAAACTCGGATATCGAGGTGTTTGACGATATTTGAGATTCCGGTGTGTCGAAATGCAGTGGTACCAGATCGTATGACGGGTCCGGTGTACATGCACCTACTTTATCAGTACAGTCGGTTGGATTTGGGGATGCAGTATCCAGGGGAAGTACTTTGGACGAAATGGATAAACCGTGCTGGTGCTTCAATAGCGTTTGGTAGGAGGGAGAAGAAGGGTACGAGATGGTCTTTTGGCGTCGGCCGGTGTCTGTTTTCCAACAGATGAAATACGCTTTCGGTTGTGGGCGATGCGCGCTGGCGAGGTGCAGGAGTGCAACACTCTTGTTTTCGTGGCGGCTGCAGATGGGGATGCAGGCGGGTGACGTGCTCGCGAGGTGAGAAGGAGCAGCCGCAGTTTCGGTCTCAGCGAAGAGAGAAAGTGCCGCTGTGGATGGGTTCGAAATTTGCAGGTGATGGTGTTGAGAATTCGAGAGCAAAGAAGAGACGAGTGAGACGGAGGGAGATGTGGTGATGCAGGTGCAAGTAATTAATAACGATGAATGAGGAACGAGTGTGGGCGAATGCAATGATTCAGAAGATGGTTGGATTGGTCATTCAAGTCTCAAATCCCTGGTGGTGGTGGTGGTGAAGGTGATGGTGATGGTGAATGTGACCCCACGATTCACGGGGAGGAGAGGATGAAAATGGCTGAGGGTCGACAGGAACAATGAAGCAACGAGGAGAGGCAGCGCATTAGGGGGACCAACAGAAGGGCAGGAAGCAAGAACAAGAAACTGGGCGGGTAAACAAGGGCCAAGTCCAAAAAGCAGCACGCAGCTCACAGCACCGAGAAGTACAAGGTCCAGTTAACGAAGGAAGGAGGAGGGAGAGAGGGAAGGAAGGAGCTGCAGGAGAGCCGCGGCGCTCCTCTTTTGTAAAAATCCTCCTGGTGGCCCTACTCCCATTGAGGCCCCTACTCGAGCAATCCCCCAGTACGGAGGACTGTGATTGAACTGATTCCCTCCTGCCAACCCATCAGGGGCGGAGAGGGGACCAAGCGCTTGCTGGGACCATGGCATGGGGACCCGCTCAACGGCTATCTCAAGGAGCCTACCGTACCATCATGAGCCTATGGCAGCCATGCCCGTTGACGTTGCCCAAAGGGAAGGTCACTAAACGAGGCCCAAACACGCTGGATTGCAGGTGTACCGCGTATGGAGGCACGGAGTCAGTGTCACGGCCATGCTATTCTATATTTACGAGATTCCCTTCCTGGGAGACGTGGGTTGGATGCTTGTGGTGACCTTGGTTCTGGGGTAGGAGATGCCGACCCGGGGGGCTGTACTGTGTACTGCTGAGGTACGAAGTACTTCGCAGCTTTGCAGTCTGTGAGACTATGATTTGGTTCAGTGCTCATCTTGCTTACAAAGTACGGAGTACTCTGAAGTACTTCTTACACTCTATTCTTCTTGGTCTGTACGAGGGTCAGTAAAAGTATTCAACGACGACGGTGAAAGGGGTTTTCCCAGGCACTACTGCATCGTCACATCTGAATAATCGCAGGACAAGGATGCACTCTGCTTTCCGGGAGCTTGGAGCCTATGGAAGCCACAACCGTTTAGCCCATGGGCCATGGTGGGGCCCAAAGTAAGACCTTCATCCAATCATTCTCCAGAGCCGCGGATGTGCATTGCGAATTTGCGCACAGCAAAATGTTATGACTAGCCTTGAGCCGTTAGAGGGGTGCAGTACGCGTACAGGTGCAAGTGCAAGTGCAGTGCAAGCACGATGAAGGATTGAAGGAAGCATCCTCAATCCTAGGGCATCATCAGATCACCCTACCCGACAGCTCAATCCTCACCTGGTCGTGCTTAAATCAAAGAAACTGCTGGCTCGTGGGTTTATGCTTAGCAGTAGCGAGTCAATAACAAGGTCCGTCGTTGCTGCCAGAATTCCATTTTTGAAGTGCTCCCGCGGCAAGGCGGCGGTAAGGATGGCAGCCACGGCAGGCCAGGAGCTTAGGAGCTTAAGGAGACGACGTGTGGCGTCCCTCGGCAAACGCAAGCCTTGAGGCCCTGCAGGTGGCTGGTGGAGAACGTAGTGCGCGAGTAATACTTCTAATGCACTTTGATGGAAAGGATTTAAGGATGCCTCCTTTTCTTTCCATTATTGCGGCGTATGGTCACTGAGGTCCAAAGAAAACATGTCAACCAAGACAATGCCTCGTTCTTTCCAACAAGTCTCACTTGGTCGATTATTAACAATCCCATCATCGAAAAAGAAACTTTGAGAACACCAAAACTGGTAGAAAACCGCTTCCGAGAGGCTTGTGCTGTGAACATCTTGTCTGGGTGGGGTGGAAAAAGGTCCAGATCTTCTATCGATGGAGAACCGTAGAGGAGAAAAGATGATTGGGTGCGAATACTTGGTAGTCGGTAAATGATGAACAATTGATCAAGCACAGGGTTGATGGTCAATCGGCCACAAGAGATCGCTTTCTTCCTTACCATCGACCGCTCATGAAGATTCTCGCTTCTCAATAATTAAACACGCATATGATAGATCAAAGTCAATACGAGCCTCCATCCTTACTCAAGCGACAGCGCAGAGGAAAGACGCACTGACTATTAAATCTTATTCCTCCGATATCTACGAAGTAGAAGTGCAATAGGGGGATTGGGTGGTTAGGTTCATGGTGGCCGAAAACAACTATCAAGAGCCAAAGTACAGTATAGCACTCTCACCCCTTGTCCAAATCGAGTTTTTGTACTTCGAAGTATGTGCTGCCACCAGAACAACAACCTTTTATTTTAAGGTGGGAGAGAGATCATTAGTGTTGGAAGTAAGATCACCGGGCCGTTTCTAGTGCTTTAGTCAATGAGCCACAACCCAATCTTTCATTTGACGCTTCCTCTCTGAGCGGCTCTCTTGCTGCAAAGAAACTTCGTAAATGGTGGGACTGTTTTCATCACGAGGGGTTCTCATGACAAAGCTCTTATGCGTTCCGGTAGTGGGGACGTGTCGAGCCACGATTTCGCTCCGTACGGAATTAATAATGCCGGGGTTATACTTTCAATCAATCTTTGATTGAATACGAGCGAAAAGAAACGGACCATCACGGACGACGATTGAGAAGCATTCTCTCTACTTTATTTCGACCCCGCACTATACGGCGTAATTTGAAGGACTCACGAAATCTCTTCGTATTCTTTTTTCCTCGAATTCTGAAATTGTTTCCACCATCTCGCGACAGACTTTGAATGCTTCATGGACACAACAAACAGCAACTCGAACATCGGGAACAAGTCTTACAGAATAGTAGTGCGGAACACTACCGGTCAGTGCTCATCCCAATTCAGTGCCGTCTCCAACTTTCACACAGCCAAAAGCCGAGTCTCAGTCCGATACAACTGTTTTGTCAATCACCAAAAAGTAAACATCATATTGGGGCTTGCTGTCATTATTATTGTTTCCATGGTATTTCCCGGAACATGGACATCAGAAACATCATACCCCGCAAACCCTCAATTCAAAACACGAAAGGGAACAGTATACGAACTGCCCGTGAGGCTCAAATCCGACGTAGATCAGGTGATCCCCTTCCGCTTGTTGGCTGGATTTTTTCCTATTCTGTCCAGGCTGTATTCGGGGATTTTGGTTTCAGGATCTCTTTCTCAAGGCTTCAATTTAACCAAGCACTTGAGTACAAGTGTACGATTCGTACCACTCATATCGCCAACTGGCCATTCTTATGATTCACATACAAGGCTTCTCCATCCATGAAGCCCTCCTTCGCTAACCATTCCCACTCCATCATTTTCTTTCTTACCACCATTACATCCTTCAACTCCTTTGAAGTCAAAAGAAGCTGACACGTGTGGTATGTGGATATTAAAAAGATGTCGTATGACAGGGTTGAGGATCATATGCAGAGGCGGGTGAGATTTGGGTTGCTGGCAGCTTCACACCCTCATGTTGCTCGCGGCTTATGTGGCGCTCTGGGTTTCCGGATAGATGGGATGACATCAGAAGTTTAAATTGTCGTTCGTTTCTCTTTTTCTCTGAAAAGGGGTTGCGATGAGTTGGATGTGTTGGTTGGATGTGTTGGTTGGATGTTCTACGTGGTGTCCTTTCTTTGGGAGTCTGGAGTTGGTGTTGGGTTTTAAGGAAGGATAGAGAGTGTTTCCTTTTGCTTTGTCTGCTGTTTCTTTTCCGTGCTTAAGTTCTCGTGAGTTGGTGAGGGAAATTTATGGTGACAAGGACCTCTGACAAGTGTCTACAAGTGTCTACAATTCTCTTTACGTAGTTCATCACGCAGATCACAACTAATCACTTTCTCAGATTTGGGCTTACTAATTAAGAAGAAAAAAGTGGTCATCCTTCTTGCACTTCTGTTTATCATCTCATTCTACTCCACACCACAAAAGTTTCTCCCCGCCATTATTATGTCTTGACTCATATACTTCCCCCTATCCCAAGCATGGAATAAGCAGCAACACCCAACATCCAACATCTCCACCAACCTAAAACTCCGAATCACAAACTCGATCAACAAGTTAACTAACCAACCGCAACACAGCTTCATCCAACCGTCTCACAATTCCAACATAAGCGAAGGAAGTACAGCCTGGCAGCTGATATCTATTTAGATTAAAAGTGGCGCAAATGCAGATGAATGAACGCCAACTACGTAGAAGACCCACGCGAATGGAAATCCCATGTAATGAGTCTCTAAATATTTACTCGTGCCACGTTGCTTTACATGTTATGTGGTGTTTGGTAATACTCGAATTTCGGTTCGTGAGGCGGTCTAGAACTGGGAGGTCTACGCAAATCTGGATGTCTGGATAAGTACATCAGTCACTTGAGAAGAGTAGATGTGTGAAATCGTGACAGGCTTGGTGCTTGTTAAACCATGTTAATTTTCATGTACTGGTAAGATGGAAATGAAAGCCACTTGTCTTCTTTCCAAAATTTCTCCCAAAATTTGACTTCTCTCCTATTCGCATTAAACTTCTTCATCCAGCCCAGAACCCAACCATCTCAACCTTAGCGACACAGTAATACGCCTACAAATCTCAAACGCAAAACAGATCGCCTTTCTCACCTGGCCTCGCTACCGAAGAGTAAGAAATAATATACCACCGCAGAGGCATAGGATGTCAGAATCAAAACATATCTATATGCTAATCCTACTACATACTCGGTCAGATCAAATACGAGTATGACGGGGAAAGATCTATAAAAAATCCTTTGTGTTGTTTGGTGTGTGTGCATATCTTTGGGAGTTTTGTACTACATCGTATATGCAAAATGTAGGACGAGTAGGGAAGAAAATTGTGGTTCTGACTGTTCTGACTGCGGCGGGTGTGGTTATAAATAGATGGGTCAGGTGCGAGATTGTGGATCGTTATGTTAGATTTCGAGCCTTCGAACGTAGGAACCCATAAAAGCTCAATCTGCCAAAATCTATTGAGACCTTTTTTAAAAAAAGAGAGCGCGAGAGAGAGAGAAAGTTGTAACGTCGTTCGAGAAATGTACGCGATGAATCAAGTTTGGTTCTTTCGGGTGAAATCTTCGGGAGGAACATTCTGTCAAATGAGAAGAATTAGTTCAGCTTGAAATGCAAGTATCAGCCAGAGACTTGGTACCAGATTTTCCTTTCTGCGTTCTTAACCATTGTTTTCAATGTTTTCATTTCTTGTTGCAATCCACAGCTGTTGTCAGGGCTTACGCAGGTACCTCCGTACCCATGGCATGGATACGCCGTTGACCTCATGACATAGTGTCCGAGATCGCGAAAAACACTTTACGCGTCCCCATTCGCGACCATTTGCATCTCCGTTTCTCATTCTGTTCCCCTCCATCCACCTCCCTTTGGCCTACATCTTGTCTCTTTAGTGCCCATTTCTTCCCGCTGCATTCATCTGGTTCAATTGAAGAACGAAAATCTGGAGTCTGCTTCTCAGGTTTGTCCGTTCGCCACCATCAAAGTACATTTCTGGCGGAGCACAGCATAGTCAATTGTTGACATACAATCTGCCCCTTGTGATATTCCCAATTGCATCAAAGCGCGATTGCGGTTCTTTTCACAATGGCGCCACAATCGGATGCATCTTCTGTATCGCCTCTCCCCACAACAGCCCCTTCCTCTCCACCCGAACTCAACGATGACGACGAAGTCGAATTCCTCTCGAAAGAAGACCAGCGGCTTCACGAACTAGACAAGCAAGCCAGAATTGAGCTTGCGAAAGCGGAGGCTAAGGCAGCAAAGGAGAAGAATACAGCGTTGAAGAAGAAGTTGAGACAACAAGAGAGCGATGAGGAACGCAGAAGGAAGGAGCAGAACCTTGAGGACCTTCTTAAGAAGAGTGAAGCATTTAGCAACCGATTGACTGGCAAGACAAATGTGCTTGGGCGCGTGGGAAGTTCCCTCGACGGCGCAGCACTTGGAGAGCATGATCTGGTTATGGCTACCCAGCCCAAATGTATGATTGGAGGTACAATGCGGGATTATCAATTGGAAGGACTTACATGGATGCTGGAGATTTGTACACAAGGAATGTCCGGAATTTTGGCAGACGAGATGGGTTTGGGGAAGACGATACAAACCATTTCCCTTATTGCGCATTTAAGAGAGGCAGAGAATTATCTTGGACCGCATCTTATCGTTGCACCCCTTAGTACACTGTCGAATTGGATCGAGGAATTCCAGAAATGGGTTCCGAGCGTTCCGGTGCTTCTCTACCATGGCACAAAACCAGAGAGGAAGAAGAAGTTTGAGAAGGAGATGATGAAGCATATCACAAATGGCCGAGTTACCACCAAGTTTCCTGTCGTGTGTACTAGTCCTGAAATGGTACTTATGGATCAGGCGGATCTAACCAAGATTAATTGGGAGTTTATTATTATTGTGATTAAACACGTACCAATATTCTATCTCATTATGCTAACTAATCTTCTTCTAGGACGAGGGTCATCGTATGAAGAACTCTGAGGCAAAACTTTTCAAGGTTCTGAAAACTTTTCGTTCCGCCACTCGACTCCTCATCACTGGAACTCCATTGCAAAATAATCTCAAGGAGCTCTGGTCACTTTTAAACTTCATATTACCAGACATTTTTGCCTATTGGGAGCAATTCGAAAGTTGGTTTGATTTCTCAGATTTGCAAGACGAGGAAAGAACGCAAGAATTCATCCAAGACAAGAAGAAGGCGGAACTTGTTCGAAAACTTCATGTTATATTGAGACCACTGCTTCTTCGTCGTATCAAAGCTGACGTAGAACACCTGCTACCAAGAAAGCGGGAATATATTTTATATGCTCCGATGACGAAAGATCAAACAGAGCTTTATAATGCCATTGCTGACAAAAAGGCCGATACCCGGAAGTTTCTGGAAGACAAAATCGTTGAAAGACTTGTTGCTGCCAAGATAAAAGCACAAGCTGTGATCTCCAAATCTGGCAAGAAGGCTACTTCAAAATTACTCCCGAAGGAAGAGGACAGCAGCGATGAGGATCAACCCCTTGCTCTACGGGTTCGTGCTCCGGTGGCTGCCCAGCCTAAGAATGCTTTCCAGTTCATGATGAAGAATAAATCAGCCTCGAGTAGCAGAGTAAGCTCGGTATCAGCACCCAAGAAACGAAAACAGCAGTCTTCTCTCGAAACTCCGGATGCCAAATCTGCAAAATTGAGCAGACAATCCACGCCCGCTAGCAGCATTCGGGGCAGCAAGTCGAGAGGTCGAAGGATATATACTGAGGCTTACTCATCTGATGACGATGCATTGAGTGATGATGAATTTGAGAGTAAACTTGCTCAAGAAATGGCCGATAGGGAACATGAGAAGAAGAACGCCAGAGGTGTGAAAATCACTGACGGGGAAAAGGAAATGGCGGAGATGGCAGATATTGCTCGTAAGCCTTTTTCTTCAACATTTTATCCATACCGAGCTAACTGATCTCTGCAGGAAAGGAAGTCGCCGGCAAGAAGCTCGGTAACCCCATTATGCAGCTTCGACTAACTTGCAACTCCCCACACAATTTCTACAACCCCTGGGCTGGAGACCTACAGGTTGATGAGACGCTTGTCACATCTTCCGGCAAAATGCTTCTTCTCGATCGACTGTTAAAATCACTCTTCGAACGTAATCACAAGGTTCTCGTTTTCTCGCAATTCAAAACTCAAATCGATCTACTTGAAGATTATGCGAGGGATCTCAGGGGCTGGAATGTCTGCCGCATCGATGGCTCAGTAGCGCAAGATGACCGTCGACAACAGATTAAGGAATTCAACGAGAACCCTGATTTCAAGCTCTTTTTGTTGTCCACGCGTGCCGGTGGTCAAGGTATCAATCTTGCCAGCGCTGATACAGTCATCCTCTTCGACAGCGATTGGAACCCCCAACAAGATCTCCAAGCCCAAGACCGTGCTCATCGTATCGGACAGAAGAACCCAGTCGTCATCTTCCGTCTTGCGACTAGAAATACCGTCGAAGAAGGTCTTCTTCGTTCTGCGCAGGCCAAGCGAAGACTGGAAAAGGCTGCCGTCAAGAAGGGTGGTTACAAGGATATGGGTAATATCAATATCTCCAAGAATGAAGGTCTTGGTATGGAAGACTTTCAAGATCTTTTGTTGAAGGATGGGATGGTATTTCAAGGCAGCGGACAGACGACGGAGAATTTACTAAGCGAATCAGATTTGGATATGCTTTGTGATAGGAGCGATGCTGCTTATGAGAACGCGGCGAAGGGACTTGGTGATACGGAGCTTTTCAAGGTCTTTGAGACGAAGGCTGATGGGTTTACTGATGTCATGGGGGACGGAGCTGTTGAGGATTCTGGGGAATCGAAGACGGGGTAGTAGTAAGGGGATATCGAAGTGAGAGGAATGTATTGTAAGTGTTTTTGTAGTACTGTTAAATGGGGTATGGTGTTGGTTTATGATGCTAGGGATGGCTGGATCTTTGTGGCGCTAGGGGTTGCTGGCTTTGATGTTGTTTTGCGAGGTTATCAGTTGTTCTGAAGCTGTGAATAATATGTATATTAAATGCGCAAAGAGAAAGGGCGGCATTAAAATATGAAAAACTTCACATTTCAGAATATGTTTGTTGGTCTCGCTCTACTGGGACAGAATGAACTTCATTCTTGCCATAACCAAACATCCATACCCAGTAGAACGGCACATGTCTTTTCTCGAAGATATCGGGAGACGGAGCCCCTTTTGAACGGCGAGAGGAGAAGAGGGGTTCCAGAGGAGGCTACAACTTGTGCTGGCCCCAGTACTTAGAAGAGTTTTCTGGCGTTTTCCTGCAGGATGGAAAGCAATAGCAGCCTAGGATGAAGTTGGAAAGTCTCGTCACCAACCGAGCTCCCTTCATAAGGATAAGAGCCTCTCATAGGTTCAAATCTATGTATGAATTAACCAAGTTAATCAATTCAATCCAAGCCACAGAAAAAGCTAGAAGATCTTATTTTTCTTATACGTAACAAGTTACGCCTCCTTTTCTGAGTCCAACTTCGGACACACCAGACGTCGTGGTCCACAACGAAAGTCGCGATATGATTGGTCGTATAATGAAAAATGCCCGCATTTTAAGCGACAGAAGTATTCAAATCCAAATACACTTTCTCGGTCACCAAACTGGTAACCTACCCGCCTGGCACAGTCAAGTAGTATATGTCTTCTCATTTGCGCCGCACCACGAAGCTGTCTCCTCTCCCTTCCTCCTTCCTCTTTCCTCCTGTTAGTGTCGTTCCGCCCAAAAAAGTGTAAGCTCTTCTCTCCCTACTACCATGAGATATACTAATAAATTATAGTGAGAAAACAAATGCGACCGCCGAGAGATATAGGGCCCTACCTCCATGTTGAGGGGTTAGGCCCAAACCCTCTTGCTGCTTAGATATATTATTATTCTTTTCTTTTCTTTTTCTGCATACCTTTTAGCCCTTCTAGGTGTCGGTGTCTTCTGTTTATCTTTTTGTAATAGGCGAAGTGGGGCTTGGCGGCGCGAGAGGGGGTATGTAGCGACCCTGAAAGACGTGCTATTATTTTGGTAGACAAATGTTAAGGATAACTTGCTATACACCTATACCCGCAAGAAGTACAAACTACGAGAACTCCTCTGTGTCGGTAGAGTCCCGTACGCCCAGCCCAGCCTTGAATATTTCTACTTGCTTTCTCCCTCTTTTAATTCTTATATAATCTCTTACCTTCCGTTCTCAAAAACATAGAATAGGAGCAATAATCCGAAATCTCTTTTATCTCTCTGTTCTGTTTCAGGTCGTACTTTGAAGTAAATGTTAGAATGAGCTTGAACTCGCTTATTTGAGACGCATAAAACCGGTAACGTACCAGTATCAAGAAACAAGAACAGCATTCTCGTAACGCCGTTCATGTAGAGGCTATATCCAGTGAGTTGGAAAGAAGGGAAAAGAAATGGTTAGGAAATTTGAATAAACCACGGGATGTTTTATGTGCATTTATGTATATTTATTCACTTACCCCTGCCAAAGCTGAGGCCCTAGCAACCGGGACCTCCGCATGAGCTTAGTGAATGAGATTTCAACCACATTCTAGCACGAACACAGTAACATAGGCACTCATTAATAGTATGGCACCTGCTATAAGACAATAGTAGCAAAGTAGCTCTTCAATCTCGGGCACAGGTATTACCAGCAACCAGTATTCATTCAACAGCCTCACATATTCTACCCCGGCCTCCTGTTCCCATAATAGACCATAAAACTACAACAAACCTGGGGCTGCCGAGAAACCTTGATACATCAACGCCACAACCGAGCGATTTCTCGACGACAACCTCACCTTCACAATACTTTGGCATCTGGATTTTTCTGGAGGAATACAACGTCATCGACTCAATAATCTAACCATCCACAAACAACATCGCACTTTCACGAGCTTTCGGCTGTGGATCTACTTGCACAAAGCCACAATCTCTACTTACTTTTTGCGGTCTTTTACCTTCTTGAGGCTATTCACGGTGCACTTTAGACGGCCCAATATCTATCATCTCCAAGATCGATCACAGGAGAGAGGCGAGCCAGACCCAATAGACAACATGAAACTCCCCCACAGCAAATTCACACTGCTCCTCCCGCTTGGGTTCATCCTAGCCATTATTTCACTCCTCCTCTCCCCCCAACTCAAGAACAATATATTCCAAAACTTGGCCCAGAATCCGGATATCTCCACCCAAACAACATTTGGTAATGACACTCACCACGTCGATCTACCAGCCGACACCACAGCACCGAGCTACCTGGATGTCTCTTCCTCAAAGGAGTTCCAGGCCGACCTCAAGAGGGAAAGAGAAGAGAGGCTCGAGCAGTACAAGAGACTGGCTGTTTCTTATTCACAGCGACGATTGGAGCGACAGATGAACGCTAGAAAGAGAGTTGAGAAGGTGGGCGCCGCAGTGGGGATCTTTGTTCTGGGTGCTTTGGGATGGCTTATTACGGGTTGATGAGAGGTCTCGTTATGCGACGGTATTCGGGTAGGAAGTATGGATCTGGCACAGCGATTTGGATGTGGATCTGAGAATTGAGGCGGTATGCGGTTTTTTCCCGGACGGGTTCTTGTGCTGTTATTTGCGCATCGGGACAGGTTCTGTGGTTCTCAGTGCCAGCATGGCTGGGAGGTTCTGGAATGATTCTGATTCTGATTCTGGAAGAGTTAGTGACATACGGACTTAGGGGGAAAGGGTATAGTTTTTTTTACCTGTATATGGCATGGAAGCGCATACAGTACAGTGAGGGTACCTATAGCTCAGACAGGGCTCATAAGCTGAGTGAGAGCAGCCTGAAGCCAACCTGTGGGAAATGTTGGGGAAGTTGCTACCATTGAGCTCAACACCAAGTAGTATCTTAGGGAAAAACACGTTAAGTTTCTAAGAATCATATGAGCCTTTGTGGAATTCCTCTCCATTTCACTTCTGTGTAGCCCTTGATGAAATACTAGGTAGTCCGCGGATTTCGTTTCGTCATCGCCTTTCGGTGAGGCCCGAACGATCTATCTGGTAAAAAAAATGAAAAGAAAGTACAGATCCATACTCAACCCGGTATCAGCTCCAAACGTGCCTCAAAAAATCGAAAAGAATGGAAACTGCAGTGGCTTCCATAGGCATTATAGTCCCCCGCCTTTTACCTCATCCAAAAGGTAGCCCGCCCCTGAAACCAGCAAAAAGGTTCCGCCTAACTAGGGTGTACTCCTTATTAGATCACTTAAGAAGTAGCCTTATATGGTGTATATACTTTATAGGTAGCAATGTCTGTTATTTATAGATGACTAGTTTAAGGTCTTTGCGGACCAGTATATGGTAATTTACTTTTGCAGGTGGCGCTGCTGCATGTGGGCTACCAGGGCGTCTATCGGGTCGTCGACATGTGGTATCTTCTAATTGCACCTTAACAATATATTTTGGAGCCTGGTTCATTCTCGGAACCCGTGGGTTTCCGGGGGGCAGGGCGTTGGGGTGATAGTTAGTTAGTGCAGGGAGTGATTGGGTAATTGGTTGATTAGCTGGATTGGATGCTCTGAGTGGAGGGATGGCGGCTGTAGACCTGGATTCCAGTGACACTTGATGAATGGTAGCCTTTTGGAACGATGCTCCGCAGAATTGGTCGATGCGATACGTGGAAGTTGGAACAACCATCGTGGATGAGTCTGATGAATGGAAGACAAGCATTGGAGAGTGGAAGAAATCTACGAGGGAGGAAGGTAGAACAGGAACAGGTACGCTAAGAACTTTTGCTATTGCTATTACATATCGACCGAAGGAAGTTGCGAGCCCTCCATTGAATGTTCCCTAAGAAGAAGGAGCAACTGCACTCAACCCCGACATTCCTCCCATGCACGATAGCAATCCTTACGCCGCGTTCCGAACAGTGTACTCGACTCGAGAATTAGAAAGAGCTTCCCTTGCAAACTTGATTTTCATTTATGAAAAGATACCCTCCTTCCCTCTGTCGCATCCTCCTCTAGTTACCATCACCCCAGATTACCACTCTTCAAGCTTGTTCGTACCCTTTTACTCTCATATTCTAACGACAAGATGGTACTTCACAGCACCATTGTAAGTAATATGCAAGCTGCGAGGGAAAATCCCATATCCAACTCTTATCTTCACGCTGCCTGACTTAGTTTCTTTAACACTGAGAATGCAACATTCTTATCCATGAGTATAAAACGATGTTGCCATATGAAATTGAAGGATGGCGGTCCATCTCTAAGCCAAGTGAGACGAGAACTGTGAACTCATTCTCAATTGGCAAGAGTGGGCGGGATAGTTGAAGAAGGTGCATTTCGCGAACCTTCCTTCCAGAAGGGTTAGGATTATCCGAATCCTTTCATTGGCGCGCAGGTTGAAACCGGAAAGAGTCTGTGACTTACTTTTGCTGAGGATCCTGCGAAAGAGTACAGGGCTGCTTAAGTAGGAAGGATGGTTGATGATGAACCCATGCCGTACAAGCAAGACGTTCGCTACTTATTAGCATTCCCTTCACTTCAAAAATTGCTTACTTCTACCTCAGGTTCTTCCAAGAGAACGTGCTCCTATTCTCTTTGACGTTGACTTACAATGGCCTCAATAAGTCGAATCAGGGACTTGTGACGCGAAACCTGATCATTGCGGCGGCCTATATATACTTTACGACCCGGGTGCTCTTCTGGGGGCATCGTGGACAAAAGGCGAAATCCATACTATGAACACAACGGGGCTTTTGGAGCACCACGGTCAATGCCATAATATTCGCAACTATGTAAATCCACGTTTTGAAGGACCAGGGCGGGGGCCAAATTCAGAATAGGCGAACTAGCCCTCTAATACTAGGCGACGAGCTCGCTCAGTGGACTGTTGCTATCCAAGTGTTTAGGTGATGTATCTTCTGCCTACTGTTCTGGAACGTGCACGTTTCCTTCCTTTTCCGCCTCTATCTCTGAGCTCGGTTGTCACATTGCGTGTTATTAGCTTGAGGTGTTTGTGTACCCGATGTGGAGACTGGACTGGCTGAGCGCTAAATACATGAAAGCTTACAAGTGCCAGAAGCCTTAGAGTAGAGTTTACTCATGGAGCTTAGTGTCAAGAAATGAAGTGTGAGGAAGTGAGGTCAGAGGATTGCGAACTCGACACCGCATAGGCTGCCATTATGGGATTAGGGTTTTATTGCTGCCACAAAATGTCACTATGCTTGTATATTTTTTTCTGGAAGTCAAAGTAAAGAAGTGAATTAGTAGCAAATAGATCAAATGAGTGACTCTCTTGCATGCATCTGCCTCCTAACATCCACTCTCCAGTTTCGTGTACGAAGCACCAACGAACAATAAAAGCAGATCAAATTCCTCCAGACCACAATTTGCATGCATAATCTCTCGGCACTCACAGCTAGGCAGAGATAGAACTGAATTGTCACATCCACTACCCTGCCAAATCTGACCCTCTCAAACTCTCCATTCCGTTTTCGCAACCATCAATGCCGCACTCACGACCCCCAGTCGCCCGCCCACAGATGGGCGAAATCACTGAAGGGCAGGTTTGGAGTCGAGAAAGGGGGCTGCTGGGAGAATGATTTGGTGACGATCATCCACGTGCTCGTTTCGATCTTTTGTCGTTCTCCAGACACCCCTGTTGGACGAAGGAGGATCAACAGAGTCGCGATAACTCTTGTGAGTAAGTCTCGTTAGACATCGAGTAGTAGAGGAGAAGTAGTGATAAATTGCCGTGGAAAGATCTTTGGGGAAATTCTCAACGACTATTAATGCCAAATCTAATCAAGTCCTATTGTCCCATGGGAGGGTGATCATTAGCACTCATGTTAAATAATCGTACAACACCTATTCGCAACAGTTTCAAGTCCATTGGCAAAAACCAGGAAAAGCCACTTCTCCCCATCATTTTGATCTGGATGCTTGACGCATTGCGTGCTCAGCAAGCATTGCCTTTCTGGTAAGTCTGCCGGGTGGGGCAGTCTTTTGTTTTGCAGACGCTAGAGAGGCTTTGTTTGGGGACCCTCGATTGGACAACCTAGCAAGTCCAGCGCTGGAAATATTCACACGACCAGTAGGCGCGGGGGATTCTAACGCCGGACCAGCAGGGCCACGATTCGCTGTTTTGGGGGAATGAATCTCTCTGACAGAAACGGAAGGGCTATTTTTGGAATCGTACCAGTCGACATCGCTCAACTGCAGCTTTCGTGCTCGCTGGCCGCTGCGATTGTTGCTTGACTTATCAGGTCTAGCAAAGTTCGCAGCGGTTGCCTTCTCATTTCCTGGGTGATTGTGAATATTTTGGTTGGGTAGTATAGGGGCCTGTGCATCTTCACCATCTTGCTCTTCTCCATCACGAAGGTCGTAGTTGAGGACAAGGTTCTTGATTCTCTGTTGCTCCTCCCGCTCAGCTGCCTGTTGAGTCTTCATTGCGACGGCGAAAGTGGAGTCTGACGGCAATGCGACTGTACGTGTCTGTTTTCAGGTCAGTGGTGGTCATTTTACACAAATCTAATATCGTGGGACTTACCTGTTGGCGATTGCCACGCTTTGTAAGAAGTGAAAATGCCATTGTGCCAGTCGGTGGAGCATTCGCAGGTGCAGAGGACTCCTCGTTCCACGTCTCGTTGAGGGTCGAAGCTTCACGGTCCTTGCGTCGGATGGGGAGTGGCACATCGAATGTTGACTTGCGCTCGTGCTTTCGGGATTCTAGACTCTCAGCCATCATTTTGGCATACTCACGCTCGAAGTCGGCTTCGTCTTCAGGATCGACTTCCTCCTCCTGTCTTGTGACTACAATAGCCTCTTCCTCAGAGTCGGTTGCAGATTGAGCGGTGTCATCATTCAGGTCCTTGATATGGGGTAAGCAGTTGCTATCGCGTCTGGAGAAGGGAACTTTTACATCTACATCTTCATTAGACTCAGACTTCTCATCAGCATCATCTCCATCGCCAAGGCCAGTCTCAGCTTCGTCTTCAGCACCATCATCTGAGGAATCAACACTGTCAGCATCATCAATCTCAGTAGTTTTGTCGAGGCCAGCAGTCTTTTGATCTTGGGCCATGGCAAGTTGAAACGCTCGGCTCGCTTCCTCGATGTTAGAGGCAAGTTTCCACTGGGGTCTTGTTAACGAAAACACATCCTGCACAATGAACTCAATGTCCATCGGAAGCATGTCCTTGGTGTAGATGTAATACTGTTAATCAGTCAGTCATGTACTATGTTACGAAAAGTACCTCTTACTTGGAAGAAGGACAAAAAGTAATCAAGTTTCTTGCCGGCTGCACCGCGGTTGAAGAAAATGCCGCATGTTTCTAGGATGTTTGCAACTAGACGAATGCGGAAGAAGTCATCAGGCATATCGAAAGGATTGATACGACCCGGGATGGGAGGACCACCTAGACAATCTTTAGCTATAGTTGATGAATGTTTAATTATATCTCATACCGTGGCCAAAAGTCATAATTCGATACATAGTATCAAAAATTACCGGGTGATCAACCATGCGGTAATTGTAAAGCTCTCCAAGGTACTTGACTTCGGCGAGACGACGCTGGTTGAATTTGAAATCGTTTTGCTCCAAGCCCAAGACGATGTGTTCCAGAAGATTATCAATTACTGTCGTAACAAAATCTTGATGGTAACGATACAAAGCGCTGATTAGAATAGCAAGCAGATGAATGTTGCCATATTTGACCTTTCCCGGCTTCGAAAAGACCTTTTCTAGTAAAGCAACAACCTGGGATTATTAAAAAAGAACTTAATGGAGTCAAATATGGCGAACTTACCTCGCTTTCCTCCCAGTGAAGTCGACGAATCTGCTTGAGGATCTTGGTATAATTGCGGTTGTTCATGTCCAAATAGATGAGCTTTCTTATGAACAGATCTATGGGGGTTCTTTCTTTTTGCTGAATGGCAGCTCTGACAGGAGGATCTACATAGTAGACTGCATTTTCAATGAGCATTCGCTCTTGCTGGCCAATATGCTGAACGGACTTTTTGCGCTTGAGAGTCTCAAGAAATGAGGTCATTCGTGGAGAAGTTTCCGGAGTCCGAAGCAAATAACGTCCGCAATTTTCAAGTAAGTTACAGATGATCTCAATATTCATTCTCGAAAAGTCATCCAAGCTGACCTTCAAACAATGGAAGATCACATGCTCCGGGACAACGCCAAATTTCGTCAACTCGGCAAGGTAGCGAATGTTTCCCAGTCGAGCTTGACCAAGAAATTCTTTTTCTTTGCGTCTTTGAAGACTTCGAAATTCCTGGTCAAGATGATCTACAAGACCTTTAGGAACATCGAGCATGTATTTGCCCAAGGTAGCTACTAGCCGAGAGTAAGATGGAAGGAGATCACTACGGCCCTTGGGTATCTCTTGGACCGCTTTGACAAGACGGTTTCGAGATGCCTTGGAGTTGAGAAAACAAAAGTCGATTGCGGCTTGGTCGATCAAGTCTTTGCTAGTGAGATCTGGGAGTCTTGCAAGGAGAGCATCCACTTGAGCGCCAACAGTCTTATTTGCGATAGCCGTGGACTGATCGTCTTCTGCTTGCTTGGCTACAGCAACAGCAGGTTCTACGGCGTTAGATTCAGTCGTTTCAGCCTTTTTGCCGACCTTATCGTCTGTGTCTACCTTCTTCTTCTTGCCGTCTTCTAATAGCATTCCTGGAACCTTTCCTTTTAAATCTACAAGATTTTCGTAGAATCTTCTCTCGTCCTCGTCTTCCCAGATCCCAGCACCATCACCTTCTCCGCGAAGATACTCTCCAGTCTTGACAAGACCGATGCCCCCATTGCCTGCAGCCGAAGCATCCTCGGAGTCCTTTAGATCTGGCATTTCCGATCCAATGGCGTCTGCAAGAACCTGAGCGTTCGCAACCAATCGTTCCTGAGCTTTAACACCCTTTTCGTAACTTGCTTGTCGATCCTCAAATACTTGTCCGGATTTGACGTATGCTTCTGCATCTTTTCGTGCTTGTTTGGAGATGGATTTCTGGTCACGGATGAGATGTGCTTTGACGTCTTCGAAGTATCGCTTCAAGATATTACGAAATCGCTCCTGAAGCTCGAGAGAAGCGAGCGGAGGGTCATCAGTAAGCCCGTCGGTGACTGACCCTTCTTCTGGAGAGTCCTCGTCTGCTTCCGTCGCCCCTTCTGTTATTCTGGTAGCCCCATCCTCTTCGACAGTCTTCCTACCTTCTGCCCCAGCTTCCTTGACACCTAAAATATCCCAACCGAATGCTTTGACAAATATTACCAGCAAGGGTAGGTTTGCGTGATCTCTATCGTGACCAAGCAGATCCTTGAGAACCTCCAAAGGAAATGGTTCGGCCCCACCGCCCTTGCCGACACCGTTGGTTTTGGATTTGATATCTGTAGCTTTCGAAGATACTCCTGAAAGTGATTCCTTGCCTCTTGAAAGATCGTCTGGGCGGCTGACATCATCTAGGGTTCTCAAAACTCCCACAAGCCATAGCTCCGTGACGACTCGGAGGAGCACTCTCTGTCGGATAATGCGCTCCTTTTCCTCCTTCTCTCTCACGTCAGCGGCAAGTGTCTTCAACAATGACTTTTCTGGTGTTGCCAATCCTTTGCCAACCAGCCATCCAAGAAATTCCGTAAACTCGGCCGGTCCAAAACGTTGGTGCAACGCGCTTACGATCTCCACGCCTGCCTCTATTTCTCCTGGGGATTTTAGTCGACAAAGACCCTCATAACATGCCGAAATGATTTCCGAGAGATACTTATGCAGGCTGAGCGTTCGTATTTCTTGGAGGAAGGTAGCCAGAGTGGCAGCCGAGATGGCAGTTCGCAATCGTTTAATAAAGGCCGTATTTTTCTTCAGGGAAGAGTCAAGAGACTTGTTGACCTGGTAGATGCCTTGAAATTCTCGTCAACCAGTGTCTCTCTCACTGTTCCACGCCGACGCGCCCTAAACTGACCTTTCTCCCCATCCCATGCTCTGTTGTTCAACTCGCGCAATTCGCCTGCAAAGCGCACCGTTAATGACGCGCCCTCTCTGCGACCGACCGTTCCGGCAGGTACTTACGCTTTCTCTTGCGATCCATGAGGATCCTCCTACGCCTATACCGGGCGCGACGGTGGGTGTGTCTTGGGTTTGGTGTATCTTAAATTTCCTCGTGCCCCCACATTCGTGTGTTCAAGGACGCATTGAGGTCCGGTGGAAGTATGACGACGCAGAGGCAGTGAAATGCATCTGAATTGGCTGGGAGGAGTCAGGGCTGGCCGGGTCGTCTGGATGTGGTTGGATGGGTTGGTGGAGGAGGTATGGTATGGAAACTCAGTCCCTTGCTTTTGGTATGGTCCCAGCGGATTTTTGCAGTTCCAGGTTGGGATGGGAAAGTTTGCAGTAGTGAAGGGTGAGCTGCGCTGCTATCGTTTAGAGGTACGCAATGTGCTGTGGCTACCGCTACGGGTAGGGTAGCCTGAGCCTGAGGACGAGTACCAGTACTAAGCAACGACCGGCGCATAGTAACTCCGATTCCGCGCCGATGTGAAGATGTGAAGATGTGAAGATGTGGTCTTCAAATTCTCTTCTCGACGAGCTTTACCAAAGCCTTCTTCTTTTTCATTCACAGGCTTCCTGTGCGGCTACTTTTGCTATTGCTGCACATGTACATATGCCACCAACGTGTTCTGCAGGGCTCGGCTTCTGGCAGGTGGTGACAAACCCCTCCCATGGCCAGTCTTGGCTGAGCGTTGAGCCCCTCATTTGCTGACATCCAGGTCTATGAGTTCATGTCCATTATCGCTTCCATGGCCTCATACCTAGCTAAGCTTTGCCACGTCCATCTCACTTCAAACCATACAGACTCGGACTGGATTGCCGGGTTTTGTATTGCCTTTCTTTTTCCCCATTTCATTTCGAAAAGATATAATATTTGCTACTTGAGTACTGTTTGCGCTAGGCCATAATATTCAACAATTCCTTGCAATTTGATCATCTTGCAACCTGATTTCTTCGACGAGTCTTTTTACCAAAACCATTGCCTCCCTCAGAGGAAGTGAGTATCTCCCTGTTGTTAATTAAGCATTATATGGAGCTTATTTCCAAGATTCCTTGTAGACTGCCTTCAGAGACTCTTCACGAGAAGACAGATCGAAAGATCCTGGGAAATCTCCATATCATTTGATCGGCCAAAGATCACTGTATCAGCCTTATATGTGATCCCCAGCACTACCGCATTCCCAGTTTGGAGTCCATCAATGTTCCACTATTCCTTAAACTAATGCTATCGTATAATTCACTCAAATTTTTATGCGCAGGGACCAGTCGCCAGCATAACTTCTTCTCTGCTCTTTCTTAAATTTCCTGACTTCAACTTCTTTGACGTTATACCTTCCCTTCGATCAGTTAGAAGTACGATCTGAAAGGTCACGAGGGACTGTAGACATTCTGCAGATAACGCTCTCGCCCTCAAGCTTTGAAATTCAAAAAAAGTGTTGTGTTGTAGGTGACACGGTTGCTCTGACTACAAAGACAACATTTCTAGTCTTAGAAAGAAATTCCCTAGTTACTTTTCCTACATCTCCCTCTATGTTGCCAATACCATGGAAGTCCTTCAGTATTGTCCCCGTCTATACCTATGTCATTCTCCGAAACCAATAGCACATCTGACTCATTCACTTCTACACTTCTTTCGCAACACGCTCTATATACAGCCCTCTACATACCCCCAAGACTAGCTGTGGTCACCTTGAACATTTTCTCTACGGCAGACTCGCCTGCGCGGTGTTTGTTGCTCTCACCGACACAATTGTTGCTCTCGATTACCTGGGTCTCCATGGAATATCTTTCACATCGATTTGTTGCCTCGCAAACCCCAGAGTCACCGATTACTATACCGTGATATTCGGAAGCCATCTTTTTACCCCAAGAAAGCTAGTGAGGAGCATTATACTATCTTGGCTGGATTTGAACAGGTATTTGTATCTCCATGGAAGCGTCCCTACAGAAGTCATCAAGGTTTATAAAATCCCAGCGAAGGTTACAAGCGAGAAATCGATAGGCTGAGAGGCATCGCGATAAGAATTAGTTCCACCAAAGAAAAGGGGTCCGCCAGTAAGCGGCCCCTACACGCACGCAGGAGCCAATTCCTTATCAGCAGCAATTCGATGTTCTCGGTTCTGTTCCTCCCACGCCCACGCCCACGCCAGCGGCCAGACTCGCATTGGCCGTCATCGGTGGCTGAACTACCAGAACTACCAGTAGTAGAAGTGGTAATAGTCAGGAATCAGGATGTCGACCTCAATCGAGAAACTCCGCTCCCAAGAGATCCGCGGAAGTGGCTGATCTGCCAGTCCTTGCAAGATGGCGGTGTCCTCAGTTCTGCTGGACCTTTATCCCTGAGTCGAGCGCTTGATTGAAGATGTCGTCCTCTTCTCCCACACTCCGCGCAGATATTTCCTCGAGTACTCCTGGTCGAGAACTGCATTCTGAATGATTATCTATACGCTGTTGTCTTGTTGATTGGCCGGCCACAACATGTGCACTCTTCAGGTCCACGGCGTGGTATCTTCTTTTCTTTTCCCCCTCTCCCACCCTTGTTTGAATACTCGTACAACTCATCTTCCAAAAGCTCTTCTCTCACTGAGAATGAAAACTCTGTTCCATATTACTCTGCCGTATCTCCTCATACCCTCATACACGCAACTTTTCTAGTGTCATATCCGAACCTTGTCATACCATTGCCTTGATGCTTATGTATCACTTATCACTGGATCCCTAGCCACACTCTCCTTTCCCCTCGAAACCAATAATTCCTCGTTCATACAAGTGCTCTTCATATATGCCCTCAACCATGTCAGCAGATGCGATATGTGAGCTGCCTCAAATTTCGGAGGGCCACAGAAAAAGTGTTACATCTTCATTACTTTCCGTCCGCCTGCCTCCTTCCCCACCAAAGTCAGTCGACGATGGCAGTGAGAAGTCTGATCACTCAGCAGCTCCATCACGAAGAGCAAGCCATGCCCCGTTACATTCCCGATATCCTCTTCCGCCACCAACTACCATACCTACAGAAATTTTGAAAGAAGACCTCAAGACCCCAGACAACCACGTTCCCAGGGACCCGCGTCCGATAAGACTTACCGGAATACATCCTTTCAACGTCGAAGCTCCCTTGAGCGCTCTATACGACGAGGGATTTCTCACATCACCCGAGCTTTTTTATGTCCGGAATCATGGTGCAGTACCGCAAGTGGATGATGCCTCTATCCCAGACTGGGAATTCTCAATCGAGGGATTGGTTGAGAGACCAATCACCATGACACTGAAACAGCTTATTGCAGAATATGAGCAGATCACAGTTCCGATCACCCTTGTTTGTGCTGGAAATCGACGGAAGGAGCAGAACCAAGTTCGCAAATCGAAGGGATTTTCTTGGGGCGCCGCCGGGGTTTCGACTGCTCTGTGGACTGGAGTTCCCATTAGGGAGCTCATCCAAAGAGCCTGTCCGATGAGAGGAGCAAAATATGTTTGCATGGAAGGAGCTGATAAACTGCCCAACGGCTACTACGGCACAAGCGTGAAACTGAATTGGGCAATGGATCCAAATCGAGGCATCATGCTCGCTCATAAGATGAACGGGGAGATGCTACGGCCTGATCACGGGAAGCCTCTGAGGGTTGTGGTTCCAGGTCAAATCGGTGGTCGAAGTGTGAAGTGGCTAAAGAAACTTGTTGTCACAGCGGCACCGAGTGATAATTGGTATCACATTTATGATAACCGTGTACTTCCCACGATGATCAGTCCTGAGCAGAGCGCGAATGAGCCGAAATGGTGGACAGACGAGCGACATGCGATCTATGATTTGAGTACTAATAGCGCAACTGTTTATCCAGCACACAATGAACAAGTCAGTCTGGACCATAGACGACGGTCTTATAAAGTCAGGGGATATGCCTACGGTGGTGGTGGAAGAAGAGTAACCCGAGTTGAAGTGACATTAGATAAAGGCAAGTCATGGGAATTGGCTAACATCAGATACCACGAAGACGATTACCGAGAAAATCTGAATGAGAACGAGAAACTTTATGGCGGGAGACTTGATATGGAATGGCGGGAAACATGTTTTGCGTGGTGTTTTTGGGATATTGATTTGAGAATCGAGGATATGGCCATGGCTGATGATATCATGGTGCGAGCGATGGATGAGAGTATGAATGTGCAGCCAAGGGATATGTACTGGAGTGTACTTGGTAACCAATTCCTTTTCTTCCGCCCTCCTAGTAGTTAAAAAATCGACGTTGAAAATTACTGATTGCTCCCCCTTTTCTAAAAAGAGGATGCTCGGCTAATCTGTTGTAGGCATGATGAATAATCCTTGGTACCGGATCACCATCACCAAGGAGGGACATTCTCTGAAATTTGATCACCCAACACAACCAGCACTAATACCTGGGGGATGGATGGAAAAGGTAAAAGCAAGAGGTGGGGACTTGTCAAATGGATACTGGGGAGAGAAAATGGGAGGAGAAGCAGAGGAAGAGGTCGTCATGCAAAAGGTTGAGGATGTCAAGATGACAAAAGAAGGCCTTGACAACAATATCTCAATTGCCCAGCTACGAAAACACGATGACGAGAAAAACCCTTGGTTTGTTGTCAATGGGGAAGTCTACGATGGTACTGCATTTTTAGAAGCTCACCCGGGAGGAGCAACAAGTATCGTCGGTACTGCAGGGCAAGACGCCACCGATGAATTCATGGCGATTCGTAACTTCTCTCGTCGCTGGAATTAAAAGCTACGCTAACCATTATTTCCAGATTCGGAAACAGCCAAAGCGATGATGCCCACCTACCACATCGGCTCCCTAGACGAAGCCTCCCGCGCTATCCTCGCAGACGGAGAGAACCTAACCATAGAATCAACCACACCACGTTCTACATTCCTCCGAAATAAAGCCTGGACCAAAGCTGTCCTTAAGTCCAAAAAAGATGCATCCTCTGATACGCGAATCTTCACTTTTACACTCGAGCACACTGACCAAACAGTCGGTCTCCCAATCGGTCAACACCTAATGATGCGACTTCGCGACCCCTTCACCCGAGAAGCAATAATCCGCCCCTACACCCCAGTCTCTGAAGGAACTAACAAAGGAACCCTCGACGTCCTCGTAAAAATTTACTTTGACACACCCGAACAAGCTGGTGGCAAGATGACAAAAGCTCTTGACGCTATCCCCATCGGCCACTTTGTAGATTTCAAAGGCCCAATCGGGAAGTTCGAATACCTAGGACATGGAAACTGCACTATTTCCTCCAAAGCCCGATTTGTTAAAAAATTCATTATGATCTGTGCTGGGTCGGGAATCACACCGATTTTTCAAGTTCTAAGAGCCGTATTGCAAAATGAGAAGGATGAGACCAAGTGCCTTGTTTTGAATGGGAATAGACTTGAGGCTGACATACTATGTCGTGAGGAGATTGATGGGTTGGTCAAAGGGAGGGAGGAGAGGTGTAGGTTGATCTATGCTTTGACCCAGCCGGATGAGAAGTGGATGGGAGCCAAAGGAAGAGTAGGAAGGGACTGGTTGGAAAAGGAGGTCGGTAGTTATACTGGTGGGGAAGAAATGATTCTGATTTGTGGACCGAAGCCCTTGGAGAATTCTGTTAAAGGAATTTTAAACGGCATGGGCTGGAAAGACGAGACCTTGTTGTTCTTTTAGAAGTGGTTACTACGTGTAGAGTCTATAGAATGGTCCGCCAATCAGTGAGCGCGAAGACCTCCTACGGAACGTTTTGATGTATGCAGCAAGGCAGACATTTTACATACTATAATGTGGAACTTTAAAAGAAGTAATTCTGCATAAGCGTTACAAAAGACCCGATACGAAGACTTGATTTTCCTCAAGACAGCTCCAAACCCCGCGATCCGACACCGGTAGAGAAAGGCAAAGAAGAAGCACTCTGTACGTAAATCCCAGGTATATACTCAATGATGAATAGATATATATTGTACTTAGACTTGAAATTCCTTTTGCAAGATATGTAACGGCAATCTGGGCTGCCTGAAACCCATGATCTCCTGTCATGTGAAAATTACAACAATCTGCATTACGGACGGTGGTAAAAGTGAAATCTAAGGCACAACGATTTGATGCTGGATCCCAGCCTATTTGCGCTTGTAGGCCCATGTATGAGAGCTGGTATAATGGGCTTCTCAACTTTATGACGTGTCACTTACAGTGTGGTTTTCAGTCGAAGAAAGCCAGTTCAGTAACTAAAAAGATTATGAATGAGCAAATTCAAACGATCCAGAGTCATAGGTTTGGGGTTTTCTCTGCCTGGTATTGTAGCTCAACTCCTATCTACCAAACCCAAACCAACCCTTCTTTTGCTGCGTTGTTTCTTCTGCACCAGCACCAACTGGGGAAGCCGCTTGAGTTCCACTCACTGGAGCTTTCTCAACTTCTCTACCAGGATAGTCTATATAGTTCCAGGCTGCATCGAAGAACAATGGTTTAACGGGCACAGGTTCAAGTTTGGGAGGATAAGTGACCAGGTTGGAAAGGTCAATCCCCTTGGAAGGATACTCATGAAGGCGTTCAACAAGTGGTTGGGCGTATGAGTTGTCCTTTGTTTTGTCGTCTGTTCCAGTGACATTAGAAAGTTCAACGAGTCCCCGATAACGCTGGACTTCACCCTTCAAAAGATTGTCAAGAAACTGGGCTTCTGACGCAGATACAGAGATGTTTGGTGGTGAATCTGACGAAATATCCATAGATGAAGAGATGTGCTCTTGTGCCAGGTTGGCTTTTTCTGAAGCCCGTGCAACCAAAGCAAGGGCGTTGCGGAGATTTGAAAGCAAGGCATGAGAACGAGCAATATTCAGGCACCTGGAACCAAATTAGTGTGAAACTTTGAAATGGATAGCCTGTGGTAGGCCTACTTTAGCGCAGAAAAGTAATTAGCTTTTGCTTCGATCTCCTCTGTGAACCCTCCATCCGCAGCAACACCTGGCAATGCCTTTATTGAATCCAAGCTTTGAAGAATACCATCGTAGAGCACAGCTCTCTCTCGGTAACGAGCCAGTCTCTTGCCGGTTCCTTCTTCCTTTCCAGACTTATGAGCCCCAGGAGAGTTATCTGCACCATCTTGCCCACCAACCAGTACCCGGTTTCTACCTATCCGCCAACTTACCATGTCATAACTGACCGCCGTTCTTGTGATTTGCAGACTTTGCATACGTTTGTCACCTTGTCCTACCCCTTCTCCCACTAACTCATCTATTGCATGTTTAGTAGCATCAACAGCATCTTGGCTGAAAATAAGAACGTCATCATAAGCAGCGGCCTTGTCCTTGGCTTGCGCAGCACTTGCAGATGCTAAGGTTTCCGACAACTTCTCTACTGCAGTCTTCACTGATATCAAAGCAGTGGAAATAGCGGCATCTTCGAGATTGACAGTTCTAGATCTCCAAGTAATTGTCTTGGGAACCATTTCACTCTCTGTATCTTCGGCTTGAGATTTGGTAGCATGCTCTTTCAATACATCTGGATCCAATTTCTCGACCTGAGCCAATAGTTTCGCATTTTCGGTGGGGAAGAATTTCCGAGCTATAGATGGAACTGCAACCGTCCGTGGCATTCTCATCTGGTATGCTCCATATCGTATGCTGACGTCAATCGGATTTGAGAGAAGATCCTTGAAGATTTCCGACTTGGTGGCTGTTGACAATGCAGAATAAATGATTCTGGCCTCCGAATAACTTCGTAGACATGCCTCCCAGCCTTGCTTTTCAAATTCCGTGGCCCCAACAAGCGAAGCAACATACGCCCTTGCTTCGAGTACATCTCGGTCCGTTGCCTTGGTTGTTTCTTGATCCAAGAGAATATCAAAGAGTATTTTTGCGTGAGTGGAGGCTTTATGTAGACGGGATATAATGTGCGATCGGGTAGAGCCGGTGATGCCTTTGGTCTCGGTGGAGTGTATTTCACGCATCGACATCGCGTTCGCCCACGCTCGCTCGGCAGTGAGAAGGATGAGGTGGACATATCTCCAGAAAAACAATTAGCGTCTCTAAGCCAGAAAGATCACAGAGTCGATTGGTATGTACATACTCTTGGTTGCCTGCAATGTCTTGTGTGGTCACCGGAGCTTTACTGGTATATTTGGCGCGGGGTTTGGTTGCGAGCCCAAGTTTTTTACGCAGATTGTGGATTCGATTTGACAGCTGTTTTCGATAGGAGGCATAGTCCCCGTAGAGCTTCGCATTGTCGCGCCCCGACACAACAAAGTTGGTGATATCCATGGCTGTCAAGCTGGGGGAGGAGGGGAGGAGGGGAGGAGAAGTATAGTACCCAGGTACTACTCGAGTATGGAAGACGTGGGACGGAGAAGTGCAGGTGCCCAGGTAGAGTATGGGTACCTCAATTAATGGTTTGGTGGGGTATGTACTGAGTAGGCCCAGTCCAGTTGCGATTCACAACCGAGTCGGATACTGGATCGGTATCGGTCCGGTCCGGGAGACAGATACATCTCTCGGAGCGACTAAGTCCGACCAAAAAATAATCCATGAAGTCACCCGGAGCTGTCCAGGGTCGTTCATGACTTGATCATTCTTCGCCTCAACCTGCAACTCCCAATCCCATATCTCTCTCGTCTTCACGACACGGCGCTCTCCAAGCTTCTCCGGTAGATGTTCTGCGAGGCTTTTGCGAGTGGCTGCCTCTTGGTGCAGCACTTGCCCCTGATAAATAGGTATTTCCCTCTTGGTTGAGCTTTCCTATAATTCGATACAAGCTAATGATACCAAGACCACAATCTACGTTTAGTTGGCTTGAACGAGCCCGGCCTCGTAAACAAACCACAATTCCCACAGCGCAGAATCATACGGGAGCAACAATTGGCTCGGGGATTGTGGGAAGGGCATGTTGGAGCGTACGGTGGGATGTCTCGAAACGAGCAGCATACGACGCATTCTGCCACCGTCTAGAAAAGCTGTTAAAAGCCGTCGTACTTTGCATTCCGCCTTCTGGAACCACGCAGCCTGTGCTTTAGAGCTTCCTCCGTTATGGGCAGCAATTCTGTCAGACGCAGATGCGCGACAGGAAGAGACAAACGTGGAACAGAAAGTTTCCGGTTCAAATGGAGGTATTTTGCTGGACTTTCTTTACCCGGCTGGAACCCTGAATTATCTTCGAAACAACTCGAGCTGGGGTCTGGAAAGAGAAGGGCGGGTTGGAAGATCCGGGTTCTCCAAGCTGGGACAGCGATTGTATTCATCTTCTGCCGTGGATATACCACCTACTGGAAGTTCAATATTGAAGCCCGATGACAGCAAAAGTCATGGGACCCAGATATCGGAGCCGACCATGGAGTATCTCCGCAAGAGAATGGGGTTGTTGAGGGAAAACGATTACGATGAGGCGTGGCGACAGTATAGACTGATGGAGACTGATGAGCAGAAACTACTGCGGAAACGGCTCATTGTGTACTATTCCACCTCGAAACGGATCATTGACGCAGAAAGGTCACTGGATTTGTTTCATGCCTTGGCAGTTGAAGAAAGAGATGCCATGGCATTCCAAAATGCCATACGATCATGTCTACGGCTGCGAAATCTACAGGATGCGTTCCAAATGATTAAAAGCGCCACGGAAAATCTCAGTATCCCTATTGGCTCTGACCAGATTTTCTCTCACCTCGTAGCAGCCGGCTCATGGACTCGTGCGTGTACAGTATGGTGGGACGTGAAACAGTGGGAATTGACACATCCAGGCACCACTTACAACCTGTATGCGGTTGTGGAAAGACATACCACCTTTGATGATCTAGCTTCCAATGTGATCAAATATCTAAATGAGAGGTACGACCAATTGACCCTGGCTACCAGCGACAAGCGACCGGCCTTGCTGGACTTCGCCACAGACCTTGCGAAGAAAGCATTTAATGTGAGAGAGAATTTCCGTCCAGCGAAATTTTCTATCATATTCGATCATGTTCGTCGATGGAGCGTGGTTCTACCAGTGGAATACGAGCAAATTCTCCGAGGACTTACTTCCTTGGGTCATAAATCGTTAGTTGTTTCCCTTTATAGGAGGCTACGAGAAAGCGGGGAATTTCCATTTACCAGAGCTACTCTTATTTCCCTGCTCAAAATCTTTTGCGATGGCCACAGCACCACAGGAATTGAACAGGTTATGGAGGATTTCTGGAATCACCACGGCAGTCCATCGGGGAATGTATATAGATACTCCATGAGAGTGTATGTTGCAAATGGAGATGCCGAAAAGGTTCATTATCTCTTCCAGCAATCAGAAAGGAATAGACAACGCACCAAACAACGGCCTCACAAAGATCCCAATTTCCTAACGCCACTACTTCAGGTCCACTCCAAGAGGGGCGAAATATCAGAAGTGATCAAGACGTTCGATTCGATTTCGGAGAGATTTGGGTTGCAGCCAAATATTTTATGTTGGAACATTCTCATTGCTACATACGGGCGACTCCAAGATTTCGACGGAGCTTTAGCTTGTTACCAGCAGCTTCTCGCGATACCAGACCTAAAGCCCGATTGTTACACGATCGGTACACTTATGGGCATGGCAACAAGACGGGGTGATGTTGAAACACTTCTGTCACTGTGGCGTACTGCAGGCGAGTTGAAGATAGAGAGAAGCACTGCCATGGTGGACATGCTAGTCTGGACCTATATACATGAGGACAAATTAGCAGCCGCGGAAAAGATATGCGAAGATGCCGTGAACATGGATCTCAAAGGCACTCGAACTAGGATGTGGAACTATCTCATCGTTGGGTTTGCTCAGCGACGTGATCTAATAAACACCAACCGCATTCTCCAGCGGATGACGAAGTTGCAGATACCGCAAGACGAATTTACCTATGCCGCGCTGATGCAATCTCTGGCTATGAATAAGCAACCTGATCAAGCCTATGCGATAATTCAGAAAGTCCTGCCCAGAGCAGGGCTGAGAGCCAGTCTCTATCACTATGCTATTGTGATGGGAGGGTATCTTGCAACCAACAACATTCCTAGAGTATTCCGAATACATCAGCATCTTGTCCGAAGGCTGGGACACAACTCCAAAGCGGCGAGTGTGAATGCTTTACTGCTTAGAGCAGAAGCAAGAACCGACGAATGGCTATTGGAACAAGGAACAGAATCGGAGAAATTCCAGCGCTCAATGGAGATGTTTCTAAGCATCACTTTCAATCCAGCAGATATGGCCCGTACTCCGGTTACGAAGGGCATATACTCACTACCTCTCGATATAGCATATCCCGCTTCTATTCATAGTTTTGTTATGATGAATCTTGCAAAGCATTCCGAAACCAAATCAGTCACAGAGGTCTACGAGCGGTACATGAGTGCTATCCCAGAAAGCCGCCGACAAGAAATTCCCCCAAATATGATTCTATCAGCTCTAATGCTGTCAAAATTTCGCGATCGTGATCAAGATGGTGTTTTCGAATGTTGGGATATGATTCTCGCTAATGCGAGAGCTTTGAAGAAGAGCGTTGTAATTCAACACCCGGATGAATCACGCGCTTCCGAGAAGCTCCAAGTCCTCTATCAGGATCAGCTTGTCCTGTCAAAATCTCTGTCGTGGTATCTAAGGGCACTAGCATGGAACAGTATGGGTGATTGTACCAAAGTCACTGCCACTGTTGAGGGGCTTCTGGAGGAGGGGTTTGTCCTCGACAACCACAATTGGAACAAATATGTACAAATATTACTCAGCAGTTCCAAGGTCAAAGGAGCATTCCAAGTCTGTGAAGAAAGACTCATGCCTGGATTTACAGGTTGGTCTATGGTACGACGACATATGCCTGTACGAAACAGGTTGCCCAAAGCAATTCGCGATTTGAGGAAGACTAGTCGGCATTTACGACCAATGATAAACACCCAACTCGCTCTTGCAAGAGCTTACATCTCTTTCAGGGAGTCTGCTATGGAATCTGCGGCTTATCAGTTCTGGTTGGAGGACTTAGAGAGGTTATATCCTCAAACTTGTCAAATGATCAAGACCATGAGGCGGAAGGAGGACCCGATGGAACTCATGATGTTGAGAGACGTGTAGAACTATGTACAGATTGTATTTAATTTTGAATGTTGCATCATGAACTTTTGTATATATATGGTCGATGATGGAGAATGGTATACACACCTCTACAAACATGGCCTTATCATCCTATAATATTTTGAGTAGTGAGGGAAGTGAACAACGGAAAACTAGATGATTCACAAACAATACACCGTAGGTGAACGGCGAAATAATTCCTTCAGCGCAAGCCAGATTATATAGTCTTCCTTGACAATTGCAACAGCGGTGTGAAGTGTGTGGCTGAAAATCAAAGACTTGACCAAAATCCACCTCAGAAGAGGGTTTGGATGTTTTCGAAATTTCAACCGCTCTTTCCCTTGAGCCCCCTTGTTGAGCAAACCCTCGTCGATGACCAGAAATAATTACTAAGTGGCTTTTTGGAAGAGTTGCGACTTCGCATTTTAGTCACGTCAGCAAGTTACCGACGGGAGTTGTGTAACCGCGATGCTAATCAAAAAGTGGGATACAGCATACTCTCAACCACTTCTCCTACTCTACGATCTATCACTCTTTGAAAGTGACCTCCCGGTTCAATTGCCAATATTTTCTGATCCGCAGAGAGAAGCATCTTGATCCTCACACTCGCTTGTAGCTACAAAAAAAAGCTGCAGCAAGTGACTCAAAGCGCCAATCTAAACATGTCGGAATTTCAAGAGCTGCTAGGTGATTGGCCTAATTTCTCGCGTAGAAGGTGGAAGAGAAGGAATGACCACAAGTAACTGATGTGCCAATTGCAATAGGCAACTACTCAAAATGCTACGGCAAAACCTCTCTAAAATTCGGCGCCAGCCCAGTTCTCATCCTCATCGATCCTGTTGTAGCCTATTTAGAGCCCTCCTCGCCTCTCTACGCCCCCAAAAGCTTTGAAGCAGCACGTCTCTCCATGGTTCGTCTTCTCGCTAAAGCACGCTCCTCAACCATCCCCGTCATCTTTACATCCGTGGTCTACAATTCTCCAAGCGAAGGCGGGAAATGGTATATGGAGAAATTACCCAACGTTTTATGCTGTTACGAATAAGGTAATACCTTGAGGGAGTTTGTCGAAGGGATGAGTCCGGGAGAAGGAGAAGTGGTGGTCGAGAAGAGGTTTGCGAGTAGTTTCTTTGGGACGAGTTTAAGTACTTTGTTGGTAGGGCTGGGGTGTGATTGCACGATTTTGGCGGGATTTAGTACTAGCGGATGCGTTAGGGCTACTGGTAAGCTCCTGTTTTGTTCCGTCTCGAAAGAATGTCGTGGGGCTGGGGGGTGATGAAGTTCTTTGGGTGTTTTTTCGCTTTGCTTCACCGTCCACGAGACATAGAAATAGATAGCTAAAATTGCGCTCCTACTAACCGTGCCGAAATAGCACTCGACGCAATGCAGCACAACTTCCCCCCTTTTGTCGTCCGAGAAGCCTGTGGCGATCGTCATAAGTCGGTGAACGATAGCAATCTTTTCGACATGCAGCAAAAGTTTGCCGAAGTGGTGTCCGAGGAGGAAATCATGACTTTGATTGATGGTGTCAAGAAGAAGTAGATAATTGTAACTCTTTAAGAAGCAAGTCGCAAAATAAAAGACTTCAATCGCAGCTATGTGCTAAATGCGAACTAAACATCCTCTCTTGAGGTGCTGTTGGAGGCGCTCGACACCAAGGTAATAGGAGGTTTTCCCAAGTACAAACAAAAAAGGCACAATAGAAGGCAAAATTGTGACTTATTTGCTTTTTAGGAAGGGCGATGGGAGCTAGACAAGGGATATAAGCGAGTGACAGAGCAGTAATAAACGTCAATCATCTCTTGTGGGTTCGCATTCAAGTTCATTTTTTAGCTGGGTATTGTGTTATGGTAATTGATTATATCCATGTATACTTGATATAACAAAGGCAATTGAGTGCCTCAGCTAGACTATGCCCCGAGGTATGTACGGAGGCAGCAGGGAACGGAGCAGCAACTTGAGAAGCACTGCCTGAGGGTTTCACTCTGTTGTTGTAAGGGAGCTGTCAGTGGAGAGGAAGAGGCATAGAGGATTTATTTCCATTGGTGTTACAAAAAAAAAATCAAATTTATTATCGTAGCTATTTGGAACAGGTAAATCGAATACTCGAGGGTTCTAGAAAAATCCAGGTACGAGTAATCGTCCTAAAATTCTTGTATTATCCAAGTACTTGAAACCAACTTACACTGAAAGAAAGGAAAAAACGTTGTCGACCTCCGTTCTTGTCCAATGAGAATGGGGTCACGAAATGATGTTGTGTTCATAGATGAGAGTATTATTGCCACCTTGTAATACTGTGAAGTCCAATGTGAAGCTTTCATTGGAAAGGTAGCTCGTAACCAGATGTTCCCAATGGCCCTCTGGCTAAGATCCAGATGGAATTGCCAGTCAATTTTGAAATTTGAAGAGTGGTAGGTATTGTCCAAGGTATTTGGGAAAAGGAACCAGATTAAAACTTCAGCTCACGATAAGTGGTTCGTTCGCTTTGGGTGCTGTGATGTCTTCCAAGCGAGGTGTCTGCAACACTCAACGTCTCTTTTGATTGATAAGACTCTTATCAAGAATGCCGTAGTACCTACCAGTGAATTAATTGCCTCTGTGTGATACGATGTTTTACACGACAGTGAATTGAATCTTGGCTCAAGTGAATGCAAGTGTCTCAGGTTCTGCCTCCTTTGTAGCATCAAAGTATTGATGATGAAGGTAAATAATTACCTACTCCGTATGCTCAACATAATATATTGAAACAGGACAAGGATCCGAGGCACTGAATTTAGGTTAGGGTAAATGTAACTAACGAGCCTTGGAAGAATATCACTGTAATACCGTAAAACCGTAATTCTGTAATAGACCAAGAACCAATGGAAGTACTTGTACTTATAGGTACCTAGCTAGGGATACTCGTAGTAGTAGAATTGACACAATTGAAGTTGAGTAATACCTGAGGGAGAAGCTTATTGTTTTGCGTGATGAAAATTGGTGATGCTGTGCTAACTGCTGCCCTGGCGCTTACTCCCAATCAAATCGCAGGGGATTCATCACTCACCCGTCTCCAAACCGGGCCCCCCTCTACCTCTGCCTCTGCCTTTGCAAACCTCAAATCTCCTCGATCAATCGCCCCGACTTCCCTTCCACACGACGCGATACACCTCCCCCTCTGCGTGCGGACGAGGTCTCATCATGGAGATGCCTGGCGCCGAGCAAGCACCTCTCGCAAATAGTTATGGCGGCGGCCAAACCAGGACACCACCAGCACCAGCACCAGCACCAGCCGGCGCGAATGCCCTCCCTAATTCTCAGACACCTGGCCACCCCAGTTTTAGAAGGTACGTCGAGCGACGGCTTGCGCAACGTCACCACAGAGACTGATGCGCAGCAAAACAGGCAGCGTGCATCCAGAGCTTGCGAGGTATGTACTTGTACTGTGAAGCAATCCATCCGACTCTCCTACCGCTGTGGTCGAAGCGTGCCGAGGCACCGAGGGACAGCCTGCGATGGAGGGATGGAGGGACGACTCAAAATTCTATGGCTTGGACAGACATTGGACATTGGACATTGGACAACTTGCTAACCAGATATCGCTGCTACTAGACTTGTCACGCAAGAAAGGTAAGACGATCCTTCACCATGTCGTCGATATTGAGCGTTGCGCCGACCATTCCCGACCACCCATCACCCACCCGACTAGGTACATTGCAGGTGAGGGGATCTTGTTGTTGACGCGGAAACTAGGTTCGATGCGATGCTGCCAGCCTGGGAGTGCCGTGCACCAACTGCGTAGCTTTTTCTATCGAGTGCAAGATCCCGACGCCCAAACGGAAGAAGACAACTGCCGGCAAGGCAAAGGATTCAGACAGGTGTGTGTCGCTGCTGCCAGGGACGACATGTATCTAATTGCGCTGCAGTGATCGAGGAGATCCCGTCGAGGAACGTTCCCCCCGGAATGAGACCCCCGCCGTCAACGAATTACAGAACATACGAAGCCAGAATGCATATAATACACAAGATGGCACCCCTCCCACCTCTCTCACCGAGGCACAGATGCGCCAGCGGGCAGACGACGACAAGACCTACGCTCAATTCATGAAGCCCAAATTTACCCGTGCTCCCATCAAGGAGGCAGGCAGAGTGGCATATCTTGGGGAGTCCTCGAACCTTACTCTCCTCGTCCATGACCGACACGGTACAGCGGATGTAGTACATTACCCATTGCCGGAAAATGTGAGAGGCACTCGTGCGAGATTGACGGAACTGGATAATGTAGAAATTGACATCCTTCATCAAAGAGGTGCATTTCTACTTCCCCCAAGAGGACTCTGCGATGAGCTTGTCGATGCATATTTCAATTGGGTGGCCCCTATCGTTCCAGTCATCAACCGAAACAGATTCATGAGACAGTACCGAGACTCCAAGAATCCACCCTCTTTGCTTTTGCTACAGGCAATTCTGCTGGCAGGTTCAAGAGTTTGCACCAATCCTCAGCTCATGGACGCCAATGGATCAACTACACCGGCTGCTTTGACCTTTTACAAGAGAGCAAAGGCCCTTTATGATGCAAATTACGAAGATGACCGTGTAACGATTGTCCAAGCATTGGTCTTGATGGGCTGGTACTGGGAAGGCCCCGAGGATGTCACTAAGAACGTCTTTTACTGGAGCAGAGTGGCCACCATCGTAGCACAAGGCTCTGGTATGCATCGAAGTGTTGAAGGCTCTCAGCTTTGCAAGGCCGACAAAAGACTATGGAAGCGAATCTGGTGGACACTCTTCACCCGTGATCGTTCAGTTGCTGTTGCACTGGGACGGCCAGTTCATATTAATACCGATGACTCGGATGTGGAGATGGTCTCAGAGGAAGATTTCATCGAGGACGAGGAAGATCAACCGAGCGAATACCCCCCTGATGTCCTGCACGTTCAATTCTTCTTACAATATGTCAAACTGTGCGAGATCATGGGACTTGTTCTTTCGCAGCAGTATTCCGTTGCTTCCAAGGCCCGACGCCAGAATGCAATAGACCTCACGCATAGTGACATGGCTTTGGCTGATTGGCTTCAAAACTGCCCGAAAGAGGTCTACTGGGAGTCACCAAGGCATCATTTCTGGTCAGCTCTACTCCATTCTAATTACTACACCACTCTCTGTCTGCTGCATCGGGCGCATATGCCTCCTGCTAGCGGTCGAGGCGGTACAAGTCAATTGGAAGATAGCGCCTACCCGTCGAGGAATATCGCATTTCAGGCTGCTGCCATGATTACTTCGATTATTGAAAATCTTAGTGCACATGACGAGCTCCGCTATTGTCCGGCTTTCGTCGTGTACAGTCTGTTTTCGGCACTCATCATGCACGTTTATCAAATGAGATCTTCAGTACCTTCCGTTGTTCAAGCAACCCAAGAGCGATTGCGAATTTGTATGAACGCTTTGAAGGATGTTTCTAGGGTGTGGTTAGTTGCCAAGATGGTCTACACATTGTTTGAGTCCATCCTAGGCAACAAAGTACTCGAGGAAAGACTCCAGAAGGCTGCCGGTAAACGACATAAAAAGATGGCCCAGAGTCTGTCAGCTGGTATTTACCAAGCGCAGGCTCAGCAGGTCAAGCGAGAAGAGCCGCAAAAGCGCAAATACGATGATATGGCTCTCGACTTTGGAGCTGTCAGCAGTACGCCAGCTCCCCAGGAGTCCTATGAACGATCTCGACCTCAAACTCCAAGCCAGACTCCATCTCGCGAGTTACCGGGTGGCCCAATGGCACCACCTATTGCCTCACCCAGCTCGAGACCCAATCCAGATGCTTTTATGGGTGGTTCGAGCTCACGGCCTCATACTAGACCCCCTACACCATTTAACCCATCTTTTTCTGTCCCAGCTACCCCCCCAGACCTTTATCTTGTCACTAGGAACTCGCCCAATCTATCACAATCAGTTTGGGAGAACTTCCAACCTGACCATCTGTTCCCGGAAGGCTCAACTAGCATGCATGCCAATCAGTTTTCACCTCAACAATCACACCATAGTAATCTAGATCCAAACCTGATGGGCTCTCACCTAAACATGCAGTCGCAAATGCAGCCCCAGCAAAACTCTCCTCTGCCGCAGCGCATGCGTGGTCAGCAACAGCCTGGAATGGGTAGCCCACCACAGAATGTTTTCCTGCAACCGGGAATGCCGGGTTATCAACAGGCTCCAGTCATGGGATATCAGGCATTTGAGAACGCGGTGCATGATGGACAAGGTGCTAGTCCGAGTGATACATTGAGCAACGCCTCAGCACAGGCAGTTCCCATGACCATGAATGTGGAAGACTGGTGAGTTCGACTTGTTGTGCACATGGTGATCTTCTAGGTGTGTTTGCTAATATTTTACTCCAGGTTCCAATTTTTTGGCATCAACGGTGATCTTAGCGGTATGAATGGTGATGGCCCTCTTTAAAGGTGTATTGTCAAAAGCATAGCTAGGATTTAGGGGGCGTTTGAGCAGCGATTTACATTGCGTTGTCGTCCGGCACATGGTGCGTTTTTACGAACAACGGGACACGAGATGCGATGGGCATATATCCGTAGGTGTTGTTGACAAAAGCGATTTATTTAATACTTTGCCATGGGTTTGCGTGGCGATTCCTACATTACTCCGTAGGCATGAAGGAATCAGACGAAATACGAATGCCGGTTCCACGATTTTTGATGCTCTACTCGTAGTCATACCTACTGCTTATGCCTTGTAGGTAGCTGGTGGTAGTACTCGGTCGTTGATTGGCGTAACACACGAAATAGCGTAGCGTAGCGAATTATCTGCCCGTTTGCCCCTCCCTCACCTCTGCCCCTCCAGATGTACTCGTACCAGTACACTAGGAGGCTGCCCTGCATACGACTACTCGTACCTGCCCTCGCACCCGCACCCACCCCGCCGTCAGGTGCCCACTCACGGCTGCAACAACCTCGGCGGGCCCCCATCGGAACCGGCCCGAGTCGGAGATAACCCAAGCGGCCACAGTACCATCAATGCTCTCGCGCTCACGGTAACATGGGATAACCTCAGCCCTTCATCGTTTTACCTATTACCTAGAATAGATCCAAGATCCCATGAATTTGATTCTTTTCAAATAACTTTATACTTTAACTCTGTATTAAAAAGGAACCAATCTTACGAAACCTCCCTCTCTGCTCAGCAATGAACCACGTCTTGTAACCCAAACGACTTCTTGAATCGCATCCATCCATTCGAATCCCAACAGTAATCGCTCTCATGCGAACAGGTACCTCGAAACGGGCTGCTTCTGCGCACCCTCCACTACTAACACCGCATCTTCAACAACTTCAATCATGATATCCTCCTCTTCTCGATCGTCCACGGCGAACCCGCGCTCTGATTCTCCTCACATGAACTCTAACTCGAGCATCCGACCCAGAAAGCAGCGACCCAGTCTGCTAGACGACCAGCAACAAGAGCTTACGAGTGCCTCTGGGAGCAGAGCAAGCAGCAGAGAGGGACGGCGAGGCGCCAGCCCTATTCCGCAGAAACACCCAAGCCGGAAGAGTGTTCTCGCGGAAAGAGAGAGGGATGGCCAGACGGTGAGGGGCTATCTGGCCCCGGGGGGCAATAAGAATGGATGGGGGAGTTTGAGTGCCGGTAACTCCAGATCCGCGAGTCCTGCTGCGGGAGGAGGCTTGTGGAATACTGGTTGGATGACTAGTGCCCTCCAACAGGTTGCTACTTCGGTTTTGGGAAGCATGTCCCCGGAGGAGGAGGCAGCTGGTCACGGATATGGAGGAGCCAAGGGGAAGGTCAGGCGGCGAGCGGGCAGTGGAGCAACGAAGAGGGCTACGCTTGATCAATGGGGCGTCGAGCCGGACGCGGGGAACAACTTGCAGGAAAGGGAAATCGGAATTGGGAGCACCCAAGAGCGAGAAGCTGCAGTGAGGGCGAAGAAGACGCAGCGAATTTTGGAAGGCAGGGACGATGATAGTAAGATCTTGGATACAAATGGGAATTACAAACGGCGGTCGTCAAGCGATGGCCAGAGGCCGTCTACTGTGCAGGACGAAGGCGATGCACTGGTTTACATCCATCACGTACAAAAGCAGGATACACTTGCAGGAGTGGTATTGAGATACAATTGCCCCAAAGAGGTCTTTAAGAAGGCCAATGGATTGTGGTCGGAAGCCGGGTTGCCATTTCGGAAAACAGTTGTCCTCCCCGTCGACGCTTGCGCGATTAAGGGACGACCTTGTGACCCTCCTGAAGTTGATCCCCCATACCAAGGAATTGACCTCCTAGCTCCGACAACGGGAATGGAAGAGCATCCTTTTACCAATAGCGATACTTGGCCACCGACGTCAGCATCTTTGGAAATGTCTGCAGAACGTTCCGAAGACGATAAAAAACCGTGGACTCATGTAAGATGGGTATTGATTGATTCCTCGCCAAACTCCAAACCCGTTGAGATTGGAAGGATGTCACAGAAAACTCTTGGATACTTTCCTCCTCGCCGGCGAAAGAGTTTGCATACTTCCGCCGTTTCTACCCCTCGTGGTTCTTTGGATTTGAACCGCCTTTCTTTATTATCACAATCCCCCCATGACCCTTCTCTTAGCTCGGCCAGCAGTCCCTCCAGACGGACTAGTAATCTTGGCCCACAAACCTCGCAACCTCTGAATTCAATCGCGAGTTATTTTACCGCTTCCCAGCCTACTACTGCTCACGGTCACCGCCGTCGTGAGAGCGTGGGTGAAGCTGCGAATCGACTTGGATGGATGCGAGGACCAGGTGGAGTAGGTACGCTTGGTAAAAATGTACGCAGACCAGGACCCTCAAACGATGGTCTGAACACCTGGGCGAACAAACACATTCCGGGTCTTGCCATTGACGATCTGCCTAGCACCAGTCTCATGGGCGCAGAGACTGCACAGTTTGGATTCAGCGATGAGCTTGCTGCCATTGCCGAGGGCCCGATTCATGGCACTGCAAGTGAAACGACAACTCCGGGAAATATGGGCTTAGAGAATGCTGCAGCTGCAGTGGAGGGATTCTTTAGAAAGCTGGTCGTCAAAGGGCCAGGTACACCAAGACTAGGACCTCGGAGAGAAAGTGATCTCATTGAGCTGCTTGATGGAGCTTCGAGTGATGATGGAAGGGGTTTCGAAATCAGCCCTGGGAGGGTGAGGAGCTCAACACCTTTGGGAAGTGGAAGGGAAGACCTGGAAGGAGTGTTAAGGGGAAGAAGTTCAGCTGGGACTAAAGGGGGAAAGGGTGATTGATAAGTGAATGCCTCGACCGATACGGAGGTGGTACGAGGAGCTACATCAAGAGAGATTTACAGAATCGAGGGTATTTGACCACTCTCGTTTCCTTTTTGTTTTTATGTTCACAACGGCATGGAGCATAGGCGGGATAGGCGTTTTTCGGGGCTTCTTCTGGCTGGACTTGATGCTATGAGCCAGTCTGCTTTTCCTGGGTAGCGTTAGGCTGGTTGGTGCGTGTATTAAATTAGAGTAGCCACTGTAACATGAGAAAGCGATTGTTTAGATATATTGGATACCATTTTAGAAGGACGTGTGCCGTGCTTGAATTGGGTGAGGCTGAATACCTGTAGTTGATTGAGCGACTCTGTTAGAATGAAAAGACAGACAGCCAGAAAGAGTAGTGAAAAGTTGGTTTAGTTGATCTTTACCGTACTGAGTCAATTTAAGCGAAGGTCGGTTTATGTTGTAGCCTCGCCATAATCCACTTCATTCTCATACAAGAGTATCAAGAATTGGCAACTTGGTATTTCGAATCATGGACATACATACAGTATTCTGAAATCCCTGAAGTAGGTAGGGCTTCTCAAATCGACTCTGTATTCATAATCAAAATACTGGAGCACAAAGATCCTTGTTATTTTCTTTGGGTCACTAAACTACTACCAGTCTATATACACCACGTAAAAAGGAGATAAGGTATAGTGCAGCCTATGTAAACGATTCGATTGGACTATACCAGCCCTCTTAAGACTCCCGCCTCGTCAGCTCTTGTATGCCCGTTTTCGTCTCTGTATGCTCCGTACTCATATGCTTCTGCTTGACGAAAGCACTCGCCATTATTGCAACAGCTGACAAGCAAGTATACATTATAAACATATTCCGCAGACTCCAGGCAAAGCTCTCCTGCACAAGCAAACGCTGAGTGTGATCCTGGATAGACTTGACGATTTCCACGTTTGCAGCCGCGTGTTCACCATACAAGGCCTCGAGGACCGGTTCGCTGAGACCGGCAGCGACGAGCGATGAATGCCGGGTGTCCATACTATTTTGGAAGACCACACCACCGAGCACCAAAGATAATGACTGTGCCAGGTTGCGAATGACACTCATAGTTGCGGAAGCCGTAGCGGTGTCTGCTTGGCTGACTGTGTTCTGCATGGCTATCAATGGCGTTTGGAATAATAGAGCGATTCCGATGCTAGTGATCATTTCGAATCCGATAATTTCCGCAATCGATGTGTTGATTCCAAAATTGATGTATAGTCCCGCACCCAGTGTCATCGTGATGGTACCAACCCAGATAATCTCTCTATATCGACCTGTTCGATGCATCAGGACGCCCGCCAGTACGTCCACCGCTGCTGCGGTCACCATCATTGGCAGAATCAGAATACCGCTTCGAACAGGCGAAGCTTGTTTGACACTCTGAAAGTATAATGGAAGATAAAACTCCGTGCCGATGGCGACCATACTGTGCGCGAAAGCTAAAACGAAAACAGCATTCTTGGACCAGTTGTTAAACATGCTCAGTGGTACCAAGGGATATTCAGCGAGCCGTTTCTCGCTAAAGATGAAGAACACAATCATCGCGACTCCAACGACAAGTAAACAAATGACTTTCGGACTATCCCATAGGAACGTGGTTCCACCGAAATTGAGCCCGAGAAGGACGAGTAGCGTTACCGCTAAGATGGAAAAAGTTCCAAACCAATCCACTACCTTAATGCCCTCGACAAGTTTTGTGCGTGGATTATGAACATCCAAGGAGATTAGTAAGAGGACGAAAGAGACTGCACAAATTGGGAGATTGATCCAAAAGCACCATCTCCAACTCACATACTGCGTCAAAGCACCACCCACCAGTGGCCCAGCAGAACCAGCAACCGCCCAAATCACGCCCATGAAACCCATGTACAGACCTCGGGTTCTCATACTGAAAAGATCAGAGATGGTGATAACGACCAACGACATCAAAGCACCACCAGCCGTACCTTGCAAAGCTCGAGCAGTGATCAACATCCTCATGCTGGTACTTAATGCTGCAACTGTGCTACCAATGGCAAATATAATGACTGCAGCTAGGAGAGCGGATTTCCGGCCCCAGATGTCGCTGCATTTTGCCCAGATTGGAGCCACTGAGGCATTGGCTAACAAATAGGCGGCTCCGATCCAGACATAGCCAGATGCTGACTGTAGATCACGCGTGATTGTTGGGATGGACGTTGCTACAATTGTTTGATCTAGAGCTGCTATGAAGAGTACGAGCTAATGAACATTGTCAGTTGAATGCGAGCGATGATCGATTGGAAGACCTACATAGAGTGGGATTAAGGTAGCAAAGGTACGTAGCTTTGTTTGGACTTTGGCCTCTTCTTCGAGTGTCTCGAGTGGGAGAATTTGCTGCTCAGATAGGGTGGCTTCTGGGGGGTTTGGAGATCCAGTAATTGCTCTCGTTGAGTCAGCGACTGTGATATTGTCCTCGGCCATTTTACGATGGATGAAACAATTCTTGCAAGTGAGGGAGAAGTATGAATAGGATAGAATGGGAAGTCGCTAATTATATTTGTAGCCGGGGGTTCAAGCGCTGAGGCACAGCAGTGCCGAGACCAACAACGCCTTTCAGTTGACATGTAGTAAATTCCTTTCAACGTTGAGCCATTTATGCATCATAGAATACCTCAGACTCTGAATCGTTTGTTTCTCCAAGAAGAAATTACGGCAAGATAATTCGCGTTGGAGGTCTCTTCATGAAGAGGTGGTGGTGGCAACGAGAATCAAGCTATTGACTACACATATCTCTGAAGCTAACATGGAGTGGTACCTTGGGGACTAGAAGTCTTCTTGCTTGGGAGTAAGAAGGTCCCTTTTTCCGTAAGCACTTGGGAATACGGGGAAAAGAATACTTGTAGTGAGTGACAAAGTTGCTGAATCTTGCGAAACACCAACGACCAGCCTCAAAGCAAATCGAGGGCGGGGAAAACGTTAATTCGTAAAAGCTCTTGTGGTAATCCACCAGATCCATCACTGCGCACCTTCCTCCCTCAACCCCTCTCAATTTTTCATCACCGCTTCATACTGTTTATCATCTCTCTATGACTCTCCCTCTCTTTCTTCTCTCCGCTCAAATCAGCAATACTCCTCAGATCACCCACCACATCCTTTGCCTTCCCAAAATAAACCTCTTGCAGCAGATTTCTCATCTTTAACTCCATATCCTCAACCAGCTTGCCAATATTTGCAATGTGACTCGTGTCGTCATCAACTGGTAAATCGCTCTCAATCTGTCTCGTCATGTTTCCGCTCAGGTCCATCTCACCAAGAGCGTCAGAGGTGGTAGAGAGATGAAGAATGACAGTAGAAGTGAGTTTGTAATGGGCAGTTCGGGAGCGATCAATAGCCTCAAAGACGTGGATCGAGTCCCAGGTTCCTTCTGAGGCAGAGTTTGGTGTTGCGACTGCTCTTAGATCAGTAAAGCCCCAAAACACTTCCCAAATCCAATACTGTAACATTTGGAACAGTTGTATAAAAGAGAAGAGGAGAAAACGAACCCTTCTTCAAAAGCACGACGCCCGCAAACCCATCATCCAAATTCCAAAAGTAAACACTACTAACGCCCCCCTCATAATACAACTCCCGATAAACATCAAAGGCCTCGTTAGCTCGAACCTCCATCGCCCTCACTCTCTCACTGGGAACCGCCCCTTCTCCCGCGCCCTCATTGTTTCCAAAGTCATCTGCACCCCCTAGACCGGTGCCTCCAGCCGGATTCTCAAATTCCCCGCTCCATGGTGAGCGGTAGGAATCGCCGTCCCGGTTGTAGTCGCAGAGAAGATAATCACGACCGGTTTTACGACATCGCGAGATAGTGAGAGGCTGATCGACAGAGGAGAGAAGGTCTTCCGTCAGGGAGGGGACGAGGTTAATGAGGGAGTTCAGGTGTGTGGTGGTGTGTTTTGGATCGAGACGACGGAGGAGGTCGCTGGGGAGAGGGAATGGCATTAGCTGACGAAGCGTCGGATGAGCGATTCGAGGGATGGGTGGGAACTTACAGGGCACTATCGAACTGGTCTACTTCTGCCATTTTGCTTGAGAGGATGTTGATGTTGTGGTTGTTGGGGGAAGGTACTTTATTGCCCAAAGCTAGAAATGGCGGGGCGTTGAGGGGAGGGGTTCGAGCTTGCCTTGCCTTGCTCCAAATCTGACGCTGCAAATGTCCGACTTAGCCAGCGCCCCCCTCACCACCCACAACACTCGACCTGTTGAATATATTTCGGAATAATGCAGGTAGTCACGTAATTGAACGTTGTTTTCATTTCACAAGATTAAAGCAATAGGTACCTATTAACATCATACTCATTACATAGCTACATGCAAATAATTTTTCAGCGATGCTTCAATGCCAGCTAACCTTCCCACCTGCAATGGCCATAAACACCATTTCCTGCCCTGATAATGCACCGTTACGTTGATTAAAACTCCATATGCGACCGACTTAAGCTTCCATTTCGGAGCCGGAATGTTCAGCATAGCCACTAACACGCTTCGCTCGTCTCTGTTTCCTCGCTGAGCTCTCCTCGTCAGGGCCCGGAACGTATGGATGGGCTGCTACATATTCAGCACGAAAAGCGATGGCTTCTTGATCCCATTTCGCTGCTTTGATATTGTATTCTGCGACCGCAGCAGCATGAGCAGCTTTTTGCGCATCAGCTCGGTCGTTATAAGGCTTCTTTTCCTCCTCCGAGGCTTCTTTCCACATCTTAGTCACCATCTTCTTGACCTCGTTGGAAATGGGTTTTCCCTTTCCCGGTCTTCTTCCTTCCTCGCATTTTCTCTTTGCCTCGTCCCAATTTTCTTTGCTGTACATGCGATATGGATTGGCATATTTGTTTTCAGGCTTCCAAGGTCGATCACCGAATTTTAGCCATATCGCATTCCAAACCTCAATCTCATAAGCTTCAAGGCGAGCTTTTTTAGGGTCTTTGGGGGTCTCCAGGGCCTCGGATTTTCGTTTGGACGAAGGGTCCTTTGGTAGGACAAGGGGCTCGGGTATTTCAATTGGACCAATCATAGATTCCAAAACTTCAGATGCAGCTCTCAGGCCAGATATGTAAGCTCCGTGAACAGTGGCTGGATGAGTGCCGCAAGTGTGCTCGCCTGCGAAAAAGAGGTTGCCAACAGGACGAGCCATTGTTTCGTAGTCATCAGGCTGGAAGTTTGGTCCCGTGTAGGAGTAACTGCCTCGCGAAAACTCATCTTGACCCCATCGTGTAATTACGGCCTCCAGCGGAGATAGTTTCGCTGGTGGTACATGAGGGAAAACAGTCTTCAGGACAGAGGTTGCTTCCGCAATGATTGCCTCGTTCGACTCTTTCTCCGTTTGAAATGCCGCATCACCAGCCATAAGAGCGAGTAGTGTCGGTAGGCCGGTTGTATTGCTACAATTGAACCATTGAAATAGACGGCCTCTTTGTGTGTAGTAATGCGTTTGATCCAAACTGAATCGATCGGTTGGATTGCGCAAAGTTCCAAAGATGTCTCGACTTTGGTCCCAGAATGCTTCACGATACACCAGAACCACTTTGTTCAACACACCATATCCGATTCGTTCGACAGCTCCTTGTTTCCAGTGTGGTAGAGGAGGCTGGAATGCGATTTTCTGCTGTTTCAATACGCCTAGTGGCATTGATGACACAATATAATCAGCTTCGATAATTTCTCCGTCCTCGCACTCGATACTGGACGGCGTGTTGCCAGGCTCGAGACTGTAGGTGATCTTGTTAACTTTGCTCTTCTTTCGCACAGTCAGAGGTTGGGGGCAGTTGAGGAGTCCTCTTGGGACTTGCTGATAGCCTCCTGTTACCATCGTGTGCTTGCCCTCCCACTCATTACCAGCATCAAGATCCCAGCCTCCCAAACTTAGTTTATTACATGTGATGGCGTTACTGTATTCCAAATTTGCTACATGCCAGTTGATGAGTCGTAAATCAAGAGGGGTGAAGTCAACAATCCTCGTGTATTGGCGGATCGCTTCGTCAAAAACGGAGCCAAGCGTCGCATACTTTGAGTTGACGGCATTTTCGAGATCCAAGTCGTGCTCAATACCCACGCCAGGTCGTAAAAGCCAACCGATTTCTTTTGCCTTGTAAGCTGCCGTATGAACCGCATGTAATCCGAGCTCGAGATGGGCTCTGCCAGTCAGTCTGTCTGAAGATACAGGGATCAATTGTTCCTCGTTTGTCTGAGTTTTGGCTGTCTGAACGGTAGCAGCTGGTGGATTGTCTTCAATCTCACTGATGGTTTTGGATCCCTCCCCGCTAGTATCTCGACCTGCGTCAAGAAGAGCTCTGTCTCCATCGATAGTCGGTGGTGTTGGGAGTTTGAACTTGTACTCGCTGACGCGATCAAGAATGTAATTGAACAATCTTTCCGCACATTGATCACGATGAGCATCTACAGGTTTCCCTGTAGCATCATAAATAGTCGTATCTGGTCTCAAGGCATGATAAGGCAAAGCCAACTGACCTCTGACAATAATATTTAGAGGGTTTCCGCGATCAAAGCCAGTAATGATCATGCCTCCCATCTCTGCCGTATGCCGACTTCCGTAACTGAGTGTTGGAAATGCTGGTTTCGCTCGGAAAGGTCGCGAGTAAACTCTTCCACCGATTCTGTCTCGTCCTTCCAAGACAATTACACGTGGTGGATCTTCGCCCATTTCTCGAAATCGAGCTTCGAATTCGGAGAAGAGGCCTTCAAGTTGCCTTGCACAACCTAAGCCAGACATGCCAGCTCCAATCACGGCAACGGTCTTTCTTTCGCGCTTGACTGTTCTCGGCTTTTTCTTCTCTGCGGTAGCTTCTCGATGTTCCAAACAACCAAAGTTGATGTAGCCACGTCGCACAAGCCACTCATGGCATATGCTCGCAACATCGAACCATCGAGGATCTTTGGCACAGCCAATTGCTTCATCCCGCATAACACCAATGAGGGGATTTCTCGTCCACAGTCTCAGAATGCCATTTCTTATATTCAAGTACGTAGTAACTTGTTGGGGCGTTAGGTGTTTTCGTAGCAGTGAATATTCCTCTGTATGCATCCCATATGGATTCAGGCGTGACGACTCAGCAGCCGATATACATTGTCTTGCGTATTCTGATGTTGTGAGATCTGTTGGTATGGAGACTTTCGGGCGAACCTCGTATTTCTGGCGTGGTTTTCGAGCTGCAGCTGAAGAAGTTCCGTTCCCAGATTCCTTGGAGCTTGCATCAAACTCTGTAGGAGATGTCGCTTTACTGGATATCGAAGAGAGGGCTGATGAAGCATCATCAAGGTCTGTAGTCATGGAAGAGGCCATAGAATCGCGAGCGCTTTCCGGCCTAAGATGGATTTTGCCACCTGATATTGCCGTGGACTCGGATATGGGCTCGGCTCTAAAGTCTGTGAGTTAATAGAGTTGATTGAAGGGCAATCTCAGAATTGATATGGAGAGGTATTAAGTCTTCTCAAGTCTTTCCAAGTCATGTGGAAGGGACGATGGTGGTTACCAGAAAGATATAGAAAGATATGGTGGAGAACCGACCTTGACTGTGCACCGTGGCCCTGTAAAAGGATTTCGGGCGGGCCTTTCTTTGCCCACTTCTCTCTCGGAGAATCGACTGTTATCGTGGTAGATGGAATGTCTATTGTTGACATAGCATCCTCGTAAGCAAAGTTGGACATGGCACCCGGCGTAGACGAGTCCATCTCCAAGGCCGATTCAAATTCCATTAGATGCGAGTCCAACTCGTGCAATCCCATCATGTTTAGGTCTTCATGTTGAGGTATGTGGGAGTCCATTGTCGATGCCATCTCAGAATTCCCAGTTATTAAGTCCTTGGGTGCACTTCGAGATATGGATATGGATATGGATATGGGGGCCCAGCCGTCCTCAGGTTGACAGTGGTTGGCTTAGCGGTGCTACTCGAAGCAAATCCCCTTCCAAGCCATACACTGATACCCAGATTTCCTCCCCCCCGCAGCATCGAGAGAAAGACAGTATCGCGCCTACAACAACTACTCAAACGCATTAGAGGCCGTTCTTACATCTATATGTTGATATATGTATCACCACGTGGAATCGTCTCACCGGCCGGTCGCATCCACAGCCTGTGCAGTGTTGTGCCCTCTTATATTCCCAATGCCCCAACCCCAATCAATGTATTCTGGTGAGCCAGTCTGTACTTCGCATGAAGCGCTTTCGGTTATGTCTTCGTTGGGTATGAGGACTCGTCGGGTGAGAGTGTTGGCTGATATGGCAACTGATATTGGGTGTTCCATGCGCTGGGGCTTTCTCCTTCTCACTCAGGTCCAGGCGACGGCAGCCGTCATGTGACCGAGTGCACTTCCACCTTTTCTTCTTCTTTTAAAATAATTGGTATTATTCTAGAAATCCCTTGGGCATTGGAGAAAATTCCATGTTTAGTCTAGGGAATGGACTCAAAAGCTATGATTCAATACTCAGCCTTCTCTTCAGTCCTTCCAACCGTCAAACTGAAGTCTCCCTCTTTCTCTAGGCGAACAGACAAAGGGTGGTTGAAGAGGTGACCGTATCTAGCGCAGCATTCTTCCGGTTACCGTAACCGTAGTGCAGCAGAGAACAGCTCAAGTATTCCCAAAATCGCAAAAATACCATTCTAACCCCTTGGCTTGTTTTTTTGATGGAGAAGTGTTTGCAATTTCACTCAATCTTGGTGTTGATTTCTTGAATCTATTTATTATATATCGGTATATATTTTCATGTTCTCATACACATCTCCTGTTCCATGTACTTTCCATACCATCCGGTTACATGCGAAGCATTTCGCTGCATTCCATCATACAAATCTACTATTACAAAAGAGACAAAAGGGAATTTTGGATATCATATAGGTCGTAACGGAAAAAGGAGAAAAAAAAAACAGACAAAAGAAAATAAACATTAACTTCTCCACCCCTCCTGCTCCATTTCGATAATAACATTCTCACACAAATCCCGATATTTCTGAGGATTGAATCTCGGCCGCCTCGAAGAACCCTCTTTTATTTTCTGAATCCTTGCTGAAAGGTCCTGCTGAAAAGGTGTTTGAGACTCAGAATCTCGATGTGGCGAAGTTGATGTGGATACTGAAGAGTTGGAAGTCATGGAGCTTACTGATCCGGAGCGCGGACGTGTGGGGAAAAGATCTGGGAGGTTGGAGCGACGGGCTTTTCGTATCAAGGACACAGTACGAATTTGCGCCTTGATATGTGTGGTGTGGTATTCCAATTGTCTTTCCAGCGAGGACAGATGAGTTTGATAGCGATGAAGTGAAGGTGTATCTCCTGAGGGGGAGCTTGGGGGACTGGCGTAGGCTAATACGTCGTAGTTTGGGGTTGTGGGGATAATCGTTGGCGAAAAAGTTGCAAGAGGTGGACTTGGGAAATGAGAAAGTAGATCGGTGTTTTTATAAGTATTCTCATTGGCGATGGTCGGTGCTGTTTTAGTTGTCTCCTCGAAATTGAAAGATACACGCTTTTTAGGTCGGAGTGGCCTAGGTGTAAGGACTAGAATGCTGGGGCTTCGACATCTTGAGATTCTGCTTTCCCCTTCGGAGTCTGTCGAATATGGCGAATCAAGAATCGATGAACCACAGGAAGATGTTGAACCTTGACTGAAGATACTGTCGACTGAACTTCGCAAACTTGAAGATATAGAGGATTGGTTTGATCTATGGCCCTGTGTAGTTGGGTGGATCTTTGATGGCTTTGTAGCGAAAGAGGCGAAGGCGATGTAGGATGAAGCGAGGGCATAGTAGGTTAAGGATTCGTTAAATAGAGGGAGTTTGAGAGGCGAATCGTTGTGCAAGGGGGAAGCAGTAGCTTCAAGCGATGAAGCGGCGAAAAAAGCGAGGGTTATTGAATAAAGCGGGTGAACATTGTACTATTTTGAAAATTAGCATTGAAGAAACAGAGGCACTTCGAGTCGACTTACAGGATCCCGGATAGAATCAAGAAGTTTTATACAGCGCGCTGAACACTGCTTATGCTGCTTCCGGTGATATAGATCCTTGACTTCCTCCATAACTTTAACCCATTCTGAAGCTGTGTAGGGAACGATTGTGAGTTCCGCGACCGGAACCGGACGTCTATTGAATCCGTTCTTTTGCGTTGGCTTCATGGTTGATGGTAAAGTTGGTGATTCTGCTCTTGGGGCTTCAGATGGTGGTGATGGCGCGCGAGTTTTAGGAGGAGACATGTTTATAAATGGAATCATTCGCGTGAAAGCCAATTTCCTTTTGGGGGCAGCATCTGAAAACATTTTGACTGGGTGTGTACTTGATATGTATCGAAGAGGCGTCAGTCCAATGGTTCACGGGGCTGAGAAAAAGACTCGTTCCGATTTAGGGAAAAAGGATATTTTGAACGGCACAGAAAGGTGTGTAAATTGCTACAATCGCTGCTATGCAATTATAAAGGCGTTGGAAATCCCGTAATTTTGATGGAGATGTTTATTCTTAATGATCTTCAATGTATAGATCGATTGTCCGCGTTGATCGTTGAAAAGGCAGATTTCTCAAGCTGGACAAGGGCAAAAACGCAGCAGACCAGAGGATCACCGTTGATTATATATGTCCGTAGATGGACCAACTGCTGCACCGGCAGATCGGTTACATCCCATCTTTTTCATCACACTACACTTTCTCTCCGCCTGGGCTTTGCGTTCTGCGTACGCTGGGCCCCCCTCGCCGGGGCCGCTCTCCCTGGGCCTGGTTCTGTCTCTCTCTCAGATGAGGTTGTTCATGGACAAGGCCCGGCGATAATGCAGACTCGGGGGTCGGGGGTTCAGATTGCAAGGAACCTGGAGCCGGAAGGGGAGCTGGTCTGTGTGCATACTTCCATCACTCGTCCACTTTTGGATGCTTCAGACCTTGGCTTGGGAGCCGCTCGAGCTTGGGGCGTAGCGTGGCCAACGGCAGCGAGGTTCAAACAAGACGGCCGCGCACTGATCTTCGCAGGTGCAATTTGGCAGTGGGCTGATGTGAATGTGGATGTGCGATAGGGAGCATACCGGTACTGTAGTCTGTAGTCTGTAGGGAGCATAGGGAGAGGTACGGAGTACCAGGTAGGGGGGAGGGGGGAAAGCTCGAGGAGCTTGAGCTCAAGAAAACAACCCCGACCACACCGACCACACATAGTATCACATACGAGTACTTCCTCGCTCCCTCGCTCCCTCCATAAATAGCAGGGGTCGTGATTGATAGAAGGCGCGGCAGTGGCTCGCTTAGGTCACGCGCTGTGGAGATTTCTGCACGCTAGCACAGCGCTAGCTGACTACTGCAGGTCCGTAAACTTATCTCACCGTACAAGTACGGAGGTACGGCCAAGTACCAACATGCTCTTACCCATGCGGACATGCTCTTGGTCCTGGTCCAAAAGTCCCCTGTTCAGGGTCTGAGCCCACCCGGAACCTCTTCTGCTGGGTAGACTCCCAGTCTGCGCTTGATGCCTCTCATCATTTCCCCAATTAGGTCCTCGCATTCTGTCATTTTGAACGCTTGACCCTCCTTGTGCAAAATTCAACACTTTCCCCGCAAAGATGCAGATACCGTCGTTCGACAAGACGAACTGCCGCTGCAACAACTGCGAACCTCTCGATTGTGACGAGTATTTTGTCTGCAGATGAACGCACGTCCAATCCAGGAACACAAACATCAGTCAACTCCTCGTCTGCTCTTTTCCAGTTGGGTACGAGTACCTTGCGTTGAGCTATATCACCTTAGCCAGCTATCACACACTGACAACATGAGCCTTGCATGTCTTGAAGTCTGCAGAAGCTACCCGAGCACAGTTCGTGGAGGAGATGGCTTGCAGTCGGCTTTGCTCGAGAAGTTTCGACGAAGCATGGCTAATTACGGCCCCTGAAGCTACTGCACCAAAAGGACCTTCATGGAGAAACTGCCCTTTTGACGTACAGGGATCCGACGACAGCTTCAAGAGCCGAATCCAGCACCACCGTCAAGCTTGTGAAAGTTGATCAACATTCTCAAGTGATGCAATAATCGCGGACTTTACCCAGGTGCCTATTAAACTATGCCCACCCTTTCCCGCCTCTCCCACCTTTTCCGAGAATCCGAATGATCAATCTCCGGTATAAAAAAAATTACACTGTCACGGGGAATCATTAGAATAAACTTGTGCGTGTCTATGTTAGGTCATGACGAGGTTGCTGGTATGGTTCATTCCCAGGTCACAATCAACAGTTCTGTCCGTCCACTGAAGTAACTTTCTTCTGGTAGCGAGAAGTGACCTAGTTGTCGCATCAGTTCGAAATTCGTATACTTCGTAATTTTGTAGAATAGAAGGGCCCAAAATTACTTCAAGTTTCATGCGCAGCAAATATAGATAGCCTAAAGATAATATTTCAGGCTTTAGCCTACGAATTACGGAGTGTACAATATCTCGCCGTTGCCCTTCGACGATGAAACATACCATCCGGGGCTCGCGTAGTCAAAAATAGTTCTTTTGTGGATGTACGAACCGCACTGTAGGGAAAGGGGCATAAGATGATTTCATTTTATGAACTCTTTATGTTTCTATGCCACCCCACCAGATCTTCGTCAACAGTTCGGTATACGAGGTAAACTTAAATTTACACTTAACCTTGGCCAGTTTGCTATTATTAACGAGACCGAGGCCCGAGGACGGTGAATTATTACAGGAAGATGTAGGGAGTATAACACTGATGTTCTGATTTGCTAATGTTATAGAAGTAGAAGTTAGGCTCGAGCGACGCATGAAACGACAAATTTCCTTACATTGAGATCTGCTAAACCACAGACTTGGAAAAGATCATTAATTCTCCGAATTGTTCATACGGATGCGCCGCTTGGGAAATCCATATGTAGATCTGATGTGCATGGCGCTTAAACATTGGTAACCACAGTGGTGAGAATTTGGATGCTGCGATGTAGTTATATCAAGAATCAATATCTCTTTGTCCAATGTCCAGCTCCACGATTCAAGCCACTGTTGCTTCTGATTCGAAAATCGAACGATAATTTGAGCTGGCGGGTAGAATTGATATCTATTCGTTGAGTATTCCACCAATTTTCTAGACCAGACATTGTTAATTGCTTTTTTGTACCTACCTCGCCTACGTATTGTTCCTCGAGCCGCTTGCCACGAACGTTGCGTAAGGACGATGCGCGGGAGGAGGATGCTTGCTAATTTGTGAAGCATCAGATATTATGATGAGTATATTATAAGTCAGGTATGAATTACGAGATTGCGGTTCAGATGTTTTAATGGTTGATGAACCACGGAGATATCTCGTCCCATAGATCCGGTACACGTACAAACCGCTGAGACCATCGAAGCATTTGCAGATTACAGAAAATGGTGATCTCTATTTGGAATGCATCTTAGTTCCCCTCACTGCAGCTGAAGGAAGTCTCATCCAGAGATGATACGACGTTCCAAGTTGTAACTTGTAAGATCAAAGGGGAGTGCACGTGGTTACTTGGCAGTACGAGTACCTAGAATGAAGGTTGGAAGGCAAGGCGTGTGGTGAAACAGCCACCACGAATCTGCAATTTGATGTCAATGAGATCATCATGGCATCTTTCTACTTCTAGTTCCTTACGTTGATGTTTCATGTTGTGGTCCAAGTATGAGTTTCACCAGAGCAGGCTGAAGGGGGAAATGAGAATAGGCTGAAGCCTTGCAGTGTGGTCCAAACCTTTGCGGTACCAAATACTCGTATGGAGTCAACCATTTCCTGGTTGGGCTGGTCCCCCTTTCTGGAGCAATTGGAGGGATTTTAGATGTACTAAAATGGATGAGGAAAAGTGTTTATGTTGTCCTAATGTTCGTCTAGGTGTCTAGATTATGCAAAGATATTGGATCAAATATAAATTATGAAGAGAGTGACCTGTGTCACAATGAAAGAGTTGTTCACTGATGCTTTTTGTCCAGTGACTCCCAGTCCATTGGCCTAGAAAGGCAGGCCAGCCTTACCGCTAAAATATCGGCAGTAAAAGGGGACCCAGAATTCACCATCACCATCAGCATCACCACCCAAGATGAAGAATGTTTGAGTTGCAAGATTTCAGAGGAAACCAGAAGCTGATGTACTCGACTGCTAAGCTATGAAGCTGTAGGCAAAAATAGAATTTGTCAGTAGCTAACCTTCTCCTTTCGCTGCAAGCCCCAAGTCGTAAGGCCTGCGCCCACTCCCGCGCTGCGCCACAATCTTTTCCGTCAGCCTCGGGCGGGGCAGTGAGAGGCAGAGCGAACTGAATAAGGTACGTATGTCTGAAGTGTCTTGACTGAGTTGCGAGACCTCAAACCTCCAGACATCTTGCTCCTCCATATACATTCACCTCTCTCGCTCGGTCATTGATCCCTTCTCCCTCCCCCTCTTGCTTCACCACCATCTTTAGCCCCACTAAGACCATCTGGATTCCTGCCCTGACGATCTTGATTCCGCTGTGCTCGCGACAGCATCATCCTTCCACCCTATTCCCTATTCACATCCACGCGACGCCGCCATATAACGTCCGCAGAATATTTAGCAGAGGCAGGAGCTAAACACCATACATCACTCCCGCTCGCACATCTCCCAGCCATCACCATGAGTTGTAAGTCTACGTTGCCTCTTCACAGCATCGCATTTCCAATACCTCGCCCTCCCTATTCACAAGTCAGAGGATGCGAAAACCCACCTATACAACCCTTTGAATGTTCTCATTCCTATTTGCACTTTTCAATATTATAATAGCCGTGATGCTGACCGTGTCCGATTTTATCGATAATTCAGTCTCGAACATGCTCAACAAATTCCATGGGCAACCGGAAAGCTATGATAAGAAGTAATCCTCCAACTTCCTCACGTATGTCCATGCTGACCGCTCAGTAGGTCCAAGTACCGATTCGGGCGAACCTTGGGGGCCGGCACATATGGAATCGTCAGAGAGGCTGATGGCCCAACGGGAAAGGTCGCCGTCAAGATTATCCTCAAGAAAAATGTCAAGGGCAACGAGCAGATGGTCTACGACGAACTTGAGATGTTGCAACGGATGAAACACCCCCATATTGTCAAGTTTGTCGATTGGTTTGAGTCGAGAGTAAGAGGCGGGACCATACATACGGCTTCATGTGATGGTGGCTGACTGGCTTGATAGGACAAATACTATATTGTCACGCAGCTTGCGACTGGAGGAGAATTATTCGACCGAATCTGCGAACAAGGAAAATTCACAGAAAAGGATGCTTCACAAACGATTCGACAAGTCATAGAGGCCGTCGACTACCTGCACGATAACAACGTCGTTCACAGAGGTTAGCCGAGTCCTGGTTGACACTACCTTTCAATATTAACCAATTACAGATCTCAAACCTGAAAATTTACTCTACCTAAGTTCCAACAAAGACTCCGATCTCGTTTTGGCTGATTTTGGAATCGCCAAGATGCTGGACTCCAAGGACGAAGTCCTTACAACAATGGCTGGATCTTTTGGCTATGCTGCCCCAGAAGTTATGCTGAAGAAAGGTCACGGAAAGCCAGTAGACATGTGGTCGCTCGGTGTTATCACATATACTCTACTCTGCGGATATTCTCCTTTTCGAAGTGAGAATCTTCAAGACCTTATTGATGAGTGCAGCAGCGGCAAAGTGATTTTCCATGAGAGATATTGGAAGGATGTTAGTGCCGATGCCAAAGATTTCATCGGACACTTACTTCAACCAGATGCTGATGACAGATCTACCAGCAAGGTATGTTTCACGGAAGCTCGAAGCTAGACACACTCTAATGATCTCACAGGAAGCTTTAAAACACACTTGGCTCAGTGGTGAGAACGCCACCGATCACAATTTGCTTCCAGAAATCAAAGCCTACATGGCCAAGGCTCGTCTTCGTCGCGGCATCGAAATCATCAAACTCGCAAACCGTATCGAAGCACTCCGTATGCAAGAGGACGATGAGGATGGAGAGCATGGACAAGCAGACGTTCCAGAAAATGCAGAGGCAGCAGCAGGAGAGGCACTATCTGGAGCTGATGCAGGCAGTTCAGCAGCATCTGCATCCAGCGCTCACGCGCCCAAGAAATCTTTAAGCAAGATCGCCAAAACTGCGATATTCAGGGAAGTGGTTCTCGCCAAAGTTCGCGAGATGAAGGCAGCGGAGGATGCGGCTCAGGTGGAATTGGAGGCCCAGGAGAAGGCCAGTGGTGGCGTCAGTGCTGCCTCTACCATGAAGCCAGCAAAGAAAGGCTGAGCGGAGGGGAAAAATTGTTCGTATTAGCAGGTCTTCTGGAGGTTCTTCATATTCGGGTTCAATGGAGGAATATTTCAATACCCGCGCGCGCGTTGCGAAGTTCTTTTTTCTTGATGAGATCCCGCGGAGCGGGCAGTAACGTGATGCGGGTATGTTGATGAGATGATTGGTACAGAATGAAACACTATTCGGAAATGACATTTGATGGTTTAGCGAGTTTGTGTAAGGCGGGTGCTAGGCGGAAATAAGACGTTAAAGATGCTTACAATGATAGGAAACTGGGAAGAAGTTTCTTTTCTCGCTTATTTATGCACTCTCTCTTAATGAGAATGAGCTTTATTAGTCTCGAAGTACTTAAATAGGTGCTCGTACCAAGAGCTAGCATCTACACGTACGCAACGTTCAACGGACTTGATACTATACGCTTCTAATCCCTATTTCATTGCTTAATATCTTTTGACTTATACGTTGGTATCTATACCAAGTCACTTTTGGGCTCGTGTTTTGACCACGTTAATAGGTTGTTTTTGTTGTTGTTGTTTTTCTTGCTAGATAGTAGATACCTGAGACTTGATATTTGTTGCAGGATATTTGATATTCACTCACTACTACTCGCACTAGCGTCATTTCAGGGTATTTAATACCCACCTGTACAGTACCTTGCTTTACAGATTAATGAGTTCCCCCCCTTCTTATCTCGCAACAATATTTTTGTTGTCTGGGAGCGGAACTGATACGGTATGTCTTTGAGACTGATTACCTTTCTCCTTTTGAGGGGTTGAGGAGGATAGTAGAAAAGGAGGTTGGTGGTTATTGAATGGTTTGAGGTTTGGGTTGGAATTGGGGTTAGGAATTTGGTTGTATACTTGGCTCTTATTTGTGGACGGGGATGATTTAGTGAGTGAGATAGGTGGAAATCATGTCTTTCGTGGTTTGTATTTGATTTTTGGGTTGTTGTTGGTATTCTAGGTATATATGATATCACTTGGGGGTGTGGGATCTATAGGATATGCGGTACCGTAATGATTGGTACATAAGATATCCTGCGATATAGATAAGGCTCCAACCTAGAGCAAAAATCATATCTTATAAATTTAACTAATAGAATCGCACCAAAGTACCCCTCATTATACCCCTCATCCAAGTACAGATATACTAAAACTCCACCTAATTCCTATCTATATTCATATCTTTACAGATTTTAACCCGTCTTTCCTCGTCGATTTGACAAACTTTTGAATACTATATGCTATCTTATATTCCGATTAATGCGGTACTGGCATTATTGTTGGTTGTTACTTACTTTTGTGGAAATTTGGGGTGGAGTACTTGGGTACTCAGGTACATAGGTACAGAGGTACAGAGGTACATCTCGATTACATGTATTTGCTGACGTTTCGACACCCCACCATCTCAGGCGCAAGCTTCACGGAGTCGTCAGACTACATACTTGCACAGCAACAAGCATCCTCAATATACCATCATCAACCCCGGAGACCTCTCTCTCCGTTCGATCCTCTTCATAAACAGCGATAGCCTCAATCCAGAATATCAACATCATCTAGCACGGTAGAAGACTCCCACCGGATTCACAAAAGCGACGAAAATTCGAAATCGAATTCGAACAGCACCAGGAATATCCCCATCGGCAGAAATATACCACAAAGAAGGAGGAATAGTGTCTCTCAATAACAGCAATATATATATATCGGTGCCAGGGTATATCAACCATGGTGTATTGCAAACTGGGAAAGATAAGGAAGAAGGACCGGACGGAGGTTGAAAAGAACCGGAAAGGTATTGGAAGAGAACACTTGAAGGATGAGATGGAATACAAGAAACGTGTCATGGATATGGAAAACAGTCGTTCTGGAGCTGGAGGAGGAGGGTCGTCGCATACAGGCGGTAAAGCTCAAGCCTCAAACAAATGCTATGCGTCCGGAGACATGTCAAGAAACCCTTCCACCCAGGAAGCAGAGGAACCAAAACCTAGAAAAAGAGGACTGCCGAATTCCTCATTGAGCAACCGGCCAACCGTGTCTCGCGTTGAAACAGTCATGGAAACCAAAAACAAAATTTCCGTTGCTCAGTCTCGTCGTATAAAAGCAGCTGACGATATCATTACACGTTTCCCTGGAATATACAACGACCCAAATTTTGTTATCGAAGCTACAGACAAGGATACATACGTGCTCGTTCTGGAGCTTTGCGTCCTGCCTTGGCTTCATGATCATCTCCCAGAATTACTTGGAAAACAAATTGTCATCAACCATTCCCAGGGCCCAGATGGCGACCAGAGATTACTATACATTTCGACGCCTAATCCGCTACCTCCATATTCAGAGGAAAAGGTTGAAATATTAGGAACTCTTCACAGACTCCTTCCTAAAAGCGCCATCGAAATCTCCGTCAAGTTTTGCGAAGGTGGGATAGAAAGCTCCTCGGGGGGGAGGAATGATCGCTATTGGGAAGTTCCGACTATGGGAGATTCTATTAGCGCATACGGAAGCCAGAGTACGGGTACTCTCGGGCCCTGCCTCAAGTTTGGCAACAAGATGTTCTGGATGTCTAATGAGCATGTCTTTGACGAAGCGGGTGAAAACGTAGGAGTGCATCATCCTCAATGGGACCACGACTTTGTTTTTCCAAACGGCTCCAGTAAAAGCACCATAATTATTGGTAAATTGAATAAGCGCTACGGTATTGACCATAGAAAATCTTCACACCCGTTCTGGAACAGATCAGAACCACTCCCCAGTGCATTTGGTGAAGTAGCAGTGGCCATGTTAAGAGCAAGCTCGCTATTACAGGAAAGACGTACGCCTCATTCACCTTGCTGGTAAACAGAGACCTTTGGAGTTAAGAGCTCCTTCTGGTATTGAAAAGTGCAGTCATATCAAGAACATTGAACGAATTCGACCGGGCGAGCTGATTCGAATGACAGGACGCACCTCCGGCATTTACGGACTGGGAAGAGTTGGCCTGCTACCAGATTCGTGGTTTGAAGATGGTGTCTGCTACAGAGAATGGACAATCGAGCAAGATTCTGGTACACCCTGGGATGAAGAAACGGGCATTGGCGCCAGAGGTGATTCCGGAGCGGGAATTGTGCATGCTCGCGATAACAGTCTTTGTGCTTTGTTATGGGGCCGTATTCATGGAGACGCGCCTTTGAAGGCCTATGTTACGGATATTCTCGACCTTGAAACTGCGATTCGTGCTGACGATCCATCACTTGGAGCCATGGATCTGATGGACTGCGATTGTTCAAACCTGCCAAGGAGTAATCTCGATCGTTGTTCTGCCTACCAAAGACCTGCGTTGCATGCCGCAACAAACTCGCAAACGAATACAGTGGTGTTGGGGAAGTCTCAGCAAATTCAGCAAGCACCAAAGATACCATCCATTGCTATCAAGTCAACACAACCGGCGAAGTGCGTCCCCATGGGTGAATTACTACAACGAAGCACGAGGGAAATTTCTGATTCACAGTCTATAAATGATCTACAGAACTCTTTTTCGAGTTTGGTGAGCTTGGATGAGCAGCGCACATCTGCTGAACCGGAATATGAGAGCATATTTTCCTCCTCAAGTTGTTCCTCGAAGTCATCGATAGCCTCGTTATCTACCGTTGCATTTCTTGCTTCGATATTGAAGCAAGACCCAGCTCTGGCGAAGCCTTGGTTTGGTAAAAGTCGCATTTCTCAGAGAAAACTTCGCTTAAAAATTGATAATTTGATCAAGCGACTCGGCAGTGACCTCGCTTCTGAAACACAATCCCAGTCAACACCAGAGGGAATATACGCACAGCTTCTTGGTTACCATCACAAGGCATTATCTTTATACGTATGCCGTGAGATACTCCAGTCAAACACCACTCTCAGAAAACTTTCTGGTTCGGACAAAGAGCTGGGGGAGTCTCGGGCTCGTCACTTATCCGGATGGCTGATGCAATCTGAATTTCGCACGACAGGAGGCTTCTGTGACCAGGAAGAACGACGCAGCGATTCTGATGGCATATCAAATCAATCTGGGTGCCCATCGGATGGGAGTTATTTTGAGGAAGAAAGCAATGATGAGTCTAGCGAGTTCCTAGCGGTGGCCAATTTCATGAAGGATTCCACAGCGCTGAAAGTCTTCTCAGCACAGCTGCGCGATTTAATTGAATCTGGTGCTGAGTGATTCAACCTTAGGAAGAGTATGTAGCTGTAGATATAGTAGTCTGGTACGACTGTATCTGAAGCTTTCTGTGAAGTATGCGCTTTAATTCACGTTTCGTTCACCAACTCCTTTAACCTAATGACGGCCTGATATGTAAACATATATTGCTATAATGCTATTCCTTTTAAGTCCTGAAGACTCATAGATCTTCCTCATTTATGCCTACCTAGATCGTCAAAGGTGTTGCAGCTGGCGGTAGTATTACTCCAGCGTGGATCTGATGGAATGGAAAGCAACCGCCAGGGCCACCATATGAAATCAACCATGAAACAAGTTATCTGCACTACAGCTACAACATGAGGAACTTCTCATATCTCATGTTTTAGTTCAACACCATCGGTTCTTCCCATCTTCATTGAGGGAGACAAAACAAAAAAGTCCATCACTGCTCCTCACAAGCAACCTCTCGTCACCGCCGCCTTTTCCCCACGATCACCTTTTGACCCCGAGAGTTTAACTATATGCAGTCCAGTATGAGGAAGGGCCAAGGGGGGTTTTATACTTGAGCACAGACTACGCCATGCAGTCCCTCTTTCTCTCTAAACTAAATGGTCGTCCTGTCTTGGCACAAGCCTTCTAAGCGAGAAGAAGGCAGGAGCGACTTCACCCTTTGTGTCAAGCTGGAAGGCAACTCCCGTGGGTTGAGAGCACTGAGTTCCATGGGTTAAAGGAAGGTATGATCCCACGGCTTCAACTTGATTTTCTGCTAGAGCCGTTGACCCGAAATCACAGGTCAAAGAGGACGACATCTGTGATGAAGCTTGCGCCTTCTGCTCTTGCGACAACTTAACATCAACTCAACATACAGGTGCAGTGGTCTCAACCTCGTCTCATTCTCGTCTCGTTCACACAAGAAATTGAGGCTGATCAATTCACACAAGGCTCTTATATTGACACCCCAGTAGGTAGGTAGATACCTTTGACTTCTACTACCCCTGCCTCTGCATCCGCTCAATCAAATATGTGTTGGCTTTCTCCCAGCTACGTAGCTAGCATTATTGATCTTGTTTGGATTCTTCATGCTCACATCACGAATTTCTTATTCTGTGCATTGGTCATTCATCTGCGCTAGCATTGGAAGATCTGCGATTTAAGTCATCATGGTTATAGTTCGCTTCTACTCGAATGGTATGTGATGAACTGGTGGGATTTTGAATTTGATATTGAGACTTTTGTGATATTTTCTGTCAATGCGTCATTTGAGGGCTTATTTGTATTGCTCTCTGGATTACTATTGAGATTTTTCTGGTTCAAAATTACCTTTTGGATAAGTAAAGAGCTAGGCAGCCGTTTCTTAAGAGGGGCTCCCCTCCCCGTCTTATCACCCTATTTTCACTCATGAAGGCTTCCTGGGAGCTTGGTTTCCCCATGTCTTATCTATCAAGTTCTACGAACAGTTCAAGACATCTCCTTTGTTTTGATTCATTTCTGGAATGAGCTTTGGACCCTTTATCACTATACCACTTTCAGAATGAGCAAATTTGTTGGTTTCAATCCTATGAAGCTGATATAGCATCATTGAAGCATTCACAATTGGAACATCCGCTTTTCCCACTTTATTTTCATTCATCTTTGATTAATTTTTCATCCTACTTTCTTCATTCTCCTTGCCAAACATCTGAATCAATATTGTAACACAGATTGTTACGGTTGAGTCATGTTGATTTATATCGCTGCCAAACTTTGAAAGTTGTCTTATCAGAACAATGGTAACACTGCATTATGTTGCGATTCATAAACATATCTTGTTTTCAATTTCTCAGAAGAGAAAGCAATAGCCAATGAATTTGTTGAATATTTTGACTCAAAATTACGTCAGATGCTTCCTTTTATACAGAAACTAACGTACTTAAAAAGTTTGAACAGTTGTGCAGGTGACAGCTATAGCTGTAAATAGTTGCATGCTTGAAAGTCAATTTGTGAAAGGATTGTTACGTAATTTGCGAATTTTCTTGTAGTTGCACAGATGTTGTGTCTCGTGACTAACACCCACTGCTAACCACAAAGGTTCGGTTAGGCCCCTTTTCAATTAGCCGAAATCGGTAAACTTTTACCTTCCGTCTCTATATACATATGCTTCGTTCGCCATATTCTTACTCCCATTGCCTCATTGAATGCATGACCCCCTAAAAGAATTTCTTAAAACGCATCTCTTCCGCTTGTTGGGGGTTGTTGAAGATGTTCTTGCAGCATTTTCGCCCTTAGTTACTCATGGATTGAAAAAGCTACGTGCTTAGGTAGATAACGAGAAACGCAAAGTTACGCTTGTTTACCAAGTTCCAGCTTTTCTGCCCAACAATTAGATGATAATTTAGGATGTTAGAATAGGATTGTAACCACTGTGCAAATTATTGCCCATTTCTTGAGCCAGGACGCACTGACGCTGGGAACTGATAAAACTGGAGAGCAAACAGCCACCTCTTTCCTCTGATCACGTCACGCAGTCACACGATGACTGGATATGCATCAGCGTTTCTTAAACAGGCTAGCGCAAAGAAATAAGACCCACAGCCACAGCTATTTCTTCCCCTCTCCCTACCAGAACATCACAACCCTGTCAACCCCTCATCAACATTCTTTTCAAAAGGTACCCATGCCCTCGTACCCATTTGAATCATTTGGTTATTCAAAACAACTGCTAACCATCTAAGCAAGATCTGCCCCATATCCTCCAAGCAGATAGCTCCTACGTACTCTTTGCTGCATACTATCAAGGTTCGCGATTCCCTTCCACTCTGCCCCACATTATCTATGAAGCTTGAATATGCTTGAATATACCCCAATACTTCGTTCAATAAATTTTCACTGGCTTGAGTATCACTATCTAATGTATTTTTTGAAAGAGTAGGCCGTTTTCCAAAGTGCGTCATCCTACTCTACTCCTTCAGACCATGTGGCAATATCTTGACATGGACTAAAATACTGACAGGTACCTGTGCTTGAAAGTATTTCATGTGAGTGGAGTGTTCTTTCTGCTATCCCTAATCCTTCTCTTTCACACAATAGTCTACGCCATACTTGCAAGTCCTGCATGCTCTGCCCCTGCCTCAGGCTCCTGGCGTTGGTTCAGCACAAATCCAAGAACAATAGCCAATGCAATGGCGTCTCCAGACTCCATACGCAGTTTCAAGTCTATTCTTGTAAGTAGGCAGCAGGCACAATGAAGCCTCTCTGCTGTGGGCACCTTGCCTGTACTCTTCAACTTTCCACTCTCGCTTAAGCTTGCACTCTCTGAGTACCCCGCCCGAATCATCAACATTTTCCCTCTCCTAACCATTGAATTGCAGAAAGCACTGAAGAAGAATAGCTGAAATTGTGCGAAGCAAGTACCTTTCTCGAGGCGTCTGGTGTAAGTACAAAACACATACGCTATACCTTCTCAGACTCAATTCTTTCCTCGTCATCCCTCTGCCGTTTCGCATCCCCTCCTCCGCTTCCGAGAATCAATACTTACTTACCTTCTTTTGGCACCCATTTCATGAACTGATAGTTCTTAGTACAGCAAGTCTCGCAAGGATTGCTCCACAGCTAGAAGGTTCGTAACCTCTGCCTCATTGCTCGTACTTGCCACTGGCGAACATCATCCAGCTTCCTTCAAAGAATATGCCTCCCTCTTTTTCAACTTGCTTCCAAAATCCAAAACTGACAATAAATAAAGCCGATAATTTCCTCACTCCGAATTCGCAAGGATCCATCATAATCTAATGGTTCGTCATACCCCCTCAGCCTAAAACCAGGCTCCGCTACCGCACATTGTCCCACTTCTTCCGCGTCAATAATTCATCCTCATCCCCCACAACTCTACAACTTTACAACGCTCATCAACGAATAAAATCTGATTATCATGAACAGCGAAGTTATACACAGACTTGACAATCCCAAACAAAGGACACGCCGCAAAGGTCCGTAATTGCCATTTTCCTTTTCTTCCCTTGCTTTTCCACATGCCGCCATCGCACATACTCAGATCTCTTTCGTTGTTTCCATTCTTCCTCTGTCCAACAATTACGTACAAGCCACATGCTCAACTAACACAACTTTCATAGCCTTTCGAAACTAGACACAATCTTGAACGAGCAGGACAATACTTTAAAGGTTAGTAGTCATTCTCTCCAATTCCATCTCAAACTTGGTTACCACTCAACATATTTCCGTCTGATTTCCATGGACGTTACCCCTCATCAGTACCTATGACTAATCGATATGGTTGATCAGACCAGGCTTTGGTTGACAAGGTTCGCAACTACACATTTCCTTCGTCACCCCCCTCCATAAAGCCTCGAACTTGCTAAGTTACCTCTGAACTACTTTCTGATCTCCACATCACTTTCAAATATTGTCAAACTGAGGTGTTGTTCTGAAGTTGACTCATTTCTTTGCTTTGAGGGTCCGTAATCGCACCCCGTTGCGGCCCTCGCCTAATTTGACGACCCCTTTAGCGCCTTCCTATTCAGCCGTTTCTTCTACTTTCATTCACAACCTGCTTCGGAGAAAATTCAACTGACCTCCAGCAGCCAGAATAGCCTACAGGTTCTCTCTTCTTAGCGCATTTCAAGTTTTCCCTGTCGTTTCTGAGTCATACACCAATACCTAGACGCATACACTCAATACCTAGACGCACACGTCCAATACAAAGCCAACTCGCCAAAATGTGTACCAAACACTTCATCGGTTTCCCCTGCGGTCACTGTTCAGTTCCAACACTGGTAAAATGCCCACTCGTCACATCCGACCCCAGGTTTCCGATTTGCACAAACCCCGCCGAACAACCGCACCAGTCTGAGACAGTCTGCCACCCTTGCTCCCGCGTACTTTGGAATAACGAGGTTTTGAAGAAGGAAAATGAGCACAAACAACTCCACCGAGATGGAAAGTGCGTATGTGACACTGTATTCCAAAATTTCGAGGATACCGATGTTACAGTCTCTACACCGCAGACTCCACAGGCACAATACTCGTGGACTGAACGGGTCGTACCATGGACGCCTTACCCACCATTTAGTATGGACATGGCTATGGGACAAGCTGCTTCGGAGCCATATGGGCCTGTGGAGATGTATCGAAAGCTCCAGTATCAACTTGACGAAGATAGATTGGCTTTTGCAAAGCAATACATTCAAGAGCATCCTGAGCAGAAGCTTTACTACGATCACCGGGGATACATTTACTTAAACGCTCCCGACAAGATTGCCAGCCCTCATGAACTGGGTGTGAAAGTTCCAGCGAGCGCTCAGGATATTCATGGACGACCACCCTTGCCGCCTTCTTCAGGAAGGTCAAATTTCGTGATGTATGACCAGTCTTTTGGTCGAACGGATTTCGAACGACTGGATGTAATTGTGTTGCAATTGGAGGCTCGGGGGTATGATCCAATTGCTGCTAGGGCGGCTTATGATGCAGATTGCGCTTCGAAGGTTTATGGAGTTCAGTGGGATAGAGTGCTTTCTGGCCCGGCTTCTGGTGCTGGCCCGTATAACTATGGAGGAAGTGGTAGCGGCACTCCAATAACCCCAAGTCAAACTTATGGCGCTCCTGCTGCTGGTTTTGATGTTGTTGGTCCACCAAACTACACAGGATCTAGCAACAACTACCCAACTACTTCAAACGCATCTCACACCCATGGAAACAGCCAAATATCTCTTGCCTCCCCCAACTCTGCAGCACCCCCTCCACCACCCGGCTATTACACTCCAAACCAAGCGATGAACCAAACATGGAACACCACCACACAGCCCTACCAGCCCGCATTCCAACCATATAATACAGTCGTCGAACCTCAACAGCCAGTATCGGGATACGTAGCCAATCGCGGGTACGGAGGAGGAAAATACAGACAAGTCAGATATGGTCCCGGTCCGAGATACCACCCAGAAGCCCCTCAACCTTTCTCAGGAGCTCCAAATGACTTTTACACCCACCCAGGCGCAAGAATGGCAGCTACAAACCCTTCCGACAACAACATCGAGTCTCTTACTCAGCTTGAGAATCTAAACATTGGTGCTGGGGGCCCTATGCAACATATGTCTCATCGAGCTGGATCGCGAGCTAAAGGACGGAGAGGTAGTGTAGGCAGCTATGCAAAGAGAACCTCCCAACGTACCTCACAGGCTTCCAAAAATGGTGTTTCTTCCCATGACAACGCATTGCCAAAAGTCAAGCTGCCAAATGCCGGAAATACTGGTGTAGAAAATGAAGGAAATGCCCAAGAAACCACTTCTACCACCACCACACCCTCTCTCACAGCTCCAAATACCCCAAATATCGAGACCCAGGCCGCAGAAAGCGCTTCAGACGCCGTCGAGAGCACCGCAGCAGACCCAGACACCATTTCCAATACAGAGAAACTCGAAAAGGAAGAAAAAACACCATCAAGACCAAAATCCACCACTTCATCAGACTGCCCAGACCTCACATCCCCAGTCATCGTTCGCAGCCAAATGGCACAATAAACACCTGCAAAATTCGAATACCCAAACCATCTCGCAAACCCAATTCCCTGAGGAAAACTTTCAAAAATCATGAAAAATGATATACATCAATGATCAACCAAAGAAAGCTGTTTTCCAAACCCTTTCGAAAACCTTCATCTTTGCAACAACGATCAGATACCGCAAAACGAAACTCTTTTCCGATGGAAGTTTGAGGAGTTTGAATATTTCGGGATTTTCGGAGAACTGTTTCTCATGGATGGAATCACGACGTATGAATTATTCTCATAGATGGCTGAGAGATTTGGATATTTGAAACTTTTCAAGGCATTTGTGTTGTGGAGATGAAGATCATTTGACCGCTTTCTTCTCATGAATGGTCGATGAATTTGGATACTCGAAGCATTCCAGAAATTCCATTTTTCAAGGCTCAATCACACGGTATCGTAAAAACTCAAATGTGCGGACAAATTTGGAGAAGGCATTCTCAAGGGCTGAAAATGCGATGGTATCCAGAATCTCAACCACTACCAAGATATTCGAATGTACGACTCCATTTCAGAATCTCTTCCCTTCAAACCAAACATACGATGAACGTTCTCTCTTCTCCAGTAAGTAATTTCCAAAACCCCGATTCAATCTTTCATAAAACAGAAATATGGAAATGCAGTTTTGAAAACTTTCTTGTATCTTATGCTAGAATGCCAACTAACACCGCTAGCGCACTTGCAGATCTGTACCAAAACAACAAAAGGAACAACTATGCGCCTGACCATCTCGAATTTCTTTTCTATCACCCGAAAATGTACAATTCAACTCAATGGTTCCTCTCCACTTTCCCCAACCCCCACTTGGTCTCAACGATCCACTTCACCGAACACTACACAAATTTTCATTAGTTTTCTTTTTGTATACAAGGGATGGGGAATAACTAGAGAGAAACATACCTAGATCCATAGTTCCGATAATGGCAACCGCATCAGCAAGCAAATGTCCTCTTGAAATCTGATCAAATGCTCCCAGATGTGCGAAACCCGGTGCTCTAATCTTGCAACGATAAGGACGTTCACTTCCATCACTCACAACGTACACACCCATCTCTCCCTTGGGGGCCTCGATGGCGGAATATGTTTCTCCTGGTGGAACGGTATAACCTTTAGTGAAGAGTAAGAAATGATGAATTAATGCCTCCATGTTCTCCTTCATCGCCGCACGGGGTGGTGGTGAAACCTTGTAGTCCTCTACACGAACAGGTCCGGGTGGCATTTTGTTCAGACATTGATGGATGATTCGCAGACTTTGACGGAATTCCTCCATACGGCAGAGATATCTATCATAACAATCTCCGTTTACGCCGACGGGAACATCAAATTCAACCTCTCCGTATGCATCATATGGCTGACTCTTTCTAACATCCCAGGGCACACCAGATCCTCGAAGCATGACACCGGAGAAAGAGTAGTTAAGTGCATCAGCGGCCGAAACAACTCCAATTCCCTTGGTACGACCAATCCAAATACGGTTGTCAGTCAAAAGTTCCTCAGTTTCATCGATACGGTCCGAGAATTGGGTTGCCCATTGGTAAATATCATCAAGAAGCCCGACGGGGATATCTTGATGAACGCCTCCAGGTCGAACATATGCAGCATGGAGACGGGCTCCAGACACACGTTCATAAAATTCCTAGTTACCAAGTTTAGTATAGTTCCCCTTCACATAGCACACATAATGAGAGTTTTGCATACCATCAACTTTTCTCGCTCTTCAAACCCCCACAAGAAAGGTGTAAGAGCACCAACATCCATAGCGTGAGACAAGACCGACATCAAATGGTTCAGGATTCGGGTAATCTCTCCGAACAGCGTTCTAATCCACTTGGCTCTCTCTGGGATCTCGACGTTCAATAACTTCTCTACGGCCAAAGAAAAACATTGCTCGTTGGTCATCATAGATACGTAATCCAATCGGTCGAAATACGGCAGCGCTTGAAGGTACGTCTTGTACTCAATTAACTTCTCGGTTCCTCGATGTAGCAACCCCACATGCGGATCAGATCGCACAATCTCCTCTCCATTGAGTTCCAAAATTAATCGCAGCACACCATGAGCAGCAGGATGTTGAGGTCCAAAGTTTACAGTGTAGTGTCTGATCTTCCTATTCTCCACCGCGCCCTCATCCAGGTTCGAATCGGGTGTGTAGTTGATATGTTGAGTATCCGACGACGTAGGGTGGGCGAACGGATCGGTAGGGATAAGTTTCGTTGCTTCATAAGGAGCGGCATGTCTTCGAGATGGGATGGCAGAGAAGGCTCGCGAGGTTCGTGGAAGTGCGGGCCGCAAGCAGAGGCGTTTGGCACTGTGGCCGGCCAGCCGGGCAAGAGAAGCTGCCATTGTGATTGAGGACCAGAAGAGTGGAGTTGTGGAATCTTGTCACCAGAATGAGGTCGTCTAGAATTCAATTGGTGCCAACTGAGGCGGACATGTATATGCGGGCGTCCGGTTGCTTGAACGACGTCTATGTCGCCTCCGAGCTTGAGTCGTCGAGGTTGATGATTTACAAATTGAGCTAACGTGGTTGGCCAATGAGATTGTCGGGATTTCGGGGAACCTTCTTGGGGGTGAATCTAGCTCGGAACGGAACATCTATGTTTTGCGAGTGCAGGGATCCTACAAAAAATTCCATTCTGCGACCCGACTCGACTTTCTATCAGAGACCCCGCCAAATCCGTATCGCGAAAGTATCGCAAGCAAAAGAATGGCGCCCAACGGAGCAAAAGTTGTCGCTAGTCAAGCAGAGCTTGATCGTCGAAAAGTATGAAATCCAAAACTCCAATTTGAAGGCTCACCAAATAACTAATGGTCCCTCTCCAGGTTGTTGGCGTGAACCTCGAAACAGTAACAGATGTAACTTCCACCGACTTCCCAGGTCACTGGCCAGGCGAAGACCACAGCTGGTCCATCGAAAAGTTTCGCGAAGCATGCTCGGTTCAATTTTACAAGCGCAGCAATCTCGAAACAGAATTTTCCCTCATCGGCGTCGACGCTTCGATTGCCAATGCCTACCGTCGTATCATGATCGGAGAGATTCCCTCTTTAGCAATTGAACGAGTCTACATATACAACAACACCTCCATTATTCAAGACGAAGTGCTTTCAGCTAGATTGGGACTAATCCCTCTCACTCTTCCCGGTGGTGTTCGAAAATTGAAATGGTGTGCGAAACCAGAGGAAGGGGAGGAAGTCGAAAGTAACGATTCAAACACCATCCGGCTAAGTCTGAAAATCGCATGTACACATAACCGCGACGCCGCACCAGGAGAAAGAGATCCATTAAAAGCATATCACCATGCTCACGTATACGCTCGAGACATCAAATGGATACCCTTTGGAAATCAAGTAGAAGTTTTCGGCGGAGAGGACGCAATAACTGCCTTGAACCCAGATATTCTGATCGCAAAGATGAGACCGGGGCAGGTCATGGATATTGAGATGGATGCTATATTGGGAGTCGGATCAGATCACACTAAATACTCACCCGTCGCACCAGCCTCCTATCGTCTTCTTCCAACAATCGATATACTCAAACCCATCATCGGCGCCGATGCAGAGAAATTCTCTCGTTGTTTCCCTCCCGGTGTGATTGAGCTCCAACCAATTAGTAAAAAAGAGGCTGCAAAGGCAGGGAGCGGATACGAAGGGCACGAGGGCGAGAAAAGGGCTGTGGTTGTGAATGCCATGAAAGATACCGTCAGCAGAGAATGTCTTCGCCATGATGAATTCAAAGACAAAGTCAGACTCGGAAGGATTCGCGATCACTTTATCTTCTCCGTGGAAAGCGTGGGACAATGGAACAGTGATGAGCTATTCTTGGAATCCGTTGCTCTTTTGAGAAATAAAGCCGAGGCGTTGCAGGCACAAGTGAGAGCCTTGCCACAATAGATTCCGGTGCTGGGTAGAGGTGGGAGATAATGTGTCACGATTAATTTTGAGGCATCGCAAGTGCATTTATAGGAGTTGAGTTGGTGGTAATAGGCGTTTTTTCTGTAGTGTGGATTGGGATAGAATTCACAAGTGTATCTAGGTAGCTTAGACTCCTCGATTTATGGCGTCGTTTCGAGGAAGTGAAAGACAAAAGTGTGCTTCCTTCATCTCATTTCTCCGTAATTCCGTGACTCCATACTGCCTACTGCCCGCTCGCTCAAGAATAGCTAATATTACTAGAACTTTTCATGTACCACCACACCCATCTATTTCCGAAATGCCCCCAAAGTCGCAAACCTAGCTGGCCCCTTTTGTTCAAACGATTTTGGCCTTTTCAGGCGGGTACTCAAGTATATCAAAATATTAAGATTCAGTTCCCTCCACCGCCTTGAACTCCTTCGAGAAGTTGAGTCTGTATTTGAAGTTTACAGTTCCCAAGCTTGGATCTGTGACACCAATCTCGTCACCATTACCAACCAACTCCCCAATCTTCTTAATCAAATTGGGCCTTGTCTGCTCCTCCAGACTTGGGGGGCTCTGCATGTACAAAGTAGTATCTGCTCGAATACTGGGCTTTTTAAGTTGTGACTCGGCTCTCTCTGCCAGACTTGCAATGAAATCCTCCAGAGTAATATTTGGATCAACACTCAAATCCATGGCCAAATTTCCACATACTGGACAGTCGTCTTTCTTGTCATGCACCATCGTATGCGTGTATATCGAGGCTGTGCCGTTATACATCATATAATTGTCTTCTGGTCCGAGATAGGGGTTCGTATTGGTGGCTATCTTGAAGGCTTCGTTACAGCAGCTAGCTGCAATGATGGCGTTTGTGGAGGCGATGGCAGGAATGATGTTTTTTACTACACCTTGCGTAAGAGAATATGTCACACCCGTGATTTTAAATTCTTCTGCTCGCGCAAGAGCCTTTTTGTAGAGCCATGTGATATGTTCCGGGTCATCATTGTCAAGAGCTGGGAAAGGGTGCTCTTGTTCCCACGCAATTATATGTGCCCATTCAATGCAATGTTCTGGTTGACGTGGGATCGTTGCGAGGGTACATAATGGAACAGCTTGCCGGGGTGCGTGCATATCAAGTTGGCATTCTATACAGGAGGTAAGAGTGGGGAGGATTGTACGAGTATGACCGGAGAATCCTGCACACTGCATTAGATATCAGACAAGAAAGGCTAGCAAATGTTCATTACCTTCAGTACCGCCGTCGATGAGAGGTTTCAGGCTATCTGGGTTATTATCATCGACCAGGTTGACCAAGGTAGAGTTGATCCATCGTCTAGCTTCAACACTGTCTAATCCACAAACCACTAGGTTAAACTGCATATAGAAATCGTCGTCCTTGTCTTGAATCTTGCAATTATGTGGGGTGATGGTAACTCCCTTCACTCGCTTCTCGACGAATTTGGCAGCAACTTCTGCTTTCGAGCTACCAACGTCGCTGGCTCGAAATAGGAATTGGCGGTTAAGATTCGAAACATCGATCGTGTCTGCGAGGTTATTAACATGGAATGTATCGAAAGCAGACGAAGTGGGGGGAAAGTGTACCCATATCAATGACATCTATGCATTTGAAACCGGAGAGGGCCAGGTTCTTTAATATCTCACATCCAAGTCCTCCTGCTCCGCTGTTATGTAGATTAGCAATGCGTTCGTTTGGGCGGAAATCCGGAGGGAACTAACATGACTCTGTAGAATAAATGGTTAGCAATGCAGCACATTATCACCTCTTAGTAGTACTTACAGAACTTTGAAAGCTGACTCGACCTGCTGCACCGCTTCCTCGGTCCCTTCAAAGTCCTCCGCAACGAAAGGACCCTTGTGCAGGCGAACATTGTTGAGATAGGTCCTAGAGGGGGGAGGTTAGCAGGTGGAGGTGGAGTGCAGTACAGAAGAGGAGAATCACCAGCGATCTTTCTTGGGTTCTGAGATTGCCATGGTACCTGATATCATAACAGGTTGTGACATGCCTTAGGCTCAGGGATTTTGTTTCTGTGTGGAGTTCTGGAATCCTCGTATTTCTCAAGGAAGGTACGTCAGAGGGGTTGTTGGAGGTCGTGTTTGTTCTTGCCCTGGATGAGCTTCTGGGGCTTATCTTATCTGCCTGCAGCTGGTCTGTGCGGCACCTTTTGGCGTACTCTTAGGCAAGGGCGTTTCTAGAGAGCGAGCGAGCTAGCTTCACTGGCCCACTCTGCCGTTCTTTTATAAACCAGCTCCATTTCCTCTTTTGGCAACAAGCCAAACTACACCGAAGGAATCCAGACAAGCATGGATGGATTTCTCACTCCTGTAAGTACCACTTACAAGTCCAACCCCCGGGAAAAGAAAGAAGTTTTCCTCGTCGAAATTCCCAAAATATCAAACCATATTGCCAAGCCCTCCTGGAGCAATGCAACCTCTCCCTCTGAAGCCTTGAATATCTTGAAGAACGAGCCAGATCATGATAGCCTCATCAAAACTCTAAGATATCTCATTCAAGATGAGTCGGATTTCAAAATCACATCACCAAGTCCCATTTCTTCTCAGCTAGTTCATGTCCTTGTCTCGGAAATCCTGCCCAATTACTGGTCCATTTTCTCCGGCGCGGAGGTCCCGAAGTCCAAAAGAGAGAGACCGAAGCAATCAGCAGAGTTGCAGCTGCTTTTGAAATGTCTACGAAGTGTCACAGGCTTGAACTCTATCACTCTGTCTATGAAGAGACATATTCAGCTCTCAAGGGGCTCCAACAAGAAGGTTGCCGGCGGTCCCAATCTTGAAGAAATACTGAATATTCTCTTGGAAACGTCTGCAGCACTCTTGCAAGGCTCGGGCACTGTACAAAATATTGCCGGTACGATATGGGACTCTAATGAAAAACCTACTGCCAAAAAGTCCATATGGAACGAGTTCCTGGGCTTGATTGGAGGAGGCAAGTTATTAGGCATTGCTGCTGAGGCAGAAGCTGTGGTGAACAATCTGAGTGAGAATATTGGACTGCGATATTGGGTAGCGGATAGTACTCTGTTCAGCGTTTGGTTGACGACTAATCTTCAGCACTGGGTGCTCAATTTACCAAAGGATCATGAGCATGGATGGAAATGCTGCGGGGAACTTCTTGGGAAACTACTTCGACTTGGAAAACCAGGCAAGTGCGTTCTGCTCTGGTTCGATATCTTCTAACAGCATCATAGAAAATGTTGTTGGGTCACTTCTGGACTCGATGATTCTAGGAAATGAAGACAAAAGCGCCCAATTTATAACCCTCCTTGACCATTTGCCAGCATTTGAACAAAAGAATGTTCTTTATTCAACGCTTCAATTCGTTTCGAGAGAAAAACTTTCTACATCCATCACAATAGAGGCTGACTCTTCATGGTGGAAGTCGGATGCCAAAGTAGTTTCTGGAGCATCGAGCCTGATTAAATCGCTGGTTTCCGGTGCAGAATCGAGGAGTAGTCAGCTTATGGCTTGGTTGACAAGCTCTTCTGGGGCCGGCGTTGGAGGAAGTATTGCAATTCGACGTGCGGTGGTTGCAGTGATTGCAGAGGAAAAATCTTCTATCGAGAGTCTATTGGAAAAAAGCATTCAACAATTTGGAGATCAGCTGTATGTCAGACATACTCCTACTATACAACAAGAAGGTAATAATACCATCAATTCTCCCTTCGCTTGAGGCTAATAAACTCTAGTTCATGCGCAAATTTTGTTGCTAAGTGCGGGATGTCTACATCGTAAAGCACCCCTTCGACTCTCAATGATGATGCGTGCAGGTACACATCTAAATGCTGTTTCGCATCGTTTGGCGAAATCCTCGCCTCGAACTCGATTCCTGGGAATGGCCGTTGGTGAGGCCTTGTCTAGTCTGGTGGACAAAGGAGACAAGAAAATGGACTTTAAAGTTGACGAAATGTCTACAGCTGAAGCAAAATGGTACAAGAGCCTAGTAAACGTTGTGGACACTGTTGGATCTATAGATTCCTTGAAATTCAAGCTAGTCCCACAAGCACCACCAAAGACCACTTTCCACTCAAAGCCAGCGGAAAAACCAGCACCGTTGAGTGGAAATTCTAGAATTATATCCATTGAGGAAGTAGAGGACGATGAAGACGAGGAGGAAGAAGATTCTGACGACGATGACCTCGCTCCTTATGGGAAACCAGACTCAGACGAAGAGGATTCTGATGAGGATGCCACAAACATTGTTCGCAATAAACCTACCGCCCCAGTTTATATCCGCGATCTGATTACCTACCTACGAGATACCGACAACTATGATCGTCAAAAGCTTGGTCTTCAAACAGCTGCTCCACTGATTCGCAGAAAAGCGAATTTTGGAACCGAAGTCAGCACACATGCAGAGGAACTCGCAACGCTTCTTGTAGGAATTCAAGACAAATATGAGATTGAGGAATTTCAGGAGCTGCGGTTGCAGGGAATGATTGCCATTCTACTTGCTCTGCCTTCAAAAATGGGTCCGTGGTTCGCAAAAACATTTTTCGATGGCGATTATTCAATCTCTCAACGTGCCTCTGTTCTCACAACACTTGGATTGAGTGCTAGAGAACTAGGAGGGTTTGGAAAAGAGGACGTCAAACTAACCAAGGCCGATAAACTAACCAACACTTCATTTCCCTCAAAAGCATTACCGGAAAAAATGCATAATCTCTACATCACAAACACCCAACAACCCAAAAAGGCCACTCAAAAATCTCTCCCATTCTCAGCCCTCACAATCCTCTCAGCAAATCTCACATCCTCCCTCACAAAACCAATAGCAGCAGAAGCTCTCGCCTCATCCTCAAACCCTGCCTTAATGAACTTCAACCCATCCTCAACGAGGCAAATCACCAAAACTAGAACCCGTCCAAAGCTTTCAACAAATGCACTTTCTACGATAGCATCAACGACCTTCTTCTTTTCCCTCACAGGCCGCTTCTTCATCCACCTCCGGGCTTACGGTTCTTCTTCGACGAATAACATTACTTTCGACCCATTCCTTCTATCTCTCTTCATCAAAACACTCGCGCTTATCCTTGATGCCGCCGGTCCTTACGCCACTGGACTACGAGACATGAGACGCGAGTTCTGGGATTTGCTACTCGGTCTTCGGGTTGTAGCGATGGGGGAGAGAGGCGTGATTGAGAGTATGCTCTTTGGATTCCTCGTTAGCTTGGAGTTGAATGCGAATGATTCGGATGGAAGAGAGATTGTGGAGGGTATGGGCAGGGAGTTACTTGAGATTCAGGGTTGGGTCCAGGGTGTTTTTGAGGGTCTCGGGGAAGGGAGGGGAGTTAGTGTTCTTGGTGTTGGGAGGAGGAAAGGAGAAGAAGGGGGTGGGGTGGAGGAGGAGAAGGTTAGGGTTCTTGCTGCGAGTGTGCTGGTTAGGATCCAGGGGCTTGTGGAGAGGTATCAAGGTTTGCTTGTAGGTGATTTAGTTAGTTATTCTTGAGTGCAATCAAGGGACTTGAGTAAGACACACCACCTTTATTGGGGGTTTGCAGGTATTGGCGCGTGTAGAAGGATACTTGATTCGGTTCTTCTATGTCTACTGGGAAACCTCATATCCTTCTCTTCTGAGCAGTTTTTGCGCATGAACTGCAGGTGTGCATGCAAGAGATGATTTCAGGGTCCACCATCCGCTTAGTATTAACAAACCTCCCGAATTGGGAATCCTTCTAGGAATCATATTTTCCAATTGTGTTAGTTCTGCCCTTGTTCAAGACCTTATTCCTGGACACGACGTCGTTTCCCTGGATCTCTCTTCGTAAACACCAAAGCGCATTGATTACCAACTCTATCTCACGCCTCTAGCTCTGAAAGTTTGATAAGTTTGCCTGTAGCTATTATCGTGTATGTATTTGGACGAGATGCTAAATGGTTTCAAGTCCCTGATCCTTAAGACTTTCCCTCATAATTTCTGACACATTCCAACCTAAGTTGTTCGGAATGTATTGCTTGCAAGTCACAATTGGGTTTTCCAAAGGGTGGTGGGAGTGATGGAGTGGGACTGAAAGAACTGTTATTTGGATTGAAAAGATGGCAGAATATTCACGCTTTCAGGCTTTGGCTCTAACCGGGTGCTATTTTTGGTGCTGCGGGCCTTATAATCATCAAAGTGGATTTGAGCTATGATAATATTGAAGACTAGTACTTGTCACATTTCTTTTCGCGACTTCGCTTAGTAAAGGAGGGGCAGATATTGGGCGGTACTTTGAGATGAACATAGAAGCTCCAAAAACTTGGGCAATTGAGCTTGTGGAGCATACTAAACCTTGTGTGACTTAGAGAATTCCCTGTGAGAGAATATGTGTATACTCTACAGTCCCTCATATGTGGTGACGTTAAAGGAAGAAAAGAAGCGAATTACCACAATTCAGTTGCTAAATTTAAACCTAGTCTTGTCTTTATTAGGAATCTCTATATCACCTTTTACTATATCTTTCTTGCCCTGTGAATATGCATCCATCCCTTTCACTCTAAGCCCCATTTTCAATGACTTCTGTCACTCTCTCACCACTCTGCAGAAACCCCATAGTGAATATTACCCCCTCCCACCAGCCGCCACCGACCACCAAACATCCCCACCAACTCACCCTAAATTTGAATTTATCTCAGTCCCATTCAATAAGTCGGTTCATCGGCGACTCAATCCTAACCTGCAATCAACAACCCCAAGCTTGCATTCCTTAGCCTATATCGCTATGCGCCAAATAAAGTTCCTCCTCAAGATCCTGCTGTTTGCTAACCTGGCAGCTGCTATCCCATGGATCGGTCCATCGCCCACAAGTACAAGTCCGACTTTCATCCCAAAGAATAGCAAATTTGTCGTCAGAGCAGGTGTATACAGAGCGGAAGTAACAGCACCCCCTGAGGTACCAATGCTGCAGAGGAGGGATAAGGAGTTATCGCTAAACTATTGTGGATACCTTGAGGGGAACAAAGGTGCGTTACCCTTTCAGAAGAAATTTCTTCTTCTATGTGGATAATTTGAGAGGCAGTAATGGGAGGCAGAAAGAACGAAAAACATTCGCTAACGAGCTATGCCCAACAGAATCCGCATTTCATTGTGAAGCCTCCAATACATGTGCTTGGAACACGGATCTCTCGGTTGTGGGATGCTGTGATACCGTCACTCCCCATGCGAATTGTGGGTTCTATACAGGCTGTGTTGATGATTCGCATGGGACTACTATTCCTCGCCCGCTTAACGAACCTTACTTGATAACTTGGTGTGTTTGTTCCTCTTTTTGCTGGCTTGTACTTGAGGGTAGAAGAGGGTATTGACTTGGAAATAGTACAAGCGAAGAGACCTGTATCGAGATAAGTTATGCCTCTTCGTTTTCGCAAATGGTAAGCTTATTTTCAAACCCTCAAACTCGTTTGGAAAGATTCGCTAGACACTCGAGACTGACAATTCGATTCGCAAAACAGATCTGTGGCAAGTTCGAGACAGACCCAATATCCGTCCTTCCAACCATCACCGGAGACGAGGGCAAAGACGCAGAAACAGCCCAACAATTCCTCATGGGGTCCAAGGAACTAGGTCTCAACCCAACAGCAACAACCACAGCCCGCTTAACCGTTACCGAAAAGGGTCCCTCTATTCCAACCTATACCCAGCCACCCTCGTCACCTACAGTTGACCCACTTCCACCCCACCACCACAGCGTAAATACAGGAACATTGGTTGGGGCTACAGTGGGAAGTAGCATCTTCGGTCTCCTCGCGGCTTCAGTCCTCGCATTCTTCTACATCCGACGGCGCAACGAAAAACGAAGATTGGACATGGCAAACAACCAACGAATCGCCCTTGCACACACGGGAGCCACATCTCCTTCCCCATCTGAACTCCCCACTCTGAAAGGCGGCCCGAAAACACCTCCTGTGTATGCGGAACTTCCGCAAAATGAACGAGCGGCGGAACTCGCGGGAAACCGGGAACATGATGAGGAGACACCTACCCATCATGAACTTGAAGATACCTCGAGTGGTGTCTCGCCATTGTTTTCCCCTCGTGAACGGCAGTTTAGTGATACGGTTCCGCTTGTTGGTGGGCCGGCTGGCTCTGTGTCGCCTATGAGTCCGCATTGGTCGGAGATTCAGTCGGCTAGTCAGATGAGTTTGACGCTCAGGGAGTTGGAGCGAGATGAGGCGGAGCAGTATGCTGAACAGCGAACTGCCTCTATGGGGACTAAATGTGTGGCTAGTCCGGAAGGACGTGCCGAGGGGTTGCAGAGACGTGTGTTGGGGGAGTTGAGGAAAGGGAGTTCTTGAGCAGTGGGTTAGATGCTTGGTTGGAAGGGACGGGAGGTAGATGGGATTTGAAAGGATACCGAGGGTCTAGATTAGGCTTGGAGGGATAATATTACGGGTTACTTTCTGGTTTAATGTTTTAAATCTTTGCGACGTCTGGCGCTTTTCTTGAGAGGTCAATAGATAAAGAAAATACAGATATGTAACACAACCCTTTCCGCCTGTTTCAAGTATACTGCGACACTTGTGAATCCGATGGAATACGAGAGAGGAGAAGCTGATGTGATGGGACGTGATGACTTGTCTGAGCTGAAGTAGAGTATTCTGCTACAACTCATCGAGATTGAAAGCCTGTCATAATTCTGTGTTAGCGATTCCCAGGCATTGATCCTCTGCAAATCTCGACTTTTCCATGCTATCCTTTACGTAACCTCAAACAAAACCACAGTAGTTCACACGAAAAGCAGGTTTCAAATAAGCGTCACCATCCTATATATAAGCTTTCTACTTCTTTGAATGCTCGCGCGGTAACTTCCAATGTCCAATATCTTGACACCATTCGCTAAATCCATGATAATTCATTTCCGTACTCTTTATCTCTAATAGCTCTTCATATCCCTATATAGAACTCAACACTTATTTCTAGGTATCTGAGTTCTTCTCCTATTCCATGAACCCACAAGTCATAGCAGAATTCCACCGTATTCCAACCCCACCCCCTTCTACCAAACATCATTTCTTCACTTATAGTAAAACCCTTGCGGTAGAAAAGCAGCCCTCGACAAAGAATGTCAACATCTGCACAGGTGAAAGAACCCTAACTAGAGAAGAGAAGGCCTCCATGCAATAAGTTGCCGAAGCATCACTTCAATTCAGTACACGGTTCTTTGGTTGCGAAGTGGGCGGTGAGAATCCATATTGTAGCTTTGGAAGACCTTCTTCTATGGTTCTCTCAGAATCAAGGGAGTGCAAACTTACTTGCTAACTTTCAGAATGGTCCAGTAGACCTTTTGAAGTCCCGGATATAAAAAACGGGGGATGGGAATTACCTCATAAGATTCTGTGCAATGCCTTCGCGAGAGAACGAGCAATCGCAGGGAGTTGGATCGTAAGCCCATAGTCCTAAGAAGTTCATGAGCAATGAATTTCTCAAGTCCCATGATATTCTCAAGTATCAATTCAAGTAAACCCTCATCAAAAGACACAATCAAGATCACAATCACAAAAAAGACACAACCAGAATTCATAAAACGAGAGTATCCCATTCATTGCCAGCTAGCTACACAAAGCCCGCCACAAACAGATCCCCCAAGAAGTCCTCGCTATAGCAGAGCATCTACAGTAGCATGACCACATGAAAATTTATTTCTTTTTTCTATTTTGATTGTGTTTCCATCGAAACAAGCATCCTTCATGACATAGCTCGTTGATCCCATCGTACAAGAGTTGTCTTTCCCGACACCTTTTTGGTTCAACTGCTGTTTTTTTGATCCCACCAATCTTCAGATACATCATCCCAAAGAGGAAATGCCCGCGAGCAAAAGGATCGACAACTGTCCCACAAACACAAGGAAGTAGGAAGAAATACGATCAAGAAGGAAAACCTTCAGCTCAACAAAGACATGGATGTACCACATGAGAAGAAAATTTGAGAAAAGTCCTTAAAATCCACGCTTCGTCCATAGGTCCTTTCCATTCAGTCGTGAACATCATTAAATTCCCAAAGAAAATAAAACAACGCAAATAAAAACGCCCGCGCCAAGGAAATGGGGATCAGGGATCCAATTCAACTAGAAGGAACAAGATGACTCTAACAAAACCTTTTTTTTCGTATCTTGTGCTCTTCGAACAGCAACAAGAAAAATCCGGCATACTGTGTCTTGTCTATTTTTGCCAGGAGAAGAGTAAAACAAAGGAACAATCTTTTCAACCATCCGTGCTCGTTGACCGTTTTCGTGAGTATGTGTTGAAACAGATATATCATAGTGTGAGAGATTTATCGTCGGCGATTGTTGGAATTATTGCTAGCACTCGATCGAGATCTGACCGCCGGAGAATCATAAACGTCGCGAAAAGCCTCGAGCTGGCCTCTGAACCCACCCAGGAGTCTGTCAATCTCGCTCAGCATCTCATCCCGCGACGCCGTTCCAGCAAGGGCTGCGGCTGATGGTGGTGGGCCCAACGGAGGGAAGTGGTCAAAGGTATAATTTTGTCGTTGGTTTTCGTTTGGTGGGAGTCCAACATGTAGGTACTCAACATTGTCGTACTCGCCAGATTGCACTGCTGTCTCCGCCTCGGAAAAGTCGGGTAATTCACCAACGTCTCGAGATCCGGAGGTACCTAAGGCCATGTCGAGATCGATTCGACTATCCCGATCGAATTGGATAGGGTTGCTTTCCTCCAAATAGATTGATGGATCGTAGTCATTAGGAACGACATATGACGCGTGTCGTTCAAACTCAAACGGATTGCCGGTATTGACATGCTCACTTGTGGCAGATCCTACGTCCGAGTTGGCGGTTGAAGGTCGAGTTACTGGGTAAGGATCTGGCATTCCCATGTCAAGATCAATGAGCGACGCTACAGATTGCCGATCCATGTTCGGTAGAGGTTCAGTAGGGTGATGCATGAGGGCTGGACGACCACCAGCACCAGGCGTCACTGCTGGGCGGGGAAGCTCGTAGCTGGAAGCGGGAAATCTTGATACCTCGGGGTCTGCTGAAGCAGGAGCCATCGACGGAAACTTCCAATCTTGTGTGCGTCGGTTTGGATTGGTGTCAGCAGGATCGCTCAACGCTGGTCGATGAAAGTCAGAATGGTCCTCGTCCTCAGACGGTTGGCGGTTGCCAGGTTTAATGGTGTCGGCGAAACTGGATATTCCCGTCTCCATGTCGTGACCTCCAAGATCGATCATTGACTCACGGGTTGAGGTGCGTCCGGTGTTGTTGCGAAGCGGAAGATCCGACCGTTGATTGTTACTCGGCGGCTCATACAAGTCTGGAGGCAGTGAATTGTATTGTTGTGGCGCAGCGTTGTAGTGAACTTTACTTGAGGTATTGTAGTTGCTCATCGTGTTTGGATCAAAGACCTTTGCCAGTGGAGGAGGGACACGAGCGAGCGCTTCTGGCGGAGGTCGTCGTCGTCCTGCCTTTTGTGGGCGAACTGTCTCGTCCCTAAGATCGAGAGCGTTGCCAGCGTAAACGCCGTCAATGTCGAGGGACGATGCAAGTTGCGATACTTGCGCATCGAAGGTCGCCGTTGTGCTAAAATTCCAGTCGTCGCCATAAACTGGAGCGGCGAGGCCAGACACGTCTTCTTGTACTCCGCCTGATTGAAACAACGATTTTCGATAACCTCCTTGGTCAGTCCAAGCCTTGTATGCAACTACAAGGCTTGCCAGAGTAGCAGTTGGATACTGGCTTTCCGTATTCGCGATGTGAGGGTGTTTTTGAACGGCCTCGATTTTTGGTCGCTTATCGATATCGGACTGTAAACAGAATGCCACGATATCCTTCAAGTTGTCCGAGTAACGATCACCCTCCAATCGAGGCGCATCTTCAGGTTTCTGCATGCTTCTTCCAAGAGCTTCCATAGATGATAGTGGCTTACCAACGTTGGGGGGATAGCCAGTAGCACACTCATAGATTAATGAACCAAATGCCCATATGTCAACTTCTTTGCCATATGTGGCACCTGGCGGTGCGAGTAGCAATTCAGGAGCCATCCAGTGAGGAGTTCCAATAATTGTAGTGCGCTTGTCTAGTTTGCCCTCAACGATACCAGCAACACCAAAGTCACAAAGTTGCAAAGAGCCTTGCTCAGTAATGAGAACATTGGCGGCTTTGATATCTCGATGCACCAAGCCGACTCTGTGGACCCACATGATAGCCTCTGCCACCTCCCGTACAATAGGGATAACCCATTGTTCAGCAAGGCCATTTGGGGAAGTGGGTTTCATCTGATGAACATGTTAGTATTTAATGACGGTGTATTGGGTACTCTTGATACTTACAAGTGTTTGGATGCTACCGCCGCTACAATACTCCGTGACAAGCCATACGGTGCTGCCCCAATTCTCAGCCTCCATGATAACATTGATGTTTTTAGCTTTATGGTCCCGCAAGGTTTGGAGAGCCATAATTTCCTTTCGAATGTCTCCAAAAGCATCTGATCCTCTTGGGTTGACCATATCGGCCTCTTCTATATTCAGGACCTTTATGGCCACTAGGGCCTTTGTTTGCTTGTGTTCTCTATGCAACAGTTAGCTTCAAATAACGTGATACTACAGAAGGTGGTACTCTACCCCAAATAGACTCTCCCAAAACTTCCCTTGCCGATGAGTTCCAGAAGCTCATACCTGGGCTGGGGTCTGCCCGTATTTGCGCACAACTCGTTGACAGCACTCTGCATCTTTTGTGCATCCTCTTGTGCTCGTTGCTTGGTCTCCGTCATACTGCTGGTGCCTTGCACCTGCAGTCTGGTTGAAGAGGCCATAATTGTAGACGAGATGGTCCCATCAAAATTGGCTGGAAGAGTCGCAAAGTCTACAACCAGCTGGAAATGTGGCACGTGGTGTTGGTGGTGTGATTCCTCCCGAAAAGTATGTAGCTGTCCCTGAGACGAAGTGTCTGACTGTTCAACGAAGGTCTCAGCCTCGGTGAAGTTGGTCTCAGCCTCGGTGAAGTTGGTCTCAGCCTCGGTGAAGTTGGTCTCAGCTTCCGACTGGGCGGTCGTTGTTGATTGCAACTCTGGCACACCAGGTAGGGCCTCTAAAAGCGCCTCGACAAAAGCGCCGTAATGGCGAGTTCTATCCGGCGATAATACGGACGATGTTGGAGAGAAAAGGTGATCGTTTGCCGGTGGAACTTGGAATTGAAATCTAGAGGCAGAAGTAGAAGGAGATTCACTACTTTCTACAAGAGGTTGAAATTGAGCGTGAGCGTGAGCTTGACCCAACAATCTGGGCAGATGATGATCCTGGTAGCGTGGAGTGTTCCAATTGTATCTGGTCTGATGGACCGGCGTGACGGGGATGGGGATGGGTGCCTGTCGGGGAAAACCGTTACGATAGTACTCGTAAGGATCTAAGTCTAGGTTCTGGTATTCTGGATTGGTAACGTTTCTGCGCGTGGGAGTGCTGAAAGGGCCTGTTGCTGTTGGTATTGCATTTGGGGTGCGGGTGCGGGTGCCTGCATGTGGTCGAGAGCGGAATCTCGTGAGCGGAGAACTGCCGGGGGCGCTTGGGCCACTTTCACTATAAGTACCGCTACCGCTACGGGCACTACGAGTAAAGCTGGTAGAGTGCGGCGGCACTGGAGGTGGCAGTCGTCCTCGTCCTCGTCCTCGACCTTGTGAAGGCGTGCAAGGATTTGGGGGTCCAGGGTCAAGGCCAAGTTGGAGTTGGCGTGTACGGACTTTAGCCTCAACTTTTAAACGGTGGTAATGGGCATTAATGTCCGCTTGTGCCTGATACTGCTCTGGCGTCAATTGTGATAGGTCGTAATAGAGAAGATCTGGGTCACAGTCGGGGTCAATCGTAGGATATCGCTGCCCTGCAGGTCCTCTCTCATTGGCCTGCATCCTCCGCTCCGCTCTTTCCTTCTCTTGTGCCTGCGGAACCCCACTAATTAGCCACCGCACTAAAATTACTACATGCACATTCATCGCTACTGAGTAACCGAGAAGCGACTCGACGACATCTCATCTCAACTCAACCGCCAGGACAAGCAAATATTGGATCCCACTTACTACTAATGCGACATCCTCATGGCCTTGCAAACCCACACGGCCACGCCCCTCACCAACTCGATGAACGGTCATGTCGAATAATCCACTTGGCTTCACAACACTCTGCCCGCTTCCTCCCCACGGGCTGGACGCAGCACGATTTCGTGACTTGGCTGGGATGTTCGGCGGCGCTCCATAGTCCTTGGTGGAATCGTATACCGAAATTTCCCGGGAACTAGACGGACTGGTGATATTGGAGAATCGTCGGTGAGAACTAATGCATGAGTTGGGACGGCGTCTCTCAGACCGAAACGAAGGCGTGATAGGATTGTCGCTAATCTGGCAAGTAGATCCTTTCCGACGTCTCTTGATATCTTGTTGACGGCCAGCTTTCTCAACCCGGAATCTTGACGCTCGTCGTGCGTGTTGTGGGTAGCCGCTCACTCGGTTGGCGTCAAAGTCGAGACCGATCATGGAAGCTCGTACCGCGGTCAATCTCAGAAGCGGCTCCAACGCAGACTTCCTGGTCATGATGGTCGAACAACGACGGTAGTAAGCCGTTCGTTCTTTCTTCTTGAACAACCGTCGGACTCGAAGAAGTAGAGGGTTGCGCTTGGTTGACTGCGCTGGCTTGGACATTTTTGGTTTCTTGAGTCCTTGCCAGACGGTGGCGATATTGCGCTTCACTACCTCAAATTTCGTTGGTTGTGCACGTAGGGCCTGTGGCGAAGAGGTAGTTTGCCTCATCTCCCACGGATATGCGTTCGTTGGTGGGCCCATATTGGCCAAAAAGGAGAAGGGGTTGTTGGTGAATGAGACGACAACTTTCGAGGCTGATCTTATATGGTGAGCTATAGCTTATATTGGCTTTGCCATGCGCGATCTGCTGGAGTGGCCCAATCAAAGTATGTCGGAGGGGGAGAGGAGGGGGAATTTTCAAGGTATAGAAAAGAATTGAAGGAGATGTTTTGGAATTGAGAGACTGTTGTGGGATTTGTAAATCGCGTGGCGGGTTGGATGTGCCTCATGTCGAGGGCATCTTTGATGTTCTGAGTATCTCGCAGCCATCCGTCACAAACCAAGGCTTCTCCAGCGGGCTATCCTTCCTCGCCACAACACAACCACCTCACCAAATCTCATCAACGAGGCCGCATTTGAAAGCCCAAAATCTCAGCTTTCTTTTGATCCACTTCGCATCTTATTGATGTTGAGTTGACAGATGATATTCATCTCCAGCCTATTCACGCCTTATGTGCTCTTCCACGGTCGGCTCAGCGTCGGCATCTTCCATGGACACCGCGCTAAAATAATCGAAACTCTAAACTCAACAAGACAGCCCTATCGGACAGTTCTCGCTACTGAGCGGCGCGATATCGCTTATGTCTCGTTACCCTCTGGTTGCTAGTTGTACCTACTGTGCACCTGCGGGGGGAACGTCGGACTTTCACGTTAAGGCAGCACTGCTTGTTCATTCTGTTGGTCAAACCTCACATTATGCTTATGGCCTTCTATCATGGTAGCACCAACAAAGTTGAGATGGAAGGTCAGACGAAGCTCTTTCAATATTCACTTTGAGAAGGATGTCTACAAGTCATCAAAGGGTTCATGTCCACAAATGGCTCTCAGAAAGCAATGTCAATTTGCGTAGAAGTACTAATGCATGCTCAAGGTTTGGCGTGGCTTGCTGTTGTACTTGGAAGTCAAGGGTCGCTTAATCCTTCCCCCCTTCTTCTGTTCTGCATCCCAGTTTGCTCCATCATCGTGGGAAATGCTTTAGTGACGCGCGTCTGCCCATCATAAAATTTCACGGGGTTAAGCTTTCCTTTCCAGTCCTCGCTTACCCCTAGATCTACATTATGTGACAATGGACGGTTCAATCAAGACAAACTCGATGTTTGAGGAAGCAGTTGACTTGGGAATCAAACTACCTTCCTTCTGTAGCTTTGGCATCACTCAGGTCTCCAAGAATTCCTCAAAGTCGTTGTTACCACATATCCAATTCGCTCATGCTACTTTGTCTTCTCAAATCTTGGACTACCCATAGGATATGTACACGAAAATTCCACCGTCAGCAGTCGAGAGCCTGAGAGGTTGATTGATGTAATATGATAGACGCCGTCGCCAGTCCAGAGAGCAGCGCCGATAGACAACCATGCGAGTTCTTGTGCATGCAGTCTCGTAAGAGAATGATGAATTTCGTATGTATGGGACCGCCGACTCAAACCCGATGAGAACGTGTGTTAGATAGCTCGGAGTTCTATGAATCAGATTCTTTTCAACGACTTGATCCGTCGTATCAGCAGTGCTCCCCACCAAGCTACTGTAAGCATGATTTCCTCACAACGATCGTTGCAATTTGGTCATGGGGTTTGCACCTCCTCCAGACTTTTCATCACAAGTCATAGTGTTTGGTAGTGAGCCGGGAAGTGAACCTAGATAGCCGCTGTATTGTGAAAGTTGTGCGTCCGCATGCTTCGTTCTGTGACGAGAACATCATGAAATCAGAAGTGAAGCCCCGAATTGAGTGTCCGCCGAACTCATAGCTTGCACTGGGTGTTACCAGTGAGATGGGGAGTGCAAATTTTAATCAACATTAACCTTCTTATTAGCCAAGTTCCAACTTCTCAATGTCCATCCTCTTCCTTCTGCTCCTGAGAATCGCATTGGCTATCTGTACGATGCTTAAAACACTTTCATGTGTGCTCTTCATCAGAGCTTTGAGTTCAACCATTTATTCTTGTGAGAAATTATACTTCAGATCCATGGGAAACCATCAATGTCCCCCCCCTCTAACGAGGGGAGATCCACCCAACTCAAGGAGTCGAAATGAGCAATCACTCAGATTCCCGTACAGTGAACCCTCAAATGAGATACCGCCCGGGAACCGAGAAGCTCAATCAGTGCCTCACTTAGATCCATCAGCCGAGGCTAGAGAAGATACCTACCTAAGCTTGGGACTCTGCCCGACTACAAGCCTAGCTAAGAGAAGGAGAAGCAAATATTCGCTGAGGTGACAGGGAGAAAGTTCTCCACAGATAATGCTGGATAGGAACATGATTTTGAGAAGTAGACGGCTCGTGAGATCCATGTCTCGAAGAGCTCTGATGAGTGTGTATTGGTCTCGTACCATGTTCTCGATTATTGGCCATCTACTCATCTGTTGTTTTTTACTGTGTTGAGAGGTCGTTTCTTTTTTTGTGCCATTGAGACCGCAGAAATAGACTGTGAACCGGTTTCGGATAAGGCTTCGCTTTTTACGTCTTCGACCATTTTTGGATATTTCTCAACGACGAACAGAAGCCCTGGAATGCATCTTGAAGTCCCGTCTGGCCAAGTCAACTTAGTGCCTAGTGTCTGGAGAGAAATCACCCAGGCATGAATTGGGAGCTCTGTCTCTGAGGGTCAAATCATATGGGACATGAAGGTTGGTCAAACTCAAGGATATGGTTTTCCTTTTTTTTTTTCGCGAAAGATATGACGCTGCGAAGGCTTGGATTTCATGTATGGAGAATGGAGATTGTCTCAATATCCGAATTTTTTATTTCTGGGGATGAAGCTGCCTTTTTGAAATCTATACGCTAAGTACGAAAAAGGCTGTGGGAGGGAAGCTGCAAAGTTGAGGTGAATGCGAGCGGGGCGCATGAAGTAAAGAAACACATGGCATTTGGGAGAGGCCATGAGATTGTTCATGGAGAGTCAGAAGCGGGGATTGAAGTATTCCGATTTTTTTAAGGAAGAATGTGACGACCAACGTCACGGAATACCTTTCATAGCAGCAGCCTTGGGCTTGTTTGAGTCCCCTACCCTCATAGTGACGAGGTAGCATGGGGGATTATGGTGAGTATATCTGAACGAATATTTGAGGGTGGTTGAGCTGATTTAGCTTAAGATAGGAGCCTCTGATCGAGAAAGAGGTTGATGGAAATGTCATGAGCGGCATACCGTACTACGGCATCCTGAATCTACAACTAAACCAGGTTACTAAATCGCAAATCGCAAAAGTCATATAAGAAAATCGCCTTGCTATCATGAGCGAAATATCAGAAGAAAAAATGGGTCAACGGATAGAGAGATAAACAGCCTATTTACTTGAGAAATCCAGCAATTCTTGTGGAGAACTATAAGCTGCCAACCGCAGGTCCAAATGGCGGTAAAAGAGCTTGCTCAGAATTTTCTCCCGTTGATGGAGGGGTCTATAGCTCACTACCACAACGTTGGGAGAAGATCTACTTTGACAAGTGGATACAAGAGGGCGTTCCACCCTGCACAAATCACATATGGGTTGCAAGGACAAACATGAGATGCCATGGTGGTGGCTGTCTGGTGTCTGAGACGGGCCATGGTGGCAAGGCAGGGTTGTTGTTTTTAAAGAAGAGAAGTATTGAGAGGATTCTTGTATGGAGAGAGTGTCTTGATACTTTGTATTTCTAGTTGGTGTCTAGTTTAGATGCAATATCGAAAGAATCAACCTCAGGCTGGGCGGCGGTGCCCTCGATCATCGCCTCCGTATTGTGCATTACATACCAGATGTCACTCAGCTCCTTACAGCCTTCTACGGCTAGCATAGAAAATGCTCTGAAGTATTCTGAGGGAGACTATGGTATATCAAAACTCCTATTCTACAAGACCTCTCACGCATGTCATTACAAGTTTCAGAGTGATATGTAATCTTACACTTCCCTCTTACACCTCGGGTATATGCTGGATTTGATCGAAGGATCGTATAGAAAGCGATCACTCTCTTCAAATTCATCATGGGCCCATGTGTACTGGGATAGCTTCAGACTCAAATTACCCCTCTGCCGCCGTGTGTTCACTCACTAGAAGGTCGTCGGTTCGTAGCCCAATCACAAAACAAAAAAACCCCAGTCTCCACCACCCTATCCCACAAACCCACAAACCCCACCCCCCAAAATCCATAACCCCAAATAAGACGCTCTATCCTCACGAAAACCTGATACTGTACGCCTGGTCAGGTCAGTCGAGTGTGTAATGTGATCCCCCATGCGAGAAGCACACGGAGCTGTTTCCTACCGTAAAAAAAGCGGCTGCTGCGAAGGCAGGTTTCTCTAGTACCCATAGCACCTGTCCCATTGCGCCTGCTAGAGTTTTGCTATTTTGAGTCGAGATATGTGTTTTTGGTCTTTTTTGGCCTTTTTTGGGGGTTGGTGTTTTGGGATTCCTCGCTTAGCGAGGGGGGTCTTGGCACTACCTGAATGCGCGAAGGATGGCGTGGTGAGCTCTATGTCGATGAGCGCAAGGATCGATCCAGCCACAGAGGCTTTGAAGAGAAGCTCAAGCTGTGGTAATTCGAGTACCATACAATTGTTTCAGTCTGACCTGAATCCTTGTGCGATATGACAACAGTTAATCTTACTGTTTGTTCATCGTCCAAACAGACTACTGATGGGGACGGCATTCTGAAGGCGGGTACTGATCTTACCGAGTCAATGAGCCTTTTTCGGACTAGATTTCGGATGTCATAAGCAACCCATGCTGGTTGGTAAATAGTTTCTGTAAGTAACTCAATCCCAAACTTGCTGTTTGCTGAACACCGCACTTGAGTTGGCGATGCCCTGACCAATCTTACAACCAATGAATCTGTCTTCTTCTTCTCGCCTTGATTCTTGAGTGCTTGACAAAGTCATTGCTTACCCCAAAGGGAATTATTTTAAATTTTTCCAAGCGACCTTTGGCTATTCCACTAAAATAGGGTAACCATCGGAATTCGTACATACGGGGCAACGACTAAGCCTTCCACCGTAATCTTGCATAGCTACAAAGATCATCGTAGATCAACAGTATTTAAACGGCCTCTCCGAAAATATCGCTTCATTCTTCCAAACATATATAAGATCACGTAGCTAAGCTCCATTAACCTGCGTCTCACAATAAGAGATACTTTTGTTTTCTCCCTGGTAGACTATACTACAATAGATTGCCTCGTATTTCAGCACTCCCGAGTCCATCTCTCATAGCTATACAGGGTGAGTTCCTGGGATCTACAACTGTTTTGGCATGATAAGATCGAACACAAGCTCCTACTTTGATAACTGACTGGCGAACCATACATGAACAAGACATCAACAGAATGTAGCAGTTGTTCTAGAGTTTGTTAGTGTGTTTCAATTGAAGATAAAGAGAGGAGTGACGTGCATTACAATATTCTTACAAGGAATTCCTTCGCTCCTCAAGTGCAAAGATCCTTCAAGCAAGGAGTTCGCATTATGGTTCCCAGTAATATTGCGTAGATGTCGACTTATGAATCGGGCTGTCCATGACCGCTCTCAAGTATCCTTCCGAGTTCCAAAAACACCACAAACACCACAAATACCAACATCTCCTGCATTAAGGTATTCTCCGTCGCGACACGCCTCGGATTTGCAACTCCAAGTATTGGGAACAAAGTCTGGCTTAAGGACATGGGAGCACATGTTGCAGGTCAGTGCAGATGGTAGGTTTGAGGATGTACATATTGGGCACGCTGAATCGGGTGGTGCTTGTTTTGTTGGTTGCGGTAGAGATGGAGGAGCAAGCTTATTGGTTTCCACGGAGGAGGATGAGGAAATACCGAGTTTCGCGGGCGGTTTAGAAGGTTGGGGCTGCTTGGATGTTGTCGTAGTGGAAGACTTTAAACTTGAGGAAGATGGTTTGGTCGCTTTCGATGCTTGCGATGTGGGCATCTTAGGAGGAGGCTTATAAAATGGAATATCCATCAAGTCCAACGAACTCGAGGGTGGTCCCTTCATATCCTCTAGCTCTCTCAGCTCATTCCGTGCATTAGGGTCCTCTTTATCCTCATCCTCGCAAACCCGCACCATTCCACCCCCACGACGGTCGACCAGTCTCTTGCCGTTGATATCGACAGCATCACCCGGTTCTTCTTTAATGCGGGCCTCATCATCGCTCTCAGTCTCACTGTCGGTCACTAAGTCTTCATCCTTGATTCGCGGTTCCTCCTTCGCAACTTCAAATCTCTTCAGAGCAGCCGCAGCTCTCAACTCCCTCCCTCTGTTGCTCTTCGCCACCCTGGGTTTGCCAGCAGGTTTCTTGCCTTTCTCAAGCTCCACCTTCACCTCTTCATCTGCACCCAGCGTCATTCCATTCACGCCAAATTTCTTCCTAATTCTTCTCTCTTTCTGTTCCTTGTATGTGATCTTCGGCTTGGGGGCATTCCGTTTTTTGGATCCGCGCGATTTGAAGGTCCCACCACACATATGCTCTGGCAGAATTTCATTTTCGGCCAAACCTTCTTGTGCAAAGGCTCCATTATCGAGGAGGATACCTCGGCCCCAGAGACCATCTCCCGTGTAAGACTTTGACCAGAGTTCCTTCATTTCGGCTGCGAAGTCGTTGCGGAGTTTCCAGAATGCTAGAAGACTACGTCAGTGTAAGGTCTCGACCCGGATTTCTGCTGCAAAACAATACCGGGACCGTGGTTCATCTGCTTATTGTGGGCCAGCTCGTGCATCATAACCATTTGCACAAACTTGAAAGGTAACCACATTCCCGTAGAAGGAGACCTGAGGACGAGTTGAATGACCTCGCCATTGTTGAAATTCCGACCTGCATATCTTTAGCTAGCAAATCCTGGGCTCTGATGAAGTTTGACATACCCCAGAATTCGAGATTCGGCTCATACTCCTCCAAACTAACAACCGCCAGGTAATGCTTATTAGTTATGGGCAAGCATTGCGCGGCGATTCGTTCGAGGTAATCTTTCGCCACCGATTCGGTGGAGCCGGGAAGAGGCTTGATGAAGACTATATTCTTGTTGGGGGCCGACGTTTTGGCGTTTATCCTCTCCCATCCCAAAGGCATCTTGACGCTTCGTGTGGGGATGCCGAGCTGTTGGGGATGAGGGGAGTTGAAGAGGCACCAGCTTATGTTGGAGACGCGAGATCATCGCGCTTTCACGTGACCGTAATCGCCAGGTCCCCCCGGCTGCAGCTGAAGGTGCGCATACTTCACCAGCATCACGAGTTCATTTGTTCAACAACTCGAACAAATGGGTTGATTGTACCAAATACACACAGTTGCAAGGACTATCGTACGACTTTCACAATGACAACCACCATTCTGACTTGTCGCAGAAACTGCGCAAGCTCATTGTTGCAGAGAAACGTCTCAGTACGATATATGACTGGTCTCTCGGATTCTAGTGTGGCTACCAAGCCTCATGATGCATCTTGGGCAGGTCGTATAGGAACCTACTCAATAAACATGCTGGAAGTTCTCAATCGTTTGCTGGCAGCCATGGTAATCATTATACTTCATTTCCTTCGATTCTTTTTAAAAAGCTGCTACCTTATACCTCAATCTTTCATGTGCCAATTCCTAGCGCAGAGGGGCGTCATCTGTTTTAGTAAGTTACACATGGATACTTGATGATTCGATCTGTATCGCGTTCACAGTTCTATCTTATCTCATCAACACTTGGTGGGATTCGATACCTTCTAACCCCAAATTTAGCGACGAAAACATTGGTTTCCTTTTCAAAACCATTAAATCCAGACGAGAAATGTTTCAAATCTCCGTCCATACATCAGCATCTGCCCCTCATTATTCCCACCAGAACAGTCGATGAATGTGGAACCATGCAAAGCAAGTAGCGTACAAGCTCGTAGCGAAACAACAAATATTCCGATTCTTAGAAACACAGATGGCAATAGAGCTACGCCTTATGAGTCCGTCGCTCTGGTGTCTCCCCTAGAATCTGAAGCGCGGAAGTATTGGAAAGCAACTCCCCTCCAAATATGTTATCGCTAATTTCAACTGATATCACAGAACCATTTTGGAATACAACGACCGAGAGCATACAAGACAATTACATTTCGAGTCACTCCTATGCCAGCCAATTTATCTTGTGGCTTATGAAATCACTGCGAGGTTCACTGCCAACTCTTCAGCTCTATCCGCAACTGTGGACCCTCATTCCTTGGAACTACGGCTGAGTCTTAGAGACAATTTTCGATCGTGATTGTTTTCGCTCTTGTTACCCAAAGTGAATCCACCCAGAGGGTTTCCGAAGTAAAAGGATTTGTTGCGTATCACATTGTATAATACCAATACTCGAGATTGCAATCCAAAACCAACGGCACCACATACCTTAACGGATATGGTAGTGCATTGCCTTACCAGCCAAAAGCTATGGTAGAAATTCTCGTCCCTTGACTTTCCTGTAGATGTCTCAGAAAAGGAATACTTTAATCCACTCAAAGCATCGAGAACTTAATATTTCTCGTGTGTAATCCGGGTTTCGAGCAAATTCTCTCCAAAGCATCCATCAACCCCTCAGATAGAGCCGTTCCTGCCCATGACCCTCTGAATAAGCGCAACACGTCTTCAGACGTTACAAAGTTAACAGCTAGGTACCATAATAACGATCACAGGGTTTCTGCCAGCTTTTATGCAGCTTTTGTTTCGCACTCCTTAACCAGTAGTGGAGATTTCCTCACATACCGCGATCCAGATCTTGTTTGTGACGCCCCTATCTATACTGTATAAGTACGCTGCAGTTTCACGAGCCGGAGCTGAGCAATGTCATAACTCTTATCAATTCCACGTGAAATACTTTCCCATCGTTATTCTCCCAGTGGGATCCGGTTCCGGGTAACATCTAGCCTGTTTTCGGCATTGTCGTATTAGAAAGTTTGTAGAAGACTACACGAGGGGGTGTTCGTTGGTATCGAGGTTGAGGAGGGTAGTGACGGTAAATAGAACACGGCTGTATATAGGGGGACTCGCTTGTTTGTCACTGGTCTTGCTTCATTACTTCTTCTACAATACCACTATTCTCGACCCCAGGTTCTCTGATGTGAGACACCTGCCTTGTTCTGTCCACCACTAATATCGCCTAGTTCTTGCCAAAGAAAAGTGCTCTCCTTGTGCATTGAACTTCCTCTACTAGCTTCCACTCGTTCTTGCTCCATCCTTGCATCTTCGAATTCCAGTTTCTGCCTGCGATTGACGGGTGTCACTAAGTCTGCGTGAGTTGAAATGAGTACCAACAACTGCAAGTACTTCATGCAATCTTGGGCTTGAAATCTCAAGAGTGCCCCAAGCGTGCAACCCTTCCTTTGAATTCGTATTCTTCATTGCATTCAATGCCCCAATCTATCTCTGAGCCCTCAACTCCCCCGAGGGACTTAATGAAATCTCCTTCAAACACTCAACAGTCCAAACCCCGGGATCTGTTAGAATAACATCTAGTAGCTTATCGTTAACACCAGAAAGCTCGTAAGCCGTTGATCCATCTTTCGCAACATGAACATTCTGTGGCGATAGTCGATATTTGGACAAACGGTCAGTGAGAAATTGAAGATGTGCTGAGAGGGGGTGATCTATATCCAGCTTGACTTTTAGAATTCGTTGGAAGTTCACTCCTGGCGTTGTGGGACAATAGAGGGGGGCGATGGGATATGATGTGTGGGGGTGCATTCTTGCTGATGGGTTCGTGAAAGATGAATGTGTTTCATCGCTAACTATTCCCTGTGACGATTCGGTCGATGCTGTTGATTTAGCAATTGTATTATGTGATGGCGTGAAATCGCGTGTTGGACTGATCCCTACGTTTTGAATCGTGAGGAAGATGATGAGCAGCACAAGCACAGCCCCCGGAATCCATCGCGGGGATATATTTGATGATTTTGTGAGTGGCATTTTCGACCTGTCTTTCAAGTTTCTCTTCCTATGTTGGTTCGCGTTCAGATTGAAAAGCTTCCTTTGGTGAAAACGTTCCAGGGGGTGTGCTTGTATGTGTATGCGCTTTAAGAAGGTCGCTCCTTCATCAACGAGCTTTCTTTATTTTGCGACGCTTGGAAGAATGGGGACGGGACTTCCTGTTCTCTCCAGTTGTTTCCTTGCTTTGTAGTTTAGGCTATGGAAAGGTGGAGTCTTTCTGCGGTGAGAGTGGATGAATCGAAGTGGATATATTACGTAGGCGTTCTCTGATGAGAATAAAAATCATTGGAACGATACTGTAAGTGTCCAAAAACAATTAATTTGATTAAGTAATCATTGTTAAGGGGAATGCTCACATCATGTAGCTAGGTGGCAGGTGCTACGTAGTTCCAGTAAATCACGTGATGAAGCTAATGTTCCGCAGGGAAGGCGATATATTATTTATCGGTTCGCAAATGGGGCGTGCGAGTTATTCCCAAATCAAATATTCCACAAGTTAGATGTTTGAATAATCTAGTTTGTGTATAAACAGGTCGAAGTTAATACTTACTACTATGAGCTACCTAATTGTCATGTTAAGCTACCATGGAAATTACATGTAAACACAGGTCAGGCTATGAATAGATCATCCACTAAAATATATATTAAGAATTATGTTTCTTTTGATACAAGGAAGCTAATACTATACCTAATACCTACGTACGTCGATGGATATATTAGTAGAATAGCCCCACTTTATAAGCGAATATGGGTACTTGTAAGGGACAAACAAAAGACAAGGGAGAAAATATAAAAAATAAAGACTTGTATGTGTAGTATACCTGCGCCTCTGTTGAAGGAACGAAGGATTGCCAATTGACCTCATGCTTCTCCCATGGTGAATCTTTACAGAGAAACGGAGCCTCGCCAACCCTGCAAGACGTACGCCTGAATTCGCGAACCAGGGTCTCTGCCATGAGGCGGCTACTAAATACCGAGCAGAGGACTTTCACTCTAGCCTAGCGGTCTACTCAAGACTCTGAGGGGATTTACTTATCTCAAAAACGCATCGTTGGAACTTTTAGATAAACATCGTGTTTGTAAGCTATGTACACCGTACACGTGCTAATATATTTAGGCCAGGATTTTTTTGAGACTCGTATGCCCGCAAAGTAATAAATGTTGAATGAACCTATTATTCCGACCACTAGACCAGCAAGCGTTGCGTTGTAATCTGGGCAAACTAAAAGTGCTTATAACCTCTACCAGGAAGGTTGTATAGAACACATATTAATGTGGTAATATGTGTAAAATTTAAAGTGAATATCACGATACTTTCATAGAGTAGTTCACTGGTTACTCTCTACTCTTGATCAACTAAACTTTCAGGTGAATATTAATGACACTAAATTGTGCTCGTTTAACAATTTTCTACTAACGAGCCTAGTATAGCGTTCTTGAATGAACACTATATAGGAATATGTCCATAAACTATTGATTCAATTACTCTTTGAAAGGATACTTCTTCTATGGGACTCTGAATAACTTTAATGTAACAAGTGAAATACAAGTTTCTCAGATATAGCGCCCCGTAATCGAAAGTGCAATCCATCACGAAATCGGTCGCTAATAACTATGGCTAATAATTAAACCTGTTCAAACGTGGTAGAGAGATAGTAATTGAAACAGGTTTGCGTTGAGAGAAATTGTTCATCTAAGCTACACAAAGTCCGGGGATTAGATCACAAATCTGCGAATGGTTGGAATATATCGCTGTACAAATAAAGATTAATTTGGGCGCATTCTAGGTAGCTTCTCTCGCCATTCATCTTTGATAATTAACTTTAAATCAGTAATGATTTAATAGCTGTAACAATGTCACTCACTGTTGCTACGTTATTCAAATGCCTATGAAAAAATGAAGACCGAAAGAAATACACACACAAGCTACAAGTAGGTCGATTTCCAAAACTAAAATATCACGACCATTACAGCCTGCAATTGCTCAAATTAGCTTGTGGTGCTTCTTGAAGCTTTTTTATCGACATCAAATTCGACTATTACTCCTCTCGGGCTGAGATATTTTCATTACTACATGTCCAGGGTGTGCTCTCTGGATCGGAGAGAATTTCAGGGGGCGCGGAATTAGCTAGACTACAAGGAGGCTTCACCTTTTACCAGAAACTTGTTTCGCGTAAGCTCAAAAAATAGAGTAAATTGTCTTATTCAATCTACATAACAGATTTAAATCTTTGAATCAATTCAAAACTGCTGTTAGGCTAACTTTTAAAAGAGGGGTGCCTTGAGACTAAAGCCAGGAAAGTTTGCATCCCCTGATGGGACCAATCTTTCTGAAAATTTCAGAGTACCTGGCTTTCTTACTTGGCCGCAAAGCCTACGATACACAAGGCTAAGAGACTCCGTGGCGCTACTTGTTTGTTCTTCATGACTATGTTTCCATATGATAAAGATGAATGGTAAAGAAATTCATGAATACGGCAGTTGTCATACAGCGGCAAAGTCCTCTTCTGAATCTTATTTGCTGCTCCTTTTGTACATAAAGCGTAATAGTACAATATTTCTGTGGAAGTCTGAGGGATTAATAGACGTGCTATGAATTATATGTATGACGGCTTGTATGCAGGAACGCAAGGAAAGAATACATTGAATCCCATTCTGGACACTTCGCTTGCTGGGGTTACAAGTACAAACTAGTAAGTGATTCATTCCTTATTCAGGTGTTTTCCATCAAGATTGTGCAAGTATTATACCACATTTCAATACATTAATTGTGATAGTACAAACCAGTCGCTAAAGCACTTCAAACTTAGCCAAAAAGATTGTCTTGTCTTTGCAGCATTATTTTCCATCAGAGAAAAAGATTTGACATTTTTCATCTAGCCATTTTTGAGTAAACTAATAATTCGTACTTGTCAGCAGAGTTCAAGTATCTAGTATGATAGCAACAGTAATTTTTTTATAGCTTAGACTTTTGTTCTCCAATATCTTTATTAACTCCTCTAAGCTCTCGTTTAAGTTTCCTATGCAGTACAAACACCAATCAAGGTGCTGGGTAAGATGGCACTTCCTCTATAATTGTAAAACTCTAGTGAATTCTTAAACCACTAAGGAGTATAGCAGGGTATAACAAATTGTGAATTGGATGCTAGTGTCTCTTCACATGATATGAAAATAGGTACTGTCGTCCCATCACCTGGGCCATAACATATCCTTCACCTGACAGTGACGTCAACCCTGAACCTGCTCTGTTTCTTTTGAACGCAACTCACCTGCTCTCTTCCAAATACTTCTCCATACACCTGCAAATCCTTGACACCAAATTCATCGCAACATGGCTCCCTCCAAAGATCACGGCATGTAATTACCGCAAGGAACGTCAAGCGTCCCGAGACCTGGCAAAAGCTTCCTCGATCTGCCGAAAGATATTCGTGAACAGATCTACCTCAGAGCCGGAGTTCTTCCAATTTCCAACGCCGAAATATGCCTTTTGAACCCCCGGGAACGATCATGGAATCCGCGACTAAATCTCAATTATGTACTCAATCTTTTGCTGGTCTCTAAGATTGTTTCGAAGGAGGTGGAATCATTATTCTTCCGTCGAAATACGTTTACCACCCCACTCGGCTGTCCTGTTCACTGTCTACGAGCACTGACTGCCCTATCTGATAACGCCTTGTCTTCAATGAAATGGCTTGTCATCAAAATCCGTAGCATACCTAGGGAGTGGCATTACATGTATTTGCACGAGGGATACTGTAGGTGCCTAGATGGAACCAGCCGCATGAACGAGCCTCTCAGCACTGCCTATCAACAAGACAGACAGCTCATCTTAGAGTGGGAAACCGCAGTGACTTGACTTGCACCTCATGTAGCCAAAGATCTGCATCTAGAGATATATTGCGACACGGCCGGTATCGATACAACTTATGAGTTTGTTCAACCGCTCGAGCAAATAACAAACATCGATAGAAAAGTTGGAGGAAGTTTTTCGATCCGTCTAGCGCATCGACGCCACGGGCCTCTGTTGGAATTGGCTGAAACAACTCTTTTGCGAATTACGGGCAAGACTCTACCGCTAAAATCATTTCATGGCTTCGACAAGCTTCCGAAGGAACTGAGATTAAGGATACTATCGTTCACCGACTTAGTGTCTCCGCTAACGACCAACTGACAAAACGGGTATGGCTTTGCTCGGGGCACTAATAACTTTCGCTGTATTAGTGCTAGGTATTGCTACTACCACAATAATCAAAGCATGTGCAACAGACATCACTCCATCGCATCTAATTTTTGCGACTGTTATTTCGACGTATCCTATCTCTTACTCGTCTCTCGCCAAATGAACTGCGAAGCTACTGAAGTATTCTACCGCCAGAATACATTCTTTAGTGAACCTAATGACTGGATCCAAATGAAATACGAAGCTACTGAAGTATCATACGACCAGAATACATTCTTAAGTGCACTTAATGACTCGGACCCAACTGGACGCGAAGTTCAACACTTCTTCGAGTCCCGAAGCAAAGCAGCGTTGGATAACCTCAAAAGCATTAAAATCATTGCGGCTGACTTTTTCGATGCGTCTGAACAAGCGCTCAATCAAATATGGGAAGAATGGGTTGGTGCATTTGAATTATATGCGAAGCGTGCCACAAATGAAAACCTCGAGGTTCTCGTACATTTCCAGAAAAGCCAACCCTTGAAAGGATTTTGGTACAAGCATATCGACGCAGTTCCCCCAAACGCTTGGAGCTTGGAACCCTTCCGCGAATCCATGGAACAAGCTGTAATGAATTTGAACAGACTTGACGGAGTAAGAAAGATCGGAGTAGAAATTGACTGGGAGCTACCATACTTTGATGAGGATAAATTTGATCCGAACGATCCGATAGTAGAAAAGTTTCGCGCACATAAGAAAGATGATCGATGGGGGGCCGAGGTTGCAAGAATAACAAAACACCTCAAAGAAACTATATTAGGCAACAAGTATACCGATAAGGTAGTCAAGGTGGATGACCACCGTGGCTGTGTAGACCCGTTTTACATGGCCCAACTTTAAGGATGATACGGTGAAATTCAGGAAAATGATGATGCTGTATGACAGAAGAGCAATTCTATCTTCTTAGAAAACAATAAAATCAGTTACTTAAACTTTCATTGTATTATTAACTTCTGTTCCCCCTTTACAATCTTCAGCAACAGAAAATGCTCAGAATCAACTACTCAATGCGTATACAACAATAAAAACCACGTAGAGAGCTAGTGACATATATGTCCAATATAAAAAGGTAGACCAACGCCAGCCCCTCCCCACATTACTCCCGTCCCCTTTGAGAGTGAACGTATTCACCCTCATATTTGGCTCGCCCAGTGAACGCCGGAATTGCAATCCATAAAACCCATTCATCCCTGACGAGAAGCTAACTCGTCCACAGCTTGCAATCAAAGCCCTTAGGCTTCAAACCAACTCATTTCGCATTTATCTTTAATGTGTCTGTTTCCCCATCAAGAAGAACCCTTATCTCAGCTAACATGTTTCCGCATCAGACTCGTAGTCGTAAGTTCATAAAGACCGTCAACATCTGTCCCAGCAGACACCTCTTCCCATAATCATAAAAACGCCCCAAATACGAAAGTTTAAACTCTCTTCTGAAGCCCCATCAAACGTCTTCCCTCCTTCTCGAGGGAAACTTGACTCTTTTCACACTCCCCGCCAATGCATCAGTACTATGGAAGAATCCCGGAACACGAACAAGCCGTTGACGAGGCCACGCGCTATTTCTCTTTGCTTGCCAGGGGCGACCCAAGAAATATTGCATGATTGAAATAGGACACAGACCTAACATGGACAGAGCCATGATGAGGAAGGTGAGCCCGGAACCGATACGCTCCATAGCAGGTTGGGTGATAGCAACCGCCAAAGCGCCGACGAGGAAGCGTACCATATTGACCACCGGAGTGACAGAGATATTTCCTCTATAGAAATCCTCAATTAGGATACCGTTGAGCTGCAGCATGGCAGTCGCTGAGCCAGCGATGAGGAACTGTAGGACGAGTGGTACAGCGATGTAATCATATGATAGATGAAATGAGAATCCGTAACCACTGGTTGACCCGATGAAAATTAATGTTATCCACCACATGTTCCTCAGCCGAGCTCGCTCAATAGGGAAGTCAGGGAGACTTCTATAATCAAGATTGGTCCCCATATCAATCCCATGAATCTCTCTGTAGTGGGCCTCTGTGACTCTGAAATCATAATCAATGAGGTAGCCAATGCTGAAGAAAGATATCAACGAGCCGACACCAGCTGGAAGGAAAATTAGTCCCAATCCTACGTATCCAAACGCATAATGGCCGTGGAACATAGTAATCGTGGTTGCGATGATAGCGGTGGATATGCCAAAGGTGGCGGCACCAACAATCGAGGTTATGATGACGTCCTTCTGTTTCAAACAGTAAAGAGGCTCGATGAAGGAATCCGCGGAGAGGAATGTCAGAGAAGCGCTGAAATTGTTCCTATCCGGCTCGCGTACCGTGTCCTTGGATCTCTTCATAATGTGTACCATGGGTTGTTGAACACGACTCAGACGGATAGAACCATCTCCGGCTATGCTTCGAAGTGTTTCGGGTAGAACCAGAACGACGAGTAGTAAGGCTGTCAACCCAAATGCGCCGAGGAAGTAGAATATTGAGTGGAAGCCCTCGTAAGAGGTCAATATGCCGCCTATGGTCGGAGCTATGAAGGTGAACATGAGAGCTACTTTCTATTAGCGTAGGCGGGCCGAAAGAATGAAGCAAGCTTACTGCCACCGAAAATGCCGAGAAATCTGCTTCTTTCTTTCCCTGTGGATATATCGCCAATAATTGAGGCGCCTGATTATTCATTAGTAATTTGCAACTTCAACAGAAAAAGTTGACTCACAGATGGCTGTCAAAGCTGCCGTGCCAAAAGCTTGCACTCCACGAAGAATCATCAGGACTACAAAGTTTCTTAGAAACATCAGGCTAACTGTTGCCGCCTGAAAGACGAGAAGTGATCCGATGAGTATCGGTCTTCGGCCGAGAGTACTACATATAGGCATCCACAAAAATGGAGCGATAGCTTGAACAACCATGTAAACAGTGACTGTAAGAAGGACTGATTCTGGGCTGACTTTACATTCCTACAAATGAGTTAGCAGGGAGCACATTTTCAAGAGGGATTGCTTACCCGCGAGATTGCTGTGATTGCTGGGAAGTATATACTCGAAGAAAGAGGCGATAAAATGCCTACATATGAAACCAAAATGACCAATAGCCTTTTTTGCGAATGGTCAAAGACATGGTAGGGAGGGTGAGGCAGTCTCTTGTCGACGAAAGGCTCCGGTGTTTCTGTTATAGGCATCGCTACCTCCATCGGTGACTTTGGAAACCATTTCTCAAAGTGATCTAATGGTGTCGGCGGGGCTGGAAAAATACCGAGAGTGGTTGAAATTTTGGGATTGTTCCTCATTTCTGGTGATCTAGTGGATCTATCCACGATTCTTTCCGACGACATATATCCGATTGACTCCGCTTGTTCATACACAGTTGATGGCTGTCCAGATACAGGGCGATCATGGAAAGGGCTCGGGGTGTTCTCCCTATAAGTTGATAGTGAAAAATCGGACCTAGACGGAGACCCCGGGCGGCTGAGCTTTCTAGATGAATTTTCTGGTACAATTAATAAATCGCCGACATGAGCAGAAACTCTTTGGCCGAGGGACATTCTTGAAGAGCTCCTGGCTTTTCTGTCCGATGTCCAGCTATTCCCGCGAGTTCGTCGATGAGCATTTGATTGGGAATCGAATTTGGATATTTTGGAGATGAGGGATTCCGCCGGACTTCGACTTCTTGAGCGGCGGCTTGTTCTATCGGGTGCACTCATGCTGACGAATTTGATGAGGATTCTTCCAATATGGGATGTGAGACATGGAGGTCAACTTTGCCTATTGTAACATACACCAGGCTGAGTGATGGCTTTCCAATTTGAGGTGGTTTAACGAAAAAAGGCATTCCAGGACGAAGCTCCTGGAAAAGAGTGTCTGGCTCTTCATCATGCTTCACGCCGTAACCTTGCGTGGATCATCTTGGTGTGTGTGATCCACTGAGATAATGATCCTACCACATGGAATAACTTGGTTTTACGGAGTACTTCGGGTTGCACATTTTCTTCCTCACCGTTGCCTTCTTTTCGCGGGGATAAGGTTCAAGAAATGTTTTGATACCCCCTGAAAGCTAGGCTATCAAACAAATAACACAGGCTGCAGGCAGGTGGCAAAAATGAGATGAACCCCCATGAGACACCTTTTCTCGATGAGATTTATCTTCCCTCAAAGCTGAACTCTAGCTAGGCACACATAACGAACGTGAAAAGATCCAAAGAATCACGACTGAAGCAAGGTTGACCTTCAGCACAACATACCCGAGAATTTCCCATCGTTCCTGAGACACGATAAAGGAGGGGCGATCAGCGGGGGAGGCGCTCTTTCACGTGGCGCAAGGAATTATTTGAATGGCGTCCGTACTGTAAGCGGCAGGTCAGCATGGCGGTTACTCTACATGAACCGTTTCCTCGGAAAATCCCCATTGTGCGGCCTAGATATTATCATATTACTCCTCCTGAATAGACCACCACCGACTCGGAAGTCTTGATGTTTTGATGTTTTGAGAATAGAAGGGAAATAGCGCCGAAACCACAAATAGTGTGCGCTACAGAACTCCCCGTTGATTTTAAAATCTGTAGCTGGCGGATTGTGTGATTCCGTAGTTTTGAAACTTTCCAACCTTACAATTAGAGAAAGGCGATACTGCAGGTAGATATTAGCGATCATTTGTTTCGATTTATGAACTGTGTGGTACATATACGTTTCCCTCTCTGTGATATAGATGCTTGGTTGGCTTATCACAGTTTCGATCACGAAGAGTACTGATGAGGATGTCGGGGGGTGGCTCAGTTTGTGAACTGCGATGTGATTGACGATTTCGTTACCGCTGATGTGATGAAACGAAGGATGCGAGCAAAACTTCTCGAAGATTGTTGGCCGCAACAGGCGCGATGCCACTAGTAGAGACTGCAACCATGTGCGAGTTTGGCGTTGCAGATATTTCTTGGAGTTGCACTCGGCGTTATCCAAGATCCTGCGGACCAGCCAGTGCAGGGTCCTGAAAAGTTGGGATGACGGTCTGACAACTTGACAAGAGATCCACCGCAAATCTTCACCAAGTAACGGAGCAACCTCATCCATCGTCAAGCCACTCTCGACTACGCTTCCACCCGTTTCTAATCTAACAACCATGTCCGTTGTAACAGAGACATGCTTTACTCAGTGTCGTCCTTAACAATAGCTACCTGAGGAGTCGTGCTGGCGGAGTGTGATCGAGAACCGTTTCCCGGGAAAGAAATATGCATTATTTATAATGTAAAATCATATTCCAGCCAGGTACCTGGGCACCCAATTTAGGAAACATCCGAACTCTAGACAAGCATTCGAGGTGCCAACCTCCCGAGCGTACATACGCCTAGTCGCAACTCCAAGGCCGTCGAGATCAACATTGGAAACAATTTCTTCCTACTCTTGTTCCATGACAACTCTATCAGCAGAGACTTGTAATAATGGCACTGTTAACCACTGTAAACCACGATTAAACGACCACACATAGCAAACAGGTCGTGGCCAGGTACCGAATCACTCGCCGCAGGGACGCAGGGGAATATGGGTCACCATCGTGGCCTCCCGTCATGGCGTAAGCACGTTGAGTGGGAGTGGGTCATGGTCTTGAGACGTCAAAAACGTGGAAGGATCCCCTCCTTCCATATCGTCTCTAGTTCGCGGAAGACAAAAGTTTATTTCCCCAGTCGAGCTTTTATCGATGAGTGGGGCCTTCTTGTGACCTGTTCAAACCTCGTCGAACCTCGGGCCACAATTTGGTCCGAGAATATTCCTTGGCCTGCTTCAAATTCAGTTCTTGCAGACTTTGTTTGGAAAAGCTCGTCCTTGGGGGTATAAAAATGGGGTACTAGCTTGCTTTTCTGATGTTCCAAAGCGCCTTTCCCGACACCATTACCTTTTTGTGTCTTTTCCACGTGGGATGATCATCTGAAGTTCTGCTGTTCTGCTGTTCTCTGCTTGTTAATCGATAATCGCCCGATTGCGATCGATTCTTGGTTCTTGTCAGTTGGGAATCTTAAGGATTGAAGCATTCTGATCAGTAAAAGGGCCAACAGCAATCATTATTGATCTCTGGCGTTGTGCTTCCAGACATTCTTCTTCAAGCTAAAAATAGTGCTGTATGCGTGGAACGACCTGGAATTAGATATCAACTTGCTCAAATGAAGAAATCAGCCTTGGAAAGGTGCAAAAGCACTCGAAAGTATCTTATATGTTAACTATTTTTGGTTCAGGTTAAGCCTCGATATGGACAACACCAGCCTGCGTGATGAAGAGACGGCTGGCGTCCTTGACCATACCTCTCGAGATTGGATTTTGCAAGAGCATAGCCTCTCGGGAAATCTTGGGCGAAATGCCGGATGCAGGACATATTGATGTACCCACTGACGGTGCCACTGATGGTGGATATCTGAATCATTTACTCACCTTTGATGGCCAGTTTTTAACTTCGTACCAGTATGGTAATATGAGTGTTGATTCAGAAGGGCTCTCATAAAAATAGAAACCGTGGACACTTCCAACGCGAGAGCCGGAGCACTGGGGAACTGAGGCGACAACTCCGCAATTGTGGATAAACTTTGCAAGAAAAAGTATAATAAATGCGAAAGACGGCGTGCTTCTGTATACAAGGGCTTCTCTGACATGATATGCAGATGGAGTCAATGAGTGGGAGTTCCAGCAGAATGTACTCCGGTTACCGGTTACCACAAGTTTGCACGGGTTGGCCATCAGAGTTAGGTAAGGCCGCCACTTGTATTAATAGCAAATGCGATAAGAGGCTTGTTTTTGAGGGGATGGCTTTGTGCTTTCTATGCGGGGTATCGGAATGTCCGTTGGACAAACATGGAGAAGGACTTGTGCGAGCGTCATTTATTCTTCCGCCATTCGCTGTGAGCGGCAAGGAACCTCTGGTCAGCTGCAAAGGATACTCCATGAAAATGTCTCGCAAGCGCACGAGGTCCTCCAAGTCCACTTAGACCGTTCAGCAAGAAATATCACCCGCCACTACCGATGTGCCATCAACGCGCCATCCGGGTTCTTCACGATTCAAAATTTTGATTCCCATAATTGTAGGCAAGATCTTGGAGGGAAAGGTCGAGTTGATTTCAATGCGCGGGTAGGATGGGGAGCGGGAGGCCTTCTTGGAGTCCCGACATGATCGTGATGGATTTGTTGCAGATTCGATATCTTTATTGGTGGTCCTCGCGTGGTACAGTACTGCTTCGATCGTGATTTGAAACCCAAGTTACCATACCTAGCAGCGAAAAGGGGTCAGTAAGCGAAGAAGTAAATACCGATCCTCAAGAGCATACCGATTGAAGATATAGGGACACGTCTCCTTCAAGGTCGTGGCTAATATGGTGTAGGCGTTACAGAGCCTTGAGGGTTCTGGTGGAAGCTATCGCGAAGGTATCGTACGAGTACATGTCCACAGGTACAGTAGCAATGCAGACCGTGCATCTATCACCTAAAACAACCCAACCCCTCCTTTCGGTCGATCGAACGTCATCGACAACAACGCTTTGCTTCGAAGTAATATATTCGTGAAATCTTCTTGATGGATTTTCATATAATGTAGTGAACGAGGCAAAAGACGATAGGTGAGATTAAGCTTTCCCAATGCGCTAATTGACCAGAGCCAACGCCAACGCCAACGCCAATATAGACCAATCCCTCTCTGGGAATCATAAGCCTGAAAATCCACGAACAACAGCGGCGAAGTGTTGGCTGACGCGTCTCGTGATGAAAACAAACATGAGAATGTGAGAAATTCTTTCAAGTCATCACCAGAATTCCAGTCATGCTATATTTTAAAGTTACCAGCGGCAGCTTCGCTGTAGACGTTGCTGCTTATATTATTACGAGTGTGTGCACTCTCCTTCTGGCGACTCGAATCTTCACAGAAGCACGCTTTTGGCTTCGCTCGAGGGGAGCTGCTGGACGCTTTCAAGGACGAGAGCCATTGACCTTGCCATATACAATACCATGGCTAGGCGGTGCTACAAGAATGATGGGAGGCCATTCTGTGTACAAATATGCCAAGTAAGGCTCAATCGGTGTACACATGCTGTTTTATCTAACATTCAAAGATCAATGTCTCCCCTAGGAAGACCTGTCAAGTTACGAGTAGGGTCTCTGAATATGTACATCCTCTTTGGGCCTAAAAACATGAAAGCATTCTTTAGGAATTCCAAGTCGGTCAGTAAGGATGCATCCAGCATAATGTCGTTCAAAAATACCTTTAAGCCAGCAAAAGATGTGCAAATATTCAAAGACGATCAATCTGGTTACGGGGCAACATCTTTGACTGGGGGAAAGAATGAGACCCGTATCTGGAAGCGAACACATGATCTTGGTAATGCAGCACTTGCCAATGGACCGGATGTGAATCTCTTGACATCTAGATTCATGTAAGAGTTCGTGACAGAAATCGATATGGCACCACTTGAAAAAAGCATTAGCATTTCCCTTTATGATTTCCTCAAGAAGAAAATGTTTGTTGCTTCGACTATCTCTCTCGTTGGGACCGAGACCTTCAGATTGAACCCAGGATTGGTGAAAACATATTGGGACTTCGATGACGGTTTTCTGATGACAGCCATTGGGTTACCAAAAGTCCTTATACCAAAGCAATATGCAGCTTTAGATCGAATGTTACAAGCTTCGAAACGATGGATTGACTCCGCATACAGCCAACTCGACCCAAAAGAGTCTGATGCCGAATGGGAAGGGAACTTTGGTTCTAAGTTTATACGTAAGATGACTGAGGTACTTGCGGAATCTGGTGTGAGCCGAGAAGGACAAGCGGTAGCAATGCTTCCGCTCATCTGGGCGTAAGTACTTTCCTCCCCTATTGTTCCTCCGCCTCTGACAAACCATAGTATAAACTCCAACGCCATTCCCTGCGCAGGATGGATGATATTCGAGATTCTTAAACACCCAGGCCTTTTCCAGCGTCTCCGTGAAGAGGTTTCTCCCTTCATGACATCGGAAAGCACCGGCAAAACTCGATTTTACATCCCAAATCTTGTTTTTAACTCCCCCTTACTGACCTCTCTTTACCTTGAAACAATCCGTACTTGCACTTCCTCATCCCCAACCCGCCGCCTAATGCAAGACCTAGAAGTCGATGGGTATATTTTGAAAAAGGACAATCACATAATGGCATCTTCTTGGATCCCAGCTCATTCAACAATCTGGGATGTACCCGGTCATCCTGCAAATTCTTTCTGGTATGCACCCTCAAATCTTCCTTAGTTTCCTCGTTCATGGGAAAATATATATGCTAATATATTGCAGGCCGGAGCGATTCATCGAGATGCCAAAAATGAAACCCAAAGACCCAGAGGAGAAATCCGCAGATGAAATTGCCATGCGCCCCGAGAATTTCTTCCCTTATGGAGGTGGAAATGTAGTATGTAGCGGAAGATTCTTCGCAAAGCAGGAGATCATGACTGCCGTTGCTTTGTTAGTTATGAAATTTGACTTCGACTTTGAGGGTGGTTGGGTCACGAAAGATGGAAAGACTTCAGAGAGGGGAGCAAAATGCAATGAGAGCTTAGCGGGTTCGGGGGTTCTTACTCGGGATAGGGATATGGTTGTAAAGATGAAGAGAGTTCGTTAAGTGGTTATCTTAGGCATGGGATTGTTGGATATCCCTTTGTGCGTCGGATGCCATGGTGGTTTGTTTCGGGTATTGGATTTTTGGGGATAATCTTTTTCTTCTTATCTATAACTATTTCTTAATCTTGCATAACGTATGATCTTGACTTCTCAACTTTTCGGAAGCTTTTAACCCTGTTTTTTGTCGTTTCACAAGCTAGCAAGAAAAAAACCAATCTTCAATCTTCGCTACTACCACAAGATCACATTCATTACTAACCGCAGGTTCCATAAGAAATATTTGATTTGTCTAGCTGCTCATTAGTCCCTAGATTATCTATCTTCCTTGAAGTACCGTCTCACAGGAACAGGTAATACCTGGTTTGTAGGTCTTGAAACCATGAGAAGCATGAAGTCCTTGCGCCTCCCCGGGTAAATCTTCGTGCATGGGAAAATGTGTAGAGAGCCAATCCCATGCTGTAAGAAATGAAATTGCTCGAGATAAAAATGCTTTTAGTGTGAGCGTTGATCCCAGACGACCCACTTCGTCCGAAAAATAAGTGAAAGTGATGCAATATCGCAATCTTGAAGCAGGAAACTCCTGCCAGATCAAACATCTAAGCCATCCCCAAGTTCATCTGGTTTAGCTTTTATCTCCATCAACATTCGTCAGAAATCAGGCGTCATAAGAGTCGTAATCAGAGTCTGGATCTTCCTCCTCCTCCATGCTTCCTTGTCTCTCCCAAACATTGCCCTCGTTTTTCGGAGCATCAATTCTTTCAATATTCCCGTCCTCATCTACCGTAAACCATTAGTAAGAGCAGAAGACCAATATCTATAGTCTTTGAACTCACCAAGAACACATCCCCAAGTAGGCCAGCAAGGTTGTTGTAAGTATTCGTATCCTTCATAGAAGGGTTAATCTCCGCCTTCTTTTTAAGCTGTACTATTGAGAGTGAGCCTGTATCTTCATGCAAGGAATCGATAGAACATACTCTCGTGAAGTCTTGAATCAACGGTGTTTTCAATGACGCCGCGGATAAAGTACGTGGGTCTCGTTTGGGTCACACGGTAGATACGACCAAATGCTTGGTCCTCGCTACATTGGTTCAGCTTCAAATCGCAATAAGAGGCAATGTTAGGGGAGACATACAGAGCTGTATTCCACCAAAGATCGCTGCAATAATTTATCAGTACTGTTCTAGAAAGTGCGGGAAAGTTCTCCTTACACCATAATTACGCGACTTTCAAAAGCAAGATTCAGGCCTGTTCCTCCACAGCGCAAGCTGCTCACCATGACCTTGATTTGGGGCTTACTTTGGAACTTTTCGATGGCATATCCACGCTGTCCCTCGCTCATGCTGCCCTGTAATTGATTAGCGATCACCAGAATAACTGTGATGGAGAACATACCATGAAGTAGACAAACTTTACCCCTTTTTCTTGAAGCATGCGTCCAATGGTAGCGAGATTTGGCTGAAACTGAGCAAAGATTATGAACTTGACTCGGGTGCTTCCTTAAGCCAAGCATCAATAGTGCTCTCAACGAACTTCATTTTTGCGCCCATGAAAAGAGGTATAATTCCTTTGTCATAGTCCTCCATCCATTTCGAGTTCGAAATGATTGGGTGAAGGCCATAATTGTCTCTTCCCTTGCGGAACTTTGCAGCTTTCGTTGGAACGTTCTTGGTTACCCATATCTTGAGATCCTTGCGGGGTTCAAAGCTTTCCTAACAATTCTCTATAGGGCAACGATGAGGTGCCTCCTGGCGGAACATTAGTCGGGAATTATCATAACTGTTGAAGCAACTTACTTCATCCTCGTCTTTCTGTTCTTCTATGTGTATGTCTATACAAACCTTGCAAAAGATGTGTTGGCATTCTAGGACGTTGATGACGTGTGGGTCAATTGCAACGCCTGCGCAATAATCACACAACAAGTTTTCTTTCGTTTCAGCCTCAATGCCATCCGCAGCTTTGGCTTCTTCTGCAATCTTTTCTCGAATTCACCCATCAATTCCTAGGTTATGTCATTACGGAAAGATCAATAGCTGAGATTCCGCCTTTATATGACTTACTCTGAATCATCCCTTTACCCATAAACCTTCCTCCATTCTGTTCTTCGTCAATCTCCAAGTTCAGCAATCGTTCCCGAATGTTTTCTAAATCAGGTCTTCCGAGAATCGACTGTTGGAGTGTTAGCGACCGATGGAGTTCAATATAAGATAATCTTACTTTGATCTCTTCCTCTATGTTGAGAGGCTGAGATACTAATTGCCGGAGGCGTGTCAATTGCACGCGAATATTTTGGATACTTTTGGCTGGGTGGCCAGGTCCCAACTGGGCGTTGACAAGACCTCGCAGACGGGCCTCAACAGCTTGGTAAAGCATTTCCTCATCTGGTAGCAAATGAAGTCTCTCTGTTTTTATCGTATGCTCTGGTAGATTTAGGAGAGGGCGGCCGAACAAGAGAGTTTCGCCTGTGAGACTGCAAAATATTAGTCAGTACATTGAGAATAGAAGAGAAATCGAGTATACCGTTGCATTGTTTCTGAAAGTATCTTTGCCAGGCGCCCATTCGCGATCTTCAATAGGTCATCAGCCAGTCAAGTCTTTTGTGGGAAAAATTAGACTTACATCTGTTAAACTCGCAAAGCGTGCCACCCACCTATTGTCGAATCAGATTTATACTTGTGGTGATTCCTTTTTTTGGTCATGGACTTACGCTGGTTGGCTTAATGCAGCAGATGGATGTCTCAAGAACCTCATAAGTGCGTAAAATTCTAAGCATGTCAGCCAAACTCGAATGTTTCGTATGCATCCACATACCGAAAAGACCGTTGTCTACTGGTGTCTGGAAACGCTATGTCAGAATAATCATTATACCCCCAGAGTTTCAAAGCTTACCCCGCTCAAAGCCCATCGATGCCTTGCCTTCAATGCAAACGCTGCCAAACTTCGTTTAGATTTGTAGTTTCTCATGCATTGCTTCCCCAAGATAGTCACGATAAAATGCTGATAGGATCGGCAGCCTTACGACTTCATCTATTACAACCTAGAAAAAAGTTCAGCAAATCGAAATTTGGATATTTGGTAAGAGCCATACCCTATACCAATCCATCTGGTGTAGAACGCGGCCCTTGTCTAGATTAGAAACTAGCCATTCCTCATCTGACATTTCGCCATCCTTCTTCAACTTGAGTGGTGGCATACTCCGCGCAACCTGGTCCGGAGTAGCAAGAATGATGTCGTAGTCAGAGTAAAGACACTTCATCTCATGTACAGAAAATTTGGACGTGTGGTCGTAAATTTTTACCGTGAGGCTTTCCGAGTGTTTCCTAATTTCACCTTCCCATTGAGATATCTTTCACAGTTCTGTAAGCCTGACTTTCTCGACATCAGAAATTTGAACTTACCACTGCTTTCGGGGCAATTACCAATGATGTTCGAGAGTCTTCCTTGCCTGGGGGATGTGCAATAAATACCTATATTTGATTATCAGCGTGGATAATCCTTAACCCGAATGATTTATTCTCACTGCCAATATCTCCACCGTTTTTCCAAGACCCTAATCAGATTTGTTAGCGTTTCTAAAAATCATGCGAAACTGTTATAGTTCACCACTTCATCGGCCAGAATGCCACCAGAGGTTTGCAATTTGTCGTTACGCTTCTCCATGTTCACCATCTGTCCAGCGACCATCACCTGGTAATCGTACAGATCTAAAAACATCAGCATAATATCGGAGGGTTAGTTTGGAGATCAAAAGAACTCAAATGCTCACGGCTTTTCATGCCCTTCAATTCCCATTTATCACCGACGACGCCTATCTTGTGTGTGTTGGCCACCCAAGGATTTTGCTGCAGCATTCAGGTCTCTCTTGTCTTTCAAGGCATTACTTCGATTCGCAGCGAGCGGCAAGTTTGACAGAAGATTATCGAACTTGTCTTTTCGATTCTTTGCCATGAACTCCGGGAGTGGTTCATTCCTAGCCCGCGGTTGCCTCGACAGAAGCGTACTTCTAGTTAGTCCACTGAGAAGGTCTAGTCGGTCTTTCTCGGCCTTTTGCTTCTTGGTTTGGCGTTTTCTACCAGTCTTGGAGGACTTGAACAAAGGTCGTTTGCGCTTCTTATCATTATGTGATGAAACCATTTTCGGGAGCTCAGAAGGTTTGGTCTCTTCCATCTCAACCTTTGGCTGCTTGAGGATTGGGGATCCATAATTCCCAGGACTCGGGCCAACAACTTCTGGCGATCTATACAGCTTGGGAGGCTCGGAGTCACTATCTTCAGACTTTGTGGTTTTGTGGTTTTGTGGTTTGGGGGGGGATTGAGCATTCTCAGGACCAATATCATCGAATTCAGGCTGGATGCGAAACTTTGGAGGCTCGGAGTCGCTTTCATCGGGCTTGATAATTTTGTGCAAATCAGCAGGTCGAACTTGGAATGTGTTGGGCTCATCATCCTCAGTCTTAGTAGGTTTCTCTGATTTGATGAAATCACGACTGGCATTATCTTCCTCATATATGGCGATAGATTTCTCGACCGAAATGGAGCGACCAGGTCCCTTGAGTTTTGCTACTAATAATGATACAATCATCATCACTGTCCTCGTCGATAGAAAGCGGATTGGTAGCGGTACCAGCTCCACCCGTCGAAATGGGAGATTCGTAAACATCTAGATCGATGAAAGTTTTTTTGGGAGTTGAATGGTCTGGTGAAGTCAAATCCATCATGCTATGATCAGTCATATTGACGTCGGGAGCACCATCGTTGGCTTTGAGGTTACTCAGATCCATGTTGGAGATTGTCGTTTCATACTCTATGACAAATGTTAGTGATGCAAGATAAATGAATGGCAGATATGGGTGACATTGTGAGCTGTTGATGACGGAAAAAGCAAGAGAAGTGTGACATCTAAGCAGATACCTGGCAACACAAATGACAGAGATCGTGTAAAAGCTACAAAAACAGATACTTAACATTATAACAAGGAGTTGTGAGGCGGGGCGAAGAAATTCAAGAAATACTTTCATACACGGTGCACTCAGTCACCAGAACCAAGGTGAAATTTCAAGAGGGGAATGCTCGAAGTATAGAAATGCAGGCAGCGACCGTGGTATGACATTCTTCCCAATGGAAGTTAAGCTCCCACAATGTTCGCGAAACAGAAACTTGTTACATGAAAATTGATCAAAAGCAGATACAGTGAGATTCACGTACTATACCTTTCAGTTTGTGTGAAGGAAGCTTTATGTTCTAGGGAAAACAACAGTTGTTGATAAAGTTCCGGCACATGCAAATCTTGGAGAGAAATTAAAGCTACTCAAGATCGAACCTGTGGTAACGGCGGTATTACTGAAGGGACTGGATGGCGAAGGTCAAGGTTCTTGGGGAGATAGACGAGACTCTGGTCCGCGGAAGTTGAATGATAGATAAGTCGATGCTGAGAACTGATTGTAATGGTGAAAAGCGAGAGGTCGGGCCTCAATTATGACTTGAAGAGGATCAGAGAATAGCAAGTGGGTTGTCGAATGGAAGGTTAGATGTCAAGTGCGATTGATGATTAGAGAGGATCAGGTTGAGAGAGGCGAGGTTTGGTATTGATATGATGAATTAACGAAGGTGAGAATGAGTTTTCCTGTACCATGAAGATTGATATAAATATTTGGGGAAAACTGGGTGAAGAGATTCCCAGCCTCCTGAGTAGATGTTAATAAAAGAACTTCGATAGCTCCGCTCTTCGGGCAGATATGGGTTCTTGGGAAAATAACATGCACCATTGAGTCGTTTAAACGCTTTGATGGGTATTCAAAGTAGCTCTTGAACCTCGTATGCAGTCACTACCAAACAATTTCAGAAGACACTTTTGCCCATACGCAAAATTCAACGGTTGTGTCAGTGCAATCTTAATTTCAGTTCCGATTTCAATTATCACATCTTATTCATACCTTTCACCACCACTATACAGGAAAGATTGTAGAGATTGAGCCAATTGGAGTTGATAAAAAATCCTGAGATGTAAGCGAGGAGTGAATACTATATCTTGACTCCGTCTTACTCCAAGTTCACCACGCCGCATCATACAACTCGAAAGAAAGGAGTAACTGAACGAGATCTTCAATCCTGACCAGAATTTCTTCAGTGAATTGAATTAAACAACGTGAAACACGCGCTTGGTTGTCCAAAGAGAGTCTATGAGAAGCAAACCCCCAGCGGACGAGATAAATGACAGTCTTGAGCCGTGCGTCGCAGCAAAAAAGATGTCACTTATCAAATGCCCAAGGGACCAGAAGGAAGCTGTTTTTCTTGGCGCTTGGTGGACCTCCAACTCCCAGAGGCATAGCGGGCCTGCAAGTGGTTGATGGTTGTGCTGAGTTCAAATGTGGAGCGAGGAAGAGCCCTCGCTCCTTCCTTTTCTCAATTCTGCATTTGAGACATATGTTGCTGGTTCAGTAATTTAGCACCTTCCCTCTCAACTCAACTCGACGCCTAGAGTCACTGAGAACAGGAAGGCACGAACTGGTCTGTACACAGGCTCTTGAGGTATAAACTACCTCTTCCCCTTTTCTTTCCCAACTTAGTCTTTTGATGGTCGAAAAGTACCCGGGTAATTGCTGGAGCGAGAAGGACTTGTGTTATTGACAGGAATGGCTTTAGCACCATAGCTAACACGAATGGAACAATGCTTAGAAGTATGCTCATTCTTGAACATAGCACATTGATACAATGTGTAGGTAGAGTCAAGCTCGCAGGTCTCTCTCTTTGACCGTGGTGATTAATGAGCATTCTTTACGATGGGAAAAAATGGCGGGATCTCCTTCTTGTGGTATCCTATCAAAGAGCCTACTCCTCCGCCATTGCTGATGAGTCTTCTCCATCAGGTCGACCAAAACTAGACGTAACGGCAAGACTTAGATACAGCACCTGCCGGTAAAAGAAACAGGCCGCCGCTCTCGTAAAAACTTTCAGGAGAACCCGCGTTCAACTGCGATAAGTGCTGCTAGACGCTGAAAAGATACCTCAACCAAAGATTTACCACCAAGACGGGATCGTCAACACGAACTGACTGCACCAAAGAAATATACCGCCAGTATATTTCTTTGCCCGATTTTCTGCTAAAAATGACAGAAGCATGTCATCATATAGGAGCCGACCATAGTTGTGCGATTGTGATGCTATCAGCAGAGTTCAAGCAGCAAGAAGAGAAAGCAAGAGAAATCGAGGTCCAGTCCAATGGCCTTTCCAGAGAGCAAGTCCGACTTGCGTATAGGTGATACAAAATAGGGAGGGATATAACGTATGACACAAGATCATCCTGCAATTGCCATGGACTGTACTTTAGTAATTTTCATGATCTAGAAAGGCCAAAGAGCAGACAAGGAGAGGTTTGATGCGAATTTTTGGATGTAGCAAAAGAGATGGTTCATAGTTCATTCCCTTATGGCAGATTTTTGCTGCTACAATAATTCTTAAGCCAAATCTTGGTCTAGTAAAAGTGATTAACTTTAATGTAAACAAAATCGATATTCAAACTCTGTAGGTACCCTACTTTTACAAAGAAGAACCATCCTCTACTTCCACATTTCATTGATTTAACTTTGCATTTTGAATTGGTTTTGGAATTTTCTGTGTTGCTATAAAGTAGATAAGCAACCAAATCGTGGTAGTGAATGTACATCTACATAGTTTTGCTGTTTTGCGACGTCGCTGTGGGTCAATAGATACCGCACAATCCCAATTCTCATTGGCTCGGTCTCTCCCCGGCTGGGTTAAACCAATCAAAAAGCCCAGAATTCCCCACCAACTTTTCAAATATCCAAATAAGAGAAGTCCAGTCAACAATCAAAGCAAGTCTCTTGCCCAACTGGTGCGATGTAGCATCGGCCGCACGTTGGGCTCAACTCTGGGAGTGCTCGTAGACTTGCACCTAGTCCTTTCCGGCGTGTTAGGGGTCAGCTCTGGGGGCGCGGGTATGATTGTAGGAGGATGGTTTAGGAAGCCAACTGCTGGCTTCCAGAGGGACAACTGCTGTCCCTCGACAACGTAATAACCGGCCATTTATATGGTGTCTGTGTTTCCTGAAATCTCAATTGGGGTCCATAAGGTTTTGCCGTTTTTTTGGAGGTTTTTTTAAGCGAGCTTGACGCGACATGTTGTTTTTACTGGTTGCTCACACCTCAAAGTTCCGCGCCAACACAAGACGCCAGCTCCATCCATTACCATCGCGATTTTTCCATACCAACACCATCCATCCTGGAAGAGTACTCCATAAATCACGTCGCAAACATGATCATCGAGAAGAAGTGAGAACGCATTCCACTTTCGAACTCACGTCCCTCTATTCGATATGGTGACGGTTCCCGTTGACTTGGGGCGCTCAATTTGGATAGCCCGACACTATTGTGGTATGGTCAATCTAGAAGTTTTCTCTTCAGATTCCGCCCAACTCGACTACGCCACGATACCACAGCGCAGACGCAAGGGAAACTCTCGTATATTTTCTCGTCGTATTGGCGAAGCTATATCATATATTCCACCATAACACCTGGATATATTGGTCATTTTGGCTGTTTTTTGCGTTCGGTGATCAATGAGTACATATTTGCAATAACAAGTTCCTATCGACTTCGCACATACCTTAGCAGATATTGTTTGGTAGGTGTTACTTTGCGCGTTCGAGAGTCAAGCTAATTTGTGGCCATAGTCCCATTGACATCTGTTTCTGGCTGCTTTTGTAATTCAAGTTCTATTGCAGACAACTGGAACTGCTAATATACTCCTCGCATTGGCCGAGTATCCTGTGTCATGTCTGTACCTATATATTTACAACGGAAATGAGTGGAATGGTAGCAGATAGGATCCAGACTGCAGCATGGAATAAGGAAACCATAAATACTCGGCACGATTTCATTAATGACTCGGATGATTCGAATGCGCTTAACGACTACATAGCCGAGATCAATGAGAGGGTAATATGGATAGTCTGGTGGCCAAACTCGAGAATCATATTTCTAGCTCCAGAGAAATATTTGGCCAAATTAGATAACGACAAGTAGAGCTTGTGCTTCAAACACTTTCCTGTACCATTCTCCATTTGTACGAGGTTTCAGGTGCTAATCCACGAATAGTTGCAGGCTTTCAACGGTGCATGAACCTACAGAAACCAAGCGGCACAATTTGAGGTTATATCGAATAGACAGTCTTCATTAGAAATTCGCCGACGGAGAGAAATCGATAGAAATCGGAGATGGGATTATAATAATCCTTGCTTTGAAGAGGATACATGATCAACAAGAAGCCAACAAGGGAACCCCTCGAGGCCATCAAACAAACAAAAGAGGAGGAGGAGGAGGAGGGAGATAACTGCATGGTAATTCGCCAAAGTACAATGGGTTAACACCGATTGAGTTGTGTGGAGGCAATGAAGGGTTCTTATATCACGTCCTTGTGTGGTATAGGTTCTGGTCATCGTTCTATGTTAATTCCCAGGTGAGCTACACCACCTGAAAAAGTCATGTGAACCAAACTGACTACACAAATCACTCGGAATAATCAGAGGCCACGAAAGGTACTCGCTCAACAAACCCAACGCATCTTTGAAACTGGTAAGTATGGCTTGTTGGCAGTCTACCATTTTCCGGGCCCACTACGCTTTCCTGAGGAAATTCTCAGCCGGCTACTGTTTCGAGGTTCTTTTTTTTGTTGAAGTCTCTGTATATTGATGAACCTTTTGACTCATGGGAGGTCAAAGGGCTATCAGCTCGAAAGGTGGTGACAAGATTGAAATGAGGTCAAGTCCGAGATGAAAATAGAATACTGTAAATTTAGCTTGGAAAATGTGGATCCCCTCTTGTCCTCTTCTTCCGCATCTCGCATCTCCCATCTCGCACACTCTTACTCCCTGAAGCAAACCACTTTCCTTCGTACTTACCTGGGTTTCAATTTGGATAGACCACGGGATCACGAATGAAAATACTCTCAAGAAATCTTAAAGAGTCGAAGTCTGTCCCAGCCACAATGTCCGTGTCAAAATCCATCCCCGCGTTCAGCGTCGTGGAGCCCATCTCCAAAGCTCTCAAATCAGCAATCATGGATGCCGACGTTGAGACCTTACGAGTCGCAATATTCCAATTATGCGAGCGAGGAGAGAGTACCTCCGTAAGGAGCACGCTGGAAAAATGGTTGGTTCCCAAGAAGGATCTCAACGAATTGATAGCACTTAAGGGTGATAAGGAAGGATCTTCATCAAAGCCAATCGATATTCCGAGTAGCCCGAAGGCTCATTCTCCACAACTTGCTACTTGTGAGCACTGTAATGAGGATTTTGATCTTTTGGAGAATGAGGAGAAGGCTTGTGCGAAGCATACTGGTATGATGACTCTCGGTCTTTTTGTAATCTTACCACAGATATCTAATATTGCCGAACAGAATCTAAATACGCCAACATGGATTCGAAAGTTTGGGATGACCACGACGAGGACTGTCATAGGGATCCAGATGATCTTGTTGACGAGCCTGGTTATGCAGGAGGTTTTCTTTATGAATGTTGTGATCGACCTGTTACTGACAAGGGATGTTCACCAACGCAACACAAAGGCAACTGCGGTCACATATTCTTACCGGCCAACTGCTGGTGTCAAACGACGACTCTCCATTCAAGGTCCGGAACCTAAAGTAATTCGATTACGCTAAAAGATATGTCGCTCTGCTATGTACATGTTTTCTACCCTTTGATGGCAGTACTTAATTTAGTAAAGCTGGAATGTTAAACAATAACCGATTCCTGGCTTGATTGTAGTCATAGTTTGGCTCAATTGATCTCTAGTTACTTGTTACTAGCTCTTTCATGGAGATGCTTCGCCAATCGCCACGTCAAAACCTCGTTCTTACCGTACATTCATTACATACGTCATTTAGAATATGAAGTATACCACGTTGCACAAATATTCCAGTTAATGTCAGGTGCCTGAGATGATATCATCCACAACAATCCTTCTTCATTACTTCAACATCTCTTTATGACCAATTAGCAATCTTGATCACATGGTACAATTTCTTGTTTATAAAAAACTCACAACTTCATCCCCGGCCTCATCATATCCCTCGTAAAAAGCGCGAATCCCACCAAAGCCCCACAAAGAATCGAAATAATAATATATCCTATTTATCATTAACCTCTAAGCCCCGGATATCATTTCGAAGCAAAGGAGACAACCATACCATTGCTACTCATATACAAAAGCATAACACAATAACTCACCGCGAACTGAGAAACATGCAACAATCCTCTTATTAACTGCTCCACCACGACAACAAGCGGCCGTTCGTCTACCAATGTATCTAGTATCTCGTCTTTGCCCAGAAGCCTTTCTTCCATTTCTAGTGGTTTTGAGGGCTCCTTGGAGCGGTTGAGGAGGTATCGGTCGTATGTTCTTTGTAAGCGCCGCAGGAACTCGAGGGAAAGGACGAGGAAGAAGGCGAAGAGGCAGGCGAGGAGGAATGTGAACTTGGAGGTGATTTTGAAGGAGGAGGTGAGGAAACAGGCGTTCATTGTGGTCCAGTTTAGAAGCATCTGAGAGGGAAACATCTGTTAGCTCATCCATGAAAGAAAAGTGGCATGGAATATTTTAATCTTCGGAGTGTGGTCGAGATTTCGTAGGGCGGAACTCACAGAGACTTTACAGTCACTATCTCCTCCCATTGACATTGCCATTCCTGATGATGCCGTTGAAGATGCTTCCATGGCCATCGTGGTCGCGCTTGTCATTTCCATCTCCATTTTCAGACAAACACCGTAGAAGCATCCGGTTGCTAGTTGACAGAAACGCAGGTACAGGAGCTCTCACGATTTTCAGTCGTGATATATACATTCAAACGGATAAGACCTTCTGCCAAGATCTGCTTCCCGCTGGGATATGCCTCAAACCCGCGCAAACATATGCGGGGATCGCACCATGGGATGTAGGCTTTTTACTGTATTATGCCATGTGGATGGGGGAATGGAGATGCATTATTTATCTGGTATTCATCCCGTTCGGTCCTTGATATGATATTAAAAGTCTTCAGAGTGGAATTACAAGGAATATGTGTAGCTTCCGTAGCAAACCAACAACAGGAACATAACTTCTTGTTGCGAACAAAACTCATTTCCCCTCAACTAAAACCTAGACTTCGATATAGTGACATTTACTGACCGTCGAAAGCATTGACCAAATAGTCCACAAGACCGTTTGGTTCACAACGACCGTTCTTTAAACTAACTCAAGTGTGGGGGTTCCGTACATATATCCACACCGTTCCTCCACATCACATCCAAGCTTCTCCATCTTAACGCCCCCCTTTCGGATTACTATCAATATACACCACTTTTCCTCAGAAATAAACCCCTCGAAATGGCAAAAATGCACGTCTCTTTGCCCCGCCGCATTACTCGAGCAGGGAGGGGATCACAAAGTACACGAAAACTTGCGCAAACGTGCGCAGAAAACCAAAAAGCTGACATCTTTCGAGGACTCCCGACTTTGACACCCATTTTTTCTGTTGCATTGAAGGATTGTGATCCGCTGACTGGGACAAATGAATGGATCCTACTTCGTAATTCTACGTCACTGCGTGCTTAATGTGGTTCGGGGTGTGGAAACTAGCTTGGCAATCATAAGCTCAGAGCCGCTTGTGGCGGCGATAACCTTGAGGAATACAGAAGTGGCGAGGAAGAGCTTATATACACGGTGATACGCATCCTGGTTGTAAGTTTGTTGTGTTGTTTTCTGACTTTCGGGTTCTTTCAGTCGACCCAATCGAGGTGGGTTAAGTAAGCTATGAAAAATATCGGTTTCGAATAGATGGCTTCCCAAATACTCCTAAAGATCATTCATCATGCCACTTATCCAGGGCATTAAATACTCATGGTACGCAACCTCATGTATAGTCCGCGATATGCCAGGGTTTTCTTGAAGTCGGACTATTTCCGCAACTTCAATAGCCACAAGCTAACTTAAAGCCAGTCAAGCATGTATTAGGGGTCACAGATCAAGCTCTTGTAATCACAAGGACCGCGATCTGATCGAGGTACGAAAACCAGGACGACCACTGGAGAGTTGTGGGCACAGACTAGATACATGCTCGTGCGGAAGACTCCAAGAATTCTTCTCTATGGATGGAGGTAAATCCAATACCTGAAATATCTATTTCGCTACTCTGCAGCAACTCTCTGATACACATCACTAATCTACATATAATAAGCTACCATGATAGACACATTCTCCCAGAATCAAGAAGTCCACATCGCAAAAACAAAACCAAGAACAAGAACCCAATCCACCCACACGTCCAAAATCAACAAACGAGGCAGTAAGAAAAAAGCACATGTCGCTCCTTCCCTCGAAACAAATCTCCCAAGAAACAACCCCTTCACTCCAACAAATATGTCCCTGCCCTCAAACCCAGCTTCATTACACCCTACACATGTTCCTCCTTCAATACCTTCACATCCTGACACAGGACTTGCGTCGAGTTCCTACCCAAATTACTATCCGAGTCCGACGAATGTGTCTTGGAGTAGCTTGGGTGATGGAAATGGCGCAAACTCTCTATTTCGAACAACAGAAGGAGGGAGGCTGGGTGAGAAGGTGGAGGTGATTTCGGAGTCATTCAGTCAGGATGAACAACACAGAGATCCGTGATCAGATCTAATTCTTGGACATGAATTGAATGAGAAAGCAGTTTAGATACTGTGAGACTTGGCATTCAAGTATTGGAAAAGAATGGAGGCCGGATGTGGATTGTTTAGCGAAAAGATCGCTAGAATTTAGGAAGTTCTTTCGGTACTAGCGAAGCATTCGACCGTATTTGAAGTCCCAGGATGACGGCTCTGTTTGACATCACATGTACTGGTATACACACGACCCCCCGTCTTAATCGCCGCCTATGTAATAAGTCCAAGCTGTAGATTTCAGCCTATCGCGGTATATTGAATAATGTATATATTAAAGAGAAAACATCAAGTGTCTTTCGCCAGGGAAGCCGCTTGTTAGGAACTGGAGTCAGCAACAACACCACAACCCTATCTATACGTATCTCCCCCTCCCTTTTCCCTTTTCCTTCTCCTTCCTCACCTCCCACATGTCCGTCTACTACGTACGTACGGCACCCTGAATGTACTAAAAGGTCAAGTAGAGTAAATACTAATTCGCAAATCCCAAATCACAAAAGTCATATATTTACGACTACAAATACACTAGAGTACCTATACCCCCATATCCCTACGTACTTGAGATAAGGGCCTGATTATGTAATTTTACTACCTACTATCGCTATATCCTCATTGTCGCATCCTCATTGTCGCATCCTCATTGTCGCATCCTCATTGTCGCATCCTCATTGTCGCATCCTTACTATAGTATCCTCACTATCGCTATCGTAAATAACCGAAAAGAGAATGGAGAGTGGGCCTGGGCACGTAGAGTCTAAGGGTGGGGGTGGAATGGTATAGGCACTATAGTAATATTAGATATATGGCTTTGTAATCTGCGAATTAGTATTTACTATATTTGACCTTTTAGTACATTCAAGAAGTCGTACCATTTAATTCTCGACCGTTGCCTAGAGGTGACCATTTGCCGAATATAACTCTGAGCTTGAGCCCAACCACACTGTATTTCAAACAAGTGAGAGTTAAGATGTAGGTAGTGAACGAATACGACTAAATGAATACTATGTAAATTAAGGCCTAGTCTCCACTGTACAATATTCCCGAAAATCCCTTTGAAGTTCCATATGTACATCTTAGATTCTAAGTTTGCCATATCCACTTTTGGTCGTAGTTATATGAAGGAAACTAAGCTCAGCGTTTGAAAAATATCCTTTAACTTCGTCCTAGGCGAAATAGATCTGACTTTTCTGAGGTAGCTTAGGCGAGTAACAGTGGGGGTCTGGACACTGAGGTAGGGGAGTGGTTATAAGTACTCGTACTATTAGTTAAATTCCAGACGTCCTTCGGAATACCATTAGTACAATAGTAATTAAAACACATTACAAATCAACTCTCTTTCAATTAACACATGTAGGAAGGCACCCCCGGCTATAGAAATATGTATATCTGGCTTTCGACTTTTTACTTATTTGATTAATTAATAGTTTAATTCGAAATAATCATTACTGCACTGGGTTTTCAAGTTCTCGGGTTAATTCTACGATCTCCGGAACAAGATTGTTATCTGCATAATCGTCCGATATTTACATATTCTGAGTAGAAAGGAAGAAGCGGTAGGGTCTAAGACCGTTGTAGACACAGCGTCTTTAGAATTCAAATCCTCGTCCACATAGACTTCCAGGTAAGCACTATTAGAAAGCTTGTCATCGTACAAGCCTATGTCAGGCAGAGAGAAGTCGCCATCCTTAGACATAGAACTCTTGTAGCATAAGAGATAGAATAGTGGTTTAGGGAGATTCGCGGGGGCTTATTTTATTCTAAGGGAGTAGTAGGAGTCTAGACACAGAAGCATGGGAGTGATTATATGTATTACTAGTCAAATTCTGGACGTCTTTCAGGACACCATTGGTATAGTACAACAGTAATCAAATCATATTACAAATCAACCCTCTTTCTGAAACAGAGTAAAAACTCCTGGGAAGGTTACATTTATTTCGACTAGGATAAAGTATGACCTAATGTCACATAATAGAACCTAAAACTGGAACGGCACTCTCCATATCAAAGGTTATTTCTCACTTAGCCGGCCTATGACGCTACTTGAGAGGTTCGACGAAGTATATCTATACTTGCAACGTTCCCTACTTTTGAATCACTTAAATTGCAGCAACCAACCCGCTACTTCTACAACTCATTGATCACCCTTCTAACAATAAATCATTACTGGCGTCGAAAGAATGCAACTTCAACCTATCATCATCCTCGCCACTTTGGCGAAAACTGTCTACAGTCTCGGGTGGGCCTATGCAGAATGCAGAATCGCCGTAGGTCACCGAGTCTCCGTCGATGCTATAATCCCTAAATCCTACCAACTCTTCATTCTTCTACAAAAAGTCTTGATTGGATCTCTAACACTTTCTTTAGGGTACTCCCGACGTCGACACAACCAAGGAAGCATGTGTGGCTGCTAAGGCCAATAATGGCTGTACCGATTGCAACTATGTAATCGGATATCAGTATTTTGCTTATAAAAGTAACCAACGCCTTATTGATCCTAATCCTCTCGGGGTATGTACTACTCCCTTCCCAGAGGTCAAATCGGCGGGGTGCTAATTGTGATATGTAGTGGAATCAGGTATGCCTAAACGCTGGTGCCAATTCAGGAACGGGCAAATGAATATGGAAACGATTCTCAATTGGGGTACCGGGTTCCATTTGGCTCGTATATTGAATGCAAAGCAAATATCACTCCAAAATAGTCATCTAGCCTCTGGGGAACGCGAGGATGGTGGTGGAGCTGTGGTGTAACAAGAGAGATGCCGGGGGGGTTTGAATTTATATGTTGTAGGTTCGTATGACTGAGCGCGGACAATGTATGTTCAAAAGATACGAGAAGGGGTTCTTATTATATTCATTTCATGATTTCAAAATGATCAAGAATGCATTCACATTGGAAGGGGGTCAATCTTTTAAACAATACTGGAAAGCGACAAATGAAGCAATGGTTGAAAGTAAATTATTCTCATTGGGAAACAGTTTTTTCAAAAACCTCTCGGCATTAATCATAATTTATGTAATGTCAAAAATTATTTTAGCCAATCCAGAGACCACCAGTAAATACATTTTATTATCTCGCTGGGTCATTTTCTCAGCTAACCTGATTGACTTGTAGCCTGGTGGTCGTGGAGCGTTCCATGGAGCAGTATTTGGGTCGCCATAAATGGTGGCTCAAAACGGTTCAGCTCGATGGTGTAACATGTGGATTCGTAGAAAATTCCTACACTTACATGCCCAGAGGGTCGTTGCGTGCATTTCATTATTTTTGCTCCTGACTCGTCCTTAATGTCGTTAAATCCAGGCCTTCTTAAGGTTACAAATTTAAGAAGGGCCATCATCATCAGGCAGATCATTAGTTTCCAAACCATAGTCTGCACTTGTTGGAGGGGGTGCGAAGCCACCGGCTGCCAGCCGTTCTGCTTCTTTCTTCTCTCGAAGCGCCTCGGTCTCTTTTCGTAATTTCTCCATATTCCAGGCCTCATCTTCTCCGTCGTCATCGTCTTCATCTCCACTAACATTCCAATCACCCTTTTCGAACATAGCACGACCAGTAGCCTCTTTAGCAAGTTGTGCTTGGTTCTCAGCAGCCTTTTTGTCCATTCGCTCGGCTTTCCATTTTGCAAATGTCTCTGGGGTGACTGGAGTAAGAGTTCCGGTGAGTTTGTGTCTTTCGTTTTCAAGGAAATCTTCAAGGGTAAGTGTTTTGAGGGGAGATTTGTCCAAGAGAGCTTTCTCTGCTGCTCGCTGTTCCTTTGTTTTCAGAACGAATCTGCAATTGTTGTTAGTATTCATCTAGATTCCAAGAATTCGAAGAACTTACCCTGCAGGTAATTTGTGCTGGTACATGCATTTATCTCCCCCATTCGGACATGTCCAGAACCAACCGTACTTGCCCTCCTCTACGGCATCTATGAAGAATTTGCAGACTTTGTCTGTTGTAGTTTTCTGGTTGCCCTTCTTGGAAAGAACGACACTTCGCAATTTCTCCTCGTCCCAATCGTCCGAGGTTTCTTTCTTTCTGTTTTCTTCCTCCTCCTCTCGAGTATCTTGGTAAAGATCTTTTTTCTGGGCTTTGCGCTCGACGTTGAGATCGTGTGAGAATTTGCACTTTCGTCCTTTCTCGCAGTGTCCCTTTTTGTAGAATTGACACAGCACTGTCTTCGGATCGACTCCGAAAGGAACCTTCTGCGTTTGAACAGGTTTGAATAATGCTGCGGCTTCCTTGGCGGCGGCTTCAGAGGCAGCCTTCTCCCTCTCCCTCTGTGCCTTTTCGGCAGCCTTTTTCTTCTCTTCCGGAGTGCCACCAGCATTTGCGGATTGTGTCATGCGAGCAATTTCCTTTTGTTTTTGCGCACCCTTCTTATTTTTCATTCCGAAAGTTCTGTCCTCGACCATCTTTGCGCCGGAAACCTTCTTGCTCCCCCCCTCCTTCTGCTTGTCGCCTTTTTTTGGAGGCATCTTTGCGGATTGTATGCGGTGGCGGGAGTGGTAAGAAGAAAGGGGTTTGAGAAAATCTGCGGATGCAAAGGCGATTCAACACGGCGTCCGAGGGACCAGAAATGACTGTGGTTGGGGTTGGCTAGAAGATGTCGAAGTGTGGTGTGAATGGCTTGTCCAGATATGCGGCGGCGAGCTGCGTCAAGAAGTTTGGTGGGGGAAGTCACGTTTTGAGAGGGCCCGGACGTCATTGGCTGCTTAGCGATGGTCTTGAAGTGGGAACTTGCAGCGGCATGGCGCTCATGGCTCCGGCCGGGTGAAGCTCCCAGCGCGCAGGGCAAGCTGGCCTCATTCGCAAGCAACCGGCTCATTCAACGTCAACACGAACTCCAACGCTGCTATCATTGAATTGATGTAGCCAAACCTGCCAAGGTACGCATGTGCAATTCCCATACAGTAATTGACTCGATTGAAGTGTTCTGACTCTGCCTCAGCTAAATCATCGTCACTTTCTACGTCGCCTTCTTTACAACAACCTCCCAACACCGCACTTTCCACAAACCACATCCACGATGATTTCCGACGATGATCTCTACAGACTTGCCATCGTTCTCGGCTCCATCGCCATGATGCTGATTGTTCTATACCACTTTCTGGAGGTCAATTCGGACGAGGGTGCTACTGAGAAGGCGCGTGTGGCTCGGAAAGACACCAAGTCAGGTTCGATAGCGCGGTGATGGCGGAAGTAGGAACTACCGATTGCGTGGAGGCGAGGAAGAAGGAAGGAAGGGACGGAGGAGAGGAATCGGAGAAAAGAGCTACACCTTTCCACTAAAATGGACTCGGGGAAGCATAACTGGCGTTCCGGTGCGACTTTGGAGGGATTGAAGGGATTTATAAGACTACTTTCATGGGAGGTTGTGTAAAATACAGCGGGTCTGCTCAAGGAATTCGTGGTTCAGACTTCGTATTGCTTTGGAGTGATACTCAGAACTCACAAACAATGATGGAGTGACTAGGCTGTCGTTCATGATTGATACGGACACATGCCTGCGAGTAGAACAAAGAGTGAATCAGCTTGTCCTTACTAAGTGCACACCCTTTTTATTTATTTAAAGAACTATTGAGTCAAGTACCTTTGCTACTCAGTACGAAAGTGTCATATCATGTTGTCCACGTAATAGTTTATTATCTTAGGTGGATGTTCTATTCCCAGAAGCCAGGCTCAAATGCTGCTGCCACTGCCACCAGTCAGGCTATTGTTAGATCCCACGTGACCATGCATGAGTCAAAGACATGACACTAGGCCCAAACCATATTTCTCGCCCCTTCCTTTAACTAGCATCCCAGCGCTCTCCTTTCTTGCGCGTCCCGTCGAGCTTTCGCAAACAAACCACAACCATCAACACCAAACCCACGCCCAAGGCAAATCTTCAAGTATTTCGATTCTGCACGCTCCCCCTTGACTCAAGGACTTCATCAAAGTACCTCTTTTACTCGCGCGCTTCAGCCAACTTCGAAGCCGCCTACCACTGCCACTTTCTCGAGTCGCGTTGCGCAACACAACACAGCCTCGTCTGCCATCCATCGCATCACCATAAAGTCTCAACCCGCCCTCTCTCCATCACTCCGCATACTACGGTCAACTTTACGCGATTACCAAAGCCTATTCTGCTGATCTTCACCTTTCGATCAGTTCCTTCAAAGCCTCAAACAACCCTACAAGTTTCTACTACAAGCCATCAACATGTCTGGAAAACTTGATCAATCTCTTGATGAGATCCTCTCATCCACCAACCGTCGTTCATCGGTCAGAGGAGGAGCCAAGGGATCTGCCGTCACCCGTCGAAGCAGACGAAATGCAAAGCCAACCGTCGCTCCCCCAGTCGGTGGCGTGAAGAAGCCTCAGCGAGGAGGAAAGACTGGTGCCAAGGCCATCCCAACAGGACCATCCGGTTTGAGTGGTGAAAGCAAGATTTTGGTTAGCAACTTGGTAAGTCTTTTCGTCTTGAACTTAGCCGCAAATAATTAACTCGAAACTAGCCCAAGGATGTTACAGAAGCTATGGTTAAGGTATGTTACCAATGAGGCTTTACAGCCTCAGGAATTTTGTCGAACTTTCCACCCTCGGCGACGAATCCATGATCCGTAGATGTGATCTCAAACCTCGGTCTTCCGAGTTCAAAAAGTGCCCGTGGAAGCATCACGGGCGCTGTCTCCTTCTCTGTTCTTGCTTTGAATATCCCATGAAGCATTGGCAGATTGAAGTCGAGCTTGTTGCAGTCTTGCAGATGAATATGATTCTTTGGAAGGTAGCCTGGCAAGCACCATTCAGAACATTGCAGACATGGACAATTTGTGATACCATTGTATCTTTTTATATCGAGCGGGCGTCCCAAATGCGTTACAGCGAGCGGAACAGCGGGTCAAGCAGCAGCACAGCATGCATATCTTTTCAGAGATCAAAAGCTCCAAGCAGTCTCCCAGCGCGAACAACTGCTATGGTTCCCCACAACACGACATCAGCATGGCATAGGAGCATCCTCAAGCGTTTCAAGATTTCAAGATTCAACCAACACCCCAAAACAGTATTGTGTATCTGGATCTTCGGGTCCGATCATCCAATATCGGCTTCGGGAAAACGTGGAATTTTATACTTCGGAAACGTCTGAATGACTTACTAACACCCGCTGCCCGCTCGCTGTCGCTGGTGGTATTTTTTGATCACTGGGATCTAACTTAATTGTCGATTATTTTTCCTTTCATACCGAACGTCGATACCGAGATTCGCAGACTGCCAACATGATATACGGAAAACCAGATCACTAACCAAAGTTTGGAAAATAGGAATACTTTGTGAAGTCCGTTGGCCCAGTCAAGAAAGTTGAAGTATCATATGGGCCAGGAGGTGTTAGCCGTGGAATTGCTACGATCTTTTTCGCTCGACCGGATTCAGCTACCAAGGCCTTGGAAACCCTCAGTGGAGTTTTAGTCGATGGTAGATCTATGAAGGTATGTCGTCTAGATCAAAAAATTGTCTATTTTCTATGCTAATCGAAATCTAAAGATTGACATCATTCTTGATGCTCGACGTGCTGCTGCTATTCCACCTACTAAGGGTCTCGGTGAGCGTATCACGTAAGTTCATCCTTGATACTGTATATCTAAAACCTTTCTGACAATTCTATTCAGACAACCAAAGTCACAACCTAAATCCGCAGCTGTCACGAAGGGTACTACTGCAGCACGTGGGAAGGCTGCTCGTGGACGTGGTGGAAAGACTACAAAGAATGCCCGTCCGGCAAAGAAGACAGCTGAGGAGCTTGATTCTGAAATGGCAGATTACTTTGGCGGAGCCAATACCGAAGCTGCCCAGCCTGCTGCCAATGGAACCAACGGAGATGCTGCTATGGATGATGAGATTCTAGTAAGTTGAAATTTAACTTGGCAGCATGATGCAGAATGTCCTAACCATGACGCAGTGAACATGATGGGTAAAATCGTTGGGCTTTTGAGGGAGGAATGATTTCGAAATTTGACGTGCGACGCTTCCTTTTTACAACACCACAAAAAACCTTCTACGCATGTATTACTGCCTGGCATGCGAGTCACCCCGAGACTGCATACCTTTTTTCTTTGTCTTTGATGCGGGGAGGGAACACTTAGCGCTCGTCATAATAGCTATTCGGCTGCCGGAGTTTTTCAATCGGTATCCGTTGAGATTGTATCTTCAAGGGTGGGAGGTTGAGCGTGTAACGGACCGGAAAGGAATGAAATATCGAAACGATCCTATCCACCTCTTTTTCCGATTATTTTTTTCAGTGTCAGCTTTTGACCTTCCATGCGATGAGCAGCAACCGCTTTCTTTATGCTTGGCTTGACTAGCTGGCTTGACTAGCGAGCTCCCATGGGAACATCTTTCCAATTGGTAACAATTGGGATGGGGGAATGCACAGATTTCTAACCATGGGGCGTGCAGTGCGGGTCGTTTGCTGTCAATATCAAACCATACGACCGTGTTAACGAGTTTCCGAGTGTATACGTGTCACAAGAGAGCAGTGCTGCCTACCAAAGTCTCACATCCTCCAGCGACCATTTCATAAATGTTCAGTTCGCTTGCTCGCTGGAAGTCGTCCCATCCATTGCAGTTGTAATGCAATCGCACATAAGTGCTTACTTGCTTGACTTACTAACTTTCCTTATCGCTCCTTCTACTTTGGCCATCGTATTCCCTACGTATATCGAACGCTGCTTCCCGAACCATAAACTTCGTATCAGTCAATGCCCGTCCATCGTATTCCGAAACTGTCAACCCGATGTTGTCCGCCAGATCATACTTAATTCTCGCCGTAATTGCAATGACGGGTTCGCAGCTTGGTTCTCTTTGTGGATCTTCCTGAAGTGTATCCCTTTGATGTGCTCGATTGGTAGAACTTAAGTACCTAAACTTTACATACCTGTGAGAATAATATTGTTGACGGGGTTATGCTGATGTGATTTAGGGTCCTATTTTCGATGCTTTTTGGCTTCGCCTTCATGGAGCTTTTCTGTAGGTTGTGGTACTGATATTCACTTGCAGTGGATGTGAAGAGGGCGGGTTTGTTATCCTTTCCAATGTCTAAATGTGATGGTTTTGAGCGTCAATCAGGTAGGTGGATGGAAGTAAGAGGCTTCAAAACTTGATAAACACAGCTCCGCGGGTGGCTAACCCACTTAGGTATGTAAGTGCATATGAGGTTTGGTTGTCTATGACGGGAGAAGGGAACTTACTCTCTAGACTTAATCCCTGGAATGATTGTTCCGAGATACATACATGTAGGACTCTAGCTATAGATCAAGTAGAAGTGTTTCTATGACTGGATGGGATGTGTGATGTGATGTAATGACTGTTTTCTCAACTAAAGCGTGAAAATGGAAGGAAATCTAGCTGGAAAAGGGTTGGTTTTTGTGATCTCTACAAGTGTAGGCCAAACACCAACAACATCCCTTCCCGAATGTCGACTTTACTGTTGGCTGTCATCATTTCGTCTCAACTTCCCCTATACTTGCGAGATACTGTATGATGTATATCTACGAGTATCCTAGTACTGATACTGGTAAATAATGTTGATAATTCGCAACCGAGCAGTCAAGAAGATGTATTTGTCGAGAATCGTCGTCTCAATCCCCCCTTCTCTTGCGAGATACTGTACTGGTATATAGCAGATGTGTACCCAGGAGTATACTGGTAATCGATGCTACCAATCGTACTTCAAAACCCAGTCACGGAGTAAGTTCTTTCTGTGGCTGGCTTGTCATTCATCGGATTGGGAAGTGCCGTGGACTGCAAGTGTCGTGGGCGCTAATTCTGAAGGTAAATCTCTGATATACTTTTTCTTTGAGGGTTGGATTGGATCATGAGGCTCTGCTGGTCATTCTTCGGATTGCGAGTGACGTGGATGGTCAGTCTGAATGTGATATATACTTTCTCGGGCTGGGGTTGGATCATGAGGCTCTGTGGTGGAACGTCGCATGTGGCATGGTGGTGTTCTTGTTGTGCGGTACCCTGCCGCCAACCTAACTTACCTAGGTACATTATGTTACTGTACCTCGGCACGAAGCGAAGGGTGACTTTGAGTTTGAGTTTTGCGGCTTGCGAGAAGGTAACTTTTGGATGGAAGGAAGAAGAATTGGGGGATTTCTGGCTCCGCCTTGGAATTTGGACAGTCTCTCCTGTCCTGGATTCGATGATGTTTGATGTTTGATGTGCCAAGCTCGCATCGGGCATTTTTGACAGGTCTGCTCGAGACCACCCCTAGATTTCCACGCTGGTATAAGTTACACGAGGTTTGAAAATGCGGTTTGGTTTGGTTTTAGTGTGCGGCACGAGGTAGATCGTTTACTCCTTTGCACGATCACCTTCCTTATTGGTCCACATCAGTAGACTTCTTTTCCAGTAGTCATTCTGAGGCTACGCCGCTTTCGTCAAATCATATCGCTTGTCGTACCGTACAGTAGCGAGAGTAGCTACCTGAAATTCTGATAGGTACGCCAATGCGCTAACGTCGGGCTTGTGGCTGGATTGGGGTTGGGGGCGGGCAGGTGCTGGTGACGGGAGGATTAGCGGAGAGATTACTCAGAGTACAAGTATTGGTACCAGTATCCTTCAAGGTGTTTGGTTCGTGCTAGGGAACTCGCTTTGAGTGGCTTTCGGGGACTTCTGGCGGATGAAGATGAGTGGTGGAGGTGTGGTGTGGTTACTAGTGCATAGGTACAGTACAGTAATGGTGTAAAGGGAAATGCGGGGAAGTTCCATGGATGGCGAGGTGTCAAAGCGGAGTACGAGTATGGGGAAGTGGAGAATACCAGTCTTTTTGCAGCTGCTTGAATGCAGGGAAGGGAGATCTTGTGGGGAAAGGACAAGCGATGGGAAAGTGAACATGGGAATGGCATTGATATTGATGGCATTTCGATGTTCTCTCATCCGCCTTTCGGTATCATGTTCTTGAGCTTGTTTTTTTATTGAGTTCTCGGATCTTCTTCCCTCGCTTGGTCATGGTCATGATATTCAACACTGGCTCGTGGGGTCGTGGAAAACGACGGACGCTTGCTTGCGAGATTACTGGCTAACAACAGGGGTGCATTGATCGCCATCCTCTATGTACAGTACCCGTAGGTATTTCTGTTCGTCCAGTCATCATGGGAACAAGCTACATCACAACGCTTCATCCTCTCGGTAGAAAGGCGTTTCCTGACATGGTTCACCCTCCGACTGGTATTTGACCAGTGCAAGTATTGCCGCCGAATACGACGGTCAGGTGTGTGATGTGATGTTCAGGATCTGGCCCAAAAGAGTCAAGTGGAGGATGCTTTCTCGCTAATGGCCCACGGAGAGACTTCTACTTTTGGGATGGCGGGAGGGTCTCGCTCGATATTCACCCTGCGCTGATCATTGGGATCGGGGGTCAGGGGTGAGTGTGTATACTGGTATGATGATATCGAGTATGGTACTCGTAAATAGGAGCATTACCATTCAGGCCGAGTATAAAGAGGACTTGTTCACTTCCAAATTTTGAGATGTGTTAGCTGCAATTGCACTGCGGTTTCAACTTCTTGAGGACTTTCCTGCTTCTCTTACTTCTTACTTTCCCCCTATATTCCTTTCACTTTTCTTCCTTCTAAGCAAGTTCCAAAGACCTTCACTCAAAACTCTTCATCATGAAGTTCTCACTCCTCACCCTTTTCGCACTTCTCCCTCTCCTACATGCTTCTCCCCTCCCACAGGACCAATACCCAGTCCCAACCCACACACCCACCGCCCCTCAAACCCCAACCCAACCAAACAAAAGAACCGCCGAATCACTCAACCAATTCCTCGGCGTTCTCCTGAACGACATGCCGGCCATCGAAGGAAGTCTCGATGCCGTGACCGGAGTTCTAACAGAATTCGAAGGAAACGTCGCTGCCCTGACTAAAGAGCCAACGACTTATAACGACCTAGAGGGCAACCTAGGTAGTGATTGCAGGACTTACACCATCGTTTTCGCGAGGGGAACTACGGAGCCTGGAAATGTGGGCATCTTAGCGGGCCCTCCTTTCTTTGAGGCGATGGATGCGGTCGCTGGAGCTCGAAATGTTGCGATTCAGGGTGTTAATAATTATAAAGCTGATATTGTGGGATATCTGACCGGAGGTTCTGCGTCTGGGACTGTGGAGATGTAAGTCCCTTCTCTCTTTTTTGTCTAATATCTGGTGAGAAACGGTGGGAAATTAAAAAGACTAATAATAAAAACAGGGCAAGACAAATATCAGACGCCAGAGCCAAGTGTCCAAACACGAAACTCATCGCAGCTGGATACTCTCAAGGTGGACAACTCGTGCACAAGGCTGCGGCTTTGCTTCCCGTTGATACGGCGAGGTGGATTAGTAAGGTTGTTATTTTTGGGGATCCATGTAAGTGTCTCTTCACTTCACCCTCTTTATATATCATGTAGAATAAAAAATTTAACTAGAAATAGTGAGTCGCTTCCCAGTGACCAACGTAGACGCCTCCCGAACAAAAATCTTCTGCAATATAGGCGATAATATCTGCGATAATGGGGACTTGGTTCTGCCTCCTCATCTAATTTATGGCAAGGATGCTTTAGCTGCTGCGCTTTTCGCTACTTCTTGATCATCTGTTTTCCTTTCTCTTTTTTGATGTTAATACTTGACCGTTTGAAACGACGTGGGTGGGAAAGCATGGTGTTTATGATGGATGCATTTTCAGGCGTATTTATTTTGAGATAAGCCCTGGTTTGAAATTTGGGTTGAGCTGTTTCGTTTGAAATTCAGGGCATGAGCGATGAGCGATGAGCATTGAACGATGTTCGAAGTGATAATTAATAATGTTTGTTGAATAACTTTCTCTTTCGAGTGAACGATTGTATTTGGTATGACAATATTTCTTACACATTTACTTTTCTAGAAAGAACTGCCCTCAAAAAGCTCTACTTAAATGGTCTACATGACCGAGAAATCTAACTACTCTTCAAAGGAACGCAAGCAGCATACTTAGCCCTCAATCTAGTAATAACCTGCACGTGTTCAAATCCCAACGGCGTTCCCTTACTAGTCGCCAAAAGCTGCGCCGTCTTAACAATATTCTTAATCTGGCGTCCATTCAACTCAATCTCCGCCAGAGAATCAATCTGCTCATCGGTGAAATTCTCATTCTGATCCTGTCCATCCACAAAGGTAAGCCAGATTTGTCTGCGCGACTCGAAACTCAGGTCTCCATACTGGAGTGAGAGGTGGATGCGTGATTCGAAGGCGTCGTCCATGTCTTCTACGCGGTTGCTGGTCAGGAAGAGGAACCCTTCGTAGTATTCCAGGACCCGCAGGAAGATGGAGACGAGCTTGTTGCGCTCGAGATCGTGTTTGGAGCGCGACTCGAGGAAGACGTCTGCCTCGTCAAGCAGGAGGACGGCCTTCCAGCGCGTGGTCATGCGGAAGATGCTCTTGAGTGTGTGCTCAACCGAGGATGGGTCCGTTCCGAGGTCTCCTGCTGACATTGAGTATAGTGGGATCCGAGTTACTTCTGCCACGGCTTCGGCTGTTAGGGTCTTGCCTACGCCTGGCGGACCTGAGAGAAGCATGATCACTCCTCTGCCTTTGCCTTGGATGACGTCGTCAAAGTCTTGCTCTTGTTGAATTTGGCTATGCGCAAAAGCACGGACTAGATCTTTGGTGTCTTCTGGAAGGACAAGACTTGAGAAGGCTTGGTTATTCCAGACGATGTCGGTGACGTTGCTAAGTTGCAAGTTGAACCAATTTTTATCCTTGAGGGAGTAACCACGAAGTTTTGTTGTTGCTAGTAGGAGCTGATATGGTGAAAGCTTTCCCTCTGTGATTGGCTCATCGGACGGTGGAGCTACATATGTCTCATTGTCGGTGAGAGTATCCACGTAAATTTGGTTATCTGGATTGAAGGTATTGTAGGCATCGGTATCCTTTAATTGGAAGTTAGCAAGAGGAAGTGATGTATTCACGGAAGAGAAGGATTTCGGATGCACATACAATAATGACACGACTGTCGATGTTGAATCGTGATTCTTCAATCGATGTCGCGAGTCCCTTGTAGGACTTGAAGTGATAACCACACAGAGCTTCCCATGAACGTCCACGTGCGATGCATCGTTGCTGAACTCCAATTGCATCTTCGTGGTACGAAAGAGGAAGGATGGAAAGGTCAGTGATTTTCTTAGTCCCCTCGAACCCCTCAATCTCCTGATCTTCATCCATCCAGCCGAACTCCTCACCACCCCATTCAACGAAACGGGTGTGGAGCTGAATTTCTTTAGAACTCTTATTGTGGGCAGCGCTTCTTACTTGCAAAACTCTCTCGGTCTCCGAGGACTTTTGAAAGACCAAACATCCAGGTTCAAACATTGTCCAGAGGTAATCGTAGGTCATGACACCATTGGCAATGAGATCCTTCTGGGTGATAATGGTATCTCGCAGCTCTACTTCAAGAGTATCCCAGAGCAATTCCAGGTGCTTCTTGGTCGTGACATCTGTCTCATCGTTCATCACTTTCTGGAACTTTTCCCATCGATGGACAAACGGAGCGAATGGTTTCTTGAACTTAAGACGCTTCAAGTCAGTGGTGACTCCTTCGTACCCAGCAAAGACCTCTCCCAAGGCCTTCTTTAGAAGAGGACTTTGAATGACGAGTGAGTTCAAGCTGAACTTCTTCCGGCTGCTTGAACTGTTGTCGTTTCGCTTCAGGAAAGCAAGTTGAGCAGTCTCATCGTTCTCAATGGCTTCCTCGAGATAATCCGGATACTTGTGGGTCCATGCTGAATGATCCTTGGTCTTATAAAAGTCCTTGGTCTCGCATTTCATGCCAGGCTCGACGGATTTTGGCTTCAGTGATCTTGCTGTCGTCACAATGACTGTAAGTGGAAGAGGTGGCTCGGGTTTCGAAATGTCATTGTTGGTTTCGGTGGTCTCGTCTAGCTTGGTGACTTTGACGTAGTCTTGGATTTCAACAGGAGTGGTAGACATTTTGGAAGATCTTTCGAAAGGTGATGGAGAGTTTGATTTAGCTGGGATGAAATGAAGAGAAAGTGAGTTGAATCATCTTATTTCAGCACTGAAGAGGCAACTTAAGTATACTCTTCCTAAAGCTTCGTTTGGCATAAAACGCTAATGAAGGACTATAGGCAACAGACCCCCATGCAAATTGGCATACAACTTTTTGATAGGAGAGTGATACTCTTACCCCGCGTACATATCCTATCCAAGCAATCGAATGTGTATCTGATTCGTGCAAGAAAGATAATACGGTCCCTAGGCGTTGCTGCGGTAATCAAAAGACAGACAGTTCGCATGTTCACAACTTTCCATACCTGGAAACCCGAACTTGAATCGTCCAGGAAAGTATACCGGTGAGTCAGATGTAGCTAGAGCTTAGCTTTTGGATGCAAGAACCCGAGCTTACCCTATTATTGACGATATCTGCTAGCGCCGAAAGTACGTACTTGACTGGGATGGCAAATCGGTTGCTGCGGAAGTCTTTTGGAACGAGTAGTCCATAGGCAAGCCAGACCTCACTATCGTGCTATGTAACTTGAGATTCCAGACATGAAATGGCCTTACCAGGTGCAAGGACACAAATACATGTGTGAGTAGCCAATCAAATCTCTGATCAGACCCACCTGAGGTTAGTCAGGTGACGCTCATCAACCTCATCAAAAAGTTCCAGCTCTCATTAATGATAACAAACATCAGATTTATGCACCTCGCCATAGATGAAGGCATTGCAGCCTTGCCAGATAGATACAACTTGCAGGTAGCGTGCCACTTGGCAGTGCAGCAAATAGGCAACAGTACCTTGAACCTCTCACCGAAGGCAGCAGTGCATCCCTCGGCCAAGGTTATGTAAGTTACCGTTGCATTCTTCACAACTATTGGAATGGAAGATTTTGGTCAGATTCTTATCTGAATAGCATTCCTTGTCTGAGAGGAAAGGCACGTATTGACCCCATTTCCCAAGGTTGACTCACGAGGCTCTGCCTACGGAGCCCCAGTCTCGCCTGACAGACTTTCAGTGTAAACCTGTATCTCTCTTCAAATGTCATTTATTTGGAACGTATGACTTGAGCTAGAACCGCGACCAAACCTGCCACCAAGACTGTCCATACTGAGGCTTCAGCGAAATCATGGCAACAATCTCCAGGTCTCCCCAAACATGTTCATTCTTTTGACTTTCAGTATTACATCCCGCAGCTTCAATCTTCTTCTCAAACTTATTATATCCCAATCTCAACGACCGAACTCTGCCTGAAGATAGCTGAAAACTGCCGCAATCTGCTAACATCCTGTCGATATATCCCCACAACCTACGATTCCTCTGTTGTTGATGCGCGGAACCAGGTCTCCCAAGGCGCCTTGTTGTTCTTTGGGTCAATCGGGCTCTTGATGGGCCAATCGTTGAGCTTGACTTCGCCAAACTGCTTCTCAGTAGCGGGATGTGGTTTGAGGCGTTTCGTGATTCGTTCTTTAACCTGTCCCTCAATCAGTTTTATTTCTTGCAGCGATAGAAAAAAAGACATTTGTGCTTACCCATTCTGTATTATTACCATAATCATCATCTTGTGCTAGGTTGATTTGGCCATGGAAGACCAAGTCCACGAGCAAGGCGATCTTAGTGCATAAGTGCTTGCGAAGAATGAATCGACGCTGGTTCACATAGCTGAGATGTCCTTCGTAAATGTTGTTGGTGAAGATGAACTCAACGTCGAGAGCTGGATTTATTTCATGAACAATCTGAAGAAGGGCAGTAGGATCGTTCAAAAACGTTGTACGAAAGAATTTGACTCGACCGTTCATGCTATTGAAGAGCTCTTCCTTGGCCAGCTGTTGTAGATCCGCTTCTCTCAGCATGTTACTATCTCCTATAAGCAAGATACGCAAAGCATAATGAGATGCGAAGCCACTTACACAAGTACTGGTAGACCAACAGCACTGGCAATCTTTTCTTTGATCTCCTCAATCACAAAGTAGACCTTGGTGAATTGATCATCACTGGGGATAACGTCAGAGGGAAAGCAGGCACGTGCAGCTTCTTTTCGGTCATCTCCAGTAGCACAGTAAACAAAAGCTACCAAGTGTTTGTAGTAAGCAATGAAAGTCTCCTCATCAACGTCTCCTGGTTTTGGGTGCTCCTCCATCCATGGTACCACAGGTGTCATGTCAAATTGATCAAATTCCTCTGAAGGGGGGAGATCGGACGCGCTGACTTGGACAGAAGAGTCACATACATCTATGCCATTGATCTTGTAGTATCCAGAGAAAGCAAGAGTCTCGTTGGTAGTGGTGTCTTTGGCGGTGTTTATGACCTCGTATTTGTTGTCAAAGTTGAGGTCGGCTTCAGGAATGACTGTGTCTGCGTTTTTATCCGTGATTTTTCCACTGGGTTCTGCACCAACTTCTGCACCAACTTCAACCTCATCTGGTTTGTCTTCCATACTGAGCTGGTGAGAGATTCGTTGCGAAAGTTCGTCAAGTGCTTTGTTGTTCGGCAAAGGAGGTTGAGGCTTGTGCGGATGTTGTTGAAGTTGAAGAAGCTGGGAATGGGATACAAGGACACCCAAACCAGGGAATCGTGGATTTGAGCGAGCCAAAAGTGAAGATATCTTGACATCCTTACAAAGGTATTTGAATACCAAAGAACAGATGATTCCGTAATCCATTCTCAGGTTAGAGCGCCATTGCTCCAGCTCTGCGTCATACCTTGCTACTCTCTCCTTTCCTATTGCCTCTATGATTCGTTGGCGCGATTCAGTTGATGCGCGACTGAGGGTGAGGACTGATGTTGATGGAAGTTGAAGTGCAGAACGAAGGTGAATGACGAAGTATTTATCGTTGGTCTGATTGGCGGTAGCTGCCAAGATGACCGCCTCGTATTGTGAATTGTCGTTCATGTTACTATACTGTGGTTCATGGAAACAGAAATTTAAAGTTGAAGCCGATCTTGAGCGGAACAAAAAACCACACAAAACCTAGCGGCGTCTTGATGGTTGTGAGCAAAGATCTCTTGCCTCTTTAATCGGCTATTTTGGCGAGGCGAAAAGCAGCGTTAGTAGGATCACTTCAAGAACTTGTAGACTTTCTTGTGGTGAATGAGCGCTAGCAGGGTTGTTCATAAGTAACTATGATTAGCAAAGTTATAGGGATGGATTTAAGCATTAAAATTTAATGAATGAAGTTATCTGATTAACATGGAAAGGTTGTATACAAGGGTTAGAGCAAATAAACTATTGCTTAATCTTACGCAAACATGAAAGAATTACATTTTATTGTAATATCAGCTTTGTTTCTATTCATTTCAAAATTGCTCTTAATAATTTAAACAAGCTTTAGATATTTTCCTATAGTATTCAATAATATAATGAATTGATATCCGTTATAGCCTCTTTTTCTTATGTTAGAAGAGTAGAAAAATAAAAATTGCGATTCAAACTTTAGATAATCTTCTAACCGTCTCTAGCGGTTCTTACAGTGGTAGAATTCTACAATTATATAAAACAACTGTAATGCATATAAAGAGTAGCAATGTAAGTTTAGAGTAAAGAGGTTATCTACGGACAGGGTGTGAAGCATATGCGGACGCTAGTCTGAGCCTTATGTTTTAAGTGAGATCATACCCACTACGTGGATACTAATTATCTAGCTACATTGTCTCTACATGGATCTATTACAGATTGATCACTTAATTACAATAGGTATTAGGAGAAAATCCGCGTCTTTCCGACTTGGACTTCGTCCTAATCCAAATTTGAATCCATTCGCTGACAAGAATCTTTGACAGTGCTTTTGGGATAAGAACATAGTATTATATAATTGAAGCGATGGCGTGGTGCCGCTTGATATTATCCTTATGGTTACTCCATTCATATTGCGAATTAGTATGAAAAAGAAGCGAGGACTGTAAAATTCACACTTCACCTACCATCTCTGGATCAGCTAGAGTTTGCCCATAGAACAGTGAAAGGCAAGAAGAGGGAGAATACAAGAAAGCTTGTAAAGCTTCCGGATCTTAGAAACCCCTGGATGTGAGAAGACAAATTTTCATGATTGAGCAGCATAAGGATGCCTGGCCAAATAGAAATTTTGAAAGAAGGTGGATAATGGAGGTACATTCTGACAGATAGATTTTATCTAATAAGCTTCATTAAACTCCCAAATAGACTCCTGTCCAGTTATCGTTCTCCGCACCATCGCCATACTCATCTGTCTGCTTCTGTACCACCGCCCCATACTAACAGTTTGCTGAAATGTATGACTATGCATTTGTGCAAATCCTTTTTTGGAGCGGACTCTTTTTTCTTGTCTCATGTTTGCCTTCAATCCTTACCTCCACCATCACCAATACTACCACTTTCTAACTTTGATATTATCCATGATATCCAGAGAAGCAAAATCTGTAATAGACTTTTGTTTTAATTGAGGACGCAGGTGAGCATAGATTTATGTCTTTGAAACTCCCGTCTTAAGAAGTTTACTATGAGTGTGCCAACTTTGACCTATAATTTTGGCTATCTTACTTGTCAAGGACAATTTCGCCTGTCCTGGTCTGGGACATTTCTTTTGCTGATGAAATTGGCTCCGTGAAAAAAAAAAACCTTCAACAAGAGAGAGACTCTCATTGACCACTCGCCAAACACTTTTCCAATGTAACAGGGAGAAGAAGTGCCTAGCAGTCATTATTGTTATGATTCAGCCCCTCTTTCTTATTTAGGAACCGATTCAAGCATAGCATATTCGCCGCTTTCCCCTACCAGGTGCGTTAGTTCAAGTGTGATACTGAAACAACCAAGAACATTGAGCCATACAAGAGATTGAGGGTTCTTGGATAGTCTTATTGCCGCCAAAACGAGAAATGCCCGAATTGCATGATAATTCCTAGAGCACGATACTGCCTCCAATGAGAAATATAGTGATGAATTGAGTTTGTTACTTCATGTTATCATAGGAGGGTACGAAGAAGTTATTTGTCCATTGGCTAATGTAAAAACAGATTGATAAGTCTTCTTGAAGGAAGTCGTACAAATAAACATGTATCGTGTTTCATATCTCATAAATTCCTCCTGTTTTGGCTGTCTGCTATTCGTGATCGATCCTCATGCGCCCATTCTATTCCAATAGTTTCCATCCTTTTTCATATCCTGTGTCTGAACCCCAAATCCTGACAGAAGAATCGCAAATTGACCCAGCATAGAAAATGAATCGCAAATAAGACCATTACCATTGCACTGGCCTCGTTTCGAGATATGCTCTCAACGATAATATTCGTCATCGCTATAGCTCGATCGCCTTCCGCCTCGTCTGCTGCGATTCATACTCCTGTCCCTGCGGCCCCTTTCTCCCCTCCCACTCTCAAAATTCCTCTCCCGTTTTTCCAACTTGACGTCCGCATCCTTCTTCGAGTCCTCCCATCTATCAACCACAACGTTGACAGCCAAACCTCCAGCTGCAGCACCCAAGAAAGTCAAGAGGCCATTTACAGCCTTATCTCCATTCTTATCCTGACCTGTTGCCTTCTGAGCCTCACGCGCTGCCAATCCACCCACAAGAGCTCCCACAGCACCACCCGCCAAGCCAACTGTGCTCGAAGAAAAAATGTCGACTTCATCCTTCAATCCATAACGAGAGGCTTTATCCTTCGCCTTCTGTTTCACTCCACCAAAGCTGGACTCTGGATGTTTCGTTGCGCGGGCTATCTCGTTACTCCGCGACGAAGGACCATGATATGAAGAGCTTCTTCTTCGAACCGAAGCACTAGGTCGTTCGGGACGGCGTGCATGGCGGTCGGGATCATAATCGTCATCTGAGAATGAATCTCGTCTTCGTCTGCCCTGTTCCACGGAGCGAGCCCTATGATTGTCGAATGCAGGTGGGTACTCCTGATATGGAGGACTCGGCGCTGGAGCTTGTTCTGGATAGTATGGCGGGGTATACTGAGGTCTTTGGCGGGGTGGTGCTTGACTGTAGACTGGCTGGGTATGAGGCTCTGAAAAGCTATAATTCGGACTGTAATTCGGTACTCTCTCGTTTCCATAATCGGGATATGGATCGTTGATGTTTCGTGGCGAGGCTTCATTGTCTCGCATGCTTATAGGTTCTTGTCTAGTCTCTCGAGCTCTGTGATCAGCTCCATAGGCGAGATCGGGATCTGGGGAACGCTCGCGCATCTTGTGATTCTTTTTGTCTTTCCGATGGAATGATCCTGTGAGTTTTCGGGGTGAGTATGTATCTTTGTGAAGATACTTGTCGGGGATTTTGTCAAAGTGTTTGTCGACAACTTTATCCACCCCCTCTATTCCAAGCTCGATGAAATCCTCCATAGCTTCTATGAGATGCTGTTCCTTGATTAGGTTTTCGGCTAGACGGCAGTGTATTCCCTGCAAACTGCGAGATCGTGATGGTGATTGGCCTTCGAAGAGAACTCGGTACTTAGCTTCTTAATCGGGACTTGGTTCAAAGTTTAAAAGAAGAACACGATGCTTGCTTTCAACGTAGATCCAGGTTATTTGATGTGGATACTGGTACTTATGTCGTACGAATAATTCAAGGCTGCTATCTGTTATCTACTACAGTATGAGGCGCATCTCAAAATCAGGTGTGGAATGTGCTTGGCTTCGTCATAGTGCATAAAAAGCAACTTTCGACCGCCGTATAAATAACAAATCGCCGCTCACTGTATTAAGAAACATTTTGAGGCAATTCATGTACTCGGAAGCATACCTACAGTAGATATAAATTAATAGAGTGATACTTGTCGAATTTTTCGTTTTCACTGGAAATTTTCCTGCAGCAGAATAAGAAAACGTGACGTCTGTAGATAGATGCATCCATTCTATTGGATGAATCCCCCAAACCAGCTTTATGGCTACCCGTGATCGATGATACTTTCCACTTTTTAGAAAGTACCAGCAGCTACTTGCTATAAAAGCTTCCCTGTTGTTGAAATCCTGAAAGGTCTTTCGAGCGACTATAACCACGTTTTCCACTTGTTGGAAAGTAATTGATGGGTTATAGTGCGAAAATCACGTGTGAATTTAAAGGGGTTCGGGTAATGTGTCACCTAGTCGTGTTTACTTGCTAAGGTACTCGTATTTTAATCATGGATCCATGACTAATCATGCCTCACCAATATACACTCAAAGTATTCTGATGGAAGTCTAATGTACTAGCATCCAAGGGTCAAGTACCTCCCATAATTGTTTCGTCGTGACTCTGGCTCTACTTCCTCCTGCGGGTCGCAAATGAGCCTCTAAGGAGTAAATCTAAGCTCATTCAATACCTTAACACTTCTTATTCTTAGCCACAAATGACCCGGCATAGTCAAAACAAAGATGTAACTTGGATTTGAGCTTACTCGTTATATTGACCACACCTAGTGGGTAAACATACACGAAGCGAGAGCCGCAGAAATTGGCCCCAACCAAGCTCAATATTAGCATCTTCAATATCACAAAAAAAGAGTGTGTGTCTCTAACTTTGCGAATTTCAGAAAAGGGACTCCCAGCTTAGAGCATTATGATAACAAGACGTCCTCATATCGGTCTCACAGTGAATTTCGAAAATATTCCATAAGAAATACTTGAAGATTCTCTTTTATTACTTTCCAACTCAGACACATCCTTTCAGTAACAGATAGCATTTGACGATTTCAAGGAGACAATGCAATTGTTACTGGTCGACATATTTCTGCTAAAGATGTTTTCGTGTAGTGTAACATGACTGAATCTGGACCTGCAATTACGGCAGCTCTTGCTTGAGCAATTCACCATAAATTGTTTCCCGAAGCTCTGCACTCTGCCAGATCGAAGCTACCTTGTAGATATATCACCACATTTGGCAGTAATGGCAACAAAAGCAGCCTCAAATGCGCACAGATTTGTAACACTCTTAAGCGCGACCGCGTTGCCGCTATAAACCAACAGTGTCCCAGCCACCGGCTCACACCCTCCACTAGCGTAAACTCTATTCTATATACTGAGATAAAACATCTGGACATCGCCTTCGGGCATTGTGGGCATTTGGAAAAAGGCGCCCCTACCCTAGTGGTACGGGCGTCGCAATCGTTTCGTCGACTTGCACATTATTATTATAGGTTACAAAAAATATAAGGACGCTTCCCCCGCTAGCCATGGGGAGTCGAGGGTTTCTTATGATGTTGGATCCTCCGGGGCAGACGTGTCACCGGGAGGTCTCAGCAGATGATTAAGTTTTGCCATTTTATTCTATGGTCCTCTGTTTTTATTCATCTTTTTGTAAGTGAATGATTGTCAAGATAGGAAGCTGTGGACGGGTAGCTGGAAGGCATCGTGACTAGATTACTGTATGCCGCTTGGTATCTATCCATAGCCTGTATATATACCAACTTCTTTTAATCTCCATCTGACAGCTCTTGCGAGCATTTTCTCCCTAGACAGGTAGCTAGATCGCACTACTTGTGAATTAGCCAAGTTTACTATTTGATTTTGTAATAGGTCTATCGAATTAAATAAAATCTCTTCTTACCCTTTTTAATTTTCATTTTCTGTGCTTCTCACAAGTCTTGTTTCTGTTAGCCTAAATTTCTTTAGATTTCTCTTTGGGAATTTTTCCTATATTTGTAGGGACTACTTTGTCCATGTTCTTAGAATCAAAAGTAGCTTCTTCAGGGAATCTTTGCGTATTTTTTTCAAGCAAACTTATAGAAACATCCGACGAGGGACTCATATTATTTAGGACAGCAGAGGTGGATAATTGTCCTTATAGCGTATAAGTTTGAAGCAGATTTCTATAAATGATTATTCTATTAATATTTATAATTGTAAGAAATGCCTGAAATATAATACTTCTCGATTCCTACAGGGTCGATTTCACTAATATGTCACTTCAAGTATCTCTTATACTTCCCTAATACTCAGACACGCAATGGTAGCGGACACGAGAAGAAAGACCCCTTTTCCTCTGCGCTGCAAACAAGGTGAAGATGATTCTCGTGTGGGTGGTAGTGCGAGGAGACGACCGCTAGCTATGTTGACTGGTGCTGCGATATCAACTCTCAATGGTATGGAACTACCGATCAGGTTGCTACTACGATTGTAGCGCTCACAACGGCTCCTCCTCCTCCGAACAGCAATGGGTCTGTGACAGTCCATGGGGGTGAGTTTACCAGCATCAACCACGTTTAAAAAAGCTGATTTTGAAGTAGTTCTGGCAACGAGATATCTCACTTCATCGAAGCCGAATTCCTATATGTTTCCGCCAAACTTAGAAAGCGTCAAGATGCCAGTGATCGTTGGTACACTAGCTTATAGAAAATTTCCATCGCAGTAAGGTTACCAATAGGACGCAACAGCATCATGATATGAGTAGATGAACAGATTCGCTTTTCGACAGTGAGTTGAATTTCGAAGGTACTCAGGAAATCAAACTAAAAAGTTCGGATCTCCAGATATATTGGCCCTTGCGCCAAATGCAAGTATTAAGAAATGTTAGCAGGGTGATTCTAGCTATAACCTTTGTTGTGAGACTTTGTGATTTTCCGTAGTTGCCTGTACAACGACTCCTCTGGCATGTCCTTGTCAAAGGGGTAGAAGTGCTTTTTTTTTTGTGGTAGAGAGAGGCTTATATACTCCAAAACACAATGTGAAAGAGTGAATATCTTGTGAAACTATTTTACGCAGAGAAAAGGACCTATTTAAAAGACCCCTGAGCAGTAGTCCAAAGCTGAATTGGATCTATTCACTTTTCATTTTACCACAAAGACAAAGACAAACAGTATCTAGAACCAAGACAAGCACATGTCAAGCACAGGTTATGAGGTGAATAGAGAATACCAAACCACTTATCTTGATATGAAATAACCAAGAATGACCCTTCTTGCCAATCTTTCTCAAAGGCAAAGCTTGGCATATCTAAGAGAGAGCTATTCAAAGTGGCTCCCAATACGAATGCTATGGAAGTAAAAGGCAGTAAGGATCTCCAAAACGCCAGCGTAATGCTGTTTATATAGTTAGGATCCAGGACTCCAGTTTATTCAGTATTTCTCCGACCTAGATAGCATTGGAAGACAAATTCAAAGGTGATAACTGAAAACCAAACTACCACGATGCGTAGTCAATTTCCTTCGCTTGTGCCTTGTGAGTAGGAAAGAGCCTTGAAGATTAGTACCTACTCTATTCTCTCTCTCTAGCATCCACCTCTCCTCTACCAATCCTCAATTCCTCAATCAATCACTCCCAGCATTCCCCAGATTGCGTAAAACCCATCATGAAATCTCTCAATAAAACCCCAACATCCAAATCACGCTACTCATTCCACCTCAGCACGCACACTTCCAGCTTCTCTTCTCCAATTCGACAACCAACCACATACCCTTATCCCCAGCTCTTACAGACCAGTAAGACCATCTATACCACAATACAGGATCTTAATAAAGAAAAACCCGATACTCACTCATCACCATCACCAGACATTAGTATCCCCTCATATTTCACGAACTAGGACTCGCTTACCAGCTTTACTCCACGTCCCAAGTTCCCATCCAGTCGATATCTTCTTTCCATTTAGTAGCGATACGGTCTATTTACATATAGTATATCGATTTTTATATCTCTTCCCGTTCCATCGAGATGTAGTAATAGGTCATGAGCCTGGGATGTTGGGTGGGCGGTGTGTTTGGGTTTAGTGGAATGGCTTTGGGAGAGTGATATATAGGGACGGCGTTACTTTATAGTACTCGCTTTTGTATTATCTAGTGATCATGTCAAAGGCACGGGATTTATTTATCTGATGGTGTTTACTTTCCGACATTAATTCTAAAAGCCAAACTCTAAATTCAGATGATGAAGAGGTGGATGGGTAGGAAAGATGAAACCAGTAATTAAAAAACCAAGAAAGCAGACTTCCGCTAGTAACTACCAGTATTTAAATAGGAAGATAGACATAAAGCATTGTCTCAGGTAAGATATATCCTTAAGACAACCAATTTTGCAAGGCGCCTAGAAGAGGAGAAGATCAGGTACTATGTTATATCTTAGCTAACAGGTCTTGTCGATGGAAGTAAGCGAATACTGTATTATTGTGTAATGTTTAGTAGGATCTAGGAACAACTGGAAAAGCTTCAAGAGTAGGGTTATATTATATACTTCACCAAAACTCCTTATTAAGGGATTGGTAAACCATTTTTATTTTCCACTCTACGAGTTGAGTTTTTCTTTAATTGAGAGTAGAAGTAAAGCACGACAAAAGAAGGACAAAGGGAGAGAGGGCGGTATGAGGATTAGAGTGGGGGATTTGTATTAAAGCTAAGGTGGCGGTGGCAAGTGAGGATACAAGGACGCGCTAGTCTTCAGATAGTCTTCAGATATCAAGTCAGGAATGTTGAAAGTTATTTAGTATCAATTTTAGTTCTAGTTTTTACTTCCACTGTGAGGAATGGCAGCTAGATACAAGCCCCCCTTCCATCCTTTCAGCAATCCCATTCCCTTCAAAAAGCACCCCCCACGACTCAACTCAATACCACGACCCGTCCAACCCTCACTATCAAATCTTCAAAACCTCCCAAAGAAAGATTTTCCCCTCTCTAATACACCCAACCTCGGCCTCAGTCCCAGCACCAAAGCCACAATCACCACACAACAAAACCCGACCTCGGCAATGAAAAATAAAAATAATGCTACAGAGCGCGGGGAAAAGGAAGGCACTTGACTAGTTGTATGTCACTATGTCACGATGCGCTATTGCCTGTTAGGAAAACACACATGACATTCTTACCAGAAAAATATACCAGTAGATGTACTAGTGCTAGTAGTGACATCGGAAGATGGGCCGAGGCGGGAAGGTAATATTTCTGCGCACTCGCTATCTTTGAGATTGGGAAAAGGTACGGGGGGGAGGCGAGTGGTGATGCGTGTGGTACAGTAGGAGGGGTCGTGACAGATTTTGAAGACACAGAGGAGGATGGAGGTGGTTTGAGTTTGGAAACATCCTGATCGAGACAGCCGAAAGAGGAATAATGAAGAAAAGGTAAAGGTGCCAATATTTTTTGAACACCAACGCTCTACCCCATCCGTCCTAAGGCCTGGCGGGATCAACCCCCGGGAAGTTGGGAAACACGTTTTTTCCCTCTGAAACAAAAGACTTACATCCGCATCTAAGACGCTAGAAAAGGGAATCCCAAGAACCTTGGGAGCTTCTTTTACGAACCGGAACATTTTTTAACCCCCCTCGACGCCTCGTGAAATTTTCGTGATCGACGCTCTGGTGATCTAGAAGCTCCATCGCCCACGGCTGGAGGGGGTCCGTGCGAAGACCTTGTTTACTTACATGATACGGACTGCAACATCAGGACGTATATCTGCACGCTCGGATCGGCAGTTTGTGGCAAAGGATTTCTTTTGGACTGACACTTGCTGCTGTGAGATTATCCGCTGCAAGCTGCGGAGAGAAAAATTCTGGGGAGGAATGCGGGAATATCGGGGTTGAGCTGTGTAACAACTTGGTGGAGCGGTATATATGTTTGGGCCGGATGACGGTTGTGAATGATGGATGTGTTGGAAGAAGGAACTTTACAACTTTGCAGGCCGACGGCTTGACGAGAGACATGTTGAACTTCGAGTACAAAGGTAAGATACGTGGTGCGGAAGTGTTCTCCAGGAACACGGTCGTATAATCCCCATTGAGTGGGTTGTGTGTGGAGTTGATGCCTCGAAGCTCGGAGCGGTGGTGAAGGGAAAAACTTTGGAGACGAGGATTCCGATTACCGTTCACTGAGAGTTCCTATTTGCGGGATTTTTTTCTTCGCCCAGACCTTACCATACGACGACGACTAGCGGGGCCGTTATCGTAAGAAGACGAGAACGATGACGGGAACGCTTCAAAGTCCGTAAGGTGAAAAATGAAGATGTTTGTCTGCAAGTTGTGATCCCGAAGCAGTGGACGATGAGTTTGGACTGCCCACCCCCACTTTGATCCTCCGCGATCAGATCGTCCATTTGATCGCAATGGGGTTGGCTGCTTTTGTCTTGCTAGGCCTGGGGACAGCTGCAAGTACGAGGTAAATCCATGCTCAATATTGATTTCATATCATGACCGTCGGCCAAGTGAGAGAGGAAAACGAGGATTGCCTGTTGCCCGGTATATTCGCAGCCCTCCAATTTCTTGTGTGACATCGGAGAGTTGACATGCAGGTGCATTCAATATCGGGCGTGATATTCTCCGCACGTGGACAGGAAAGGCACGTAAGCAGCACCTGAAGGGCAAAGTGACTAAGATTCAACTCCCGAAAGGGGTGGTGAGTCTAAATGTATCATCAAAAGATCCCGAAGGACATTTTATGAAGTTTCTGGCGTCGTTGGAACTGGATTGGCCTTGTACGAACGTAGGGTTCCAGAATCCGACCCGAAAAAGAAACTAGGAAATGATAGTCCAAGATCAGCGTCGGATAGCTGAAACCTGATAAGCCAATCGAGGAAACGATTCTCGTTAATTTCCAAAGCCAGACTGGCGGGAAGGTGGCGCTTGGTGAGCCACGCGCCGACGTTAAGTTAAGTTGTTCTGATCCAGTCCATACCAGCAGCCTTCAACTAAAAACTACCGGTAGCGTACTGTAGCTTAACTAGATGCAGCGGGATGACGATGTTTGTTGATTTCGGGCAAATATACTTTTTGGAAGGAGGGACGAGGGACGAGGATGATTGCTGAAAGTTTTTTGACGTGTCATTGTTTGGTACATGTAAGATTATTTCAAATCAAACACCTCAACAGAATGAAACTGCTGATTTGGTGCAGATCTCTCTAGAGTACAATAACAAAATGAAACAAAACAAAACCAACTTTTATATGAAGCTTCAATTAAACACGATATACAATAGATTGTTTCATTAGCCGCTTTTGTTAGCTTCAGAAAGTCACTTCTTAAGCTTTTACTACAGTACATACATATAGTAAACCTAGTCGGATTGCTTCCCCTAGAAGCCGTCAGAAGTTTGGGCAGGTCGCGGAAGCACATGTGGTATACCGGGAACTGGCTTCTGCTGCTTTGACAGAGACAGAAGAAACAAGGGATGGTGGCGTTCATGGATGATGCTCAGTGTTCTTAACCATGAGCAGCTGTCAGAGGTGGTTTGGAGTTTGATCCTTTGGACGATGGCTATGACAGTTACTGTAGCAGCAGCAGCTGGGGGGGGATACGATGCAATGCGGGGAAGAAACAGAGAGGGGTTTGATGGATATTGGGCTTGGGGGAGATCCGTCTCACGTATAAATAGGGCAGAGCAGGGCACTTGTAGCACGTCAACATGGCCAAATGGCAGCAGCAGCCGCCACTACCGTTGGTGCATTAGCTTGTAGAACACTTCCACTGCAGCACCAGTATATAGGCAGTAAAGGGACTGTAAGTACCGTACGGACATACAGACATTGCATACAGTGTTGATTTCTATATCGTTATGTTAGATGGCTCCAGACCTCGGTATATGTAATGGTCAAACGCATTAAGCTCTTCAGAGCCGGGTTTGGAATGCAGAAGCTGATACAACTTCAAGAGGCACAGTGCTTACGAAGTACAGTACTGTAAGTACCGTACAGACAGTACTCCGTACTTGCAGATAAGGGGACATCCCTTGCTTTGCCCCAGAAGGCCTGCGGACCCAAACCAAACACAAGCAAAGGTTCCTGAAAAGCTACATGTAGGTACTACGGTAGTACGTAAGTTTACTGCCGCAGGCTCCAGCTGTCAAAGAGCCTGGCCTGGTTCGCTACCCCAGTTCGTAGCTCTTTTGGCCTGGAGCTCAGCGTGGGCATAGGCAAATCTCCAAGTTGGCTCCGCTTGGACCCACGAGAGTGCAGAGGCGAGAGACCCTGAAAGTGATTGATGTGGGGACAGGCTGGGTGGAGGTGGAAGTGGAGGTGGAAGTGGAGGTGGAAGTGGAAGTGGAAGCAGAAGCAGCAGAAGAGCTCTTGTCTGCAACTGCAAGAGGTTGAGGTTGAGGTTGAGGTCTTGTGAGAGTGTACTGGAGAAGCAGTACTGTACCCAGTCTAGCTTAGCTTTACCGAACGCTTGTCTATTTATGCTGTGTTTGTCAAGCAACGCAACCTGCACTGGGAGCAGCTTCGTAACTCCCTAGTGGTGAGAAGGAGTTGGATTTTGCACAATTAAAGACATAGAATAATTCATATCATCGTGCTTGAATAGCGTGCTGTGCTGTGCTGTGCTGCGCTGGTGACGATCAGCAGCGCATCAGCAAATTCCGGACCTAAATTGGGTCCTAGCAGGAACTTCGGCCTTTAGGGGACTTCGCCGGAGCCGTGACGACTGTGAGTGGTCGGCGTGCCAGAAAGCCCAGGCACTCACTCTCCGCCGCCGACCATAAGCTCATAAGCTCTCTCCTATTTGGTGAACGGCGGGCCAACGTCCAATTTGTTTCAACTCTTTTGTGAAAACACTAATCCACCTTCACGCTACATCCGCACTCTGGACACCCTCTCCCTTCTTCCATCTCCAGACGTTGCTGCGCCTATTATTGCCGTTGGTCAAGACGCAGGCACTGAAGAGGATATACTCATACCTAGGTATACTACTGCCACTGCGTACACACCAGGTCCCACTGCCTACGCACACGCACACGCTGACGCTGCTGCGACACCGCGATCTGATAAGATTAATTCACGCTCCCAGCGTCAACAGCCTAGGCCAGTACCGCACGACAAATCAACACTCCTTCACCTTCACCTTCACCCCTGACGCGTAAGACACTGACACACACCACCAACACCGACACCACCCAGACCAAATTAATTAAAAAAAAAACATCTCCGAGAGTCCGATCTTCCACCTCTCCTCCACCTCCATGGAATAGAGCACGAATGTCCACAGTCGAGTAACTTCTACACAATCATTACTACCAGCCCCAGCTCCCGCGCCACACCACCAAAATTTCGACTCCGATTGTCCTCTCCGTCCGACCCATTTTGTCGCAACGACAGCTACGACAGAGCCATGGCCAGCTCTCCGCCAGAGTCGCCGGCGAGCGTACCCTCACGGCCGTTGAGCGCAATGATGCGTCCACCAAGAACAAATAGTCGCATGAGCATGACAAGCAAGACTGGCGGAAGTCGAGCATCTGATGAGGATAGCAGAACGGCTGTCAAAGTTGGTAAGCGCGTTTCCCACTCTATGACATCTAAAGTCCAGATTCTAACGATGGCCCCCCAGCTGTTCGTGTACGACCGCCACTCAAATCCACCGACCCGGGGTATGAACTCATTCCACAAAGATTCCAGCGATCCATGGTCCAGGTTACCTCGCCGACAAACCTATCCATTGACTCACCACAAGGCCGCAAATTATTTGTGTTCGACCGAGTTTTTGGTGAAGATGTAGATCAGGAAGGGATTTGGGATTACCTAGTTGAGAGCACCAATTCATTTGTACAAGGTTACAATGTATCCATGCTGGCATATGGCCAGTCTGGCGCCGGAAAATCGTATACCATGGGAACCTCTGGTCCGGGGGAGCAGGACGATTCAGATGTGATGGGTAAGTGAAATACAGAATTATGAAATATCCCAATCCGTTTCTCTGATAGGCAAGATGAGTCGGAAACTAACGTAAATCTGCTTCTAGGTGTGATTCCACGTGCGGGCATGGCGCTCTTCGAGAAGCTAGATGGCGGTCGAGCACCCTCGTCTAGTAGTCGAAATTCTGGAATTCGAAGTCCCTTGAGATATTCCATGAACGCCGCTGGGGGTTTGCCAAAAGGAACAGAAAAGAATTGGACCCTGAAAGCCACCTACGTCGAGATCTACAACGAGCAATTACGAGATTTGTTGCTCCCAGACCACACCCCTCTAGGCGAGAGAGGACAAGTTGCCATTCGAGAAGATGTGAAAGGCCATATTCTTTTGACGGGGTTGCACGAGATTGAGATCAATTCGGTGGAAGACCTCATGAACGCCCTAAACTTCGGATCCAGCATTCGACAAACGGACGCCACCGCTATCAACGCCAAGTCGTCACGCTCACACGCTGTATTCAGCTTAAATCTCGTCCAACGTAAGAACAAGTCACAAACGGCGACACCAAAGGCCGAGCGGCGATTATCTGTACCTTTGGAAGCAATGACTGGTGGAGATTCCATGGTCACAATTGACAGCAAGCTCCATTTTGTCGATTTGGCCGGTAGTGAGAGATTGAAAAATACGGGCGCCATGGGAGATAGAGCCAAGGAAGGAATTTCCATCAATGCTGGCCTAGCTAGTCTAGGAAAGGTCATCTCGCAATTGTCAGCTCGTCAGGCAGGGGGTCACGTATCTTATCGCGATTCTAAACTTACGCGTCTACTGCAAGATTCTCTAGGTGGTAATGCCATCACGTACATGATTGCTTGTGTTAACCCCGCAGAATTTCATCTGAGCGAGACTTTAAATACGGTCCAGTATGCACAGCGTGCTCGAGCAATCCAGAGCAAGCCACGCATCCAGCAGGTGTCGGACAATGAAGGAGACAAGCAGGCTGTGATCGATCGCTTAAAGGCTGAGGTTGCCTTTTTGCGCGAGCAAATTCGAAATACCGAGCGTTCAGGAGATCGGCGCCCAGCCGCCACTAGTGAGAGACCCGAGCGACAAAATGAACGCGAAATGGAGCTTCAAAATCAGCTATTAGACACCCAGGAAAACTACACTACTTTAAGCCAGCGACATGCTAAGCTGATTTCTGAGATGGCCAAAGCCCGTGATGGCGAGATTGCTGACAGTCAAAACTTCGAGGATACCCTTGGTGAGAGTGCAACAGAGCGCCTGAAACGATCAAACTCTTTTGCCGAAGCCGTGGAACAAGTTGTGTTGGAGTACGAAAAGACGATTCAAAGCTTGGAGCAATCACTGTCCAGCACACGAGGCTCTTTATCTAATACAGAAACTGCTCTTCTTGAAAAGGAGACGAAGTGCGCCTATGCGGAGACGGTCAATCAACAGTTGCAAGCACGACTACAGAAACTCCTGGATCGAGAGGCTAACAACGAGACTTACCTTCACGACCTGGAACAAAAGTTGCATGGTCACACCTCAGGCGATGAGAAGAATTCAACAATTATGATGGAGCTTCGAAAGGAGATTGCTCGTATCCGTGAGAATGAGGCAACCAACGAAGACTATATCTCGACCTTGGAAGAGCGCCTGGCTGAGGCAGATCAAGATGCTGAGTTGATGCAACGTGAAATTGATCGACTGGAACATGTTGTCGAGCGTCAACGCAGCTTGGGCAAATTGGATAATCTGTTATACGAGCTAGATCACATCCAACAAGATGGTAAGATGCCGGAATCCGAACAGAAGCTTGTCAACGGAAACAGCAAGCTCAAATCCGACGATCATTCTCGCCAAAGTCTTGTAGGCCGTCCAAGCCACAAGGACGTCATTCCAGAGGAAGATGATAACCATTTTGAGGTAACTGTAAGAACCGCTGCCGAAGGACCTGTAGATAATGGTGAGTCTATCGAGACCGACTTAACCGAACCCGCTTCAGAAGACTCCCAAAGCAACCAGCAGTCTCTCCATAGCCCCGCACAATCGAAGTTTGTGGAAGATAAACTGGAAAATGTTACACAGGAGCTATTTGACCTCAAAGTAGAGCACGAGTCCACTGTGGATGAGTTCCAAGTTCTTCGCGCCAAGTACGAAGAAGCTCTTCGAGCCATTGCGGATCTTCAGGACGAAAAGCGACACCCCGCGAACAATCATCGGGATTCGATGCTATCCTTAGCATCCCCAACACTGACGAGACCCAATTCTTTTTTACCCGACGCGAGGGTGGACGAGCTAAAGGATGGAGGACAATATTCATCCTCGCGATCTCTCTCATCGGAATTGTCCTCGGCTGGGGAGTTGCCTGGTACATTGACGGAGGAAACTTATCCAGAGAACGTCAACAATAAAACCGATTCGGATGGGCTAAATAAAGATGCCAAGAATGAAGAGACGATTGCGGTGGAGCTTGAGAGTTTGAGGGCGCTTGCGCAGGAAACGGAGCAAGCTCAAACACAATTGATAGAGAAATATGCCAAGTTGGAGGAGGAGCATCTGGAAGCTCTTGACTTGGTGGAGGAGCTCAAAACGGATCTGTCCAAGGCTAGACAGATTGAGAGCAACTCTCCGCGCGCAGCAACCCCAGTCATTCGTCGCAAATCATCTCAGAATGTTATGATTATCGACAAAGCTCATCGGGCGTTTGCTTCGCTGCGTAACATCGCCACTGAGAGCTTTGAAGACAGTCCAGACGTCATGGCGAACTTTGAGCTTAATTTGAACACCGCGATGCATGAGCTTCACTCTCGGTCTGAACGTGTCCAAGAGTTGGAAGCCGACATTACGTCAGCGAGAAAAGAAATGGAATCTAAAATGACCATCATTTCTGGTTTGACCCGCGAGCGATCTAGTATGGCTTCCAAACCTATGGACATGTCCGTAGTCTCTACCATGCGGGATCAAGTATTGCAAAGTGAGAACCAAATGCGGATTCTCCACGAACAGCATGCCACCCGGGAGAGGGAGTTGCAGGCTGAGATTGACTCGCTCCGAGTTTCCCTGGACGCTCACCCCAAAGCTACGGACGTGGGTAAATCTGTTTCAGAGGAGCAAGCTGCTCTCAACGAGGCTCATGACAAAAAGATTGCGGAGTTGGAGGCAGAGCTCTCAGGTTGGGAAGGGAGACACGCAAACGCCTTGTCATCGATGCAGACTTCCGAGAAGCAGTTGTTGGCGACCGTCGCCGATCTTGAAAGCCAAATTTCTATGGTAAAGGATGATCGCCAACAACAGAAGCAGGTTGCCGGTGATAAAGACGAATTCGTTAGCAATTTACAGAAGGAAATTGATGAGCACAAGTCTTCCTTGGCCACACATTCCGCCCGTGTCGCAGAGCTTGAAGAGTCCCATTCCGCAACCCTCGCTCAACTGGAGGAGGCAAGCAAATCTAGAGATATGGCAAATGCTGCAAAGGAGGAGCACGAAACACTTTTGGCTAGTCTCCAGCAACAGATTGAAGATCATGAAATGGTTGTCAAGGCTCATAAAGACGGCCTTGAGATCTTGCGGGCCAACCATGCATCTGAGATTCAAACAATGAAGGCTGGATTTGACGCAGACCATCAAGAACGAATTGCACAGCTTTCTTCGAGACATCAAGCGACTTTAGAAAACATGCACCATGAGCTTGCGGAGGCTCACGAAGGTCTTACCAAGATTGCGACTCAAGTTGCTTTCGCCCTCGGACTAGATGTTAGTATTGAAAAGTTGGAGGAACGAATTGACGATCTGGTAGAAGACAAAAAAGCTTTGGCCGGTGAGCAGAAGAAACGTGCTGAGCTGGAAATGCATGTTACTGACCTCTCAGATCTCAATGATTCAGTTGTGACTGAACTCGACTCTGTCAAGGCTGAACTTGCTAGCTTACTGGCTGAGACTCAGGAGGGCGCAAGATTACGAGCAGAACACACAACTGTCTCTGATCAACTCGCCGCTTTGAAGAAGGAGATGACCAATCTCGAGAACAAGAACAAGAAAAACTCGCGTTTGGTAGATGAACTTGAAGAACAACTAGCATCCAACTTTGATCAGCACCAGATTGCCAACAATCGACTTTCTACCTTGCAAACGGAGCGAAATGCTCAGTTGGACGAGGCCAACGCCAATGTGGTTCGTGCTCAAACAGAACTCCAGGCCATCAAGGAGGAATACGCCACTCTTCAAGCAAGTTAACGGTTTTGGACAATCGAAGTATACAAAGCTAACAGTTTTAGGCAAAATTTGGCGACCTTGGAATAGACCCCGACAACGCCCCCAACCGTTCCAACTCCAACTCTGGTCCAGTTCTCAAAAAGTCCTCGTCAGTTGTAACTTTGCCGTCGCCACCTCCGGCTATTCCATTGCCCCCTCTTCCGGGTGGAATGAATGCGGTCCCACAGACACCCACTCAAGGCAACCGACCAAATAGCAAAGATGTTGCTCTATCTCAAATCCAGGAGGATCAAGAAGCCCGAATCCGTACTATTGAGAAGCATCTATATGCTGAGAAGCAACTTACCACCACTCTGGAAGAGGCTCTCACCGACTTAGAACGACAGAGCAACAAAGTCAAATCTGATTGTGACGCATGGCGTAGACGTGCAAACGAGCTTGAAGAAGAGTTGAAGGTGGCTCACGAGAAGGTGAAGAATGCCGACAATGACAAGCAGAACCGCTGGAGCATGCTTCAGGTCGAGGAAGAGCGAAAAAAGAGACAAGCTGCTGAGGTCGCCCGAGCCCAGTTGGAAGAGCGAATGAACGCCATTAGCAAGAAGAGCAAGAAGAAGGGAAGCCTCAACTGCTTTTAAACCCTATTTTGCAATGCCTTTGGCACCAGCGTCTTCTAATCTTGTCCCCAGCCTTACTTGAATAGGGCACAATCTGGTTCTTCTGAACACACGGCTTTTGCGACGATCTGAATTTCAATACACATTTCCTTGCACTTTTCCTTCTTAGCACATAATTCTACTACCATGATACATACCTACAGGATTTTAAATCTTGGTGGCGACATCGGGCGGAATATTTGACGAAAGCATGTTTCCTTGGATTCGATGGGCTCGCTGTATTCATGTTTTTGATTTTCGTCGTTTGCCTCGATTTAGCTTCCCTTTTTCTTTTGTTTACGAGCGAGATACCACCTCTTTTTCGCAGGTTCTTTTTCGGCGCTGGAGCGCTACTGTGTTGTTTGTTTTGTCTCTTCTCCTTGCACTAATTCCTTTGTAACTAACGATTGACGGAGAGCTTCTTTTACCTCTCATTTGATGAGGGGTTTTTCTAATGGGAGGTGGGCAAAATTACTTTTGCGTTTCTTATTATTAGTCGAGTTGGAGCACTGGCTAGTGAGCTTCGGGGGGTGGATGAAGAAAATGAAGATGGCCATAGAAGGTGTCAAGAAAGGGGTATAAAGAGGACCAAGCCCGATGAGCCATTATGGATTGATGCTTGCATGATTCATATGGACCGATTGCGGGAATGGAGGGAAAGGGCTGGGGAGAAAGTGGAGGGGTCTATGGAAGAGGGCCTCTTGTAGGTCGTAGGAGATGTGATGTGATATACCAATAGAAATGAGATATTTCGACCTTTCAGTGTGCTTGGTACGCTTGCCATGCTTGTGGTTTGCAACGTGAAGCGCCTTATCTACAAATTGGAAAGGGGAGTCCTAGGTTGATGTTATGAAAAAAAAGTACTTATTGGAAGCTTCAACTAACCTATGAGTAGCACGTAGATAAGTCGGTAAGGTAAGACTTACATCTAAGATGCCGGAGGTCGATCTGCTGTGATTACATTCATTCAGGTTCCCTATCCGTCAAGACCACTTGTTCATCGTTCACCAAAAACTCTTTACTACCAAGTTCCATCTCGCTTAGCGCAATAAAAATCCACTGTACCACCACTTCCTAGCATCACCCAATCATAACACAAAAGGCACATTGCAAAGGGAGCAGCGAATTCATCTCGATTCATACCAAAAAATGTTACTTTCACAAAACTTCCCAAGTTCCCCCCCCCCGTTCAACCATCTGCCCAATCTTTACCCCTCGGTTCCTATCACGGAAAATCCCGAAAAAGATACTTACTCGGCATCCTTCTTCTTCTTTTCCTCGTTCTCCAAGGTCGTCAGAGGGGTGGAGAGTCCAATCTTGTCGATTGTCTTGGTTATCTTGATGGAGCCGGTGGTTTTCTCGGACCGGACGATGAGGTCTTTGCGGTCGGTGTCGACGAGGAGGCGGATGAGGTCGGGGCGCATGTAGTGGCCGCCCTGAGGGATTGTGAGTTGCCTTATTGTGGATGGAGATGGATGATGGCAAGAGGAGGGAACTTACGAAATCGGCTAGGGCTTTGGAGAGGTGGGCTTCGTTTAGGTCGATCTTTGGGGGGAACGTAGTTAGGATTTGGGAGAAAGGGTGAGCGAAGGGAAGGACGTACATTCACGTAAAGTAACCCCTCGAAGTCTTTAGATGGGTGCTCGACGAGGTCTTGTCCGTCGGGGCCGTAGATTCGGGCGTTGCCGTTGTAGATCTTGGGGTCTTCTTGTTGTTTTCCGGGGGGCGTGTTGAGTTTGATGCCTTCCTTTGAGATGGTCTGGAAGGGTGCCAGTGTGAAGGTTCCGGTTTCAATGGCGTAGGCTGGGGTGACGATCTATGGGAAATGTCAGACCCCTTCTCCCAATGCATATGAAGTGTTTATTTCGAGGCAAACTTACATCAGAATTGGTATCGCTAACATTGGTAAACGGATCCGGATACTTCCACGTCGTCTTATCCGGGTAAAGAGGCCAAGCAGCAATATGAACCTGCTCCCCCAAACTCGCCGCATACGCTTTCATGAAGGGATTCATGTTCTCCCAGCAATTCAATTGTCCGATCCTGCCGATTTCGGTCTGGACAACGCTCTCTGTTGTATCGCCGGTGCCGTCACCGAACACGAGACGTTCCACGTGTGTGGCTTTGATCTTGCGACGGTGGTTGAGTACATCGCCGGTTGGCGAGATGAGGACTTGAGTTATGTAGAGACTGGCGAGGTCGAGCTCCGAGTAGCCGAGGGAGACGAAGATTTTGTTTGCGCGTGCGGCGGCGCGGATGCGTTGCATTTCGGGGGAGTTGGAGGGGAGGGAGTTTTCTCTGTATTTCTTGAGCAGAGGGAGGGAATCTTGGTAGGTTACTTTCCACATCCAGTATGGGTAGCCCGGGATCCCTGGAAGTTGGTTAGTCTGTTTACTTATTGAAGCAATGGTTGTGAGGGGGCTGTGGGTGCATTACAGAGTTCTGGGAAGGCGATGAGTTTACAACCCGCGTTTCCAGCTTCGTTGATCAGGTCTATGGTTTTCTTGACGGCAAGCTCGAGGTTGAACCAGCCGGGTTCAGCGTTGACGGCTGCTGCCTTGTATTTCATGGTGGTTGCAGACATGATTGTATTGTTTGGTCTAGTTGGATTTTTGACTCTGTGGTATGGTAAACAAGAAATGATGAGCTATGAACTGTGATATTGCGAAGAAGTCGTTGAATGGAAACACTTCAAACTTATATACGTCTACAATAGATTCTAGTTCCACAGCCAAATTATTTCCAACGCATAGTAGAACCAAGCAAATGAATTCATCTTTTTCCCTTCGAATCCCTAGGTCTCGGGGATTGTTCGAGATTGAGAGGGGTTCGCTTACTACGAGACAAAGTCGCCCCTCGAGGTGTCCTATTGAGCGTAATTGATCCGAACTGAAGATAGTGGAATGATTTTCGGCCGACAGAAGCAGCAAAGGGTGGGTGTCAGTTGCATATGGGCTGATTTTGGGTGAGGCGGCCAACGGAAATGCGGGCGTTGAATACTTTTGTGTTGATGTTACACAACATATTCAAATCCCGCAGTGAGGGGACATGTGTGTTGATAGAATAATCATGCACACACAAAAAGAAAAGAGGAGAAGAAGGTTGTTTGGAGGTTACGATTATGTTATTACTTCTCCGGCATTTGTTGATTGAACCCCACGGTTTCCGGTATTTGGATGGGCGTACAGCTTATAGTTAAATTCACGCTAACTGATTGCATTCAAGCTGGTTGCATTTACTTACAGGACATAAGAGATTGTTGTTTACTGGGCTTTCTGATCAAATTTGAGAAGGGAAGTTGGAGAACGCTGGGCAGATTGAAAATAATAGAACCCGAAGGAACAATGATTTATTAAGGACTCAGGTCTTTTCTTAAGACGCGGACTGCGCTTGTTTGGCTCGTATGTCTCAAGCTGCACCAAATTCAATAGTGATTCTTCTAAATTATGTAGCACTGAGAAAAACCGAGTGACTTCCGAGCCTCCGAACCTCTTATCATACACGAATACCTTTTCTCACCATCCCATCCGCCTTGCCAAACGATCAAGCCCATCTCATAACAGCGTTTCGAGCCGAACAGATTCTGGATAATTGATCTACTAGGTACCCCCCAACTTGATCGAGCAGCCTAACAACAATTTACTCGCTAAATCACCACTTCATCAGTACAATATTTCCGTATACAAAATTATTTCCCAAACACAAAAGAAGCAGATGAAGAAACTTACCCCGAATCCTTCTAAGCAGTTAATACTATATCCATCAATATCCAGTAACTCTTCTCCCGTTCTGTGGATAGTGAAGATATCTGAATCTTGACCAATTTCATCACTGGTACACTACATGTTGTATTAGTCAGAATTTCGGATTTCTCAGTTGGATATTACATTGAGATAGCGATTCGGGGAGGTAAGTGATTGTCTATAAGGATATACATACGCAAAATAGATGTTTATTGCAAACTTGTCCAGGCCCGGCCTCGTCTGGCCATGGGATTCCGTCTGCTGTGCAATAGAGTGCTGGTACCGCTATGACATTGGCAAGTATGGGGAGGATGGTAGATATGAGCCGCATAATGAGTTTGCGTATTGGATACGTAAGTGACTCCTCAAGTATCGAAGAGATATATATACTGTGTATATCTAGTAATGTACGGGAGACGGGGAGGACAACAATTTATGTGTTGATCTAACCTTTTGGTACCCTACGTGGTCGATTTACGATCTAAATAGCCCTCTCCCTATTAATCTCGCTTGCGGTCATTGGTTTGGCCTTTATTACAATCACAGGCACATTTAATCAACTGTGAGTTCAAAGGGTTCCTAGTGCTAATAACTAATTGATTTGAGTGCGTTTGCGTTCTTGGTGGTCCTAAGCTACCGTATCTCCTAAAATAGGTGTGATACCAGGACCTCCCCAGATGATACACGATTACGCGAAGCCAAACCCCCTGGTGCCCCCAACTTTTAAATAACACACTTTAATCGTAGATTAATTATAAGATAGCTGGTGATAGCATAGCAGTTTATTGGTACAAATTTCAGTGCGTTCACCTGGGTATATCCACATGACCTAGAAGCACAAGGGCCTAGGTTCAACTTGGGCTCAACACGTAGCAAGGAACATATCCTCTCTTTTCGCAATATTTGACTTAGGAATATAAGTCTATTGCATCAATTCTTCTTGACTGAAAGTATCTTTTTCTTTCTCCATATATTGAATACGATATTTAGGTAATCTTTTTAATGTTATCGAAAATTTGGATGAAATCACGCACTCAGACCCCGTGAGCAGAAAACTCCACCGAATATTAAATAATTCTAAACACTATAGCGTCCTCTATACCTAGGTAGGCTTCTTTTTATTACAAAAAACTACCAGAGGTACTAGTTACGTTGATTTCTCTAGGTAAATACCTTTGTCCGTCCGAGTATCTATCAAGGATTAACTTTTATGAGAACTCTTATGAAAGTTCAAGCCTTCCACCTCTCGAGCGCCTACCTACCTTATATGAGAGTCTTCCCGCGCCCTCCCTTCGCCCGATTTGCACCTGTAGTCTAAATTGACGTGCCTGGGTAACCAATTCCTATCTATCTCTCTGTCTCCCTCCGCCTCTACTATACCTAGGTAAGTATACCTACCTCTTTACCTTCCTCCTATTAACTCTCTCCCCTTTTCTCTGGCCGCTTTCTATTTCTCTTTCTCCTTGATAAGTACTACACGTGATTCTCTCTCTCTCTCTATATATATTGTAAAATAGACAAGTATAGAAACTACAGACTTCTATTCTGATTTCAGTCACCGGCTATAGATATCCGGGTGTCTATGTGCTATTGACGTCTGTTTCTATACTTTATAGCCTTTTTTAGTGGTAGAAGATATCCATATCTGTGGATTCATGCTCTCGAAGGTAGGTAGGGAGGGAGAGGGTTCTATGGGCAAGTTTGTACCTACCAGGTAGGTATCTATGAGTGGAGAGGCACGAGTCCGAAGACAGCTCCAACTCTCTATTCTGGAGTCATCGTCCGGACAAGAACTTTGAAGCGATAGGCACTTGATGATAACTTAGGGAAATGAATCCGAAGTAAAGCTCGAAGACATCCTAAACTAATTGCATCTCCTCAGGTACAGCTTGCTAAAATGAAGCATTTAACCAGGTTTGGTTTGGATGTAATCTTACGTCCCACCGTTCAGAGGGAAGGAAGGAAGGAACTTCAGTGTACCTATGAACGTCTTTATGTCATTTCCATTCCCGTGGTTTTAAACTCCAAAAGACGGAGGTGGAGGTGGTTCTTACAGGGTTGAGCGAGAGCGACTCGACGAGCTGAGGTCGAGATTAGGTAGGTACAACCCAACCTGAGGCGAGAGGGTTACCTCATATGCCACTATAGATACTGGAACGACGTCGGGAGGATGTGTTAATACGTACCTATACCTAGGTAGGTCGCGACTATCCCGAAGAAACCTTGGAAGTGACGACCTCGACCTCAAGTGAAAGTGATGCTGTCGAGGTCCCACTTCTGGGCAGAGGATTGGATGCTAACCTGATGGAAGCCCGTGACAGTCTCGAGGTCCCTCTCTCTGAAACCACCCCTTCCGTCTCACTCGTCTCGCGCCTCGACTCGCCTCAAGAAGGTTGTCCTCGTTGCGGTCGTGTGGCGGGAACACAGTCTTAATCGAGAAGGGAAGGAACGAACGCCAGACCCCTGGTCTCTCTCAAAGTATGAACCCCCCCCCCTCTTTTCCTCCCATACAACTTCCAAGTTGGAACTTGAGCAATTTGAGTTTTCGTTTCGGATTTAGATTTAGATTCACATCGTGGGGAGGAAAGCGAGCCCGACTATATCACAGCTTAATATATTATTGTGGCTTCTACCTACTTGTCGCGGCCTTACTACTACCTAGTAGAGCGCGTAGAAGTACCTATAGCAGTCTTCTAAGTTATTCCTCTCATCGCGTTCCTGGCCTCAAGGTTCTTATCTAGTAATATAGGTATGTATCTCAATGCCCAGAAACGAAGGCATTTCCTAAAAGAGTTGTTTCTATAATTGTTTTTAATGCCAGTGTAGTGGGTAAGTGGCCTTTCGGGAAGCGAAGGGAGAAAGATACTGTAGCTCGCATGAGTGCAGTCCGCAAGGACATGGAGGAGGCTCAGGAGTTCCATTGTTCGCAGACATCAATGATAACTTGGAAGCTGATCAAAGCAACTTGGGCTGTGAGTAGAGTATTTACGAAAACGTAGGTCTAACAATAACCTACACGAGGAGAATAGATATACATCTCGTGGCTCCCCAGACGTAACTCATTCTACCACCAACCCCCCATCACCACTGAACCATAAACCCACGCTCGCGCTCAGATGAGAGTCCTCTTACCCACATCTGCTCCAGCTCTTTTTGTCATCCCACATCACATCCGAGAGTACACTCTGAGCCATCTACCATTCGCCAATCCGCAACACGTTCCAAGTGCGTTCTCTACCTAGATATCTTCACTAGAAGCATTTATCTCGCAAGTACAGTAAAGTAACACTGCCATGAAGTTCGCAGCTTCATTTGTAGGTATGTCTGTAGTTTTCCTCAAAGGAATCGCGTGCCACAGCACCGCTCATCAGTCCATCCAAGTAAGTTTTCACAAAAGAAAAGAAACTCTCATGTGCCAATACCTAGGTACTCTCACTTCCCCAATTCAGTCTTGTACCTTCAATCCAGTTCCTAGGTAATTCAAGTCCTTGACAAGAATTTATAATATACCTATTCTTACGTAGTATATCTATATCTACAACCTACCTACCTTAGGTACCTACATCCTACACCAACTACCTCCCCATCACCAAGAGAAAAACAGCAAGCTGGTGCAAATAAAAACACAAAACAACCTCCTCACTTACCAACCTACCTTCCCCTCACCACCCTCAAATCCCGGATCAAGTCAAGTCACCTTCCATTTTAACATCACAAAGAGATCTTCCATACCTCCCTCCCTACCTCCCTACCTACCCTCTAAAAAAAACCCTTCTCATCTAAAAGAGGTACCTACTAAAAACACATCAATAACCAGGATTCGAATCTATTCTTAGACATTTATAAACCGCTAACCTTTCTTGGTTTGAGAAGCATGAAAAACAAGAACAAGAACAAAAACAAAATAAACAGTCCCCTTCGTACAAACTTATAAACCTCGGAGTTAGACTACCTAGGAAGTCGCCATAGGAATAAATTATTATATACAATTCAAATCCTAGGTAGCGTATATTACTTCCAGATATCCCGGTCCTAGGTCATCTACGACTTCCCCCTCCCCTTCACGAATCACCAAAATCAAAGGGGACTTCACCCAAAGGATTAACATCCACCACACACCTCACTAGCCACATCACATTCTGTTTAAGACATTACCTAGGTACATTATTAATTTCTTACGTACGTCTTGTCCAACAAACCCCCCGATCCATTCACTTACCAAATTACTAATATCAAAACAATCCACCCCAAAGGTCAGAGTTGTGCTATACAGGACAGATCCAAACAAACCCCCCCCNCCCCCCCCCCCAGGTACAGACATCATCAAATCTTCACTTCCGAGGCAGCTCAAGTGCAAATCTTATATAATCTTTTTGATTCGTCGTGGGTAATATCTCACCCTTGGGGAGCTTACATCCCCACATATTATTAAGTTCTACCAACATACGACAGTACTAACATACGACAGTCTATGTTGATCCCAAGAAGAGGGAAAAAAGAAGAGACTTTACATCATCGTCAGCTCTTCGCTCAGATGAAAAAGCTTTTCTTTTGTGCAACATCCCACCCCAGATGAAAACCTTGAAAGAACCCCGAAAATGCTCGCACCAAAATGGGTCCCAGAAAGAAAATAAAATCAGGAAAAACCAAACATTCAACTCCTTTTGCTATGCCTGTTCTCTCGCAAAGAAAATTTCAAGGTATCCATGCACGTTTTTTCTTTCTCTCCTATACTCCTGCCAGTATCCTTCATCGGATCCAAGCGATGCCAAAAATTCCATACGTCTTCCCGTATATACATTCTACTTCTTTCCCTTGGTCTTTTTTGAGTCGACTGAATCTGAGCTCATGGTGCCAAGAATCTGATCGAAAGTAGCACCAGAAGTGGCAGCCGGTGGAGGTCCAGGAATACTCGAAACACGACGACTGTGTGTGGCAGGACTTGATGCTCGACTTCCAACCGGGCTCCAACCTTGGCCTGCTGGAATAGGAAGTCTTTCCAAACCAAGTGCAATACTTTGGCGTTTTGAATTCGAACTGCGATCTCGGCTACCAGGGACAGAAAGTTCGCTGCTTCCATCACGCCCTCTTGACGTGGGCCTGGTTCCAAACCCATCTCCGAAACCGGGTGGTGGTGCCAGTGGAGATAGTTGTGGCTCAAGATAGTTGTCCTCCGGCTCATCGCCGTTTGCGTTTCCAATCCATTTCTCTGCCACGGTCCAGCAATGAGACCGACGATAGACCGCCTCGATACCGTTTTCTACAAGATAGCTAGGAAGTGCGACAACTTGCGATCCTCCCTGGACACCATACCATGCAGTTTTTGGAGCTTCTTCAAGCCATGGTAGACCGCTTGATGGTGCCTCACAGAGGAAGTACTCGACGCCTTCTGTGTACCGCAAACCAGAAACGTCCACGACGAGCAGAGGAAGTGACTGGAGAACAACATATATAAACACCCAATGGCCGTAGGTTTGATCCATGAGCTCCACTGAATTCCTTCCCTTGGATTCCTTCGCTTCAAACTTTCTATAGGCATTCAAGAATGGCGTGTCATGTTCTGAATCAACGTTCCGTGCTTTGGTCAGTATGAGTGTAGTTTCGTACTCTTTAAGCCTTCGTGTTTTCAACTTGTTTTGCTGCTTCTCAGATTTTTGGTGCATTCGAGGTTCAACGGTTGAAATGGAGGGCACTAATGGTACATCGTATGGAATTGGCGGTGCCACTGGTGGGGACGATCGATCAAACTCGCTGAGAAGGAGGCGTAATGCAGCATCTTCAGGACCCCCATCCTGGACTTCTTCGTCGTTGGATGAATCGATAGATCTTGTAGTTAATTGAGTCCGATTGGCCTTGAGATCATACAAGCTACACAGGTCGGCATATAGACCTTTAAGTACTAGCCGGTTGAGTCCACCGACGACGAAAGAATTCTTTTTACTGCCAGCCTTGGGTGGCCATTGTCCGTGAAGTTCTTTGGAGTATGAGTGGACGAATTTCCGCATCGACATGAAGTTATTTTTCCACGCCTTAAAGTGCACAATTTTCGATTCTGCCGAGGTTGTTGACGCTGCCAATCCTGCAAATACCGAAGGAAACTCAAAATCAATCAGACGTTGGTCTACTGAACTTTGTCGACCGACTAAATCGAGTGAGGATCGCTCCAAGCCAGCGAGAGTTGCTGGAGAAATCTCATCAAAGAGCGGTAATCTCTTTTCTTTTACAGACGTATATTTTCCGACAGCGTGGGTAAAAGACTCGGTATAGAGGCTTGCGCATCGCATACTTTCTCCCAATATGATACCTTCAAGTGTTTTTTCACTACTTGTTCTCACATCTGCTAATCTCATGTCATCCAAACAAAAGTCGAAACTGGCTGCAGCGGCCTCTCCAAACGTGGAACCATCGAAATTCGTGAAGTCGTATTTCTGAAGCAAGGAACCAATAGAGATGAATATTCGAAAGACAGATGGGCATGCAGGGGTCCCAACCAAGGGCTGGCCAATCAAAAATGCGAAGAGGTTACGGATTTCCACCAATATCTGAATTTCTTGCGGCGAGAGTTCGATTCCGTCTGACGTAAGCCCGGTTGGAAAATAAAGATGTATTTCTCGTGGAATATATGGTAGCCCATTTAAAGATCCCAAAGTCTCACCGATCCCATCAGAATCCGACCGACTAGATGGAGAATCCCTCGCGCTGGTTTTGGGGGTGTATGGTGGTGTGCCCAAACCTGTGCTGGACCCCGCTTCAACCCCCTGGCCATGTATGGAACCATGTAGTGAGAGCTTTCGTACTGCGTCCTCACTTGAAACCCTAGAGTTTTCATCAGAAGCCCTGCCGCGCGATCGGTTTGTTGTTGCCTCGGCAGTAATGTAGTCCATCAAAACAAAGGACGAGGACAGAACCATCGAAGGGATTTTGAAGGAGGGGCCTCGTCCAGTGGCTTCGGGAAAGAGGTAAATGAAGGTGTCTGCTGATTCGTCCCACAATTCAGGTACCTGCATCTTGTAAGTCCCCCTCCGATTCGATAGCTTTGTCGTAACTTACCTTTTCGCCATTGAGCAGTAGAGACAAATTGTAGTCAATCTTGTGGCTGCCAGCATTGACCCAAGCATCGGACGTTGACGAATTCAAATCCTCCGTCGAAGAATGCTGCGAACGTCGCCCTAGATTCATCCAACTACTTCTCTTCGAGAACGTCAACTCTCCATTCGACGTTTGCGGGCGTGCGTTGAGCGGGGAGGAAACGGATCTATTATGCTGTACACCAGGCCCAACTGCGGAGAGCAAGGAAGATGAAGATCTTCTAGAACGCCTTTGCTCGGAAGGCGGGTGCAAAGGTGGTATTGGAATTGTGTTTGTTGATACTACGAGTTTTTGAGAGGGAGATTGGGGCTTTTGCAGCCTTCCTGACGATATTGGTTGAAGTGGAGGGGAGGTAGGAGCCGGCGGAGGCAATCGCGATGGTGGAGGGGCATCTCGCTGAGGAGGTGTAAGGTCGAGATTCGGCGGTGGAGCCTTCTTGAGGGTTGCTTGAGGCTTCTTAGAATCGGGGGTTTGCTTGAAATTTGGAATATATAAAGAAATTGTTCGAGAGAGCCGCGATGAGCGGGAACGTTTCTCCAACATGATGGAAGGAAGAAGAAGCACTGCTCCGGCAGCTATTTCTGCAGCTTCTGCTGTTCTTGTGCTTGTGCCTCTGCTGCTTGTCCCTCTGCTGCTTGTCCCTCTGCTGCTTGTCTTCTCACCTCTGCCTCTGCTAACTCTAGCACAGGCTCAAAGGTGGTTCGATTTGGAGTTTTGGCAATTTGTAGGGGAGAATGAGGATCTTCACCAACGATCGAAATGATCTGAGGGGACTCACGAGAGGAAGACATCATGCTCCTGGGAACCCGGGATGGCTCGACTGTTTGACTTTCACCAACGGCACGTGCGGTAACCTAGGTATGGGCCTTCAAGGTGTATACCGCTCGGTGGGCCGCGCTTTCCGTCTGTCGTTTTTCGGCGCTGGCAGTGGATGAGAAGAAGGGATCTGGTGTTGAGAGGCGAAGGCGAGTCGGAAGTTCGAGGAATTGCGCGCGGTGTAGAAGGCTTTCGAGAAGGATCCGTCGCCGACCTGAAACCTTACTGCCAAATTTCAGAAATATATACGAAGTAGGAAAGATCTGCCGGTTGAGGCCTTGGTGAATGGCTTGCGTGTGGGGAAGCAACTCTTTTTTTTCGGGTGGTCGGGTGAGTACAATCGATGAAGAGGAAAGTCTGGCCAGAGTTTTGGTGATGTGATGGGAGTAGTCGTACAATTATTGACAGGAAGGGTGTGAGTTTCTTTGATCCCGTCGAGGTGGATGCCGAGCATACATGTACCTCCGTAGAGCCTTGCTGCGGTGCAGTGCAGGTTGTTGACGACTGCAGGTCTAGTGGGGTGGGTACGTAAAAGTGGAGATGATTATGGCGGGCAGGGCAGGTTCGCTGCTCAACGCTCACGCTCACGCTCACGCCCACGCTTGGAGCCGGAGAAAAGCTCGTCAGAGGATAATTGCTAGATGCCGTTACAAGTATTCATAAATCACACAGCCAGGATTCTTCCCTTTTTGGGAAGTACCGCAGCTCCGTGGTGGACTAATGTACGAAGTACGAAGTACGAAGTATATGGGTGCACGATGCTTTGCAGTCTAGTCGTAGTGCCCAGATGCTGATGCTGTGTTGGCTGCGGACAGATGAGTGAGAGGAGGGAACACCAAGGCCTAGGTAGGCTCAGTAGGTATGGGTATGCTTTCACAACAAAATTGGCAATGGCGATGCTTAGCTTCATGTAGAGAGCCGACAAGTGCAGCAGTACCGCAACGCACTGGAAAGAGGCATAGAGGGCATAAAATATATGTTTGCTGGCTGAGCTAGAACTTCCCCTATCATGGATCCCCCCCTCGCCCCGACTTCCTGGTCTGATGTTGCTGTCGCCCACCTTCTGGGAATCTGGGCTCAAGTGGACAACTCTCAGTGGACTCTTGGTTTTAATTTGTGTTCCCTCTGCTGCAGATGATGCAGATCAAGAGAAACAATCTCCTACACGGCGGAGTTGCAATTTCTTAGCTAACTCGCCTCGCTTCTCCTATCCATTCACAAGTCTGAGGCTGATGCCACCGGCTACGTAAAACGAGCGAATAGTCTGAATCCGCAGTCGACCAAAAACGTCTCCTTTCCTAGCTCATTGGGGGCTTCACATATAGTAAGACATTCGTATGCCTTCATTATCAAAAGAGATGATGATGCATCTCTCGTCAACCGAAGAAACCGAAATATCCCAACACATAAACCCGTTTTTCTGTTTACAAAAAGTCCCCGGTTTTCACGAGGTGGCAACGTCATTTCCCCTCCTCGCCCGCACGTTACCTGTCAATTTCTGGGCCATCGTCTTGAACCGGCGTTTCATTGGTCTTGTCATGAAATGGGTCCGTCAGCATACCATCCACCCGCTCGGCATCTGCTTAGCTTATTCTGGGCCGTGGAATTGATAATTGGACGCCAAACACGTTGTCTTTTTTCCTAAGCGACGCACGTACATTCGTCGAGCAGGTATTTCTTTCCAAATCTATAAATAGAAGTGTGAGGATACCAATTTTCTACTCTTTAATATAAGAGTGCCGAGCAGTGCTTACTCGCTCAACATCACGCTATGTCAGTCGGAAGATGGTCACGTTTTGATGGGAGAATTTGGGGTAGAGCAAAAGATTGCAAGTTTTATAAGAAATATTCATACCGAGTACAGCACATTTATTTGTTTTCAGTCTGGCGAAGACAACAAAGTTCTCGTCTTGGTGCTTCGTTCCAAATAAAATACGAGGAGTCGCCACCACACAAACATCTAGATCATTTCTCGTCCTCCCCAAACTCGTCCACAAGACAACACGAGGCCCGTATAGCACAACACCCGAACATTTAGTTTTCCTCGCTCCCTTTCTTGGCTCCTTCGCTTCGGACAATTAAGAGAACGAATCTTCAATCTCACTTCCAAAAAAAACCCACGGCGCCAATATGGTATGGTCATGATCACATCATCCGTCGCCCATCAACGCAACAGAACTACTTCCAGGGCTGCCAATAACGCAACTACCAAAATTCCACTAGCCAACGAACTAAAGGGACTTCCTTCCTAACACTACTTTAGCTATCACACCTGTCAGACTCTTGCACCACCACACCTCATGTTTGTTTCCCCTCCGTACAGCCACACGCCAAAGTTCCGTCTCACTGCGCCAAAACTACAACCAAAGTAGACATTATCTTACCGGGTATCTCAGCAATTGAACCATACTATCCCATGGTAGCACCATTAAGGCGTGCCAGATTTTCAGTACTGGCAGCTAATGGACACTGGATACAGCGTATAACGTCCTCGTTCGAAGCATCGCGTTACCCGTTTGACGAATGGCATCTTATGGCCATTTTGATCCTGCATTTGCGGAATGATCACCTCGGCTATGATATCTTCACATTCCCCCATCGCGGAAGTCTGCTCGCGGTGTAGTAGGAGAACCTCTCCCCTCCTCCCCTCACAACCCCGTTCTTGAAGGACAAACAAGAGTCCTGATGTCTCTCCAGCGCAGAAAGCGGCGTGAGAACTTTCATGCTGCTCCTCCATTCTAAATCCTATAACCGTCTTAAAGCTTTGAATTATGCAATGTCGCTTTCAAAATCTTGGTCGTGAGGAAGCTTTTGAGTATAGTCACACAACATTCTAAAAGGTGAGATATGCGAGATCATGTCACAATATTTATTAAAAGGAAGGATTCGGTAAGGATGTTTCTTCACTGTATTTAAATCCCCGGAAGGATATACACTGCCTAGATCAAAAAAAAAACCTACAGTAATCTAAGATAGGACTTTCTCGAGGTTGTGATACATTTTTACTACTAGAAGATACTTCTACATACGTTTAAACAAGAACTAAGTACTTACTCTCTACCTCAAAAAATATCACACCTTCCTACCATAGATAATCTACGTAATATATTCTACACTCCCTATATAATATATAAAACAAACCGTTATTGTGAGATGCCAGACCTCGAATAGCTCAAAGGTGTGGTTTCGAATATTCAATTAAGAAGTGCGTGAAGACTACATACATACAAGCTCTTTCTCTATATATAGAGAGAGGAAAAGCTTCTAGAATATTCCAAGAAACTGCTTAACAAATACATGATGTCAAGAGAATAGAACAGAAAAGTATAGAATAGAAGAGACTTGCTTGGCAGTGGGGTTATGGCCAGTGCTGAGCAGGGACTTTGGTCAGTGCTTAGCGAGGGCATGGCCCGAGCCTCCATCATGGGTTCCAACCCTCACAGTTATATAAGGATTAACGCATGCCTATACAGATAACCCGATTTTACGTTGTATAATCTTACTACAATCTTACAACACCGCTTCCGCTATCTCCTTTAACCAGAAAAACGATTAAGAACTTGTAAATCTTATGTTGTGATTTTATTAGTATCTGATTTTGATTATAACGGGGGTTCTACGAGCTTCTTTTTATTGTTTTGTAGTTGGGGTGGAAGGAAGAAGGATTGTTTGTATTGGAGGTTAGGGGTTGGGGTGTAAGGGTGCGATAGCGACAAGGTCAACTGTATGCGTAAGAACTAAATTGTCTACAAAGAGTGGAAGTGATCGTAAGATCTGAGGCTATTTACAGTTCCAAGGGCACGGGGCCACATCGCTGTCACGAATCACGTGCACACGTGACAAGTGAAGACCAGACGGCGTCATGACAAGCCGAGCACATATGGGCCTGGGAGCTTTATGTGTTCTGGGAAACCAAAGGGAGTTTTCTTATGTAAGCAGGAGCCGTTAATTGGTTGGATAATGTATATGGATGTATACCTTTACCAACATGTTGGTCACGTGATAGTCGACTGGTCGACAGAGTTGGTTGTCGACCAACATTCCTTAAGTAGTAGTATTCTGAGAACGAAGGTTCTGCTTGGATGTATACCTTTACCAACATGTTGGTCACGTGATAGTCGACTGGTCGACAGAGTTGGTTGTCGACCAACATTCCTTAAGTAGTAGTATTCTGAGAACGAAGGTTCTATATAAGACTGGCACGTCTGCCATTTAGATAGGAGCTTCGTGCTCAACTTAGTTATCAATCTTATCATATTAGTTTGACATCTTTGATACAAGTAACGAGTTCACTTCCAAGTGAACAACCCGATAGTCTTCTTCTTATCATAGCATACCAACCAGCGAACACCCAGCCAAGTTTAGTTAGCCAGTTTGAGTATTCGTTACAGTTTAGATAAGAGTTTAATAAAGAAGTATTAATATATACTATAATAATTAAATTAAAAAGGGAGACAGAGAATCTTATTATAACTTCGAATTTAGCGTTATAAGAGTAACGTTTAATAATTACTAATATATAGTAGAAGGTAGAATTAAAGTTTTAAATTAAAGTTTAAGTACTAGACTAGGCTTATTGTCAAAAATCACGTGCTAGCACGTGAGGAGTTAGTCCAGACGGGGTTCTGACAGGACAAACACATCATGGCTCTTATAGCAAAAAGGGATCGCTTAGGTTAGTTGAGCGATCCAGGAATTTCTTTGTATACAAGTCACGTGATATATGCAGGTCGACTTCTCGCCTGGTCGAGAAGTCGATTATCGACTATGTCGACAGTCGACATTGTCGACTTCAGGAACACGAAGGTTCTATATAAGACTGGCACGTCTGCCATTAGATAGGAGCTTCGTGCTCAACTTAGTTATCAATCTTATCATATTAGTCTTCTTCTTATCATAGCATACCAACCAGCGAACACCCAGCCAAGTTTAGTTAGCCAGTTTGAGTATTCGTTACAATCGCTTCCTCCACGTCTGTACCCTCACATAGGGGTTAGAGTTATTGGGTTTTTGTTATGGTTAGATGATTTTTGATAGTAGAGATTTAGTAGGATGTGCGGCTGAAGGGGAGAGGTTTAGAGATTTGGAACTTGGAGGGCTTTCTGCTTTGAAATATTTGGGTGTGGGAAGGTGGAGTTTACTGTGTTTTGGTGTGAGGGGGTGGAAAGTTGGGAGGTATGGTATGGTATATACAAGAAGACTTTGGCATGATCTATAATCTATACCTAGTTAGAATAGCATCCTCCACATGGATATTAGTACATTTCCCTTTCTGATATCCTGGTATATTTAAATAACCAACTTTTCTTTTTCCTATCCTTTTCGTATCTTCAACATGGTGTTTTTAGCACGCTAATGGTTGGCCGACCTAGCTATATTTGAAAGTATCCACAGCAAACTAGCATAGCCAACATTATTCACTAGCAGCAAATCAAGCATTATACCCAGGAGCAAGCTAACCCACTCGCTAGTATTAGTTGAATCTAATAATAGTGAACAGATGATTGGTTACAAAAGGAACATAAACACACCTGTACTTTCATAGAGACCTCACTAGTCGGGTCTTATAGCCTGGAACTTCTTACATGGCTAATACCACAGAAGGTTGGATAAAGTTAAATAATAACGAGCGAGCTAGGAGCAAGGAGGAGTCTCGTAAGACTCTCCTTCTGGTACTTCTGGTACTTCTGGTACTTCTGGTATTAGCTATCTAGAATAGATGCCTCCGGAATTCTAGGTATCCGAAAAGGGGGTCGGGCAGTAAAGACAGGAGTCTCGGCTAAGACAGAGGGGGGCGCTTCGTGACAATTGCCGCCCCCCCAAAAAGCGCAAAACGATAATATTATCATTATCACATGTGGAGTTGAATTTTTGTAAGTACCATTCCGTAGATAGGTAAGTATGCTGGTCCAAATCTAAGTGCAAGCCTGATTTAAATCCTAGACGGTAGCTCTTAAGCACATCCCGAGTCCAAATGTTAGTCCATATACAACTCCAATTCCATATTCCAGTATTCCAGTATTCATACATTCTAAATCCCTACTATGTTCGTAATAATCTAATCTAATATGTGTAAATTTATTTAACAATAGAAGACAAGCTACGAACAGCAGTAGACAAGCTAGTTTATTATCTTATTAGTAAAGCAGACAGGAATAAGAGGTTCATAGAAGAGACACTTACACCAGATTCTTTGGTATTTCCTGGAGATGTACAGGGAAACCCACCGCCTGGAGCCGCACCAATAGCCTCTACTCTGGTACAGTCCGTTCGTTTGGTTCGGAAGAGACCCCCTGGTGGAGATTCAGTAACAGAGCCCTAGAGTTATATATTCTTGATTAGCATTTCTTGTTTTTGTTTTTGCGGATTAGAGCAGTAGAGAATTATCAAAAATGATAGAGAGACAAGATTTGTTTGGGACGGAAGAGGGAGGATAGTACGTACGCAGTAGACGTGCTTGCTACATGGATTAGCACCCTCTGGAAGACCGTATCCTGTGTCTTGGGTATACGCTGTCTCTGCTAACACTGTCGTGGCCAGATAGGCCATCGTTGTAAGGATAGCTGCGATTTGCATGTTGAAATGTTAGAAGAAAGTTGGTCGCTAAGGTTATGTATGTAGGAGTTTTAAAAAGGAGATCCAGAATCCTATACAATGATCGAACAGCTAGTTTATATAGTAATCGATTAATCCCTCGGAAACTCTCTTCGGTGGATAAAAAAGAGTTTTGCGCAATTTGCCGCACGTCAGGCAAAGGCTAATTCGAATCATCGGCCGGGATACAGAATACGAGAGTTACTCGTAAATCGAGTATCAGACGGCCCGAGGGTGGACTCCTGTTTCATCTTCTGCTAATAAGTTAACGAACCCGTGTTAGTACTGAACAAGCAAAACAGGCAGGTAGAGGAAACAAATACCTAATGTTGTTCTCCTCGGAAATATGGAATAGTCTGTAAAGTGGGTGGAATTAGAGTGTTTTCGGAGATATAGGGCACTAGTTACGTGTTCTAGATATTGAAAAGCCTTTATTAGAGGTAAAAGCGTAGGCTTTTTATATGATCTTGGGACGCTACTTAGAGCGTTATATTAATAGACTTTCTTTAGGAATAAAACATACTACTATTAGTAAAAAAGAAATATTAAACTACCGGGGTAGGCAGGGCTTAGCGCGTTTATATTTTGTAATAGTTCTGATATAAGATGGTATATGTAACGAATACTCAAACTGGCTAACTAAACTTGGCTGGGTGTTCGCTGGTTGGTATGCTATGATAAGAAGAAGACTATCGGGTTGTTCACTTGGAAGTGAACTCGTTACTTGTATCAAAGATGTCAAACTAATATGATAAGATTGATAACTAAGTTGAGCACGAAGCTCCTATCTAATGGCAGACGTGCCAGTCTTATATAGAACCTTCGTGTTCCGCCGTCGCCTACATCGCCTGTCGATACTGGCGATGCAAATGGTCACGTGATTACGATGTAATGAAATCCCTGGATCGCTTAGCTAGTCTAAGCATCCCTATTTGCTATAAGAGATATGATAGTGCTCAACCTGTCAGGACGCCGCCTGGTCTTCACTTGTCACATGCTTACGTGATTCGTGACAGTATATTTCATATAAGATAGTTTGCACGCTCTTAGACAGTCCTCTATTACGTCCTAGGACCGTCCCATATTCTACTCCTGGAGCGGTATATTATTACGTAAGTAGCCATGTACGTAGGGAGTAGGCCCCTCGAACGCCTACGGGTATTACCCCGCACGTTACTAGACATGTAAACTGTTTATAGATAGTCACGTGGTAGTTATAAATTATTATTACTGTAAAAACATCTCCTTTTCCTCTAAGGTATCTATAATCTAGAAATATATGATATATCCCGGTTATTTACTTCAATTACTTGTCCCTTCTAATAGATAGAAGTATATAAGTCCCTTGTTCCAAAGACCTATAAAAACAATGACTTCAAAATGAGATCCTAAAGTACTTGGAATATAAACAACCTTTGAATAGTCTGAAAAGAAAATCTTATTTATCTTATGCTTGTTTAAACCCCCTCTGTGAGGGTTAGAACCCATAGTGGGGCTCGGGCCAAGAGCCCTCGCTAAGCTAAGCGACCCCGCCTCTGGAACGCCATGGAATAAGATAGAATGCTATGACGCAGAAGATTGGTAATACTATGGAACAGTGTCGAATGCAATGGAAATGCTACATTTAGTATAAGAGTAGAGGAGGAACATGTGTTTACAGACCACGTAGTTCTTAATTGAATATTGAACCCACACCTCTGAGTTGTTCGAGGTCTGGCCTCTCACACCCTCCCTCGAAAAAAGTAAGCTTAGTACTTGTACAGTTTCTTGACTTAGTGTACAAACTGTCGGAGCGTAGCTCATTCGTCCTAAGGAAGCCAGTACTCTCGAGAAGTAAGACAATGGCGCAACTGCTCTCGGATGACATGCTTATAAGAGCGACAGCGGAAGCATATAAACGGTTAGCCAGGGACATGCACGGAGGTACAGCGGTTGAGTATTGTCGCCCCTGTACCCCAACTACTTGACTCCGAGGGTTTGTACTACAATACTAACGTAAAAGAAATTGCTTGAAAAAGGGATGATTACAGAGCGGTATTCAAGGATATCTCCGGGTTTTAGGCGAAGTGTTTTGAATGTAGTTTACTTAAGCGATAGGAGTAATAGTACTGAACCGCTATACCTCTTTAGATCTTAAGTAACACGACCAATAAAAAGAGGGTGAAGGCGACGCTGAATAATTACTTGTACTGTCAGATCAATGAAGGGAGGTAGAGACGGATGTGATATGAATGTAAGAGACGAAGCGGGGTACTTTACGTAAAGGGGGTGGACAGTCAATGCTAGATACTGTCACGTAGATTATATATGAGAAAGTTTATATCGCCTAGATATAAGTCTTTGATTTGCTACTTTAGCTAAAATTCAGGGCTGGGATGTACTATAATCAGCGAAAGTGTCTAGCTTTAACTATCCTCCCCCTTTATACGATACCCTTTTGTTTACGTCACATGATTAGACCTACCTGTTCAAGTAGCATAAGTACTCGAAAAACACTACTCCTTAGTACTTAGATAACAATTGACTGGATATTCTATACCCTATTTCTTTACCTTGATACTAGAGATATTAAAGGCAAGGAAATAACAAAGGGCAAAAATAGTGGTTCTAACAATCGTATTGTCCTGTCTGTCCTATGGAATCCAGGCGTTGTATAGCCCTGGAAAATCACGTGAATAAACACGTGAATACGTTGCGACAGTAGGTATTCGACGTACGAGCTAAATGGAGTTAGTACTCCAGACCTCTAAGTAGTATGGCACACTTGGAGTGTACACTCCGAGGCAAATGGGTCCTAAAAAGAACAAGCGGGCTACAAGAAGTGAATGCGCAAGAACCCTCTGTGCAACAAATTGATCGCAATATAGTGGAATGACCACAAATATGGTAGAATAACCGCAAATATAGAACCCTGAATCTATGAGTAGTAGAATGACTGCTAATATACCTACAGTACAGTAGTGTAATAGGGTAATTTAGCAACCACTTTATAGTAGCGATTATAAGGTCAAGTTCATACTAAAAAGTAAACAAAGTTCGACCGAAAGTATTGCCACTACCAAAAGTCAAATAAGGGATTTGTCTTTTGTTGGTACTCACAAAAGTTATTCCCCTAGTTACCCCACTTTCTAGTCCTCAATTAAGCCTGGTTCAACTAATATAAGCGTTTGTGTTCTAATAAGAGTTTGGATATTTATATTTGCCTTTGAGGCTATTGCCACTTTATATTTAGTCTATTATTATCCTATAAAAATTACAATTTATTCGCTACTAATTTTTTACTAAAATCGGCCTGCCAAACCTCTTATAAAATCACAAACCTTATTATTTTTAAGCTATAAAAATTATCCACTAATATTAAAAGCCGGGTGCCAAATCGCCCCAATGATTTCGGACCTACCTAACAAACTCAGCAAAGAACTCAGAATTTACACTAGCAGGGGACGAGGCGTTATGGGAGGACCGATTCGGTACTTAATATGCGATGTGACGTAGAGCAGTTTCGCGTGATGTGACTTCGGGAGAGACTTGAATGCGCTGTAAGTACTTGATTATATAGTTTCCTGATCTGCAGGCCAAAGACTGGATTATACCCTAAGAGATTGGTATTGAGCACTCGGGAGCCGTGCAAGGGAGATAGAGGGAGAACTCAAATAGTGCTACTGTAGAATCGGATACTCCTGCCCTCCTTGTGTAGGTCACCACAAACTTGGAATGGTCCGCAAAGTGGAGGGGGATCAGGATTTCATTTGGAGCTGTAGAGTAAGGTTTACTAGCTACGAGTCCTGGCTAACTGACAATCCATACAAGTACGAAAGGAGGGTTCAAGTGGGTCTCGTACACCCAGCATCAAACCTCGTAGAACCTGTGCACTTTTCATCCATTTATTGGCGCTCCCACCCATATGGCTTTATTATTTCCGAATTCTTCATGGAATACTGGAAGAACAAGGGAGGTGTACGAGATCCACTTGAAACCCCCCTTCATACACAATCCATAATCATGCGATATGTCCCGGCTGTTCACTTCCATCATACCAGTTTCGCAACACCCTAGTGTCAACCATATAAACACACACCACCAAAGCAACTAGCGGCGTTTATAATTTCCTGGGCACACTTTTTGGTTTCTCCTTCCTGCTTCGAAGTACAACCACCTTCTTTGATCCTTCCTTTGAAAATATGACGACCCAAGATGACCCCGAGAAGGGACAGATGGAAGAAACTGACATGACAGATGGATCACCAGGCAAGGACACAGAAATAGCGGTAGCTTCGTCGCGAATATCGCTGGTCTCGGTCGAACTAGAGCGGAGGATTGTTAGAAAAATAGACCGCACGTTGTTGCCTTTGGTTTGGATCCTTTGTGAGTATCACCAGAACAACAAATATTTGGATGCACATCTGGTTAAATTTGATGCGAGTGACTACATGGTTTCTCGCTACATCTCTTCTGAATTTCTTCTGCAACTCCATTTGTTATATTTTCATCTACTCTAACCCATCTAGATCTACTTGCGTACCTCGATCGCGGTAATATTGGGTAACAATTCCCGAATACTTACAAATATAATTTCTAACACGCACAGAAACGCAAATATTGCAGGTCTTTCCAAAGACCTTCATATCTCAGGGCCTGAGTACCAATGGCTCTTAACCATATTTTATATCGCCTACATCCTCTTCGAATGGTTCGCCATAATGTGGAAGATTCTCCCGCCACACATCTGGGCCACTGTCTGCGTTGTGGGATGGGGATTTGCATCAACACTTCAGTCAGCCACATATTCCTGGTCAGGTATGATGGCAGCTCGTTTCTTCCTCGGGGTTTTCGAAGCCGCATTTGGACCTGGAATTCCATATCTTCTAAGCTTTTTCTATCTACGCCATGAGATCGGATTTCGCATTGGACTTTTCATATCTGCTGGTCCTCTGGCGACTTGTTTTGCTGGTGCTTTGGCGTATGGGATTACGAGTAATAAAACGCCTCCCATTGCGAATTGGAGAATTCTTTTCATCGTCGAAGGACTGCCATGTTTTCTTGCTGCGGTCGTAGTTTTCTTCTTCTTCCCGGACAGTCCAGAGAAAGCTCGATTTCTCACGAAAGAAGAAAAGGTTGCAGCACGTTCTCGAGCAGTCCGACAAGTGGGGACTGGAGGCCACGAATCTGAGAAGATCAACTTTAAGGATATTAAAGCTGGTCTTTGGGATCCAAAGGCAAGTGGACCATTCCCCTCTTCCCTTTACATAACAGGATGAAAATGAAGAACTAACAAGAAACAAAACAGTGTTACATCCTCGCCTTAATGTACTTCTCCGGCAACGTCTCATACTCTTCCCTCCCCGTCTTCCTCCCTACCATCCTCAAAGCCATGGGTTTCACAGCTATAAATTCCCAAGGTCTAACAGCGCCACCCTATTTCATCGCCTTCCTTCTCGTCATCCTCATCATGCGTATCTCTGATAAAACCCAACAACGGGGCATCCTAATCATTATCCTGTCTCTCATCGCCTTCACTGGTTACGCCATGCTAGCATCGACTAAAGTCGTTGCCGTACGCTACACGGGTGTGTTTCTTGCCGCGGCCGGTGTCTTCCCTGCACTCGGTAACGTTTTGGTTTGGACGCTGAACAACCAGGGCAGCGATACTAGACGTGGGATGGGCATTGTAATACTGAACTATATCGGACAGTGTGGCCCAATACTGGGAACGAGATTGTTTCCCGAGGGTGATAGACCGTATTATAGCAAGGGACTGTGGATTTGCGCTGCGTTTATGCTGTTCAATGCGTTTTTGGCAGCTACGTTGCGATGTTTGTTGTTCTGGGAGAATCGGAAACTTGATGAGAAATATGGAAAGAGGGATGGGAGCGTGGAGACGAGAGTTGGAGAGGAGAATGATGGACCTAGGTTTCGATACGTACTATGAGGGTAGAGGGGAAAGTGTTATTGGACAAGAATTCAGGGAATCCAAGTCCTTCATATGTTTACCTTGAGCAATACGTCTATAGTAGCTCAATCTACACTCTTTTCTACTTTTGTATCGCTGCTCTTGGACTAACGTGGTATTGAGTCGTGAGTGTATTCTCGCTTAGCGAGCGTGCGTCCCAGCCAAGAGAACATGAAATAACTTTCGAATTCAAAGGTCTTACTAGATTTTAAAATATCTTATTATTCACTGACCTGCTGATAAATCAACAAATGATATTGGCTAATTCCAACAGCAGTGCAGTCCAATAGCAGTAAGTTCTAGTGGTAATAGTGAATTATAATAGAAGCGAATTGTATTACCAGTGAATCCAAATACAAGTGATTTCTAATAGTAATAAACCAATGATTAGTCACCCAAGTAACATGATCCTACTTTCACAAAAATGCCAGTGGCCAAATAGTAGCACGTTCCGGAATTCCTACATGGCTTTTACCGTAACTTGTCCAGTACCTCGTGCAGTCTCATTCATCACTTCTATTAAGCACTTTTTGCTCTTTTGCGAGATCTTGGTTACGGGATTAACTAATTTCACACCTGAGATAAAGCCTCAAAGCCATCCGGTACGGCATCCTGAATATACTAAAAGGTCAAATGGACTTAATACTAATTTGGAAATCGTAAATTGTAAAAACTATGTATCTACTACTACTACTGTGTCGGAGTGTTTATACCCCTAAACCCCTACCCTCGCTTAAACTTCGTAGCCTTAAAATTTTCATGTATACACTCGCTACCCTCGCTATCGCACCTCCTCGCTTTCGTACCCCCTCGCTATCACCTACATTTACTGTCGTATAGGGTGCGTACCCTAATATATTGTTTAGGAGAGAGAGGGGGGGAGAAAGTAGGGAAATATTTTAATCCTACGTGTTACTTATTCCTAGCCCTCGAATACTACCTTCCTGAAGAGGTTAGGCTAGTACGTGTCGCGCTAACAACTATCTACTACTTGTACTTGTCTGTCCTTTCTCTCCCTCCTACTTTCTCTTCTCTTTTTTCCGATACTATCCTTGCCAGACTCTGTATGTCCAAAAAAAAAAACGTGCACTCGAAGTAGATACGATAACTAGGACTAATAGAGGCCTAAATACTTAGACCCGTAACCTAATTTGCTAAAGGGCTTTGTTTTTTAGGGAAGATGTTAGAAAAATAGATCCTTCTACTCCACTTTGTGTGACAGTTTTTGATTTAGTGAATAAGGGTTCGCTTAGCGAAGTGGCGGGTGTACCCTTCCGTAGATAGACAAATACCTAAGGAGTGCGAAGAGCGTCTCTCTTCCCTCCTTGCGAACAATCTATTCCTTGATCCCCACCATAACACTTTGCGTGCACGTTCTTTTTGGACATGTAGAGTCTGGAAGGGATATTACGATAGCGAGCGTATAATAGCGGGAGTAAAAGAGGGAGGTGAGGAGAAACTATGAAGCCTATAAGAGTAGTCCGGGGAAGGAGGAGATGGGAGGTATAGAGAGTATGTATGTAATACGTAAGGGGGTACAAAAATAGATAGTTGGGAAAAAAGGGGGCGTAAGATAGTTGTAGTACCTAGAAGACTTATACTCTATAGAATAGCTTAGACTAAATTTATAGACTAGCTCTATTATATAGCTCTACTACCCACTATGTAAAGCGACTTTTATGATTTGCGATTTACAAATTAGTATTAAGTCCATTTAACCTTTTAGTGCATTCAGAATGCCGTTTCTGGAGGACGGAAATGAATGACACATGAAATGATAGAAATGAACTAGAAGAACGAAAGTATCAAACACTACATTACATAGACTATCCAGCTATTAATCCTTACAATAGAAACATTCCAACATGTACAAACTTTCATTACTCCCTCCCAGAAAATACAAATAGTGCAAACTGAAAAAAGTGCTCCATCTCGCTTAGCGTATTGGCGTAAACAAAGAAAAACCAAAACCACGAAACCAGTCTTTTTAAGTGGGTCGGCGCCCATACTCAGGCTTTCTTTCTTTCATGGCTACAATGTTGTTTGTCTTGTGATTTGAAGAGGACGTATACTCGTACCTCACAACAGATCAAGCGTCGGCCAGTGTAGTTGAGAAATTTGGGAACGTGAACCATAACTAAGTTCGCAAACACAATTTACAAACATACCTCCCCTTGACTGTTCATATCTCGATCTCTACGAGAACTCCACACTCAAAATCGAAATTAAAGATGCTCCCTTACCACCTCCGCGCAGAATCCACCACATTGACACCTTCATCAACACCACCACCCTCACCAACCACAACCACCCCACCCCCCTCCCAATCCCCCTCCAAT